AAACAGTATGCCTGCCTTTGGAGGTCGTCTGGATGATGAATCGATCGCAGATGTTGCTGCATATGTGATCAAGTCTTCGGAGGAAGGATGGAATTGAATGAATCATCTATTTGATCTATCAAAAATATAGGATGATTGGTGATCGTACAGCTAGGAGCCAATGAGTGCGAACAGCATAATCACAGCTGCGCTTTCAGATTAGGGCCGACATCATCACCGGTACAAACACTATTATTTTCCAGCATTAACAATGGGCATATACTGCCCGACGAATAGACTCTGTAAGATTACCTTAAAAAAGAAGGGGGCGGGGAAAGGGATTATAGCTACCATACAAACTCGTCGCTAGTAGCTAGTACTAGTAGTATGCCAGCAGTCTTAAGACAACGTCACATCTGTGATTGTTGTTGCAACTCCATTCGCATCTTGCATACTAGATTAGTGGTGCTTCCCACAGTTGTATTAGGATAAGATCGTTCCATGATGTCTTTAAAAATACCCCTGTATGCACTGTGTGACTGTTGGAGGGAAAATCCATGTTTGCGTTATGGTGACGTTAGTCGAGGCCGGTTCGGCAGGCGTCTGTTCTTTTGGCGACCGGACTCGAAGGAATGACCCGAATGACCAAGATTTTGGTGTACGATCTTATCAAGTGCCAGATTGAGTTGCGCGTGGAAAGTACAGCGTGACATTCATCACACATTTCCTCTTGCTGCGCTCTACTGTAAAGTAAAGCATCACCAAATAAAATCACCATGTCCGACTCTGATGAAGAAAGCAACAACTCCATGGACGAGGAAATGAAGGCCAAGATTGCCGCCTTCATGGAAGACGTCGAGGATGACGATGAAGAGGAGGCTGCCGAAGAAGAAGATGATGCTGGAAGTGATAGCGATCTGAAGGATCTTGACGTTCCGTCTGATCTCCCAGTGAACACAATAGATTACCTTGTTATTGGTACTAGTGACCTTGAAAAGGGAAGAGAAAAATTCACTGAAATGACTGGTTTGAAGACCGGAAACCTCACAGCCATGCGTGGTGGCGGTGGTACTAAGAGTGTTCTTTGTCGCTTGGCAGGCAACGTCTATATCGAAATCATGGCACCTGATGGTACCAGAACCGACGGCACTCCTGGAGCTCTTGCTAAAGTTCCCGAGGGAGAATTGATTGCCTTCCACTATGCTGTTCGCAGCCCTCCAGAAGCCGTCAATGGAATGGTCCCAGACTCTTCGTGGGCACTCGATAAAATTACCATGGTTGGAACTGGATCTCCTCTTGAATTCAAGGAGGAGGATGGTCCCTACAAGTGGGATTTGACCTATCTTCTAAACCACGACCTAGGAGGATGCGTGCCATCCTTTGTCAACTGGAGATCGAATGAAGCTCACCCCACCTGCCGTTTGGAAGATTCTGGTGCCAAGATAAAGAAGGTTTCGGTTCGTGTTCCAGAAGGCCACAAGGTCCTTGGTTTGTTGGAGACAGTTGATGGAGTCAAGATTGTTGCTGGAAAGCCCAAACTCGTTTTTGAAATCGAGACCCCCGAAAAGGGCAAGGTCAAGTTTGAAGGAAAGAATGTTATGGGTGTTGTAATGCCTGGATACCAAGATACTTCCCACCAATCGTACAACAAGTAAGCAAAACGGAAAGGCGCGAATTGTGCGTTGCTCTTCCCGACTGTTGGACAGTCGATACTATTGTTGACTCTATGATTATAAGAGATAAATGGCCTACATACTACACACAGTACTTTATCCACTGTAGTATGTTGCGTGTGCTTGGGTTGGAAGGATTCGGTAGTCGAGTGAATCAATCGATTGATCGAAACGTACGAATGAATATCTTTCGTCGTCGCCTTTTGACAGAATCGTGTTCAGTATAGATAGACAACTCCTATTGTTTCTGAATGCCACAGTTTTATAGCCCTGTCCGCATTTGACATCATGGGAAAAGACAAAGAAGATGAGGCCATCTTTATGGACCTTTGTTCTTTCTCTGTGGATGGGTACCGCGCTCTTGCCAACGGAACCGCAGAGCACCGAGCCAAGGGAACCAAACCATTGTCCACGGTTTCTTCGAAAGACACTTTGAAAGTGACGGAAATGAGTTTTCTGGAAGAGGCCGCCTGTGTATTTCTCATGGCCTTTGGTGTACCCAATGGTGTCTTTACATTCCCACCAATTGTTTACATTGTTGGTAGATTCGTTGTCGGTGACGTCAAATTGACGGCAGCCATTGCTGTGGCACTCTTGCTGCCTCTGGCCATTATGCCACAGAAATACATCCCAGAGACATTGCAAAGTTGGTTGGCGATTCAAGTGGTCAAATATTTCTCCTATCGCATGGTGGTCGAAACTGTCCCAGAGCCAAAAGGCCGACCGCGTATCATGGTGGCTCCTCCACATGGCGTGTTTCCATATGGCAATATTCTAGCCATGTTGGCCTACCCATCACTATGCGGAGACACATTTCGAGGACTTGCCGCATCTAACGCATTACGGCCACCTGTTTTCAAACAAATCTTGAGATCCATTGGTGTTGTGGATGCCTCACGTAGCGTTGCGCGCAAGACTTTGGAAGGTGGTGAGAGTCTTGGAATTTCCACCGGAGGTGTGGCAGAAGTCTTTGAAACCAATGATGACGACGAATGTATTTTGCTCAGAGTTCGCATTGGATTGATCAAGCTAGCCATACGAACAGGCTCGGATCTTGTTCCCTGCTATCTTTTTGGAAACACCAAACTTCTCAGCTGTTGGGCTGGAGAGGGAATTCCAAAAGGCAGGGAGATTCTGGAGTACATATCACGCAAGGTTGGCTTTGCACTTATTCTCATCTTTGGACGATTCGGGCTTCCAGTTCCCAGACGCATCCCGGTCATGGGGATCATGGGAAAGCCGATTCCAACCCATCACATGAAATGCGAAGAACCAACTCCAGAGCAAATCAAAGAGGTCCAAGACAAACTCATTGACGAGATGCAAGGTATTTTTGACCGCTACAAGGGACTATATGGATGGGAAGAGAAAAAGCTGATCATTAAGTAGTAGAGAAAGTGATGAATTCCAGTCGATTCATTCAAAGATGCATAAAGAGAAACTAACTAACAAATAGACGAGACTGAGGTGAACAGGCGAGAACAGGAAAAAACCATCATCAACAATCGGGGGACATATAGGAAGTAAAGCAGTTGTTTGCTGTTTATAATATTATTTTACAAGTACTTTGGTAAAGGTACTGTTACGAGGGAGTTTACGGTCTAGAATCTTTCCTTCACGCCAACTCCATGCAAGGGTTTGATTGTCGCAAGCTTCTGACCACAGTTTTGGCAGTAGTGATCTGTCTTCTTCATACCATCCATAACCAGAGGCACCCAGCAAATGGGGAAGAAAGCGACAGCTCCGATGGCGACACAGCCCCACGTCACTGCACTTGGATACGTCTTGGTACGTGTTCGGACGTTTTCCTTCGAACAGTGAGGACAGAATGCCAAATTGGTTGGTTTGCGACTTCCGTTGAGGCATGGATCACGTTCTAGTTTGTAGCTGTTTCTTTCGAATCGGGGAACTGGCGTTTTGTCGTCTTTGTCTAGGACAATTCGGATGTTATTTTCACTAATGGTGATGATGGGTGTTTCATCATGTGAGTTGTTGGTGCTGGACGACGATGATGATGATGCGACAGAGGAAGGCGAAGCGAATTCTGTGTTGTTCTTGGAGACCATTCTGATGGGGAATCGGTGTTTTTTTAAAATTGAGTTGAAGTTGTTGTGGCTTTTTGTTCTAGCTTGAGTTTGTGAGAGGAAAAATTGCGGAATACGGTATCGTTTTCCCGATTTTAGCAAGATTCGAGTTGAAATCGTCAAAGCGTCAAATCGTGGCACAGTTCGTGATGAAGGTCCAGGAATAAATGTTTTTGGTGGTACTTGAGTGTTCCACTTGGTCGACTGACTCGTGGTGTGTGAAATAAAAATTTCCTTTAAGGCTCACAAAATCACAAAACCAAACAGTCAAAACACATACCCAAACCAAACAACATTCACGACATGACATCCAACGCAAAGACAGGCTATGCTCCTTCTTATTCCAGCGAATATGAAGTGCCATTGATGCAAGTGAATGGCGAGGCAACCCGAGCATCCTCTCCCCCCAGCACCAGCAGCAAGAACAAGAGCTGGGCTCCTGGTTCTACTACCAGTTCCAAGAACAAGAACTTTTACGAAACAGAACGAAACAGTACCTTGTCAGGCAGTCGGCGACCTATTAATCTTTCTGTCTGCCCGCATTGTGCAACAGAACACATCCGTACGCGCACCAGAACATATCCCGGTACTGCAACTTGGGCAAGTGTTGGTGTGAGCGCCATCGTGTTCCTTCCACTCGCCGTGATTCCTTTAGTGTGTGATAGCATGAAGAAAACGGACCACTTCTGCCAAAGCTGTGGAAACAAAATCGGGACGGTCAAACCATTTGAAGGATTCTGCGTGAAGGAAGCATCCTAGACCCCAGAAAATGATGTTTCGTAATGGCGGCGAGCAATCAATCTATTTCTAGCAAGCAACTTCTAAATTAGAATAAATATGAGATAACTGTAAAGTAATGTCGCTTCTATTATGTTTATGTTTCGTGCCTCATTTCAGACTCACTTGCTATAAAAAAAGCCGAGAAGAAGCCGAGCACCACCACAGTAGGCCTAGTATGGAACACACGTCCCACCATTACCACTACGAACAAAACGTGCATTCAGAACTCGCCTCTCTACCCTCCTCAAAGAGATTGATTCCCTTTCTATTGATGCGACAAGTATCCTTCTGTTGGGACATTTGACGAATAAAAAAAGAGTACCGGTACATATCATCATTGTTATACAGTTCGGCGGGGCGTAACGTGACTGACTGGACTGCCGAGTCCCGAGCAGATATATTAGAGCGATCGAAGGCCAACGGTCGTCGCCAATCTCAAGCCCAAGATCAATCATCTATCATCTACTCACAGCTGCTTCAGACCCCCGTAAATACACCCCATTAGCAATATCAATCACCGTCTATCATGTCCAACAGTAGCTACATCAACGCACTAGTACGCTCTCTCTACGAGGAGAGCCAGGAGCACAACGTTGTCACGTTAAGGGGGAGCATTATCTACTAGCTACTTCATTCTGAATAGTCGTTGTACCCCTTATTTAGTCCATCACGATTTGGACTTTTAAAAACCATTATATTGGGAGCAGCAATTGCTGAACTTCTAAGATCGTTCTTTGATACCAACACCCCCAAATGGCTTGATCGTTGCAAGCTTTTGATCGCAGTTTTGACAGTAGTGATCGGTCTTCTTCATGCTATCTGAGACCAATGGAATCACAGCGAGTGGAACGAAGATAATTGCGCCCAGAGCGGCGCAGCCCCAAGTAACAGAGTTTGGATACGTCTTGGTTCGTGTGCGGACGTTTTCCTTGGAACAATGAGGGCAGAATGCCAAGTTGGTGGGTTTGCGACTTCTAGTACTGAGGCAGGGATCACGCTCTAGTTTGTAGCTATTTTTTTCGAATCGGGGAACTGGCTTTTTGTTTTCTTTGTCTGCGACGAATCGAAAATTATTCTCGCTGATAGTGATAATGGGTGTCTCATCATATGAGTTGGTGGATGATGATGATGACACAGGCGCTGCTGCTGCTGGAGAGTAAGATGTTTTGCTGTTGGCGACCATGTTCTTGTGTGTGTGTGTGTGTGTGTGTGTGTGTGTGTGTGTTTGAGGCAAATTTGTTATTTTGTGAGCGTAGGAGTGAAATGTGAGGAAGAGAGCTTCTGGAAACCAAGATTGCATGCACGGTACTGGTACCATTACTCATGATTGCATTCCTGTGGAACATCGAGGAAGGAAAGGATTTCACGCGAATACTTCGGGTCCTAATCCATTGAGTCAAACCATCTTGCGGATACAATACATATCGTACCGGTACAAACAATACAATCATATCAACATCACACCATCATTTTAAAACTCTCACAAATACCCACACTTAGCAACACCAAGCAACACATCGACGATGACATCGTACACACGACCAAGACGAATAGGCTCTCCACCCCTACATATGCTTTCGATACTCCAATGATTGAAGTGAGCGACATGAGCGAACTCCTAATCATCAGGAGTTCCTCTCCGGAAAGAAGAAGGCAGGACCACCACTCGTCCAGGCAACATGGATCAGATGCTTGCCAAAAAGTACTTTGAGTCGGTCCTCGCTATCCTCATTTATGGTGGACGAAGCCCCATCCAACTGCCCTTGAGCCCACATTGTGGCACCGAGCACGTCCGAACCCACAAACGAACCCATCCAAGTGCCGCCCTGCTACTTGGGCTGGTGTTGGAGTAGGAGCCGTCCTCTTTTTCGCCTTTAGTTGGATCCCAATCGTATCGGACGCCATGAAAAAGACGTGACCTCTCGAGTGTCTGATAGCATGAATCAAACAGACCACTTCTGCCAATACAGTGGAAACAAAATCGGGACGGTGAAACCATTCGAAGGATTTTGCGTGAAGGAAGCATCCTACAGTAGACCCCCAAAAAGTGATGTTTAGTATGGCGGCGACCAATCAATCCATTTTTAGTAAGGTAGTTCTAGATTAAAATAAATATGAGATAACTGTAAAGTAATGTCGCTTCTATATCCTGCGATTTTTATAACCCATGTCCAAGGGTTTCAGGTTTAGTGCCTTATTTTACACTTACTTGCTATCGAAAAGCAGAGCACCACTGTATGGACGAAACAGACCACCATTACCACTACGAACAAAAAGTGCATTCAGAACTAGACTGTCTACCCTGCTAAGAGATACTGATTCCCTTTCTACTAATGCTACAGGAATGCTTCCTGTTGGACATTTGGCGAATAAAAAAAGAGTACCGGTACATATCATCATTGTTACAGTTCGGGGAGCATTATCTACTAGCTACTTCATTCTGAATAGTCGTTGTACCCCTTATTTAGTCCATCACGATTTGGACTTTTTGAAACCATTATATTGGGAGCAGCAATGGCTGAACTTCTAAGATCGTTCTTTGATACCAACACCCTCGAATGGCTTGATCGTTGCAAGCTTTTGATCGCAGTTTTGGCAGTAGTGATCGGTCTTCTTCATGCTATCTGAGACCAATGGAATCACAGCGAGTGGAACGAAGATAATTGCGCCCAGAGCGGCGCAGCCCCAAGTAACAGAGTTTGGATACGTCTTGGTTCGTGTGCGGACGTTTTCCTTGGAACAGTGTGGACAGAATGCCAAGTTGGTGGGTTTGCGACTTCTAGTACTGAGGCAGGGATCACGCTCTAGTTTGTAGCTATTTTTTTCGAATCGGGGAACTGGCTTTTTGTCTTCTTTGTCAAGGACAATTCGAATGTCATTCTCACTGACAGTAATAATGGGTGTCTCATCACCATATGAGTTGGTGGAAGATGATGATGAAACTTGCGCTGGTGGAGTGTAAGATGTTTTGCTGTTGGAGACCATGTTGCGTGTGTGTGTGTGTGTGTGTATGTGTGTATGTTTTGAGTTGATATGGTTTTGCGTCGAGGCAATTTGTTATTTTGTGAGCGTTGGAGTGAAATGTGAGGCAGAGAGCTTCTGGAAACCAAGATTGTTTGCACGGTACCAGTACCGCCATCAACTCGTGGTTGCATTCTTGTGGAACATCCAGGATTTCACGCGAATACTTCAGAGTCCGAATCCATTGAGTCAAATCGTGTTTGACCCATCACAATACAATCATTACCTATCAACATCACCATCATTTTAAAATTCTCACAAAATCTCCACCACAGAGCAACACCAAGCAAACCCAAGCAACACATTGACAATGACATCGTACACCACCACCAAGACGAATTACCTCTCCACCCCCACCTATGCTTACGATACTCCAATGATTGAAGTGAGCGACATCATGAACTCCCCATCATCAGTATCCTCGCCCCAAAGAAGCACCACCACTCCTCCAGCCAACATGGATCAGATGCTTGCCAAAAAGTACTACGAGTCGGACCTCGATATCACCATTTCTGGTAGCCGAAGACCCATTCAACTTCCGTTGTGCCCACATTGTGGCGCCGAGCACGTCCGAACCCACACACGAACCCATCCCAATGCTGCCACTTGGGCTGGTGTCGGAGTAGGAGCCATCGTCTTTTTCCCCTTGTGCTGGATTCCACTCGTGTCGGACGCCATGAAAAAGACGGACCACTACTGCCAAAACTGCAACAATAAGATTGGATCCGTAAAACCCTTCGAAGGCTTTTGTGTCAAGGAACAATACTAAGTATGCCTTGTTGTTGGTCTTGAATATGGTTTCGCAGCCGTTGCGAACATCCACTCAACCCCTGCCAAACGGTTGTGCTCAGTAGTAGTGTAATGCTTAAGTTAGTCCAGGATTAACTAGAGTCAGTCATACGTCCCAATTGTTTTCCACTTGTATACTATACACTTCTTGCTTCAAGCTGTTCTTATTGTGTTTGCGTGGTGCGTATTGTCTTCCAATTGAGTTGTAGCTACTCCACTGTAGTGTCGACATCGTAAAAGATCACAAGGGCCCATCGTGTTCCTCTTGTAATCGGATCCGCTGTTTTGTTTGTGTATCGTCATAGTATTCATTAACGAGCAAGCGTGTTGGATTAGAAGGCATCACTCCTCAATAATATAACAATTGAGCAGTGCTGCTTGCTCATATTTTCCTTCTCTTCTCTTCTCTTGCTTACCTTGATGCCACACGGCTCGATCAATAAAAGCCAAGTCTCCAGATCTCGTTTCGTAATGTATTTCTCTCGGCCGCTTCGTCTGTGGATCCTTGCCATCCCAAAAGGTGAGACCACCCCCATGTCCCACAAATGAATTGACTTCTTCCGGGGCCGACCATCGATCAATCGGTAATGCCACAACGCAGCTTCCGTCCACCTTTCCAGCTCCATCCACGTGCTGTTATCATTGATGTTGTTGTTTGGTTGATGATGTTTCATTCAGAATCGATGACAAAAGGTAGTGATAAAGTGAGCCGTCTGTGATGTTTCAAGTTGTTGGGGGAAAAAAGACATTTACTCCACCACTGTACAAAATTCATCCATCCACTTTGCTCCCCCACCATATGCAACAGTAGTACAGACAGAGTGATATGAAAAAGAATAATAATAATAACTAAATAAACTCACCTTCAATAATGCTTGTTCTCCAGGCGCTGGTGTATATCTTGTAATAAAGGTCATAATTCGTTTGCAGGTTCGTGTAATCGTTTTGCCCGCCAGTAGTTTGTTGTTGCAGGCATGTTGCTGTCGGTACCATTCCAGAAACAAGTCGTTGCAAGTGTCCAGCAATGGTCGGTACAATTCCAACAAGGTCAAATTGGGGTTCGTACATGGAACTCCGCCTTCCATGACCTCCAAATAACAAGAAATCTTCCAATCCTTGATTTGCGCCACACCACCATTGTATTTGACATGTTGTGGATGGTAATGGGAAAGCATTTGAGGAAACAAAGTGTCCAAATAGTCGGGAGAAATTCCTTTTTCAATGATCAAATGTTTTAGTTTGTTGAGCTTTTGCCGGACCACCTTTTTGTGAATCTCCTTGACGACGCCGTCTCGAGCAATTGTTGGCACACACGCAGTCTTTTCCGAAGAATCATCCGTGCTGTCATTCACCGACGAGGACGAGGAGGAATTGATTGGGAATGCATCCGGGACACCCGAATCGTCGGATTCCGAACGCTTGGATATTGAAGTAATCGCAGTCATTGTGATGATGCTATTGAGAATTTGCTTTGCCTAGTATACTACAGTGGTAGTTGACGACAACGACGACTGATTGCAACAATCAAATCAATGGCAAGTCTTGAAATTCGCATTGTCAACCGAAGAATGACCAAAACAAATTGTGGCTCGTGCGCGCGCGCATGCACACCCATCAATTTGGACTCTTCCGACTGACTCAACGTCAGTACGTATCTCGTACGCTACGTGCGTGCCTCCAGCATCCGGGTGTCGTGCGCAACGAACGGTGAAAAACGTACACGTACACGTACTTTCACGTACGGCGGAGGCCTCTTCTTCGACTTCACCCCCCGTAGCCTCCTTGGTTCAAGTTACTGCCGGTTCGTTGGAAACTTCTACTTGCAGTATTTTTGATCTGCAGTTTCGTTGATCAACGACTTGTGGTATCTACCCCCCATCCTCTACTCCAGGAACACTATACTGCGGTACTTATACTACTATTATGGTGAATCCATTGGACGATCACTTTGACATGACTGGAAATTTTAGCGAAGATGACATTCAACATTTGTTGGGAGTCATGAATGGCAGCAGTCCTAGCAGTTCTCATCATCACGACCATCACGATCATCACGACCAGGAAGATGAAACGGAAGAAGTGCCTGTCATGCAGGCTGCCGTGGAAGCGGCGGTCGCTTGTCTTCCTCCACCCTCTGCTGCTTCTGCTGCTTCTACTGCAGAACCTGTGCCCGCTCAATCCAATACAAATACCAATACTAGTAGCAGCAACAGTCACACCGAGATTGATGAGGATGCCAAAGCGTTGGCACGCTCCGAGCGCAAACGAAGCAGAGAAAAGCAACGTCGATTGGATGTCAACAAACAATTCAATGACTTGACCAAGCTCATTTCTCAAATCGAACAAGAGGAACGAGAAGAAGATCCCACCGTCTTTCGTCAGTCCTTTTCCGCTACCAATCGAGCCGATTTGATTGCACGTACGATTGCCCACTTGGAACGATTCCGGAACAGCAACAAGCGAAGAAAGACCGAATGTGCCACTCTGCAACAACAGTTGCAAGAATCGCAAAAGGCTGGAGAAGAAATTGCTGCGAAATACAAGGAGGCTCTCTGTAGTACTAAGATGATGCCACAGCAACAACCACAAAAGCAGGTGAGTATACAATTGTTGGTGGGAATAAGAATGAATGGGACTTGTCGCTAACTACTGTTTTTGTTTTCATTTCATTCCATTCCATTCATTATATCAACTTGATAGGTTATGATGATGGTTCCAATGATGATGCCCGCCAACGCAGCTCAGAACATGCCACAGTTTGGAATGCAGGCACAGATGGGTGCCGCCATGAATCAGTTCATGATGCCGCAACCATTCATGACCCAGCAACAACAACAACAGCAACAGCCACCCGCTCCCACTGCCCCTCAAGCACAAGCGCCGCAACAGCAGCAGCAGCATCAACAGCAGCATGCCCACGCTTCGGCGCAGCAACAGCAGGCTCCTGCACAACCTCAGGCTCCAGCAGTAGCTCACAACAACAACAACAACATGATGATGACTCCACAGCAAATGATGTTCACCTCCATGCAAAGTATGTACCCCAACAGTATGATGATGGTAGATCCAAATGCTACCAATGCCGCCATTGCTGCTGCTTCTGCTCAATCAGGAGCAGGAGCACCAACAGCAGCAGGTGAAACCATGGCACCACAAATGCAACAGCAAATGCAAATGCCGTACATGAATTTTCAAATGGCACCTCCCGCACCTACTCCAACAACCACGACGGCGTCAGTGGCAGCAGAACCAAAGACGGATGACACTGCGAAACATCATCATCATGATCAACAGCAACAACAACATCATCAGCAACACCAGCAACCATCTTCGAATGGACGACGAGGCAATGCTTCGTCCGATGGAGGCAGCAATTATGCTCATTGTGCATAAAAATTGTAACGGTACAAACGAAGACAGTGCGCTATCTCAAACACACACACACACAGTCACACACATCACATCAAATGTCACATCACATCAGTTATGCCAATAGGGTTTGGCACCAAAACAACAATGGAGAACCACCACCTACAGAGGATGGAAGAAAGAAAATGGAGAAAAAAAGGGGAAAGGCTGTTTCCAACAAACTCGTGAGACTCTTGGATTGATGATTCGTTCATGGATGATGATTCATTCATTCTACGAAAGGGTTGGCATGCCGATGGAGAGCATGCTTGTGAATGAAAATGGAAACAGTCACAAGAGCTATATTAGTTTAAAAACAATTATTTAAAACGATGAAGAATTTTCAAAGAAATCTTGGGGCTATCATACTACCGGTAGCATTGGATTCATGTGTACTAGAAACCCAGACTAAATAGTATGTAGTGTTAAGTGCTATGCCTCCTTCAACTGGTACAGGGACTGAAGGTTCTGTCAATTAGTAGTCGGATGGGTCCAACCAGGAATTCGAACGAATGATGATAAATTCAATATGAATTCAATCGAAGCTCTATCCCGTCAATATAAAAACACTGGAACACAATAATATGACATAATATCCCAGCGCACAATCTGAGAATCCACTGAATGCAAGCCAACTGGACACTTTTTCTGATAATACACATCGTCATGTCTTCTGCCAAGAAAATTCTCATTACTGGTTCCACCGATGGTCTTGGTCTCGAAGCAGCCAAAAAGTTGGTCCAACAGGGACACTCCGTTTTGTTGCACGGAAGATCCAAACAAAAGTTGGCTGACACTTACAAGGAAGTCAAGTCTCTCTTACAGTCGGAAGATCAAGTTGTCGAGTCTTATCGAGCTGACTTGTCCAAGTTATCAGAAGTCGCTGCCATGGCCGAAAAGGTGAAATCTGAACATTCGACCATCGATGTCTTGATCAACAACGCTGGCATCTTCAAAACGCCCCAAACCAAAACCGAAAGCGGTATGGACGTTCGATTCATGGTCAATACGATAGCTCCCTATTTATTGACGAAACAGCTGCTTACTTTAGTACCAGAAGAAGGAAGAATTGTCAATTTGAGTTCAGCGGCCCAAGCACCGGTTGGGTTTCGAACGTGGTCGGATCCCTCCCAAAATTATGACGACTTTGATGCCTACGCCCAATCCAAATTGGGAATCATCATGTGGTCCAATCATTTGGCTTCTTCTCTGCAAAAACAACCAATGATTGTGTCGCTCAATCCCGCCTCGTTGTTGGGCACCAAAATGGTTCGAGAGGGATTCAACACCATGGGCAAGGATGTCAACATTGGTGTCAATATCATCATCGAGGCTGCACTCGGTGAATCCTTTGCCAACGCATCCGGAAAGTATTGGGACAATGATAACGGTCGGTTTGCCCCGCCGGGAAGCGATGCGAGTGACCCTGGCAAGTGTGCTGAATTGGTGGAAGCGATGGAAACTATCATTGCACGAGAATTGGGTGAATGAGCGTGAAAATTGAATGCAGTGAGACGGAAGGTAGTGGATGGAAGATGAAAATCATAATGAGAATGGTACCAAAATACAGTGGATGTGTGTGACAAATAAGAACCTGTTCTGACTCATCACTTGTGGTTGAGTCCAATGCTTCTGTAGATGTCAAATCGGTTGACTTGAAGAGCAACTATTTCATTCACAGCGTAAATAGAAATCAAAGTCTTTCTATATGCCTAAACTATCATTATGAATCCACAATTCTACGTCTTTGTTGTAGGAATATGAAAGAGTAGATTCACAGTCTACGTTGCTAATGTTTTAATGTAGATCTATGGCTGCAGTCATTTGCAGTTGTAGTGTAGTATGTGTGCGTGTGTGTGTACGTATGCGAGGAAAAGTACCAGAAGCGTCTCATGAAACCATAGGATGAACAAACGAATCATCATCCTCAATGCACCCAAGTCAATCGCTTTCCTTCTGTATTGTTATTTACCGCCAGAAGTCAAAGCTGGAGCACTCTGACTTGGTTTGTTCAACTTGGCATAATACTTTCGACGTGCCTGATAAAACAAGACACCAAAGACCATGGTCATACCAAAGGATGCCTTGGCAGTAATCTCGTGGTTAAAATAGACTGCCGATATGCAAATGGACAACATCTGACGAATGATCATGATCAGAGTGAAAATGACAGGTCCAAATTCGCGAATCGTGTAAAAGATACATAGCTGACCCGATGCCGACGTAATGGCAGTGATAATGTTATACTTGAGAACAATAGGATTCACCAAAAGGAACTCCCAAACCACAGGAAAGTCTCCCGAAAAGACCAATCCAGCAGTGGTAAAGATAATGGCAGATGAGTTGATTCCCAACATCATTTGGTAGGGATCAACATTCGCCCGACCGTATTGAGTGTAAACCTTGTCTTGCCACTGGGATGTAAAGGAATCGAAACTGATGTAAAGAAGCAAAAAGAGTAGACCATGAAGCTGGGTTTCGGTTTCTTCCTTGGGAGACTTCATGGCCAAAGAAAAGAGTGCGACACCTGGAAGAAATATTATGTGGTGCAATGTATGTGGTGAGAATCACACAATTTTATTGCAATGCAATTTCAAAACTCTTTCAGCTTATAGCTACTTACCACAGGTGATGAAAAAAGCTTCAACATATTGAGTGTATGGATAGGTGGTCCCCTTCAAGAATTTTCCCATCATCATTACAGCAATAATCTTGGAACTCTTGAAAATAGTCTGAACCGGGAATGAGACGTATCTCAGGGCGGCATAGTTACTCCAACTACTGATAGTGTTGCTGATGGCAGCGGGAGTAAAGGCTTGCAGTGGAGCAGAATTGTTGGCGAAAACGGCTCCATGTTTGATTCGAACCGCAATAATGGCAACAATGACAGCCAAGAAACGATTGGAAAAGACACAAAAGGCAGCCGATGGAAACCTTCCATCCGGAGCGCCTTCCGTAGGTTCAAAGCTTGTGGTCATGATTAATTCTTGCATAATTCCCCAGGTTAGATAGGACGTTTGCAATCCACCGAAGCAAAAGGCTAACTTGAAGGCTTGATGAAAAAACTCGGGATTGTGTTGTATCATCTTTGAAATATAGGTTTCCTCAGAGGCAATTTCAACTGCAGCTTCTGGTGGCCTGGCCAATAAAGACTCCAGCTCTCTGTTGTTTTGAATAATGAGAAATAAGCACAGCATTGACAATACAGAAGGCAGACAGACAGTGTGTCACCATCATTGGTCTCGTTGGACTTACATTCCTTCTTCAGATGTATTCAATTCATCCTTTACCATTTCATCACTACTGTCATATGACGGACTCTGTTGCAACTCCGACGATTTTTGTTTAGGGCTTTTTCGAATCATCTCTACCTTGGTTGTGGATATGTCAGGAGTCCGAGTGTGGCGTTTGGCCATTGCCGTTTTATGTAGCCACGCCAAAAATCCAGAAATCAAAAGTTTCGGGTCACTTGGAATGCGTGTCGCTCCTGTGTCCGATTGTTGCGAGGCGGTGCATTTAAGACCCATTCGACCACTTGTCGGAAGTTTGATTGATGATCGATTGATGTTTTTGCTGGATTGATGGTTCCATGACCAGTACCAGTACCATGTCCATCGTGATCCGTGCCATGTCAAAAAAGGCTACCTGTAGTTAAGCTTTCTCGCTACTGCAGTATCACCTGATGAATATCATTATGATGATGCTGGTGGCTGCCTTCTTCGCTGCTTAGCATACTACTACTAGTACTAGTAGGTAGTAGGATTATGGATTTTTTTCTACCATGGCTAATAAAGGTAGACCAGCAACAACAGAAAACAAGGAATCTTGAAATGGTATGTAATATCTTGCTTATAGCCACCACCAGTTTAGACATTACAGGAAAGAGAGGACCGGTGGCTCCTGGAAGAGTTCCAAAGTAAATTCTGCAGGAAGAAGACTACCTCCTGGTACTAGTACTACTTGAGTGGTGTGGCTCGGGCTCGTTGGTCATCAGTTCGTTTGCTCATCCGCCAACGGAAATTGACGCGGCGCTTCAACCTTGCTTCAACCTTGTTTCAATGTGCAAACATGAGTAACCACGAAGGCTCAGATGAGCAGGTGCCAAAATTCGAAGCAGAATTCCGATAAAAAAACTTTGGGACCCAAAGGATGTTGAAGGCTCTACGAATGGTGACGGAAATATGGTTTGTACGTACAGCCATCTCAGCTCGTTTACCACGGATAAACTGACGTTGCACAGGGGTGAAACCATGCCACCATGTGCGGTTCCAAAGACACTGGCTGGGGGGTCAGACCGAATTAAAAATCCTGGCGGGTTCTGAAACGGGGATTGTTTTGATACAAGCAGATGCAAGTAGCTAGTAAGCAAAGTCGTTGCATGTATGTATTAGAACTGCGCCAACGTTAGCTTAGCCTGAGAGTGATGAATACACTTCCGGTCTGATTCTACTGTATTTTTGTCACCTTTGCTTGATTGCTGGTTCCTTCAATCGCCATGGTACCCCCAGCAGCAGCCCCGCCGCCCACCATCACATGCGACTTTCTCAAAGCCAAAAGAAAAATGGAAATGTATTGCATTAGTATAGCGGTACAAGAAGCGAAAATAGTGCACACAAGTTTTAATGCTCAGGCCTTCGGCTAATAGGTCCCATTGGCAACTCCCCGAGGTTCTCAAATGTACCAGATATAGTACACCTCCGATATCAGTTTCTTTCGGCGTGTGCAAGCTGGTTCTCGGTCAATGCGACCCGCAGAGCAGCTAAAACATCCATTCCTTTCTTTTGATGTGGGACCTTTCGCCACCACACCTTCAAGTTTGTAGACCGAGTCCTTAAGAAAATAAATATGGTATCGTAACAGCTCTTAACTAGGAGAAATATGTTTGTCGTCGCTATGTTTAAAGATATTGATTGTAAACTATCAGAGAACAAGTCGAACTTGAAGTATGGATAATCGTCAGAATGATGGTTATCGTTTGTTCGTCATGTGGGAACTGCACGTCAGTGTCTGCATCATCAATCAGAGGACTCTGTGATGACTGACCCTGAAATCATTTTTCAACATTCATAGACGGTAATGACTTCGTCTATGCAACATGGCAACGCCGATCAAAGCGACAATTCATATCTATCATATTTTGAATCGGATGCCGGATCAAACGAGCTTGGTAATACTGCCTTCAGAGACCTTGTGTCTGTCCCACAAACACTGACGGTCCAAACATGGGAAGAGATGAAACAAACGGAGGACTACCTGGCAGCTGAACTGTACAAATTGACCACGCAAGAGCGAGAAAAAGCGCTGGAAGATATTCATTGTGTTGGTGAAGGGCTAAGCGAGACTCCTGAAATGATGGAGAAGCTACTTGAAGAGTTCGATCAAATGGTGCGGCAAGTACAAAACCCAATATACCAAATGGCCGTGAATCAGAACAGAGACTATGTAGAAGATCCTTACTTTCGATTGAGGTTTCTGAGATACAATATGCACGATGTGAACCTAGCTGTTAAGCAGATGATGGACTTTTTGAAGCACAAAGCAACCTATTTTGGTATGGACAAGCTTTCTCGGGAAATCACTTTAGATGACTTCAATGATGAAGATATGGAGCTGCTATTGTCGGGCCTGTACCACATTCAAAAGGAGACCGATAGAAATGGGCGGAATGTACTATATGTGATGAGTGATGTGCTTGGGAGATGCAATATTGAGAACCTGGTAAGAGCAGTATGTTGCCATTTGTGATCAATATTTCTTTCGATCACACACTAACGGAAAAGGATTGCTCCGGAAACAACAGATACATGTTGCGTACTACATGTACAATAGTATATTGATTCCAATTCATGATGTGCAAATGAAAGGGTAGGCAGAACGCTTTGATGCTTGGCTTGGATGACTTGCATTATCTCACTATTGGATTCCTCTTTCGTTTAGTGTTTGCTGTGTCTACTATGATATGACAAAACAAGGGGAGCAGTGTGCAATGCCTGGCGTCAACTTCATGCGGACATTCACAAATGTGTTGATGTCCTTTCCACTTCGGCAATCTGCGTTTCACGTGTGTTTGCATCCTGAAAGGTTGGATTTGACGCTAACCAATACTCTCCTCAGCTACATATTCAAGCAACTTTCAAGCTACGCACGCGTAAGAACTCGTCTATTGTATGGCACTGACATGGAAATACAGCACACTCTTCGATCCCACGGTGTGTCTATGGAAAGCTTTCCTGTTGATACCGATGGCAATATCCGAAAGGAGATATTGAATGCCTGGTTCTATGCGCACAAGAAGGAAGTCGAAGCCAAAAAGCCTCCTGCTGCCTCTGCCTTCTTACAGCAAGGAGCAGAGGTTTCTCACCTTGACCATATTGCGCAAGAGTTACGAGTGCAAGATTTGGGTTGGGAGCTCATCGATTCACCGAAATCAGTAGCTGAATCCAATCTTGACCACGATGCGCAAGACTCAAGTACACAAGAGTCAGGTGGGGAGCTCTTCGATTCACCGAAATCTTTAGCAGACTCCAATCTTGACCACGATGCGCAAGAGTCAAGTGCAAAAGCCTCAAGCGGGGGGCCCATCGCTTCAGCTCAATCAATAGGAGACTCCAATCTTGACCGCAGTGACGCGCAAGAATCAAGTGCACAAGCGTCAGCAGCTTCTACTCAATCACTAGGAGACTCTAATTTTGACCCCAATGCGCAAGAATCAAGCGCACAAAAGTCTGCCGGAAAGCCCTTGACTTCAGCTCGATCAGTAGGGGTCTCTAATCTTGACTATAGTGCCGCGCAAGAGTCAAAATCGCAAGAGGCAGCTGCCGCGGGAACTGACCAAAGCGGTTCTGCAGTTAGTCATCCTGGCGAGGATGGAGGCAATCAGAGGCCATCGGTCGTCCCTTCGCCTCAAGATGTCCTGTTAGGTCGCGGTTGGCCGGTACAGAACCATGAAGGCAACAAACGATTTCGATCTTTTCTGGAAGGGTACAGTGATGAATACGACAACGCTGCTCGGTTACGGAAGCGGCAAATTGCAGGAGATTTGGTCCATTTACTTCGCGGACGCGGGGTCCGCTTTTTGAAGCAAACTGAAACTGGTGAATGGATACTCAGTTCGTTTGAAGATGCAGAGAAGAAGGTTGGTCAACTGTTCCGAACGCTGCGCAAGACGAACCCATCTTGATTAGTTATTAATAGTTGACTTCGGTTGGATATGCTACTGCAATTCTTATTGTTCGCTTATGGAATGTTTAAAAGAGTAGCAATGTAGGTCCTAGCTTCAATCTTTCTAACGTATTATCGATCTAGCATTACGGTTAGCCATCGTAGACACTGTTCATATGAACCGTCAGATCATCCGAGAAGAAAGTGGATCGTCCAATACGTGCATCGTCGCACCACAACGTCACACAGAAAAAGGAACAGTTATGTTCCAGTTTCAGTTCCAGGCGTCGGTCCCGCCACCACTAGCAACTGGTGGAGCTTTCAAAGTGGCTCATGCAAGAGATGGTACAAGTCGCGCAGCCCTCCTCGTTTGGCTGAATTTGTATGGTAGCATGGCTAATGTCATGCGCTTTGCACACCTTATACACTTCCGTCAAGGCGTTCGCATCATCCGATGAACAGTGAACCGTCAGCGCTGCTTCTCCATGATGAATGCTCCAAATATGGAGATCGTGGACATTGTTGATGCAAGGAATGTTGGAAATATCCTCAAAGACCTTTTGCCAAGAAATACTTGAGGGAATTTCTTCCAAAAGAACCGCAATCGAAGTTCTCAGAACACCAAGTGTCGAGTAAAAGACCATGGCACTAAATACAATGGTAATGATGGGATCCAGCTTTTGCCATTCTGGCTTGAACCAGATGATTAGTCCCGCAATAAGGACAGCAACGCTCAATGCCAAATCTCCCAAGACGTGCAGGTAAGCAGCCTGTAAATTGACATTTCTCGTAGGTTTCTTCTTGGATTCATGGTGTCCGTGTCCATGGCCATGGCATCCTCCCTCATCTTTCTTTGGAATGAGTGAACTAGTCTCTGTTTCATGATGATCATGGCTATCCTTGTGATGATCATCGTGATCGTGGCCATGGTGTTCGTGACATTCTTCTTGGTGTTCATGACCGTGACTGTGATCATGTTCCTGGTGCTTGTGAGAATGATCGTGATGATCATGCGACTCCTCCTCGTGATGCTTGCTGGAATGGTCATGCCCCCCATGTTCTTCGTCGTCATGACCACATGGTCCGTGTTCATGCGCATGGCCGTGCGAGGAGCCAGGCAAATGAACGTGATTCTCTCCCAATACAAATGCCAATGCAATATTAACTACCACTCCAATTGAGGCAATGACTACCATGAGTTTTCCGTCCACTGGTGCTTCTTCCGGTGTGATTAATCGTCGAACGGCTTCGTACGCAAGCGTCACCGTCACAAAGGCCAAACTTGTCATGCTGAACAATGCACCCAAGGATTCAGATCGCTTCAATCCATAGGTGTGGGCTTTTGTTGCTGGCATGCTGGCAAGGAAAGTGGCAGCGACTGTATTTGATGAAAGACGAGTACGAGTCGGATAATAGAAGCGATGGCAAGAGGGAAGAAACAGTAGGTTAGAGGGACTGATTTCAATGACAATTCACAATTGAATCATTGAGATTAAGGTCATTGTTCATTTCTGGTTGCTTTACTTACTCGCAACAGCAAAACTTGCAAGATCGGCAAATAAGTGAGCAGCATCGCTGAGAACTGCCAAAGATCCAGCCAATAGACCCCCAACTACTTCGACAATTAGAAAGAAGGAGCACAAGGCCGTGGCGATCAAAAGTCGATGAAGGACTTGTTTTCGTTCATCTGCGTGGTGGCTGCCCATGCTTGCACAACAAACTGATATTGATGTTGCTGCTGAGACTTGTACTACTGCTTCTACAGAATGTATAAGTGATCGACTTGAATCGTTGGCTTTTGGTACCGTAGCAATGATGTTGCTGTGTCTTTTCAATACGCTATCTTCATTCGTGAGTTCTGCCTGATTTCCTCCGTCCTGCATTTATTTCTACCACAGCACATCTGCAAACGCGTTATTGCCTGTTTTCTGATATTCCCAATATCGTTCCAAGAAACGCGTTGGAGCCAGTCTGTCTGCTGACCGACAGAACAGAAATTGCGTTGAAATCGAAGGATGTCACAAAGAACCCGGAAGTCGTCATCATGAGAAGACGACGATTGACGGCAACAGGACCACATCTTCCAGTTTCCATACAGTACTGGTTTCGCAGGAGCACTCCCTTGAGGTTCTTGGAAAAGAGCTATAACGACGCTGGAAAAGTCACCCACTTGCACCGCTCTCTCTCGGATTTGCGAGACAACCAAGGTTCTGAATGCTATCCTCCATACAGCCCATGAAATCTTCTATGATGTTGGCAACCACCACGCGAACGATAATACGATCCTCGTCATCATCACTGTCAACAGGCGCCAGGCGATCGGCTGCTTGTCAACGGAATAACTTTCATGGATTCACAAACAAGTCTCCCCGAAATCAGCAACAGTTTCACCAAAAGACGGCAAGACGGCGTCGATTCTCCGCTACGGCTATCGAGGAGGTGGCCCAAGAACCATCTTATGATACACTCAAAATCATTGCGATTGGTCAAGCCATTCCTTTTATTGGATTTGGTTTCATGGACAATGCTATTTTGATCGTGGCAGGAGACGCTATTGACACTTAGTGAGTCACTTTATTGATGTGCATTTGTATCTTGCAAAATGGTTTCACATCGGGTGTTCTAATTGCTTATCATTGCCTCTTTTATTATTCAGTTTGGGAGTGACACTGGGAATTTCAACACTCTGTGCAGCCGCGATTGGAAACATTATCAGTGATCTTGCTGGTATTGGTATGGGGACTGTCATTGAAGATTTTTGCGCCAACCGATTGAAACTTCCTACTCCTGATTTGTCAACTGCCCAACGGCAGTTACGGAGCGTCCGATTTGCGGGTCAAATGGGCATGGCCGTGGGCATGACCTTTGGCTGTATTGTTGGAATGTTCCCTTTGTTTTTTATTGATGACAAAAAGGTCCAGAACCTCAAGAAGAAGGCCCATTTAGAAGCGTTGTTTATGGATGTGGTTACCGAGGCCAAGACTTTGGTTGGCGCTGAGTCTACTTGCTTGTATCTCCGCGTGACAAAAGACAAGGAGAAGTTGCTCGAAAAACATGCCCATCTTCCCTACTGTCCGGCAGCTGATGGTGAATATCTCTATGCCATGTACTATGTTCTTCCCAAGAGCAAGAAACAGAAATCCGTTGAGAAAGCGAGGAGTAGTCTGCCACTGGCCATTGATGAAGTGGATACTTCCCGGTTCTTACCGCTCGGTAAGGGGATCGTCAGTCGGGCTGTCATGACTGGTGAAGCCTGGAACATTCGAGACGTCAGTGAAGAACCAGATTTCTTTCCGGAAGTTCGATCGGAAGATGTCGCACGTCCCTTGGATGAGTTGCGGCACATGGTGGTTGTTCCTGTTTTGGATTATCAAGGTCGTTCGATTGGCGTGATTCGGGCCATGAATAAGATTGCTTCTTCCAGTGTTGGCGCTGGACCTCCGGGGGATGGATTTACTTCAATCGATGTGCAGGCGCTGAAAGCATTGGCCAGTCACATTAGTGTTTCGTTGAATTCGGTATACCAAGATCAGGATGACGAAGAAGTTCGATTGCGAGATTCAATCCGGATCCTGAAGGAACAGGGAATACAGGGAAAGCAGCAAGGCTCGTTGACCAAGCTTTTTCCTGTCGAATAAAGACTGATGCCGTTCTGCTGGCGCTCGATGGATTAATTCGTGTGTTTTGCTAATCTTTGTGGTGTAGATTACCTTTCAGATTGTGTTTTTTTAAATTGCACATTGTCGGTGTGCTCTAGTTTTGTACTGTAGTCTTTTGTGTGCTTTGACCCACTTAAGGAGTCTTAATTTATTATGCTGCAATGACTGAACTCATTTATCAGTTTCGAAAAGGGACAAGAGAAAGTGTAGTTTTCGTGACGAAAATTTCGTCACATGGTTTCGAACGCTGACGCTAGAATGTTGCGGGGACGGGTATCTTGGACGCTTTCTGCGGTCCTTTATCCTTACCTGTCTTCTTCCTTGCACGAGCTTGATCCCTTAGCATATGCCCGAGTTTGTCGTGAACCGGCTTGTCCAGGGCCTCGTACCAATTGGAACGTTTGTCTTCGCGAATCAAAAAGCGTCCACCAGATGATTTGAATCCTTTCATAATGTCTTGAATGATCCTGCCCTTTTCGATCTTTGGAGCAATTTCGTAGAGTTGGCACTGGGATCTGACCATTCCAAGTAGTTTCTTGCTGCCGGCGTGTTGGTTGTTCTTGCTACCTCTTTCAAGCACGGTATCGTTGTCTTGAAGTTTGCAGTGACGACCACCAGGGATCATCTTGGCTCTATTGATTTTCTTTGTCTTTTCTAGGTTCTGCAGTTTCTTGTTATTCTTCGTCTCTAACTCTTCGTCGCAAAGATGATGATATTGTCGTAAATTCGGTGGGCTGATAGTTGGACGAGAAATATCATCTTCGGCCACCTCTCCCGTCAACGTACGCTCTCTGCATTGTGTTGTATTGGTTTCGTCACTATACTTACAGGTGATCGAAAAAATACCTGGCAATGGCGCTACAATGCAGTCAACTCCTGGATGATGATCTTCTTGGCTCAGTGACGAAAACCATGGGTTTGTCGTTGCATAGTCCAACAATTCGAAGACTAGAGTATGCTTTCTTGGTCCATGCAATCTGTCACCTATGCGAGAGTAGTTTGGTCTTCGCTTGGGGCCCTGTATGGTATTCATAACGTTGTTGTGATTTCGATTGCGAGTTGCGAAAATTGTGACTGACGTTATCGGCTTGAGCGGCGAGTCGCGATGTTTCAGTCGCGCGGGCAATAATTGCGGCTTGTCGTACCTGGTACTAAGATGATAATTTGTATGAATATATGGTACAGTAGCACATTATAGGGATTATACGTATTCCTTCTTGAGCGGCATTCTCAGCGTCTCAAGTCTGCTCAGGTCTTGGATCGACGGAGTTATCTAAAATTTCTCACCCAACCCTGTGCCGCGGAACTAAGGGGCTGTCAGGTTCAGAACGCTACAGGAGCAGGGGGGAGATAGAATCGAGGCCTTTAAAGCAGCAAAAGTTTTGTTTATGTATTGTGTCATTAGTTGGATACAAGGAGATCCTAACCCGAAATTAGTTCGTTAAGCGCACAGCTCGTCGTCTTTTTGGCTTCACTGCGTGATGAGCATGCGATGGCTGATACTGCTGCTTACGCAATGCTCCAACCACCTTCTTTCGTTGCTAGATTCTTATGTGTTGCCTACCACGAGTTCCGAAATGACCGTCTTGGCAGAGAAAGTTGGCCTTGACACATAAAACGAAGGTTCAGAGTGGCAATCATATTTTCAGGATCCTATCAGCGAGACAGACTCGACCTCCGAGTTGGAAGACTAGGCGGTGCCATATTCCTAGCGCAACATTCAGGCGCAAAACGACTGCTCTTTTTCAAAAGGGTCGAGACATTATCGGGGATGCAACGTTGTGGGCTCGGTGGTGGCGAGGCCAGGGAGGCGTCATCACGAACAACTTTGAAAATCTTTGCATCATTTTCTTGCAGCAAATGTGACATGAATTGTTGGAGACTCATTCTCTGTGTGGGTTTCAAAGGTAGAGCTATAGGATTGGTGAATCGAAATTTATGAGCTACAACGTTTCTTATTACGTGACATCCATTTCTGCATGTCCTTGAAATGAGAACACGTGAGCGGGGGTGGGTTGTGACTTGTGTGGTTCTTGAGAAAGAAAATTGTGTCAAGGAAAATGTGAGGGCACTTGAAAAGTGACACACTTAGACGTGGCTGCATTTAACTTCGTGTACGGAAGAGTGATCTTGATAAGAAGCCAGCGAATTCTGTTCGGGAATTTTGTTCACCAGCACTACAGTAACAACCACGAAAGTGTTTGTTGCCATAGCCACTGTACCTAGTACCGTAACAGTACACGGTACCAATATGGCCCTTTTGTAATGAGGGAACTTCAGGTCCTGTCACGAAATCCGAGACCTCACCAGGTGTACTTTGTTGAAGGATAGCGTCGCACGGCATGAAGCTTGCTTTTTGGTGGTTCTAAAAGCGCGACTTGCTTGTCTGCTAGCGATGGGCGGCGGATGATGAATCATCTGTCGAAGGCGCAGTAGATGTGAGAAGGAAGAGAAAACAGACAAGTCTGTTCTTGTATTTGATACATTCAGCAATGTAGTTGTTGCTACAGTAGAGCAGCCACGAAATATAGAATTCAATGATTAATTCGATCTCTCCTCGCACTGCTCAAGGTGTAGAAAGATTATATAGCTTTAATGCGATGTTTGAGGTACCTTCCAAAACAATTCGTCTATCAACGTGGTAGCTTACATACAATGGTAACCAGTGTGTATATACACAGAACACGGACATAGTTCAGTTGTTCTCCTACTCTAGGTTGTCCTGACATTGTGACCTTCGAAAGACCATTCGTCCTCATAATTGTAATGGGTCCTCCAGGGATGAAGGAACGCTCAGTCGAAGCCCAATTCTACAGGATCTAGGGAGCAGGGCACTGTTGTATTTGGAGCGAAACGATGTAGTGCTGAAGTGCAAGAAGTATGTCGTTGGCCTATTTGGTCACAGCAATCCAGACTTTATCGGTTATAATATTACAACAATGACTCCAGTTCGAAATAGGAGAACGTAGGATAGACAAAGAGCTGTGTTTCGATAAAACTGGCCATAGCAGAAGAAATGCAATCAGCGATGACGAAGGGGTTTGGATCGAACTACCAGTCAACCGTCGCCTAGGCTGATAAAGTTGGCCTTGATGCGATGGATGAGATCAGCAATGACGGAGGTCCATTGTTCAAGATCCTATCAGCGAGACACCAGGCTCAATCGTCGCCTTGACAGATGAACTTGGCTTTGAAGATGCAATTGATGAAATTGGCAGTGGCAAAGGGCAGGCGGCCTTCTTGTTCAGGATCCTATCAGCGACACAGACTTGACCTGCGAGTCGGACGTTTTGGAGGGACCATATTCCTGGCGCAATCTTGAGCCGCAAAGCGATTGTTCTTGTGTGCAAGGGTCGTGGCAGTATCCTCGTGTGTGCACTGTCGCGGGCTCGGTGGTGGCGAGGCCAGAGAGGCGTCGTCACGAACAAGTTTGAAAACCTTCGCATTATTTTCTTGTAGCAGATGTGACATGAACTGTTGGAGACTCATTCTTTGTTTTAGTGTAAGACCAATGGGGTTGATGATTCGAGATTTGTGAGCAAGAGTGCTCGGAGCTTTTCATCTTCACTTTCTGAATCATCGAGTAGGTAATCAATAGTCCGTGATTATGGATCTTGATAAGAAGCGAGAGTTATCGTGTGGGAAGCTTGATGTAGATGGTTTTACTAATATAACTCTCGGGGTAACATTTGGAAACCATGCTCTAATTCCGTTTCTGCTTCTCTATGTGGGAAGAGGTGGCAGTTGACTGAAGATCTTGATAAGAAGGAAATTGTTCAAGGAACGTGTGTCGCCGCCCCGTATGCAACATTGATGATTAGTTCGCGCCCTATAGTTTCCTGAGAATTCGAGGATCCAACTAGGGACTCTTCTACCCTACAGAACTGGTACCTACCTAAACTGAAGAGTTTGGTTTTTATCGTCCAATCGTGGGCCCACGCAACTTTTACTCACATTGTTGCTGGGTCCCACGGGTGGAATATCAGCTGAACCAAAAGATGAGGATAACATAATTGATAATACAACTACCAGTACGACAACATGGACGTGATATCGTAAGGGGCGTTAAAGCACCGCGCAAGCTTCGCATGGGCCGAGTTAGGTTCGCGTCATGACTGGTATGACCAAGGCACCATATCTACCATACCAGGTACTGCTCTGTACTGTAGCCTATAAACTTCTTCACTAATGTATGTACTACCGCCGCATGAATTCGGAAGGCAGTTTTGAAGAAAGTGTTTCAGAGGTAACCATGATTGTTGGCGTGATGTCCAAGATATACTCCTATGTTGACCCTTGTTGATACGATGTTGAAGCACCGCTATTGCCATTGTCAAAGCCGTCCTATTGCAGGTGATGATTCATTTTCCTTACTTTGAACTTGCACATTGCATTTTGGTGGCAATGAGACTGATATTTTTTTAAAATGCGAAGCGAAGTGAAATTACCCCGGTATCGTACTGAACGTTTTTTGTAATACCGGGCGGTAGTGGAGTCGCTTATGACACTTCAGCCATTTAGCGCCACAAAAAAAAAGCATTTCAAGAAGTCCTGAAAGAGAGAACCACTGACCCACTGACTCGGGCAGTTGATACCTTTGTTTTACATTTCTCTTGCACCTTCTAAGCCAGGCTCATGACAAGTGCGAATATCTCTAAGCGCCACAACCGCTAAGAGAATGCGTGGTTGCATCTAGCAAAGACTTTTAATTCTTCAAAGAAGTAGCACAAGAGTAGGGACAAGGAAAATCTTCACTCTACTCCAATCTAGAAGGAATACTAGTAGGACGCTAGCTTATAGTACTTAGCAGCATGATGTTGCAGGACTTCAGTAAGGAAGTTCTGTTGAGGAGGACGAGGAGTTTTCCATTATCATTTCCCGTTTGACACCACCATGCCTGGCGATGACCTGCCTTGCATGCCATGATGAATGCTCTGCCTCCTTGTTACTGCGTTGGTGGACCACGATTGTCGTGATGGTTGCGGGGATCGTCACCGTTTCGAAAGCTCTTGTTGTCCCTGGTGGTACCGTGAACAAGCCGAATAGCTTGCTCAAGGCATTGCCGCGCTCGCTCCCTTCGTTCTTCGTGAGTTAGGTGTTGGATGGGACGGAATGGCATTCCCATCCTCAAACTGGTTCTCACAGCAGTAGGATTCCTGCTAGGACTCCTGCGGCTGTTTTCTTCACTGTCGTATTCCGTTGTCGAGGAGTTGTTGGAGCCATTGCTTGAATTGATTCTTCTAGAGTTGTTGTTACCTTCGGGATCAGGGTTATTATAAGCTTTCATTTTGTATTGTGCTGCTGTTTTATGGCAACTCGTGTGGTGTCATTCATTCTTTGCGTTGTGGGACCGGGTCACACGAAAAATGAGTTCTGACCAGAGCATACCGTATTTTAGTTAATAAAACGATTTGATCAGAAGACAGTTTGTGCTGGGTGTTATATGATGGCGTTGTACAAAGTTTCGAACTCTAATTTACATCTATCCAAATGGTCCATTGAGTTCCTTGAAATTGCGGCAAGGACTGCTAGACGATTTTGCTGTTGGTCTCATTCTGTCGTTTTGCACAACTTTGATTATTAGAGATGGCACCGTTGCACTCGAACATCAAGTTCCGTGTAAACAATCACTTATTGCTTGCCATCCAGCTCAATGGAAAATGAAGTTGAAAGTTCTGCCTGCTACTGGGAAGTCGAGCGAAGCCGGCCACCGGTCCAGCCGCGGAGCGACTTTCTATTCTTACTGATCTTGAATTTTCCGACTCCAATGACTAACTATGGCCAATCTTCTCCGTCTCCGTTTTCGTCGACGGCAAAACCAATCTCAACCGTTCCCACCATTGGCATTTTCATTGTGACAGATTGTGACGCTTTGCCCCTTTCCGTCATATCATCCATTCCAGCAACTTTATACGCTCAGCTTCCATACAACTTAAACATCAAGAATGACAGACAAGAACGCCCGTTTTGAAGAAGCCGTCGAGGCAATGACCAAGCCAGAAAATTGCTTTGACGTGACCATCATTTGTACCACGGACGACTACCAAGCCGAGTTTTGGATGACCAAACTCAGTGCTGGACTGAGTAAAGAAGGACAGAAGTTTCCAATGGTCATTGCTGTTTCCGAAGATTGGGGTGCCAGTGGAGCTGGTAACGGATTGGGAACTCTGTATGCCTGGCAAAAGGCGGTCAAGCTTGCCAAGACCAAATTTGATGTCGATTTGGAGGCATTGATGTTGGACAGCACCGTCAGTGCGGCACTTTTTCACACTGCTGGAAAGGGAACTCGTATGGCACCATTGCCTGCCAGTGAAAACAATAACAAGCCTGGAGTGGTACGTGTGTCTGTGACTGTTTTTTATTATTTGAACGCAACGAAAATGTGATTGAAACAATCACCAGAATGAAACGAGAAACTTCTGTGCTTCGCATCGTTATTGTCATTTTCTTGCTATGGTATTCCATCACAATCTCACCAAATTGCTCTTTTTCTTGCCAACACTAACAGAAACTTCCATTCTTGTCCACTTCCACTGGCAAGGCCATGACTGTCTTGGAGGCTGTCGTCCAACAATCCGGCATTTATGCGCCTTCTCGCAAGGGGCGTTTGTCCGTCTTTTGGGGAGACCAAGTCTTTTTGCCATCCGTGTCCTTTCAGTACACTCCCACGCATCACATTGATATCATGTGCACCTTGTTGGGAGATACAGCGCCTACCCCTGAAGAGTGGACTTCCCAAGGATTGGACAAGTATGGTGTCATTGCCGTTTTGGAAGGAGACAAGGCCGAAGCGGCTCAAGTCGAAAAGGTCGACCACGCTACAGCCACTCGCATGTTGGGACAATTGGGAACCATCAAACAGGTTGGGCCTAGTTTGGGTAGTTTCTCTGTTTCGGCCAAGATCTTGAAGGCCATGTTGGACGAATATTCCACTGAATTGACCGAAAAGACAGCCAAGTTGGATACAGATCCCCACTTTTGGATGCCGCTCACATTGAGCGAGGCCGACTACATTTACTTGATGAACCAAAAGGGTATTGAAGAGGGAGAATCCAAGAGCCATTATGCACGCATGAAGGTCTTTAAGGAAAAGTTTGATTGTGGAGACATGGGACTCTTTGGGGCAGTCGATGTCGGTAAGGATGCCTGCTGGTGGGATTATGGTCAACTCCAGTTGTACAGCAAGAACACTTCTTTGTTGCTAGAAGATTCCAACCCCGAATGCGTATTGTTGCGCAAATTTTTGGGCTTGACCGACGGCCCCACCTTTGGCAAGATTGAGGATGCCGATTTTGTTCACTCCTTTTGCTTCAACAGCAAGATTGCTTCGGGCAACGTCAAGGATTCCATTGTTTGTCAAGTGGCTACCAAGGAATTGAATGCCGATGGAGCCATTTTGGTCAATTGCGTAGCTCCCCGTATTACTGCCGGAAAGGGATGCATCTTGTATAATGTCATGTCCGAGGAAGAAATCATTGCCCCAGATGGACAAGTTATGGTTGCCGTCACGGCCGAAAGTGGAGAGTCTTTTCTCCTGAAAAGTAAGGTTCATATTGATGGAGGTAAAGCATGGAAAAACGTTGTCGAAGGCAATGCTAGCAGTTTTGAACAAGTGTGGAAGAACAACAAGATGGCCAACATTTCCAAAATTGACGAAGAGCGAACGCAAAAGTTCAACGCATTGTCCGACAAATTGTAAACGCGACATATATCACCAAACAGCAAATCGTGTTGCTGGGAAATGTATATACCCCTAGACGGGCCTACAGCCACTACTACCATTAGATACAACACCTAAATATGGCTCTCTATACTACCGGTTTTGGACAGGGGATTGGTTGCATTTCATGTACTGTATTGCGCGCGCATGCATGCATACTACGTCAATATAAGTCGACTCGATCGACCAGTGCTAGAGCATTACCCACAAGCTGCATTATTGCGAGCATGGCAATGAGTTGTGACAAAGTCGAGTATTAGTCACAGGCTGCAATGACATGAAAGCAGTGTATTGCCGGAAAGAACGCATCACAAACGCATCCACTTCTACAATATGAGTAATGGGTACCGTTAAAATGTAAGTAAGGTCGTGCTGAGATAATTGATTTATAGTTGAGAGGCTATCTAGACTGAATCATGACGCGGATTGTCATTATGTATTGCAAAAACGTTGCGACACACATGCAGTTAATACGATTGTGACTGGTCCCAGACCATGACTTGTCCCAGCTAATGGGGAAAAATCACATACATCCGACTGACTCTCTCACAAATTGCATCTCCATCAAACTACTATTATTCAAAACTATAACAGATTCTTTCTTCCTCCTTCATCATGATGATTTCTTCCAAGACTGTGGTTCTACTGCTACTGCTCCTTTCCCTTTCTGAATCGTCTGCCAAGCTAGGAGACGGATCTAAAGCACGGAGACTAGAATCAAACGAGCGAGAGTTGAGCGCTTACACTGATTACAAGAACAGACCAACGAAGCAAGTGGAATATGTTGGTTCCAACCCGTCTCAAATTCTTGAACACTGCCAGGGTGACTGCGATTCAAACGACGATTGTGGTCTTGACTTGATCTGTTACCAAAGGAATGCCTACGAAGAAGTCCCAGGCTGCAACGGAGGTCGCACGGATGGCTCAAATTCAGACTACTGCATCAAAAGCAGTGACTGGGAGATCAGCGGAACACCACGGTTGCAGGTTGTCAGTCACTACCCTGAGGAGGCATCACTGGGGCGCTGCGAAGGCGACTGTGATACAGACGAGGACTGGTAAGTGATGCTATAGATGAATTGATACATTTGATACTGAGGCTAACCCTTTTTTCTAATGATTCACAACAATGACAGCGCAGACGATTTGGTGTGCTATCAGAAAAATGATTGCCAATACGTCGCAGGATGTCTAGGCAGCTTCGATGACTATAGCTATACGGACTACTGTGTTCGTAAGAGTGATGTTAATGCTGGGAAACTAGCTCTGGACGACACCGTCGTGGGCGACTTCAATCACCAACAATTGCAGCTTTGTCAAGGTAAGAAAACAAAATGATGCTGCTATGGATTGTTTACGATTGATTCGCATGGTGCCTTACTGGCCATTTCTTCCGCCTTTGAAATAATAGGAGATTGCGACGAATACTGTGAGTTTCAGAGAATTCCGATTCAAATCAATCTTCAACTTCGTTGGCTTATTATTATTATTCTTTTCATATTCATTTCAGATGATTGTGCTCCAGGATTGATCTGCCTACACCGGCATGCAAATGAACCCGTGCCTGGTTGTATTGGTGCAGAAACCCATTTTCGTACGGACTACTGTATATCTCCTAACAATCGGGGCAACTCCCGCAAGGATGTCATTGAAAGCAGTTTGAGTGGGGGCAGTAAGTACAGTGACTTGAACGTTTACTATCAAAACGAAGATGACAGTAGTTGGGACTATTACAACGAGTTGGAACTTTACACTCAAGACACACTGGATTGGCTCATCAACGTGGACCTTTGGGTGCCACCAGTCGAGGAAGAGAAACCACAAGAGCTCTGGCGAGAGCGATACGCGATGGCGGCTCTGTACTTTGCCACTGAGGGAGACAAGTGGTTTGACCCAAGAAACTACTTGTCGGTCGATTCGGTCTGCACATGGAGTGGAATAAGTGACGAGATTGAAATCGATTGTAATGAAAACGGCCGAGTCGTACGTGTCATTGGACGTGCAAATGGAATGTTGGGATCGATTCCTTCGGCAATGCAAGCGTTGACTATGCTTCAGCGAATCGATTTCTACGACAACAATATTCGCGGCTCCATTCCTTCCTCTCTTGCAGAATTGACCCACCTTACAAGGATCGACTTGTACGAAAACAACTTGACGGGAAAAATTCCGGAGGAACTCGCCAGTTTGACCAAGCTTGAACAGATTTCACTATTTGATAATGCTCTCACAGGAACACTACCAGAAGGCATTTCAAAATGGACCAACCTGCGAAGGTTCCATATCAGCGACAATGCCATCTCTGGATCCATCCCAAATATTGGCGGCTGGAGCCATCTGACTTATTTGGAATTGTCCAACAACCGGATTTCGGGCAGTCTTCCAAATTCCATCGGAAACATGCACGATCTTGAAATCTTGGTGTTGTCCAACAATCGACTCACTGGAACTCTCCCTTCCTCTCTCCCAAGATCTCTCGGGCATTTGTATTTGCGCTCGAATAATATTGGCGGAAGCTTGCCCACGGAACTAGGCCTTCTTTCCAATGTCCAGACCATCGACATGGCGTACAACGTGATTACGGGCAGTGTCCCGTCATCGATTGGGCGATTGGCGTGGCTTTATGACCTCGACCTTCGTGGCAACAAATTGTCAGGATCCTTGTAAGTGTCCAAATTGAAAACTGAACAACACAAATGACAAATCTCACAATCAAGCCACCTGTATGAAGACCTTCGGAGTTGGGGAATATGGGCTTTCTCACTGACTTTGATGCTGGCGTCAATAATTTGAGTGGAGAGGTGCCTCCACTCGGGAATCGCCTCACCAATTGTTCATTGGACAGTAACTCCTTCTCAGACACCACAAACGCCGAAGGCATTTGCCGCCTCGACTAGATACATGAGAAACTTGCATTAATCCATCGTTGGGCAATCCTAGAATAGATATTCATAAAATGATCAAGCTTTAGTTTGAATCAAACAATAACATTTACATACAGTTGGGTTTGTTGTCGTCTGCCTTCTCGAGATGTTTGGCAAGGTATCGACACAATTTATCGCGAGCAAATTGGGTATATGTGGTAGTTTACTCTTTGAAGGTTTTGTCAAGAATGTGGAAATTGCAGTCGAATATGAAGACAGGCATGAGGTATGAGGCGCCAGCGTACCACTGCCTCGTCCGACGAAGCCTATATATCTGTCACACTTGAATCAACATGTTTTATGTGGCATGGTCGATAGGTCGAAGGTGGTTTCTTTAAGCTGAGGAAGTGATGTGTTGCGACGGTTCCAGTTAAAATACACATAAACTACACCATTTATCCATTCTATCGTACTCTTTCTTTCCGCCACACAAATTGTGACAACATCAGAACATATTCAATTGCTCCGCGCCCATTCATTCCAATCAGATGCTCACTCTATTCCCAGTCGAGGTACCATGTTGAGTACAATAATGTTGCAACAGTCCGTGCAAGGAATCAAAGGTGGGTCGTCGAAAAGGTTCAGGATCCCAGCATTGGTTGATCCACATTTGCAAGTCGGAAGTAGACGAATGTTTTGGCAGTGAAGTCAAATCCGGGCGTTGGACTTCTTCTAAGATGCAGGATTTCAAGTGGTTCCAGTTCTGATACGGACCATAACGATTCTTGGTCGGTTGATCGGCAGATCGTTTGGGAGCTGTATTAGGTTGGATCATCATCTCCTCCTCCTCGTCATCTTCATCGTTGAAATACGGTCGTTGCAGCGTGCAAATCTCACTCCACATAATGGCAAAAGAAAAGACGTCGCTAGCATAATCACTTCCCAAAGATCGCATCGTTTCAGGAGCCATGTACCTCCAGGTACCCACAACTTCACCAACCGTTGGATTGGGTGGGACATTCTGGAGACCATCGCTCCCGGTAGAGGAACCATTGCTTCGTCGTCGACCACCACAACTGCCAGTAGAACCATTGCTGCTTCGACGCCCCATATGGCCACTACTACTTCCAGTAGAACCATTACTTCTTCGACGGCCCATGGGGCCACTGCTCCGCCGTCGTTGCGAATAGTACTTGGCTGTGGCAGTGTGGACATCGTACGGCAGCTGACGGGCCAAACCAAAGTCAAACAACTTGACAGTTTGCGTTCGAAGGTCGAATCCAATATTTTGGGGCTTTAGATCACGGTGTACAATGCCGTGCTGATGCATGTGCCTCATTCCATTGACAATTCCAAGCACAATGGAGTCCATCCTCTCGTTCATTTGTTTCAGACGATATTCGTTGGTTTCGGAATTGACCAATTCCCGAAAGTCTTGGACTCTTGTGTTGTTGTTTGTATCATGATGATGAGGATTCGATGGTGGTGGTTGTTCCTGTGGTTGTTGTTCCCTGCGACCCCATCGACCTCGACGTCCTGTTGGTTGGACCCCATTAGTGTTGTTGTTGCCTCGATGGTTGTTGTTCCATCGTTTCAACAGATTTCGGACACCAGTTCCCAGACGACGGCCTCGGCCAATGTTGGCATTATTATGGTGGTGGTTATTGCTCAAGAGACCTGGATGTCGATTGTTTTGTTCCAAGACCAGCTCTTGAGCTGCCCAAATTTCTTCTTGTTGCTTTTGCATTTGCAACTGTTCCTTTCGCCATCGTTTGAGTCGCTCAAAAAGTGTTTCGTCCAGACATTCCAGGACCAAGACGTAGTCCTTGATGACTTCCTTCTTGTACATGCCTGATCGTGTCCCTTCCTCTTGGTCGTGCTCTTGCTCCACCACTTGAGGAAGAATTCCAATGAAATTCACAATATTCCCATGCGAAGACAGTTCGGACAAGAGCAATGCTTCATTTAATAGATCATTCGAAGCACTAATCAAGGCAGCTTTCTTTTTTGTTTTGGTAGGGTTGATGCATTTGATGGCACACAACCCTTGTTGCTGCTGAGAGGATGAGTGAGAAGTCATTCCAGAATTCACAGACTGAGATTGCCCTGCAAAGTCGTCAAGTGGAATGGATTCAATCGACGATGACGAAGATGCCACGGACACGCAGGAAAACGAGGACTGTGACATGGCGACCGTATCTGATTCCACAGAGGACGAGGTTTTGCTGCGTCCATGCCCCATTCTCCTTGCATTCTTAATGTTTCCCTTGTGGACGTGAGTAAAGGCTCCTCTTCCAAGAAAACAATCAATTCCAACATCATTCCAATCCAAAGTTGGTACACTTAACGACCTCCATAAAGCATCTTTGGACTGGCCTTGAAACATGTCACTAGTTGTCGTCGGAAGGGGAGAAACTGGACGAGTCGCCATTTGTGTTTCCTCACGCAGTCTTGAAGAATTTGGTGATTGCGCTGAATTCTAGTCGGCAATTATTGAGCTTCACCGATGTGACTTTATGGTATCTTCTTTTTGTTTGCTCCTGAAGCTAGCTAAGGTTGACTGCCACTTCCAATGTTTCTGCAATGACTGTTGGGATGCAGAGAGACAGCGGTAGATGAGATGAAGAGGAAAGAGGACCATGAAGAAACAGACGATGGCGAAACGAAAACTGCACCACGACATGTGTCATGTGGCAGGCATAATTAGCGCCAGACGAACCAGCAGTTACTTAACCTGTAAGACTGATTTACCTGAGAACGTTAATTATGTACGAGCCGACTGACTTTTTTCGACTTCTTGTTTTTCTCACCACAAAACTCAAAACATTTCTGAAACGAATCATCATCAATCTGGCGGTACAAACTAGAGTACTTCACATCGTCAACTGGAAACAATTGATGCCATGCTAGTCTCGAATCTTACTAGGTGTTTCTATGGTATTTTTTTGTAGTGGAAAGTCAATCTTGCCCTGGCAGTTCTTTTTTCTGGTCCTGTTAAGATGGTCCATTGTTGATTGTGTCGTCGTGTCCATTCGATGGATGGATATTATTCGTTGCCATCCTGCTCTCCTGGATACAAACGATGGATTCGATGAATACTGGGCCTGATTCCCCCCCTTTTCCTGCAATCATTCCAATTAGACTCTTCAAAAGTAACTCTCTGGAAGTGGGATTGTCTCTCCAGAGTATGGGTTATAATCCTTGAATGGTGTCCAATCCACCTCTGACATGTCCGCTTTGAAGATCTCTGGATCTAATCCCAATTGTACCACGTAGTTCTTGTGCAAAATGGAAGCACTTGATGTTGGAATCACCTTGTCGGGCCACAGTCCATGCCAATGATAAGCAAAAGGTCCAGTTCGATCTTGAAGGAACTGCATATGTCGCTTCGAAGCCTTCTTTTGTGAAAAGTCCCACCACCAGGGTTGGTTTTTCGCATGACCACCCCAGGCATCAAACAAACAGGCATTCAATACTCCGAATGGCATGGCCTTTGACTTGTCTTTTCTCATGTCTTCAAACAAATAGGGCCCAAATCGATAATACTTTCCGTCATTCTTGTTCTCATAGGTCTTGACCACTTGATGTAAGATTCGCTTCATCATTTCCGAATGGCGTTGGTGGGTACCAATCGCACAATTGTTGAGCTTGTTCCGATCTGCCACCACTACATAATCGTATCCCATGAGCGGTCGAACATCTGACAGATAGACGTGATCCGTGTCAAACCACAGGCCGCCCTTGTCGTACAAGACGGCATACCGCCGGACATCACTCGCCGAAGCAGGAACGGCCAAATTCTCAAAGGCATGTTTGAAGGCGGGCAGAAAGTTATCGGGTAAGCCCTCCGAATCCATAGTGTCCACAGTCCAATACTGCAGTTGGATCCGATGTTTGTATACCGGATGCTCCAACAAGGCCGTGACCCAGGCGGGTGGATTCTTGTGGTCCTGTTCGTTCACTAGTATATTCATTTTTACGGATTCGTGTTGAGTCGCCAAGAAGGAAAGCACTGGCAATTGTTCTTTGCGATAATCCACCATGCTGGTGTTTCGTTTCAGGAGCAATTCGGTGTGGACCAAAATTGGACACTCCTTATTGTCGTGTCGACAGACACCTCCCTCTTGGGTAGGAGAAGAAGCTGCTGCTCGTAACCAAGCGGAGGAATACCGGCATTTGTCCTCCGTGTTCCAATACGTTCGATTGTCAAAATCTGAGGGCCTCTGATTGAAAAAGAGCGGATAAACACCTCTGTGATACGGAAAGGCTGGATACGTCAGACTTCCAATTTCTGGGCCATTGGTTTGAGTTGTTGCTGCTGTTTGGACAATATTCGCTGCTGGTTCAATTTTGGGTTCTATTGGGGATGCTGTCGGTGATCGGGTTGGTGGATCGGTGGGGGAAGGTTGTGGTATTCTCAAAGCTCCTCCTGTCGTCTCGGATGCAGCATCTGCCAGAGTTCGTGTTAGACTTTCTGCTTGCTCTGGAATCTTGGAGTTTACCATTACATGTCCATCTAGTAGCATATGTTCGTCGCAATGCGAGTTGTCACCATGAAGGGACATGGAAAAGAAAAACTGAGAAACGGCAATCCCACAAATAAAGGCCATGATCATCTTGGTAGTTGTGTTGCCCTTGTTGTTCATTGTATTGGAGTTAATGGCTACCATGTTGACGACACAATCTTCGAATGGAGTTTTCAGTTAGCAGTAGGCTCGATGGACTGTCTCTGTATCTATAGCAAGGATGGTTGACTGCAATGACGATGTGTTATTGGAGAAGTGATTATATTTTGGTTTGGTTTTTATATTTTATCATGTCAACAGATGACCGTGGGATGACCCAATTGACTGAAATATTTGTGAGGACGGGTCGGGTGGTGGATAGACGTGGATTATTTGATTAATTGGATTGCATCGAATCATTCTTCTTTTTCAATCGATCCAAACATTCTCAACAGATCATCGTTGGAAACTGTCATTGGCGATTGATAGCAGCATCGTAGCTACAATACCTCTAAAAGCCCTTCCGACAGATACAATAAAGCTCCTTATCCTGTGATAAGAAGAGTCAGAGAATGCTGATACCTGGTTCTTATTCTCTGAGGCAGTCGGCCGCTACTGCTATGCTGTTGAGATCCAGCAATAATTCCTGCTTTACTCATCGATCCTCCTCCGTTTCTACCTTGTTACCACTGCCATCTGTCAGCTACTGCACACGGACTTCGACGACGACAGCCCTTCACTTGGCCTTTTCCACTAGCACCAGTACTGATGGTTTGTCTTCTCTAGTCTCTTCGGTATTCTCGGTCACCAATTCGTATCAAGATACTACCAAGACACTTGGTATTTTGGCTGCCTATTCTCTGGTAGCCAATCTCTTATACCTTGCAAGACGAGCCAACCTTCGACAAATGACCATTCGAGAGCTCTGGAAGATTCGGACGACACGAGAAGAGGGGGTGAGTCGGCCATTGTTTGCAGGCATGCTCATGGCTTGGCAAATGTTGGTCTTGGTCTTTCCCATTGTGGAACCTTGTGTGAGATTTGGAAGTTCCTTCCAGGAATTATTATTTGGAAGCAATACTAGAAACCCAAAACAGCCATCAAATCCCAAGAATAGCAATCGGCCGGGTTGGACCATTTTCTTTTATTCGTACCCAAAGGCTCAAGGTGGTGGCTACATTTTGGAACCATTGGCTTGCCAACATTTGGGCTCCAATCAGCGGGCCAGACAACAAATTCGATTTGACTGGCACAGTTTCAAGTACAACACTGGGCCTCTAGGGCGAGACGGCTTTCGACATCCACCTACCATTGAGAGGAATTTGCCGCACATTGATATTCCAAGGTATCAAATGAAGCATTGGCCCTGGAGAAGGTGCTACAAGATTCCAGACGATGAAGAGGATTGACTCAAACTAAAATGATCATATGAATGGATTGATTATCCATGATGATGTTGCTTCGGACGCATGGAAGGGCACGATGCAATGACGACTTGTTAACATTGGATATGACTGCCAAGATGTTATCGAATGACTACACTTTTGCTTCGGGCATACATGAAGCGTACTGCAGAGGAAGTTTGAGTTGATTCGAGGATACCAAAAAATTCCATCTTGCTTCCCTGCTGCTCGACTTGGTGTTTGTTGGAACACTGGTAAAGCTGACGAGTGAGGCTGTCTACCGGTAGGTGGATAAGAATATCTAAAAGCTCCGGGCTCTTGTGGGAACAGAACCACCGGAGAAACCAATGGAAGTTCTTGTCATTCTCTTTTAGTGTCATTCATTCTTGCAAAATCTTTGCAATGGGATGCCGATACCGGTACAAGAGAAAGGATAGTGGTATTCACCAAGCGCTTCAAAGAGCCAGTTGCTTCCGAATCATGAAAATACCGTGAGAATTGATGAGACATATATTATTCATGGCGAATATCAACATAAATTTCTGAACCAATCAGGTTAATTCGGAACTCATTTTTGGTCAGGCACTCCGAAAGCGCGCGTACAGTACTGCCTCACTTTTTTCCGAGTCCCACCGCTTCTGGTTCCAAATCACGAATTTTCCACATTTTTCTCTCACAACAACATCCAAACACATTCAAGACCACTGAAAAGAGGTGAAAGCATACACCAACTCAAATCCAATTTATATCGAGCAACAGATAATGCGCATCCAGTGACCATGCTACATTTATATATTCGGCCCACGATCATTCTTTCCTTAATTCTGCTATATTCCATGCTGGAACCAATATCTGCTGGAAGATTGAGAGGACAAACCAAAGATGATCCAGCGCCATCGTCACTGTCATCATCAATATGGCCATCTGCTCGACTTGCTAGAAATGATCCAAACCAATCCACGTTATCATCAATATGGTCATCTAGCAGGCTTGCCCAAAACTCTGGTAACAATCAATCCACAACAGATGACTCATCGGGCGAATCCCTATTTGGAAGGACTCTTTCCAATTTCTTGTCCTATTCTTCTCCGACCCCAAAACCAACCAAGCTAGAATCTTCTGAAGTAAACTCGCTTCCTTCCATCTGTTTGGAAAGCCCTGATGATCCTGTATGCGACAAACTCCATTGGGCTTACTACCACCCGGAATACTATACACGAGGCAAGGAGAATTTCCCTCCTAATGAAGAGAATGGTCCCACGCCGTCGCCAGTATCACCTCGAACGGCCAATGTTCCAACGGTCCGATACATGGCCACATCTTCGCCCACGAGAGACATGTGCTATGGAAACATGGCCAAATTCATGCACGGCAAGTTTTGTCATTCGGAAATGCCCTCGGTGTCCAGTGAGCCCTCTGAGCAACCCACCTATTTTCCAACGAGTGTTGAAGGAGAAGACTCTCGTCCAGTGGGGTCTGCATCTACTCCCGTACCGAGTGAATCTCCAAGTGCAGCTCCTTCCCACTGGCCTAGTGAATCGCCAAGCGCATCTCCTTCCTACTGGCCTAGTGAATCGCCAAGCGCATCTCCTAGTATCGATATGGACGATGATGTTGTCCATTTCGAAGATCCAGATTCCGAAGATGTGGCACCCACACCTTCGCCGACCCAGGCGCCCACACTTTCCTGGCGCGAGTTTCCGACGCACCCTCCTGCATCTTTTAGCAATGATGAGAGTGAAGACAATGGTCGACCAAATGATGACAACGGTGATTATATCGAGCCTCCTAGAGATCCCAATGCAGTCCGCCTCAAATTGTATTGGCAACAAGGCTACTATTGGCAAGAGGAGACATTCGAACGGAAATGGTGCATGCGATGTGAGAATAACCTAGACTGCCAAGCTGGAGAAAAGCTCTTTTTGGGCGACTGTGCCAACAATTGGCAAACGACAGCGTATTTTGACCTGATCTCCTATCGAGATCACGAGTTTGTACAAATTCAAGTAATTTCGGCCAACGGAAATGAAAAAAAAGGTCGCCAACGGCGGGGGCGTAATGGCCGATCGTCATCATCCGAACTATGCGTGGAACGCAGCGCTGGACGACATGTGACTTTGCAGCGGTGCCACGCCGATGCTAAGGAAGAACAGCTGTGGAAAGCACCGCAAGGATCTTTTCGAGACATTCGAAAACGCAACAATCGATTTGAGCTATCACAATCCTTATTTGGCGGCATGAATTACTGCTTGACAAATCACCACCACCCGAAATACGGAGAACCATTGGAAATGTACACTTGCAATGAAGCAAGGCGGGACGAAACAAGTTTTTGGAATACGTATTAGTTTTCATAGAAGCAACAACAAGTTTAGATGAAGCTCTAATGATTTATTCCTATTCTATTCGAGCAACTGTGCCTACTTTTTCTCCTTTTGAAACTGAAAGTGATGATCTTCGTGATGCTGTCGCATCAGATCTAAGAATATCAGTTGGTATCCCATATCGACTGTATGATCGTGCAGCATGCGACGATTAATATCCAATTCCGAAAAGAATGTACAAGGGACCACGTTTCCAGAGATTCCAAAGCCATCCCGATACAAGTGTATACATTTCCCTGGTGGATAGAGGATGGGTTCTAGTCTCTGGGCTGGAATTCTAGCAGGCATCTCCCGGACGGGTAGGCTGTGAGCGGTTTCCAATATCGTTTGCTTATAGTCTTTGAGCAAGGTAGGAAAGTACGAGGAGACCTCATTCACCGCATCCGCAATGTCTTGTTTGGCATAAGCTGTCCAATCGAAACTAGCAATGTCCAAAATGGCGTTCAGCATCGTGGCCGAACTCATACGAGGAATACAATCATTGTCGGCCACAACCGTTGTAACAAAGCTTTCGGTCTTTTGGGATAGTTCTTTGGACAACAAAGCTGGGCATCCAAAGCCTATCACTTGGACATCCATCTCGGGCAATTCATTCAACTCCATACCCGCAATAGTAGCTGCACCGGCACCAAGACTGTGCCCAATCAAAGTCAGTTTAATCTTTTTTTTGCCAGAAGCTTGCAACAAGTTTCGAAACAGAGTGGTATGCTTTCCAGCCAAGTATTGTCCACTCTCGAGGATACCATTATGACAGTGGCCACCCTTGTATTCTTCTTCGTCCATTAACAAATCAGTAATAATATCAGTAATCGTTTTTGTCCCACGAACGACCATGATGACTTCCAAAGTGGAAGAGTCAGACGACAAAAATGACAAGGCACTTTGCTTTTTCTCGACCGAGTTCTTGTTGACGGCAATGAAATGGCTTGGTCGTCCAGGCGTAGACTCCATATCGCAATAGGCCAATTCGCAATCATAATCTCGTTGGAGGGTGACCTGGATCTCTTTCATGGTATCTGCATATGCTAGCAAGGCCAACTCCAACTGCTCGTTCAATTCATCTATCTGGTTGACATCCACTCCTTTGAAGAAACGATGTTTTCGTCGCCGAACACTAGGATTTTTGTCTTGATCTTCCTTTTCCAAATAGTAATAAATATCGGGCGGCTTCAATGCGGGGAGATCTTTGCGGGTAAACACGTTGCCAGTTTTCTTGGATTCTTCCTGAAAAAATTCCGTGAGATTGCTTTCCAGCTTTTTGTTCGACATCTGTGCAATTTCCAACAGTTCCCTCAGACTGATAGAATCTTTAACATCTCCTTGTTCCTCCATATCGCGGGCCTTCATAATGATATCCTGAACCGTATTGGCCTGTGCGGTGGCGCTGCTGCCGCCCGTCATTTTGCTTCCCCATTTTAGTTGCACAAGGTTCATCAGATTGGATCCCATTTCCTTCAAATTATCTTGATCGGAAGGAGTTTTAGTAGTGCCCTTTTCGCTTTTATCCATGGCTTGGTCCATTGCACCTTTAGCTTGGTCCATTGCACCTTTTAGCTTGTCGAACATCGAAGATGCCCCGGAAGAAGGTGGACTTGTATCTTGAGAATCATCTTCAGTCTTGGAAGAGGACGACGTTTGAAGCAAGGCTTCCCAATCTGACTTTACATCATCCCATCGCTTGGTGATATCAAACCGAGTCACTCCTTTATCAACCTTTTTATCCTTGTCGTCCTTGGAGGCTTCCGATGAAGCATACCGAGCTGAAAGACGAGGTACGACTTCAGGGTACTGTTGTTGACCAATAGATGTGGCGGCCAAGACTGCCAAGAGTGGTAGGTGTTGTTTGTGCCTCAGCAACTGAGATTGAAAGTGAGCATGCGAATAGAAACGGTGGCTCATCATGGACTTTTATGAGGCGATGTTGTGTTGTGCCGAAAAAGGTTGAAGGATTGTTCTGTGGACGGGTGATTTAGCTTCATTCGAAATGATATCTGTGAGATGTGTTGTGGAGCTTCGATGGAATGATTCAAACGACTTCTTTGACACTAAATCTGCTCCAGAACAACATTTCAATTACTTGTACAGGTGCAACGTTCTGAACAATGATACGGCTAGGGTCAGCCATGATTAAATTCTTGAGAGGCGATACAATGGCCTTATTGCAATCGATATGGGTGTTTACTTCAGTTTGATGAGTAATATACTAATCGGATGATAAACGAGACCATCACCATCTTCAGTTTTTGAAATACGAAACGCGTTCAATGAAACGAAAACTGGTATATTTTTCGATTGAATCAATCAAATGACTCATTCTAAATTCGATCCCCAACTTATCGAGGATGACAGGTGTAGTATGGTATAGTATAGTAGGACATACTCTTTCCTCGGTCCACGGCTTATGAAAAGGATCACTACAAATTCTTCGAAATCCCTTCCCTTGGGTTTGGCGCATATTTAAAGCACAATGATAGATATCAAGAATCATTGCCCCCCACCTTCGGATTCAACGGTTCGTTCCGTCAGCAGATGAAGGCGACATTCAAATAGTGGATCAAACTAGCTTTGCTGCTGTTCAAGCTTTCAAGTCAACGTCACGGGACACTTCTGCCCGTCACGAAAGCTTGAATGTAAATATCTGAGAACTGATCGAATCACTGTTACTGAATAGAGCGGTCTCAAAGTACCCAACAAGAGTGTTTGGGTCCGTGATATCTTCAAGACGATCTTCCACGAATGCCAACCACCAAGCTGGACACTCCCCACCAAAGTCCTCGTTTGCGGCACCACCAGTTCCATCTTCGCTTACAAATCGGCAAGCGCAAGAGAACTCCATGGCCTGTCTTCCCATATCTACCTGATGTTGAATCAAATCTTTCAGTAGTAATTCTGGGGTCACTTTTTCTAGTTCAGTTCGTTCGAAATAGTTCCTATCGTGGTCAAATATATTTCTGATCCATACAACGCCAGGTCTGACTTTAAATTTGCCCATGAACTCTCGACACTGAGAGAAGGCAGCATTGGTCTCTATTCTCGCCCGCAACGTTTCTCCACGGGATATGGAAGAAACCAGCTTTGTCGATTTTGGGATTCCGGTTGTGTTCTGCTCAAAGCTTATTAGGTGCAAAGTGGGATCTGTTCCGACAGTTATACCCAGTGCATACTGAGACATGGTCAGATTCTTCATGAAGGAATCCATGTCCAACGCTTTGAAGCGACGTTGCAAGTCGTCCTTGGTCATGTCAAAGGGACCAAAGGGGCTAGGGTACTTGAATGGGTATTCCACATATACAATTTCTGGGAGACCAATGCCATCAAAATCTAGAACCTGGGTACCAGTCACACAAGTTTGAATTTCCACAATAAACTGTTCCAAGTCCGTGCCATGCTCGAGGTGCAACACCATGACACCGGGACCCGCTTCCTCGAACCCCTCCCTTGCAATGTCACCAATGGAAACTAGGTAATTATTGCAATGGCGAAAAAACTTGGAGTCAGCATATGCAAATAGGAGTTGCAGCAGTTTGACGGATGCCCTCTCAACGGCATCTGCTTTTTTGGGTCCATTGCTCTTCTTGCATTGCTTCTTGTGTCCGGACTTCCAAGCTTTGGCCTGGCAAGCAAGTTTTGCCACAATACGGGCCTCCCGTTTTACAGGCAGTGCAATACTTCAAGTCTTCCGAATTGAAGTATTGTTTGCAGCAAGAACACCCTCCAGCCACCAGAATGGCAGGTTCCAACAAGGGATCCTCCGCTTCGACACCCGGTGGCATTTTCATACAAACCCTTCCATCCTCAATCCGGTGCAAAGTACTGAACCACGATACGATTGGGGTCAGCTATGCCGAAATCGTGGAGAAGCGACATGGTGGCCTTGGTGCAATTATTGTTCGGAGTTCTGTTCCGTGATTGAGTTTGCTGAGCAATGCTGATCGGATGATGCCGATTGGATGAAGCGGATCGTCATCTTCTGTTTTGAAATTATGAAGAGGTCTTAGAATGGGGGCCCCCCATCTATTATCGGGGATGACTGCTAACATGTACGATATCGTAGTTTAGCATTAATTCTTTTTAACATTCCATCATTCTACCTGTTACTGGTACTATCATACCGGTACGGAGACAGATAGTAGGTGGATTGATACCGGTAAAGTCGTAGGAGTGTTTGTGCATTTTGTTGTGCTTAACAGTTACTCAACGTGTTGCCAGAAAAGTACAAAGTAGGTAACATAATTGGGGATGAAACTTTGTGAGTTGTCAGCTATCACACGATGATTCGTGAAACTTCCTTTCGGTACTGGGAGTTTTCTCGCGACGGATGACACGCCGAATCAATCCAGATGACGTTATTTCGTGTCAAACGGTTTACTTGAATCTGCTACTTGTGGTACGCAGACGAAACTGGGGCGCGTGTTTTTGCGCGATAACGAGCTTGTTTTTGGTCGAAATGAAATGATCAAGAAACTTCCTTTGCATAAAAATCTTTGTTCTTGTGTGTGTTTGTTCTATTTGTAAATTGTAACTACGACTCCTAATCACTAACAAGAGCCACTCAACGATCATCATTCGCCCATCCAAGAGATTATCTCCTCGGGAAAGTCCGACAATTGACACCAGAGATCGCATTTCGCTCGGCAAAGAAAAGTAGCAATCACGGCACAACACTTGCGCAATAACGAGGATCATTGAACCATGCTTACTACATCTGTCGATATCTCTGAACTCCATGCGGTATATCACCGCGAAGTCGCAAAGTACCGGACGTGTGATTACATTCCCCGCTTGCAAGCAGAATATCGTGAGAGACAAGCCCAAGAACAATTGGCACGAAATCCTGCAATTGTTGCGGAGGCTCCTGGAATCGCCGCGGAAGGAGCAATCAATCAGCAATGGCGAGAGAAGATTTGCGAATGGGAATACCAAGGTAAGAACCGATTGGACAAGGCTTTTTCACTCTCTGGACCGCATGGGAAACTCATCCAATCCTCTTTTTCCTTGCTTCTCTTTGAACTTTCTATGGATCTGCCGACACCATTGACTCGTTCGACTCACAACAACGGTCATATGTTATTGGTTCCTCCCTCCAATCCCTATTTCAGTGGTGGATCACTTTCATTTGAGACGAGAAATTGTCGGTGTGGCAATGAACTACTTGGATCGGTGCTTGGCCACATCACCAGCCGTGGACAAGAGTTCCTTTCAGCTATTGGCCATGACGTGCTTGTACGTTTCGATCAAGCTCAATCACCACACCCACTTGCTCATTCCGGGATCCAATTCGACTCTACAATCCTTGCTCGAACTTAGCAGAGGCTTTTTCTCGACACAGGATTTGGAACAAAAGGAATTGGAGCTCTTGCGCCGCTTGGAATGGAATGTCCACCCACCTACGCCCCAATACTTTTTGGAAAGCTTTCATGAGTTGTTTCTTGAGGCACTAGAACAGCGGCATCTCAACGAACCGCAACCAATGGACGAGGATCCTTCCGAAAAGCGAGAGGTATTGGAGCTGTCTCATTTTTTGGTGGAATTGGCAACCATGGACTACTTTTTTGTCTTGTACCTTCCATCTCAAATGGCACTCGCAGCCTTGGTGACGTCCATTCGCCGCTTGACACCCGATCCCCGACTTGATCCTGCTACCCTACTACCAGGCTACGAGGATTCTCCCGAGTTGCGGGCTTGTTGCAATCGCATGGATCGATTGTACGATCGCATCTTGTCGGAGGATACGACTGCGTCTGGCCGCAGAATGCCTGCTGGAACATCAACTCCCAATTCTACCTCCACAACACCTGGGTCGGATTCTCCTGTATCAGTCCGAATGGACACTTAGACAACTATGGAAAGAAGAAAGAATACCTCTAGGCCGAACGCTATATGGCCTGGAAGGTATATAGACATGCATGACTTGTTTTCCATTGCACGCGCGAAGAACACTGTATCACTATTATATGAGGAAATCTACAATCAAAACACTAGAAACCAGAAAAAAAGATCCAAGTGCAGGGGAAACTGCACTACTATTTTGCGACCAATAGAATAAACTGTACACACACATAGAGTAGACATTTTGGTGACAAAATGACGAGTTCTAGTAGACATTTCTTTGGCTTCGACTTTGATAATCACAATAGTGCCAACAGCATCATCTAATCCTGGGGAAGCACAGAAATCGAATGAGTCGTCCCCCAAATAGAGAGTCACTTCAATGCACAAAATAAAACACGAACATCGCACAATAATTAATCTGAAGCTTGTCGTACTTGATTCCATTCCAAATGAATTACCCAAAACATACTGTCACAATTGTAATATAGAAGAAACATTCGTTGTTGCTGCTAAACGGCTGGAATCTTGGAAAAATGGTGGTTCGAATGCGACAAAACACGCCAACAAAAGCTGCTGATCCTTCTATTGGAAATGAAAGTGACATACTGGAAGCAAGTACCAGCATGACCCCTACCCATAGCATGGAATCATCAAGTTCAAGAAAGAAATCTTCAAATAGATGGAGATTTCAAGCTGCAATTTGGTGGTTTCTTTTGGTCTCGGGTATACTCGGAAACCTGATGCTATGGCGCCGATCTCTTGGATTTGATGCAACATCGTCTCTTGTCGTTTCCTTGGCCCGCCTCCTTGGAAGTGATTCTTGGGCTTCTTCTTCTTCGATGGGTGCAACTATATCCCTGGCGGATCCCAATCATTTTGCCGAGTTTACAAGTGGGAAATCTGGGTCGCCTGGTGTTGAATCTGACCTTCCGGCAACAGACAACCAGAACGACGTGATCGGGGACGACATTTCGATCAAGAAGTCCTTTTCATTCTGCCTAATCCTCAAAGATGACAATGATATTCTCAATGAATGGATCGCCTATCACTATTATACCCTGCATATGCGTAACTTGATTGTGACCATTGACCCCTCATCTATGACCACCCCGGAACCTTTGCTGAAAGTCTGGAAAGAAGAGTTTGGTTTGGACTATGAAATATGGAACGATTCCAATTTTACCGAGCCATGGTTTTATATCGACAAAGACTACGATAAGATTCCCCAACAGGTCAAGTGGGAAGATAAGGATGCCGCCAAATGGCAAGAAGAAGGTGCCGATGTCACGTATGCACAACGAATGAAAGATATCCGAGACATTACCGTCCATCGGTATCGACAAAAGCGCTTCTTGCATCGATGTGAACAGTATCTACAAGAAGAGGGATACAGCTGGATGACACACATTGATACGGACGAATACATTGTCGTGAGTCCTGCGCTGCGAAAACGAAAACGATCGAAGTTAAAAAAGGTGGTGCTGAACGAATCAGATACAATGTACCACTTTTTGCAACAAGCCAAGACCAACGAACTTGTCAATTACCCGTGCATCTCGTTGCCCCGCGTCTTGTATGGATCAGTGGAAGACCCTGACTCTCCCCCAACATCCTACGAAGCCAAGCAAATGGAAAGTCTTCGATGGAAGTATCGAACACGCTACGACAATGATGCGCTGAACAAGCAACCAAAAGTCATTATGGATGTCTCGGGATTCCCTCCAATTGAAGAATACGTTCACTATCAAAAGACATTTAGCATTCATCGACCGGATTTTGGCTTGTGTCGAGCTCAGGGACAAATGAACATCAAAGACTGGCAACGCTATCCACTTACAATCAATCACTATTTGGGATCTTTGGAACGATACATGGCACGAAATGACACTCGACGTACGCAAACGGTAAGTGCGCCACCTTTGGATTTGGAGTTTTCGTTTCATTCAAGAACATTTCTTATTCAATTCAATCTTGTTTGCTGTTGTACTCAGCAATACAATCAAAAAGCAAACGTCCAAGATGGCAAAGATGGTTATTGGATCGATCCATGGTGGTCTGGATTTCTAAAGCAATTTGGGAAAGATAAGGTTGCCAAAGTCATGGGACGATATATGGATCCAAGCGAGTATGGAGCTGAAGTGAAGGCAGACATCATTCAAAAGGAGCAGCAAGCTTACACGCCACCTAACTTTGACAATCCAGAGGAAGACTCTTCCCAGCCAGAAGGAACTCTGACCGATAAGCAATCCGATGGTGTTCGTTTGAAACCCCCAAAGCTTGGAATCTCACTTCCACTAGAGCAAGATAGCTTCTCGGTCTGCATGCTAATGAAGGATGACAATGACATCTTGAACGAGTGGATAGCCTATCATTATCATACCCTCAAACTGAGGTACATTGTGGTTGCGACAGATCCTTCCAGTAATACCAACCCTTCTGTGATACTGGATCGATGGAGAGATCGGATTGAAATTGAGGAATGGACTGATGCTTCGTACATGCCAGACTACTTTGTTCAGGGCGATTATGGGAGTGTACCAAATATGCTTGGATTGGGCAATAGCAGTACGGCACGGAACACAATGAACTTGACAGAAGCCCTGGAATTCCACGGTGTGTCGGATCCTAAAGAGAGAGAAGAGCAAACACAAGTTAACAACCATCGATTCCGTCAAATGAACTTTTTTGAAAGCTGCATCAAAGACCTGATGCAAAAGAACAAGACATGGATGGCCCATATCGATACGGATGAGTACATTTCTTTGAGTCATTTAGTCAAACCCCAATCGCAATGGCGTACTCTGTCAGTTCCTTTGCTCGAGACGCCTGGATCCTTGTTGGATTTTCTGAAAAAGGCTGTCACCAATCATACGAGTGGAATGAGCTACCCATGCATATCCATGCCAAGACTGCTGTATGGGTCAAAGCAAAAAGATTTTCCAACAGCAACCGCAATCCATGATACATTTGACAGTTCCAAGTTTGAAACTCTCAAGTGGAAGTATCATTCCGATTACGACAATGCCTTCGAAGTGAACGGGCGACCCAAGGTCATCTTGGATTTGTCAGGGATCCCACCAAGGTCCAAGTTCCTGGAACATACCGTCTGGAGCATTCATCGTCCGGGATTGCGCATGTGCCGACCCGACCGAGAAGTTCGGTTTGACGACAAACCTCGGTTTCCATTGATCGTACAACACTATTTGGGCTCATGGGAACGGTACAACCACCGAAGTGATGCCCGAAGAAGTCGGGAGGTAAGTTGTTCTCAGAATCTATGACATTTTGGGGAATCGCATCACGCTGACACCTTTTTCCATTAACTACTCTTATATATAGAAATACGATGCCAAAAACGACGAGACAACAATAGAAGACAACGACTGGATTGACGGTTGGGTGGAACACTTTGCCAACGCTGAAGGAATTGAAAATGCCAAGCGCCTATTGGCAGAGTACGTGATCTAACAATCACTATAAGAATGGGCGCATTGCTGCGATAGGAAAACTTTGTGATGCTAGAATAATTGATAGAATATGTTTGTTTCCTATACTGTAAGTTGATGGGCATTGTTCACAAAGAGGACTTCGTGGACCAGCCAACAGTTTTGTCTTGGAGGCCGTCGTTCCTTTTGCATGGTCCACAAGAATCGAATGGGTTTGGTTCTTGCACCTTCGACCTCGGAAGGTTTGGGTATCGTTTCCCCTTTCATCTTGGCATCCATTTCCGCAATCCGCTCTTCAATCGGCCTTCGATTTGCAACAGCACCACCCCCTTCAACATTACTATTGTGACTCTGAATAGCCTGATTTAGGGCCTCACTGACACCATCCCCTTTGGAAAGTTGAATCAATATGGTTTGCATGTCCCCTCGTACGTTAGATCCTGGAATAATGGGACCCACGGAAATAATATCATAGCTGGGACAGCGCACCAACTTCCCAAACACAGGATTGGCGGCATACCGGACAAATTCCTCCAGCGTTCCTCCCACTGCTGCTCGACATCGATCAGAACTAAAGTTGAAACATATTTCCAAAGACTTTTGTGGCATCTCGTGCTGCAATGCATTCATACAGAGCGTCGCCACCTCCAAGCCATTCAGCTCTGGGTTTGGTTCTTTTATTGAAAAATTGTTCACGCCGATTCCACTTTCGTTGCTGAGATCTTCACCCCCCGGGAAGTCTGTAGTGGACCAAGCTAGCAACGGCTTCGTTCTCCACGAGAAATGGTCAGAACTGTGGATTTTAAGACTGACATTGACATTCTTTCTCAGTACCAATGATGGTGTCACCAAGCAAGTTGCATCTGGCATCCACATTAAGAGAGCCACCAGTAAGTAGCTGTATTGCAGAAGAGACCCTGGTTCCTTCATTGTTCTAGCTGCGATTCTATGCATGCGCACGATCCTTTTCTCCCTCTCGTCTCTGCGTTATTGGAGCTACAGTACTGTGAGAGAGGGTTCTGATGATATCGAAATTATGAATATTGATTGGGATCCAGAATTTAAATAAAAAAACTGCGACGTCAGCAAGTCAAGTCGAATGAGTCGTAAAATGGAAACAATCATTGGTATGGTGATGGAATGGAATTCAGAATACAAATATTATGAAATGTAAAATCTATTAAAATAGCAATTTTCGAATTTTACCAGATACTTGTATCTATCTAAGATAGCCTACTGCCATCCTCCGTGTGTGTGTTCGTATAGGTTTTGTCTTGGTGTGTAGCTGGTGGGTTGTGGTGTGAAGCGGGTCGAACTGATCGAGTAATAGACTCGATTCGTTCGACCAATCTCAGAAATCCCGTGTGCGGTATTACTGAGATCTGCTTTCCTACCAGGCACCGCCGACATGGTAAAATGGAGGCGGTGCCCAACAGGGCGGGTGAGGTTTGGGAGAGAAAAATTGAATTACCACAACACAAGTGGGTGAATTCAATCTCAGTCGATAAACTGGGCATCATTGCCGCGGCGCATCGACAACAACTTTTGAAGATGGAAGGCCGTTCGGCCTTCGTCCGTCTGAAACACAATGTAGTCAAAGAGATCGACAGTGTGCCTGCGGTCTACGTTGGATAATACCAGGTACTGGTACGGTACGAGCTTGATTGGAAAGCTACAAAGGAAACCAAAACAAGGCATTTGTTGTCATATTTGTTACTTGCGAGGGATCATTATTATTATTGTTATTATGAACTTTGCGTATTTGTTTTGAGTTATTGTTCTTGTTGTTGCTATTATTATTATCATCGTCATTATCATCATCATTACCAGACCATTTCTTTTTTCTCATTCAATTTGGCATTGGCATCCTCGACACTTATCGACCCTCTTCTTCGAGGACGGCGACGTTCCTGATGAGAACTTCCACCCAACGGATCAGCACTACCTTTGCCCAGTCGACGGCGGTCTCTGGAGGCGACACTCCTATTGCCATCACCAGCTTCCGAAATGTCTAGGCTGTTATTGGAACTATTGAAATGATTGTCGAGACTAGGAGGGCCACCGCCACCAACCGAACCCCGTCTTCCAGGTCGTCGTTGCCGCGTCTGACCAGCACCAGATTGACTCAAATTGCTGGAACTTCCAGCGAGACTGGGAGGACCACCGCCACTGACGGATCCTCGACGTCCTGGTCGTCGTGCTCGTGGAGCACCTCCCTGAGCGTCTCCGGATGCGCCTGGGGCCAAACCGGCGCCGCCCATGGACGATGTTCGTCCCAAGGATTGTCGCCGTCCGGGTCGTTGACGCCGAACATTTTGGTTGGCGGCGCCGGCCCCTTCGACCTGCAATGACATTGTCCGACTGGGAGGTCCTTTGGAATCGTTTATGCCAATGGAGGCACGTCTACGGGTTCGTCGTTGTCGAGGAGCGGCCGCGGCAGCATCCAAGCTGAGATCGTTCACGCCAGCCGCAACGTCTGGAGTTGAATTTTCGTATCCCAAACCATCATCGGTATCAAAACTAAAATCGCCACTTGAATCGGATGAATTGAATCCTCTGGTAGAGCCACTGTCCTTTGGAGCCTTTAAAGCAAACCGTGCTGATGATTCTTTTGCAGGGGCTTTCATTAATTTAGCCGCCTTGGACTCGGAAAAGAAAATTCGATCAATATACTTGTCTACGATAAACTTTTCACGAACATCGAGTTGGGAATTCACGTCTGGTCTAGGGTGATCATAAGCAATTTTACTTTCAAAGATGGCATTCACGATTTTGTTGCTACCTTGCTCCAACGCCTGGACTTCTTCTTCCGACCCTGATGTGAGCAAAAACAAAATATCAGGAAAAAAAAGAAGTGTTGGCATGTTTTGTGCAAAAATGATGCTTTTATCAAGATCAGTTTCAGGTGCTTCACTTACAATCAGCTTCATTCCGAGCATTCAAGACATAACCAACATCATTTGGAAACTTCTCGTGGACTCTGGCGCAACGGAAGCAAATGAAAGCACCGATTGGTTTCTCAAGACTTCCAAGAAGAATTGTAACATTGGCTGGCTGTTTATCAAAGCAATCCGCACATCTCTGGTTGTCTACTTTGCTGATGAGGTTGTCAACCCTTTCATCCAATGAGGGCATCGTGCTGAGATGCTATTAATGGTTTGCTCGTCTGATGATGATTGCTGTTCAATACAGTAGATTGAGTCGCGTGTTCGCGGTTGTACTTTCTCAACTGATGGCGGTCGATGAGGGACACCAAAACACGAAGGGCCTGAACTTGTGACCGGAAGCGTCATCCCTATCTTCAATCTGTTCTCTATGCTTGTCGGACCCAGGACTTATCGGACGTTTGTTTCGTTTTCGGACGCTCCACATGACACATAAAATATTAGAAAAGTGTTTGAGTCTCTGCTTTGAGTTTGTCCCTTGTCCGTCGTATCGAAACTACAAAAGTACAGCGGAAGTTCCAATTTAGCACGCTGGCACGGTCGGCTCTTCGCTGATTTCTGCTTGCCGTTTGCCTGCTGCTGCTGCTGCTGACCATGGACATATCATTTCCGGAGCTTGTCGATTGTTTCAAATCTTCTCCTTTTTTCAACACCTATAAACTAATAGTACAACAACAAAATGGCACAGACAGGAGCTGGAATTCAAGAACTCATGGCCGCTGAGACGCGTGCTTCTCAAATTGTCGCGGAAGCACGAATGGGTGAGTACTCCCGAGATCTTTTGTATCTTCATCGGCAGCGCATCATGTACTCATGCTCTTTAATTCATTGTCTTGTATCTTTGAACGACAATTAATTCAGGTCGTGGAAACCGCATGAAGCAAGCAAAGGCTGATGCCCAAGAGTTGATTGATGCCTACCGTGCCGAGAAGCAAGAAGAATTCAACAACATGGTCTTATCTAAGGGAGGAACTGAAGGGGATGCATCCGCGCAACTTCAATCGGATACCGATAAGGAAATTGGTGACATGCAAAGCCAGTTCAAGTCAAATGCCCAAAAGGCTGTTGATATTTTGCTAGGCAAGTGCTGTGAGGTTTCGTTGGAGGTTCCAACAGCTCGTGTTCGTTCCACACAAAAGGATGCTGGTATCGATGTTTAAAGAAATTGCATTCATTGATGCAAGCAAATATAGAGAACGGATATTTTGATTTTTATGCAATCTTGCTGTAATTGCAAGAGCCTTTGCTGTAGTAATAGTTGGCATTGAAATACTGCTGTCTACTGTTTGGTTCTGTGCTGTGCCAAAGTTTGGTTTGTTTCCATATATTGTAGTCCAGACTTAGTAATAATAGGTAGGATGGAAGCATCTAGTGTAAAATCTTCTAGTTTATTATTTAAAAAATGACTACAAGTCAAAATGACCCAGACTACCAGCAGGTTGCCCAATATAACCTTGGTCCAAGTCATCCCCTGCACTGTAGGTTGCTTCAAACGAGAGCGCATCTTCCAATTGTTGTTGCAACTGCAAGGCCATTTCAGTTGTCTCTTCGTACGTCTTTGACCTGTTTTGCAGTCTCAATAGTTCCTCTCGCTTTCGCTTTGCTTCCGCAATGCGGGCTGCTTCCAGGGGATCTGGTTCCTTGCGGCGAATCTCGGATATCCTGTCTGCGGGTGGCTTCTTTACAGCAAGACCGGCGGTGACAGTAGCGGGTACGGAATCAAACATCCATCCACCCATGGCACTTCGCAATTCTTCCTTTTTGCTTTGGCCTCCCTTTGTAATAGGAGTGGATGCTTCCGACTCTGCAGAAGGGGCGGAAGCCATGGGAGTTTCATCATTTGACCATCCACTCATAGCATTTCGCAATTCCTCCTTCTTGCTTTGACCTCCCTTCTTCATGGCCGCTTGCAACAAAGACTTTTCGCGTTTGGCATTTGGTGACACGGCATCTGCACCCTTCTTCATGGCTGCTTGCAGCAATAACTTTTCGCGTTCGGCATTTGGTGACACGGCATCTGCTGCTGGCACGGTTTTGCCAATCTTGTTGTCTGCCCTGCTAGAATCAGTCAAAATATTGTAGTAGGTAGAGACGCCAGGTGCTTCATAGGAAGTAGTCGCACCATCAATTGATGTTGTCACGGTGGTGTCCATAGATACCCCAACAACAGAAGAATCAGTGGTAGTTACTGATTCTGATTTACCACGCCTTCCTTTCATGCGCTGGCGCAGGTTCTCTCGAATAGCTTTCCGCTTGTCCACTCGCGATTCCAAGCTGGAAGCATTGGAACCATACGACGACCCTGCAAGAGACGGCGGTGCAGGAACAGTTTGCTTCTTGCTAGGAACCGGTCGAAGTTTTCGGGGATCTTTACCTCGAACTGGAATGTCGGGAGGGGATCTGAAAGGTGCTCGTCGTGCCCGGAATGCTTTGCTCTCCGAAGAGTCCGGCGATGTGATTCCTCCTTGTACCTTTCCGCGTTTCCTACTGAGATACTCGGGCGATGTCTTGACGTAATCTGGAGACCGCAGTTTCGATGGATCTCGCCGCCGAACTGGAATGGACGGTTTCGACAAAGACTTTGGAACTCCTCTGGCCTTGAATGGTTTGACTTCTTCTGGTGATTTGGGCGGCGGAGATCGCAATTTGCTTGGATCCTTGTCGCGCACCGGAATACTGGGAGTATCGAAGCTTGGCATCGGTCGAGCATGGAACTTTTTGGTAGCTTTTACATCGATTTGCTGCGGTGGTGCGGAGCTATCTGCCGATTCGGTCGGTGAAAAGCTTTGTTGCCTCGACGACGACAGCTGGAATGGCTTTGGAGTTGTAGTAGACCTCTTTTTTCTCATTTTAAAGCCATCAGCAGGTGTACCACGAGGTGCTGGGAACAAGGTTTTTGGCTTTGATTGATCTCTGTGATCTGGACTTGTTTGCTTTCCAACAGAAAGGCGAAATGGCTTTGGCGCTGTCAATTTCCGCTTCTCGACTTGTTTCGTGGCAGTGGACGAAAATGATTTGACACCGCTTCCCACTGGCCTTGCCTTGAATGGATTCGCCTTGTAGTAATCCATTTCGGCTTGCTCTCGTTCGGCAGTACTCACAGCAGGCTGTCGTTTGCGCTCCGGTTGGAAGTTGGGGGTTTGGGGAATAGTCAACTGGCTGCATACGCTCTTGGACGGTGATGTTGCCGTCCTCAAACCATCCTGCCAGTGGTGAACACTTCCTTCGTCGTCATCGCCTCTCTTTGCAGAACTCCTGTCTCCGTACTTCTTCTTCGTGACGAGATTTGGAGTCTTTGGAATGGTAATTTTTCTTGCGCCAGATGTGGATCCACCACCCATCGACTGATCATCGCGAAAGCTTCGCATCAACAGCGTGTCGGCATTTGCCAGTGACACCCTCTCTTCCCTTCGCTCTACTGGTTTCAAACGTTTGTCTGTCTGAAAGCTGGGACCAATAGGAATGGTAGGTTTCCGTTCTCCTCCCACAGAGGAACCACCACCCATCGATTGATCATCGCGAAAGCTTCGCATCAACAGCGTGTCAGCGTTTGCCAGTGACACTCTTTCTTCCCTTCGCTCTACGGGTTTCAGACGCTTGTCTGTCTGAAAGCTTGGACCCTTGGGAATCGTGAGTTTTCGTTCCCCAGTAGTGGATCCCATTGATTGGTCTTCCCGAAAGCTGCGCATCAATAAACTGTCGGCGTTTGCCAGTGACACCCTTTCTTCCTTTCGTTCTCGTGGTTTTGGCCGCTTGTCTTTCATAAAGTTGGGCGTCTTGGGAACTGTGATGGGCCGCGGTGGTATGGAAGTCTTGGTGGACCTTTTTTTCGTCTTGGAAGCAGCAATCTTTTGAGGAGAGGCTCGTTCCGCTTCCAGCTTTGCTTTTCGTTCCTGGGTTTTCTTTTCGCGTTCGGCAATCTTGGCTTTCAGTTTGGCAACTCGTTCCTGCTCCATCTTGGCCATTCGTTCTTTGCGTTCCCGTACCCGATCCATTGTGGACTTGATATTCCTCTTTTGTTCCGCCTTCTTCTCTCGGTTGCTTTGGGTTGTTCCCCGTCTTGAAGCACCCATTCGATCTCGTACTCTAGCTCTTGTGGCTTTTGGATCTGCAACAGCGCTGGTGGTTTTGTTGGTTGCTGAAGTTGCCACTGGTGGGTCAGCTTGTTCAGCGGTAGAACTCTTGGAGCCTATCCTCGTTTCCGCCATGCCCTTGATGGAACTTCCCGCCATCATTGGAGTATTCCGACGAGTTCTTGGCTTGGGTTGTTGTTGTTGTTGTTGTTGGATTGTTTGTCCATACTTGACACGAGTCCCCGCTCGAGTCGCCGCAGTCCCTCGCAAAAGTCGAGACGAAATGTTTTTATCGGGAGAGGTCAATTCCTTTGGTGGATGTTTTCGATTCACCAAGGGTGAATGACCTTGTCGCCGCATTATTGTAGACGCCATGCTCATTGGAGAATTCGGAACCTCACTCTGTTGCTGCTGCTGCTGCTGCTGTTGATATTGTTGCTGATATTGTTCTTGCATCATTTGTCGTCGTTTCCTCAATTCACTCGTGGGAGAACCAAATCCAATGGAAGAGGTTGGACTAAATGCCTGGGATTGATTTGTTCGCGACATGGATGGTGACGTGATAATGGTGGATGCAGTTTTGGAAGGAATGGTAACTTCCATGGCTGGCTGCTGATCTCCATGATTGGCAGGTTGGGTGGCTTTTGGTGGTTTTGCTTCCGTTGGTGGACCAGAAAAGAGCTGCTTTCGTTGGACCGGCTGGTTACTGATACTAGTATTTCGATTCCGATTCGCCTTGGCCTGAGTTTTGTTGTCATTGGTTGGGTGAAGATAATCAAAGATATTATCCACTGCACCTGCTGGAGAGGGAGGTGTGGCATCTGATGCTTGTTGCTTCATTTGTTGTTGCTGTGACATGGAGGGTGGAGTCAGTACCATGGGACGATCTGGGGTCTTTGGTGGTTTCGGTGGCGTTCCATCTCGCTTCTTGGCAGGTGTGCTTTGATGAGCAATGGCTTCTCGGTTGTCCACCACTTTTGGATCCATCATTGCGCGTGGGCGAATAATCTCTGACTTGTAGCTGCCCTTGTTCTTCTTGTTGTTGTTGTTGGTAGCTATTCTTGATGTTTCCTCCTTGTCATTTTTGATGCTGGGATGAAGAAACCCTAGCAACTCGCTGGAGGCATCTGGCTTTTTGGTTGGTTTCCTTGCTTTTGCTGCTTTCGCTTGTGCTACAAGTACTACTTCTGGCTTGGGTGGTGCTCGTAGTGGCGATTTGGTCAGTTGTTCGGCCTTTTTCTGCACCTCCAAGGCCTCTTGCAACAAATCATCCTGCTCCTGGTGCAAGTTGGGCGCCAAGGTTGGCACTCGATTTTCTGGTTGTTGCAGGGTTTGCTTTAGCTCGTGCAGGGATGGTGGAGTATCCGTTTGATGCACAATCGATGGAGGAGATTGGGGTTTGTTGGCCGTGTCGCCTTCTTCCGAACTGGAGGAAATATAGGATCGATCCATTTCCGATTCAATTTGGTCGTAATCGCTGCTGGTGTCATTTCCCAGCAACAACATAGCATCCATGGCATCCAATTTTGGCTTTTTGGATGGCGATGGACGATGATGATTATTATTATTATTCTTCGGAACCCCTTGGTTGTTGCTGTTGCTGTCGCTGTTGCCATTGTTGTTGTCCACAAGAGCAGGAGAAGAAGGAGTCCCAAATTCTTGTTCGGCCTTGAGCAATTCCGCCGCCAAATCTCGTTTGGGCAAGGCATCTTCATTTTCCAAGGCCGGTAGATCATCATCATCATCATTGTCATAAACTTCATTATTATCATCACCACCCAACATGTCCTTGGCTTGCATTACTGTCAAATGGGCAGCTGGATTGGTATTTCCCGCCAATAATTCTTCCAACATGACATCGTCCTCATCATCATCATCATCATTGTGATTGTCGTAGTAGTAATCGTCTTCAAATACTTTGGATTCCAAAATACGATCCGGTGACGGTGCAAAGGATGATTTGTCTTTTGCTTTGTTTGCAATGGGAGCATTGATGGATTCCAGAGTTGGAACGGAGGAATCATCATTAGCATTATGATCCGCGTCATAATAATGTTGTTCTTGCTGCAGTTGCAATTTCCGCAAACGTTCCCTTTCCTTGTATTCTTCCTTTTCTAGCTTTCGACGTTGCTCTTCTTTGAATTGTTTTTCCCGTGCGGCATCTTCGTCCAACAATCCCATCATGAGATTATGCTTCAAGGACAAGTCTTCTTCTTGTTTCAAAATATCCTTGAAGAATTGATTGTCACTAACATAATTGGAATTTTCGTCGGTTTCAGTATCGTCATTGCAATCGTCAAGAGCATTGGGATCCGGAATGGGTTTGGGTTGCAACAAATCCCGGGTGGTTAGTTGTGCAAACGGCTTGTCTTGTGCCTTTGTTTTTGCTGCTGGCGCGTCTTCTTCTTCGTCTTGCATGGTTGTTGGTGGATCCACATCCTTTATAATGTGTTGGAGCCGTGACAATATCGGCTCTTCGTCTTCTTCTTCTTCTTCAGGCGGCTCCTCGTATTGTTGTTGTTGTTGTTGTTGGAGTGGTGGTACCATCAGCTTGCGGTTGCTGCTAATGCTACTACTGTTGTTGTTGTTGTTGCTGTTCTTGATTTGAATTCCATCTGATTGACTTCGTGTTGCTGTTGCTGTTGTTAATGATGATGATGATGATATTGTGGATGCTAATAGGCTATTGACATGATCCATGTCGGGCATTTGAGGAGCGGGAGGGTCCTCGTCCATGTCAGTATCATCATCGTCTTCCATCCAATGATGATGGTTATTGTTATTGTTATTGCCTGCTGATGATGTCTTGTTTTTGCGGTTGTCGGAATTCAAAATATCACTCAAATCCGCATCCAATTTGGCATTGGCGTCTTCCATAAAGGCTCGCAACGAATCGGGCACAAAGCTTTCATCATCATCATCATCGTCGTCGTCGTCATGATCATTTAAAGGATTTTGAAATAGTTTGTCGTCTGACGGCGCCGTTCGGACGTGTTCCATAAAACTGGCTTCTTCCATTCTTCCTACTACTGTACTGTATTTTTATTTAAAAAATGCTGTTGTGGTTGTCTACAAACACACACCCAAACGATTCTTTCTAAGAGAGAGAGAGAGAGAGAGAGAGGTGCGTACAGTACAGTACAGTACAGTAGCTATCCGATGGGAGTTTCGATTGTATGCAGTACTGTATATTGATGATGATTGATGATTGATGATTGATGATCGATAGTGTACCTACACACTGCCTGCCTGCATGCCGCTCCACTGTGCGACGGTTATTTTCAATTTTCAACTCGTTCGAATCTTGGTCTACGACTATTTGTACAGCGCATATCTGGTAGGATTCGTGCCAAATCCAGACAAGATCTCTTTTGGCGCGAACCAAATTGTGCTACGATCATTTGTGTAGCATTGGTACATATATTATTGTAGTGTCCATCCATCCACCCGGATCTGTAGAAAATAGTTGGGTTTGGCATCATCATCATTCGTGTCATTTTTTATATGCTTGGTAGCTCCCAATCTCGTTTGGCTGCTTCCTCATATATTTTCTTCAAACTGAAATTGAAGTATCGAATCTCTGCTGCTGCTGCAACTGCCTCTGCTTTGCTCTTTTCTCCTTCCTCTTTAGGCTTTCTTTCGTATCACCATCATCACCATCACCATCAACATCAACAAGAACACCATCAACAAGAACACCATCAACATTATTATTATTATTATCACTCCACCAAAACAAGAAGAACTTGCCACAAAATGACAAACAACAACAACAACAACAACGAAGCATCTTCCTCTCTTCGCATCAAGAAGCTTTCCGACAAGGCCATTCTGCCCACTCGCGGCAGCGAATGGTCCGCCGGACTCGACTTGTATGCGGCCGAACCCAAAACCATTCCACCCCAGGGCCGTGCGGTGGTCCGAACCGACCTTTGCATCGCCTGTCCCAAGGGTACCTACGGCCGGATCGCCCCTCGCTCCGGGTTGACGGTCAAGCACGGAATTGACGTGGGCGCCGGTGTCGTGGATGCCGACTACCGGGGTCCCGTGGGCGTCGTCTTGTTCAATTTGGGCGACAAGGATTTCCAAATCAAGGAGGGTGACAGGATTGCCCAGTTGGTATTGGAACAAATTGTCATGGCGCCCATTGTGGAGGTGGGACAAGACGAAGAAATGGATGTTACGGAACGGGGTGCCGGTGGATTTGGATCGACGGGTGTGTCGTCATCATCATCGTCGTCGTCGTCTCTAGCCAAAAAGCAAAAATTGGACGGCAATGACATGGAGGAGGATCCACCACAACCACCCAAGGTCAGTCCCATCAAGTAAGACAATGATACACAGACATGCATTCTACATACATTACAGAACGTTGAGTAATGTACTCGTAGTATATTATTATCAATTCCAAGGGGGTATCATCAAAAAAACTAAACCACAACATTACATTCCAAGTATTATTTTAATATTGTAGGATTATACTGTAGTATATTCCATCATTTGTCAGTCTCACTTGGAATGTCATGATATATACCGGTAGAGTTGGAATCAATCAACGAATCAATCAATCAATCAATCAATCAATCAATCAATCAGACTGAACAAGAACTATCTTGGAATCTTTTTATTTCTTTATTCCTTTCTATACGGTAGTGTACCTATAGTATCATCCAGCGCGCCGGCTATATATCACGTCATGACAAAGATGATGCCTCGTCCTCCTCCTCACCATCCTCCTCCAGATTTCCCTCAGTAGTAGTAGTACTACTACTACTACTACTAGTAGTAGTAGTAGTAGTAGCACTAGTACTAATGTAATCATCCTCACTCTTTGCAGGTAGTTGCTGTGGTTGTGCGTCGCGACCAGTGCTGTACTTTTGATTGATCATTTCTTGGAGCCCTTCCAATGCCTGATCTACCTCGTCTCCACCACCACCATCACCACCTTGGTCCTTGTTCAGTAGTCCAGTGGTAATGGCTTCTTCGTACAATTTGTATTCGTCTGAATCGACGTGCTGACTGGCAAAGGTTTCTTCTTGACTAAAGACTCGATCTCGAATCTCCTTGGCTTGCAATTTGTCATCTGTTTCGGGTATCGATTCTTTTTGTTTCAGCATGTTCATCAATTCGCGCATGCTCGTTTCGTCGTCATCGTCGTCGTCGTCGTCATCATTATCAAATTTTGCGTTTGACGATAGTGCTCCGTTTGCTCTTGAGTTTGCCATATTATTGGGTCTAGCAGCAGCAGGCTGCTGCTGCTGCTGCTTCTTCGTCTCCTTACTAGTATTACCAAAAATATCATCAATAGTAGATTCTTCAAAAATGTACTCGGGCAGGGAACCATCCGCTTTGATGGACCTGGAAGCTCTCATGTAATCGTCTTCACTTAAAAAGAAGGAAAGATCTTGATAATCTTCTCCCATGATTTCCTCCAATTCAGCATTCCGCACTTCGTCTTGTTGTTGCAATGCTGATGCTGATGCTGATGATTCGTAATCATTCTTGTTGTTGTAATTGTTGTTGTTGCTGTTGTTGTTGTTGCCATCATTATTCGTCTTTTCTTTCATGGCTTCTTCTTGTTCGGCAATTTCTTGCATCTTGGCCAGAGTTTCGGCGTCAAGTTGACCATACGAAGATCGCTCCTTCCTCAGGTTGATGGAATTGGCCCACACGGTATTGTCCGATCCTCGGGCCAGTCGCTGCAGGGATCCTGGATTGTCCACTATGTCCACTATGTCATCATCATTGTTGTTGTTGTTGTTGTTGTTGTTGTTGTTGTTGTTGTTGTTGTTGTTGTTGTTGTTGTTGTTGTTGTTGTTGTTGTTGTTGGCATTATAAGGATTCGTATTCGTACTGGACGACAATGACGATGACAGAGACGACATTGTTTCTTCATCAAAACTAGTAGTAGTACTACTAGTAGCAGTAGTAGCAGTAGTAGCATCAGCAGCATCATCATTGAAATCTGTAAACAAATCGCCCATGGAAAAGAGGTTTAAATTTGCCTCGTCCATTTCGTTGTTGTTGTTGTTGTCGTCAAGATTATTGGACGACGACGACGACGACGACGACGACGACGACGACAACGACGACGCAATGTCTTGAAAATCATCCGCATCGAAACTACCATCAGGATCAAAACTACCATCTCGAAATAAATCACCCATGGAAAAGATATTTAAATCTGCCTCGTCCATTTCATTGTTGTCGTCTGGATTCTTGTTGTAGCTCCATCGTTGGGATTGGGCGCAACGATGAGGAAGGTTCTTGCTGGTGGAGGGTAAAGTCGTCCAGGCAAGAGTATTTTGTGTAGCAGCAACCCCAATAAGCAAGATGTAAAAGGTACTATCAATGCATGGTTGCTTCATATTGCTATAATATACATACATACCTATGTATATGTATGCTTGTTATGGTGGTGGTAATGAATGCGTACAGTAATGCCAGAGGCAACCTTTTATATTTTTACTTGTCAAAGGTTTGAGTTTGAGGTTTTGGGTTCGCTGTGGTCAGTGCATCGACCGTTCGGGTCGAATTAGTCTAGTATCCCGGTAGTAATCAAGAAAGGGCAGCAGTACTGTATGTACATTGGGTGTTGGGCCGTTGTCGTCGACTGTACTTGGTGTATGTAGCGGCATGGGTTGGCGATGAATAGATGGTTCATGTGGAATTGATTGCACTTCCAAAAGCGGCAATGCTTCTGCAGTTCTTGGCGCAGTAGGAGTATCCATTGTGTTTAGTAGTACTAGTTCTAGTCGTAGTCGTAGTACTAGTGGTATATCCTCCTCTGCTGGTGCTGGCCGGGTGCTTCCAGTGCCATGCTTCTACCACAAGTGGAGCAGAAGCAAGAGCCGTCTGCGATAGATGTTGCGCCACAAGCATTGCAATTCAAAGAGTTTTTTTGTCATGGCTGGTCCTCCTCGATGGTGTTTTGTGATCTGGTCTTTCTTCGTTTGAGAAGGAGAGAGGCGCTTATTGTTACAGTATGTGGGTCAGTCTTTCGATGTTCGGCCCACATTAACATGCGATGGTAAATCAAAGCGTGAATGAATTGGCTCAAAGACAAACATGAGGGAAACCAAAAGTACCTACTGTACTATATATGGACCAATGCTGTACTCTTGTGATCTAAAATTTAACTTGGACATGAGATTTCAGTGAACAACCTGAATCGGTGGCACTCGTTCATTAACTAAGACCTTTACGCCGCCCATCAATGTCAGACCCTTCACTAGAAGCAGAGGAGCATCTTGGGACACGTCAATATTTTGTCTTTTGGGTCCCTCCATCCCTCCCAGGATGGCAAGTCCCTTTACCTCTACCCGTACCCCTTGAGGAACAGTAATTTTCAGCCCCGACATGATACTCGGTACGACGCGCACCTTGGTGGCAGGGTGGATAAAATCTGCAACCGAAAGATCTATTTTTGCGCCATCCAAGATCGAAAAAACATCAATCACACGAGGGACAGTGACCTTTCCAGAGTTGAAAGTAGTAGGCGTGTTGATAAACAGAAGTCCACAGTGGGTATGGTGACCGGGTGCACTTTTCAGCATTTCATCTGAGGGATTCTTGTAGAATCTTGCAGGGTTTGTCTCAATGGCACGTGGAATTGCATCTGCTTGAGCCTCTCCTCGAGCCGTATCTTCTGCTGCAGGAGAGGCTTCTGAAATTGGAACCGCGGTCGCCGTTGGGTTTTCCATGGTGGCGATGTCTTCGCTTTCCAAGCTCAACTTGGTTCCACAGGAAGAACAAAATCTCGCCCCAACTGGATTGGAAGTGTATCCACAAGCTTTACAGACTGGTTGATTCTTCACCATTCGAGCATATGGCTGATTTTTATGAACCTCCTTATATTGGTCACTTTGGAAACGTTGTGAAAGTCGTTCAAGTGACACTTGCACGAAGGTGAGATAATCATTTGCACGAAGGTGAGATAATCACTTGCACGAAGGTGAGATAATCATCATGTCACGCAGTATCTAAGATACCCTTCCGCTTGGTGTTCGTTTTGGCATTCCGAGTGATTTAGCATGTACTGTAGCTGGCGGCGGGTTTTGAGGTTATGATGGTGTGAAGCTGGTCTTTTGGGTCAAAAGAGAACCCGGAAACTCAAACCGGAAACCCAATCTCAGGAATCCCGTAAACGGGTTTTCTGAGACCTGCTTGCTTGCCGGGCACTATCGCCGACTAGAAGAAAGGCTGTGGTACCCAACAGGGTGGGTGATGGTGGGAGAGAAAAATGAATTCGTCTGTTGCTAGATGTATCAATTCGACCAGTGACAATAAACTGATCTGTCATTCCCTGACTATCGGACTGGGAGTAGCTACCGGTAGCTAGGAGAAGGCTGAAGGCCAATATTATGGATTGAATTGATTCAGATGACTGGCAAAGTCCAACCACGTACGGCCTTCGACCGTGTTCGATATTTGACTATCGTCAAGATTGATCTTGCTGTCTCTTATAATTGTCACGATAGCATCACATTGTTTGTCATCTTTGTACCAACATACTCCCTTCTTTTCTCGAGGAAAACGAACACACACAAACCACAATGAACAATCCAAATCGAGTACACAATCCTTTGTATGGTAATAATCAACCATCCTCTTCGGGAGTGCCTCCAGTGGGACAGCCACAACCGTATCCACACCAGCAACCTCCACATCAACAACCCCATCCTCATCATTATCAGCAGCAACAGATGCAGCAGCCTCCACTTCAGCAGCAATCTCATCAGCCACCTCTTCAACATGTTGTTCATCAATCAAGTCATCCACAACAGCAACAGCAGCAACATCAACAACAACATCCTTCCCAACTTCCGCAATATCAACCAAAGCCACAGCAGCCACCTCCAGCACAGCAGCCACCTTCCCGGCAGGCTCAGCCTCAACAGCCTCCACAGAAGCCTCAATCACAACCACAACCACAACAGCAGCAAATCCAGCAACTATCCCAAGAAGAGCGGGTCCTAAAATTGTGGAGCAACATGCGCTACACGGTGGCGTCCTCCTTTGAAAAGTCCCAGACTGCCGATGCAGCAGCTGAAAACAAGGACAAGAAGGAATTTCAAGCCCAATTTACTGAACTCTCCAAGAATACCCTGCATTTTTTGACTTATCGTCGGGACTATCATCGATTGTTGAGTCAAATTGAAGCCAAATTGGAGGGCAAGGCCCAAGAACGACAGGCATTGGAGACCTATGTAAGAACGGCACCCCGATTGGGAAAGCGTAAGCGTGCGGATGTGAACGAGGATTCTGTTGCTGCTGCTGCCATTGCTACCGCAGAGACAGGAGCCTCCTAAACAATATCCATTCATGCATGCTTTTGCAAAAGAACTAGAGCTATTGGAAGAAAGAAAATGATTTATAAATAAACATAGAGCATCACATTAGTTGATTGATTCAAAACTGTACACTATTTTTCTTTTACTACTAGTACCTTGCATCTGCTGCATGACATACGTTATAGGTGTCGATCCTTCTTATTGTGGCACCGCGGAAGGGACCAATCCATCAATAGATCCGGCAATTTGAAATGGCAACTTGGACTTGCCTTTGACAAATTTCAGCAATAGGATAGTACTTTCTTTGGAAAGTCCTTGAAGAACGACAGTCTTGCCCAAATCAGTATACTTTTCGGCCAAGCCATAGACGGCATCTACCGCTGAGTGGTCGGCAAGTTTGGAATTGCTAAAGTCCAATACCACGGTGGAAGGATCCGTCTTGCTGGAAAATAGACTCGAAAATTCCGAGGTGGATCCGAAAAAGACTGGACCACTCAAACGGTAAGTCTTCTTATTGGCGTCTCCTGACGAAGTGGTTGTCAAGGTCTGTGATTGTTGGTAGGCAAATCCCAAAGCACTAATGACGATTCCAGCAAAGACAGCAACGGCCAAGTCCTTTTGAATCATAAGGACACTAACTAGAGCAATCACCAAGACGTCCAATTTTGGAATCTTTCGGATCAATCGGAGAGACGACCAGCTGAAAGTGGACTGGCAAACCAACAGCATGACGCCAACCAAGGCAGCAATGGGCACAGAGGCCAAAAGTGGAGCAGCGGCGACAATGCCAATGGCCAAAAATATGGCCATGCTCATTCCAGAAAAGCGAGAAATGCCACCACCACTTTGGACGTTAATGATACTCTGTCCCAAAAGGGCGCATCCACCAATGCCTCCGGTCAATCCTGACAAGATGTTGCCCGTGCCTTGACCCACACATTCGCGTTTGCCGGATCCCTTGGTACCATCGTCAACGAGTCCATCCAATATTTGCATTGTCAAGAGAGATTCCAAACATCCAACTGCTGCCATGGTAAGCGCATATGGAAGGACAATCCCAAAGGTCTCGGCGGTAAACGGGACCTTGGGCAACCCAATCTTTGGAAGGACGGACCAACCGCCGGCAAAGGTGGAAGCTCCGGCAATATCGGCTAGTGTTTTGGTGGGAAGCGAAAAGAAGCGGACCACTATGCTGGCAATGGTCACTGCACCCAAAGATGGTGGGACGGCCTTTGTCAATTTGGGAATTAGTTTGACCAACACCATGGTCAAGGCGGCAATGCCATAGGTACTAGCTCCAACTGGATCCAAGAGGGACAGGAACTTTCCTCCAGATTGAAAGTGCACCAGTTGGGCTTTGGTCATAACTACGGCCAATCCATTGACAAATCCCAGCATGACGGGATGGGGTACTAGTGTGATCAGTTTTCCAAGGCCAAAGGATCCGGCCAAGATTTGAAAAATACCAGCCATCATGGCACACACACTCAGGTACGCTGGTCCATGCGAGGCACATAAAGAGGCAATGACGACACTCACAGCTCCCGAGGCGGAGGAACAGATTCCAGGACGCCCTCCTAAAGTGGCGGCGGTAAATCCAAGAACAACAGTCGTCCACAAACCGACCAAGGGATTGACACCAGCCACAAAGGCAAAGGCGACAGCCTCGGGGACCATGGCGAGACTAACGGCTAGACCCGAAGTGGCTGCCTTGAATAGCTTTTGACGTTCTGGCAAATCGAATCTTGTCTTTTGAGGTTCTTCGACAACATCAGCTTCAGCCTTGAGAGGAGCAGGGGTGGCAACTTTTACAGGTCCTCGCTTCCATGGGGCATTCTTCTTGACAAATAGCTTGGGTTTGGTCCAAGCGCTCACTCCACAATTGGTGGCGATAGATAGGAGCGCAATGATCCGAACAAGCTTCATGGTGATGATTGGCGTTAAAAATTGTGTCGATGGACTAAATGGTTGACATACTGTATCTTCTTGTCGTCAAGGGCGAGAAAAATGGAGGGACTGACGTGTTTCCGATCAGAAATAAACTCTCAATCGAACAAGTCAGTCACTCCTGATTTCAAGGTATCAACGGGCGTACCGGTATTACTCTCCGTGTGAACCTGTCTATCTTCTATTATTTTACAGTCTATAGTACATCAGTCTGATACTGTGGTGCCAAACCGTTTCACTCCATCCGATGATTGTTATCCCATGAAGGAATTGCGATTACTTCCATTTTCGATGATTCATTCATTCAATATTGTGCACGGCCACACTTACATTCATGATTCTGTCTCCTCCCATGGTTGCAGCTGGACCGGATATAAACAGAATGGAATGACATTCGAGACAATCAAATCTGCACCGCTGTTGATGCGGCAGTTATTTCGAATTGCTATGGCGTCGGGATCATTCTGTACTTCAACAGTTTCAAGCTTGTCCTCTTCTTGATGCGGGCTTTCCTCCACTACTGTCTTGGAAATGATGCTACCCCGTTCGACAATGCTCTCTCTTTCAGTAATACTACCGCGCTCCGACATGCTGTAGCGGTCGGAAACACTTCCCGGTTCCGATGATATATGTGTCGTGAGAGTAGTGTGAGTCGCAATGGACAACCGCTTCGCATACGCTCCTTTAGTGTTTACTTCCTCGTGATCGGACATTTCATCAAAGGCTCCCTTCACATACTTCTTCATGCCTTGATTTTGATCCATCTTGCTCTTCCATGCAGCTAATTCCAGCAGAGAAGTCATCTCTTTCAGCTCGTACAATGACAATAAATCGTATACTGCCGCGACCTGCGTATCCTTTTCCTTCCAAGTCTTGCGCCCACCGTCTGGGATCATGTCGATTGCATTGATTATGTCCACCTTCCACGACTGACAGTGGACTTGCTTGAGTCGATCGACAACGGTCCAATATATTACACATTTCAAGACATGGGCTGCAACAAACATGATTGAAAAGTTGTCGACAATCGTTTTCCAAGAAAGTTCCTCGGCAGCATTCTCTGATAATTGCTTGTGGGTGTCCAAGAGGTATTGGACGACTTCTGGAGGAGCATCGCATAAACATGCATAATAGACGGGCAAGTAGCCCCAGGTATCAGTCACGTTTATATCGTCTGGATGGGCTTCTAACAAGAGTTGATAAAGCTCTAAATCTTGCTTCTTCGACATTGCCAAGATGTGGAGGGCTGTCATGCCAAAGGCATCTTGCCGCATTGTCTCCAAGTGCTCTTCACCGGCACTTTCAAAAGAACCCATATCCATCATCGCTTGCGACAGTTCTTGCAACGTTTCTTCGGTCGATTTGTAGGCATGGTAGTAACAGATCTTGTGCAGGGGCAAATCGTCGAATCTCGTCTTTAAGACTTCAATCAAGCTTTCCTCTTCGGGGAATTTGTCCTGCAGTTTGAAGCAGCATTCAAACGCATTATCCCCAATCACGTTTACAGTATCCGGGATGGCCACATTTCTCAGTTCCAAACACTGAAAGAAAGCTTCTGAATGGATAGCAGTCATACCATAAGGAATTTCAACAGAGATCAAATCCGTACAGCAACTAAAGCTTTGACCACCAACTTCATTCATCGTCTTGGGTAGCTTCACATTTCGAAAAGAACAAGAAGGAAAAGCAGCTCTCCCAATGCGCTCCAGCCCTTCTGGTAGATCCAAGGAATTTACCGCGAAACAACTAGAAAATGCCATGTCTCCGATTTCCTTGACGGTTGGTGGTATTACAGGTTCTTTCAGTTTATAACAGTCAATGAAAGCCCGTCCCATTATGCGTACGAGACCATAAGGCAATTCTATTGTTCGCATAATGCCACAGCCCGCAAAAGTATCCCAATCAATGACGCGAACACTTGGATCCACTCGCACGTGCAAAACATCGTCGGGTATTTGATCTCGCGTTTGGCCAGTATAAAGATACAAATCAGGATTCGTGAAGTGCGTGATGGCCCTGCGAAAGAAGAGCTGCTGCTGCTGAAGAAACGATATCTCTCTGGGAGGAGAGTCTTCTTCCTCCTGTTCTGCCATGCTGAAGGTGAGCTATTGGGTTGGGGCTTTTATTTTACGCACGCAATGCTGAAGATATGTTATGCCTTGTATATTCAGTACAGTAGGAGATGGGCCTTTTTGAGTAGTCAATGATGTCAACGTGAAGTCCTTCTCGGGAAACGGTTGAATCCATCATGGAGAACGGAAAATTTGTGGTCATGCCGTGCGTGTCAGCGCACCTGCCTGTTGCCGAATTCGAAAAGCCTTTTTCTGTCTTCCGTCTTGCCATCCATCATAATCTGTCTTGCCGTCAGCCCAGGATAGAATTCGCATAGTCCAGCCGTCATCCGGAACTTGACCTTCTGCACAACCATCTTTTGAAAATTCCTTCATTCTTCATCCGGAATGAATGTGACCCTCCGTTAAATTTCTCCGTAAAGCGAAGATACAAATGTCTTTCCATCAACGGGAACGTGACATTCTGAGCGGTTTTTCACAGCCAAAGTCTTTCCGTCGATGGGAACGTGACATTCTGAGCTTATATCCATCTGTCAACGGGAACGTGACATTCTGAGCCGACTTTCACTTCCAAAGTCTTTCCGTCGACGGGAACGTGACATTCTGAGCCGACTTTTGAAATTTGGATTCGTCCATCCGTCGACGGGAACGTGATGTTCTGAGCTAACTTTCCATAAAACGTGAACTTCCAAGCTAGCTTTCCGGTGGCAATGTGTGAACAAAGGTCCTCCTCTAGATGAGAAGTCAAAGAACAGTTTTACAAATGTCTATCAAGCCCAAAGAACAGAAAATATAGTACAATGAGGGCAGAAGTCAGCTAAGGATATATCAAGACATTCTTTACAGTCATCTTCATCGAATGAAGTTAAATTGACGAAGTACACATCAGAAGTTTTTACTTAACGGACACAATTGGGACATTACGGAAAATCTCTGAGCCGACCTGGCAGGATCTTTCACAAAATCGATGGGTTCACGTCGGATTCCGGCAACCTCTTCATATTTTAAGGATTTGCAATTTTGGGATCTCTACACCATTACTACGGTCATCAGAATGCAGCCCAACAAGAAAGAAGTCAAGAAGGCAGCTACCACTGCTTCAAAGGCAAAGGCCAACGCCACTGCCAATGATCTTACACAAGACGTCAGACCATATGACATTCTTTGTGGCAGAAGCAAAACATGTTTCAATAACATCGGAAACCGTCGCTTCCGCATTACAATTGGCATGAACGTGAAGAAGTATGATTTGCTTGCCAACCGAACTGAACGAGGAAAGTTCATTGTTGAACTGTCTCGCACACTCCGAGAAGAGGCTGGCTACCGCTTTTTTCGCGTCTCAAAGAAGAACGGAAAGGTCGAACTATCAGACGACGAAATCCGAGCCAAGATCGGCCACGCACTTCGTGACCTGTCTATCACTCAAGCTAACGCAGCTGAAGCGGCGGCTGCCAAGTCTGTGACCAGTTATGAAGAAACCAAGAAGTTCACCCCAACCATCAAGTCAGAAGCCAAGGTTGTGAGTCCTGATGCACAAGTGCGCAGAGTCACAAACGATTTCCACACCGACAGCAATGGCATGCTTATGCCCATTCCACAGTGTCCCGATCTCCAAAAGGATGCGATCATCGACAGCTCCGAGACCTCACAAGAAATTCCCAAGAACATCTACTTTTCTCCACAACAAGACTTGCTTCCTGGATCCGAGGTAGCACCACAGTCCCCCAAGATTCTTTTTATCGAATCAAATTTTACAACAGAACAAGAAACTTCGATTGGCAAGCCAATTCCAATTGAACAAGATTCTTCTTCTGAGAGTTCTGTTCACAAGGACAAGGAAGTTGCCTGTGACGACTATCATCTGATGCCTCTCAACTTCGATGAGCATGACGACCATGACACCGATATGTTGGAACCAATTCCCTTGGATATGCTTCCAGAGTATTATGCCGACTCGTTCAACAAAAATCCATTCTACATGGATCATGGTGAAGATAATGACAACAGCGAAGAGATTTGCAACAAAATCCGCAAAATGCAAGGTTTCCCATCCTTCGCCTCCCGCAAACATGAAACCATGTCTGCGGGATCGGCAGACGATCACATGATTACTTCAGACGACGCAGTCGGTTACCTAGCAATGGATGTGTCGATTCTTGCTTGATCGAATCATATTAACTGCAAACGGCAAAAGGCAAAAGCAGCTTCCAGTTGTAATTTCTGAAGACAAGCTTACTGCAACGGCAATTGTGATCAGCGCTTGATCAGTTTTTGCAGTTGTTACAGCTTGGCTCCCTATCTAGGAGGTCCTTCTGACACCAGTGCGATCGTCTACGATAGACGGGGGATAGAGATGAGATCCATCTCAATCGTTATGAATTGATGGGGCATGATCAAGGCGTAATTTACTAGAGCATACATTAGTACTACTACATTTTACAAATTGCAATCGGAAGACTTTCCAAGTAATTCCCTGAGTGATCGATTAGTCAGTACGAGTTGATTTTCACTTGATTTTCGCAATGCACTATATGTAATAGAAATGAAAAGAAAGTCTTCTAGAAGGATAGCCTTTCCTATTGTCGCAAATCTCATTTGATTGATTCCAACAACACGAAAGCTATTAGATTCCTTCTTTTCGGGCGGATAATTGAAAGACATTGCGGTGAAATAAAGACACTTTCAGAAATGAAGGGAAAACAGTGTCAGTAATTAGAAACGAAATGACTGAAAATTACGTGAAGTCCCATGCACTTTCTGCGATTTTCCGGGGAAGACAAGATCTCACTCGGGCACAAAAATTCCAAATCTCTCAAAAACTTCAGTGCACTCAAATTGTTGACTTCATCCTCAATTGAATAAACCATGACTGTCATTTGCGTACCTCCCACACCCACTGTCCGACATGGCATCTCGACTGCCAAACCACTCGCTCACACCGTTCTACCCCAAAAAAGGAAAGTCCGATTCAGTGAACGAGTAAGAGTCCGACGTCGCACTCAAACTCCTCTCACCAAGGAAGAGTTTCACGCCACCTGGTTCACAGCCGAGGAACTATACGATCGCAGAAGGAAGGACAAGAAGCTCAGATACGCCATTGCCCGTCAACCTGAGGCATTTAGCACTGAGCAAATGCTCGTCCTTGGATTGTACACTGAGGATGAACGCCGTCAACGAAACAAGCGTGCACTTCACGCACAAGCCTTTGTTCTTTCTCAACAACAATCGATGGATGTGGACACTGGAAGCGAGTCTGATGATTCTTCCACTTTCACCACGTCCACTTACAGCAGCTACGCTTTTCAGTGTGAAGCAGCCGCCTCTGAGGCTCACTTGCGGGCAGTCCAACATACCACCCATGTCCAGACCATTGACAACGAAGATGCCGCATCCGAACCCGACATGAGCCAAGAGCTCGTTGTCAGTCCTGAAGCTGCTCTACCAAAACTGCCAACCATAAAAATTCCGAAGATGAATCCGCCTCAAAACCAGCTTGGGATATGGGCCGTTTGTGCCTGAAAGCAGCAGTTTTCATACCAACTCCAGTTTTGAAGTTTCAACAATGGAACGCAGTTTTGATGACTACAATTTTGCTTCGCACGCCTATTTTAAAATGCAATGAAATGCACATACGTACAATTAATCATATTAACTCGGCTCATATCACTGTGGCATCCGAGTTGCCTGTTTAGAATGATTTTTAGTAGTTCAAAAAAGGATGAAGACTAGCCACCAAGAAATAATGCTGCCACAAGAATTTCAGGCTGCATTTCTTCAATTTGCTGTTGAGAGCTTTGTCTCATCAAATTCAACGCAAATTGCCTTCACTGTCAGGCGAAACAGAGGATAACACTCGAGTCAAATTTTCCAATCCCAGAAAAAAGACAGTGCTACAGTACCTGGTAGTCTTCCAGTATCTTGAATCTTGACAGCAAAGTGTCACCAGTCCGTTACTGACGTCAATTTCGATCAGATTTCTGTTTCAGTCTGATAAGTCAATTTGACTCTACCGACTAATCTGCCTTTCACATGCTCAAAGGCTCAAAATTCGAATGTCGGATTTTGAATGCCTCCACCCTGTACACGTGTACCAGTAAGGTATAGTACCGGAATGTACCGGTATGGTTCCGCACGACACGAGCTTTTGAGAATCTGCGACTAACTCACTCCTTGGAACGGCCGGGAAATAGCATACAATTCTTGGGAGTAAATATTGATTTTCCCGGCCGTCCCACTCGAGTGAGTGGTGGGATGCGCGGATCCAGTCCTTTCTAGTACACATGGTAACTGGCAGCTATGCAGTATCTGAACCATACTGTAATGCAAAAGGAACCAGCTGTAAGCGACAATATCATTTGCTCCCCCCAGCAGCACCCACATGGTAGGAGCTCCAGATAGAATGTACAAAGAACTAGCGCAATGTAGGTAGCGTTCATCACAAATCCGATACAATATGTGCACAGAATGAATAGTATTGCAAAAAAAGTCTGTGATACATTAGTCCTACTGAGTGTAATATTCAATATTTGAAAATGAAAACGTGAAGCCGAGCCATGATACAATCTAATAGTACCAACGATATGAGTGTAGCCACATGGTTTGGCAAGTTTCGATACTTCACTCTGGTTGGTTTGATTGATGCCTCCGCACCTCCAGAGTCCCATCAATCGTGGCTCCTCTCTTCATCGGCACAGGTAATCAATCAGTCAAAAGCTGACCGATTGGACCTTTTACTCTTGGGTTGATATCTCACGTGCTGACCAAAGAAAGTGTTTCAAGGCCTTCTGATAGGCAGCAAGACGAGTTCAGACTCATATCAAAGGTACCAACGGACATGTTCGTTCTTTGGCTCCGGCCGGATCGTTCATTTTGTAGCTCAAAGGTTCCAATGGACATGTTCGTCCTTTGGCTCCGACCTGAGCGGTCCTGACCTGATCGTTCATTTTCTAGTTCGGAGTGTGTCCAAAATTCATCCAATTCATCATCATCATCGAGCGGAGGCAAGATGCTCTCCGCAGGAGGGCCAAGAAGGCTTTCACAAGCTTCTCCGACCTCCAATGGGAACAGCTTCAGGTTCTCTTCGTCATTTCCACCAAAGAACTTCCTGATACTCTTGAGTTGATTCGATTTCAAAGGAGTAGCATCCTCATCATAAGGAGACACCTGGGCCATTTGATCCACTGGAGGACTCAAAGAGCGAACTTGCTCCGGTAACGCAGACTTTTTGGAGTCTGCAGCTTCTTGTTGTCCCATGGTGGACATGGAGGCTGTCTTGTCTGTAGAAAACGAGGAGACGGGTATGGGGGTCGGGGAGACTGATGTGTTCGCATCCTCGTCATTGACAATGTTCGCAGAAGGAACTGTCTCCAGAGATGCAGAGGAGCGAACACTCTGCAACTTCTTGTCTTGTTTCTTGTAGGGTCCTGGCCTTGGAACTCTGGAATCAGGGCTGCCTTCATCTTCACCGTTTTCACGTAAGACGGTGGAGAGATCCCGAAGAGCGTGACCGATCTTCGCGCGCACCTCATCGTCACTGAGGTCTATTGTCTCTGAATTCTTCCCGCTTTTCTTCTTGAGAAAACGAAAGCCTACTTCATACCTCATTGTATGAGCAAGAGACGCAATGAACTTGCTTCTCTCGTGGCGAGAACGCAAGGCATTGTACTTTTCTACATTCATATTAATGGTAATGCGAAACCTGCGATTTCCAATGTTGTTGAAGGAATTGCGGTTCCTTCCGCATAAAATATCGTATGGACGAGGATTTTCAAAGGTACCTAGTGCAGCCATTGTGTTATAACTTCTCCTTTGTCTACAGAATGAGGCTACTGATCGGATGTCGGAAGTTAGAAGTTTGTTGCAAGTCGAAGGTCGACGCTATTTCCTGAGGATGAAAATTTATTTTTGAGCTGCGTTCGCAAGAGCAAGAATAACAAAAGATCGGCTAAGCCTTCTCGCATTTTCGAATTAAATTAATAATAATTATTTTTGTAGATTAAGATCACCTCATTCATAAGTGTCTACAACAACTATGCTGCCCCTTAAACATTTATCGGAAACGTACCACGAGCAACACTTATTTCATGTAGGAATGGTAATATGGACGTATCCGTTTTGCTCGTGAGATTTAACTAGTTTAGATAAAGGTTATTCGTAGAAAGTTCTCTAATCACTATTTGATCTATCTTCAACAAATCATAAGCGTGGATCCCTTAATTTCGAAATATAGCAGCCTCCTCCGTACCCGGTAACGGCGCAAAAAGCAGGAAAGTTCTTCCGCGGAAAGCTAACACATTCACCAACCCACTGCAGAGCAGAACGATTTGATGGCACGTGATCAAATGCCGCTTGGCCACAAGGACAGCAAACGATGCTGCATGATGGCAGGACTTTCTTTAGCTGCTGTAGTGTTTAGATTTATATGTATGTTGATCTACAGCACCTGGTATTATCGGTAGCAGTTTCATACCGGTAGCTGTTGTTTGTGCTGCCTCCAGTCGGGCGGGTGGCGTTTGCAATTATCCTACATTCGTTCTCACATTAGCTTGAGCACTGCGAAGAAGAATACTACAGAAACGTGTTACTGGCGCTGGATAATACCGGTACGGTAGCAGGTATCATGAAACAACATCGACCATTGTTTGAACCATGATCTACGGTATGATACCTCAGTCACATGTGCATGGACATACCGGTACGACTCAATAAGACGATTGGTATTATATCTACTAGTGCTAGCTAGCAAAATTCAAAATACGAGGTGCCATCTCATATCCTTGCTGTTTGACACGCGCGCAAATCCGTTAAATATCGGCGGGGATCATTTCGTTGGCAGTCACGACTCACTCCCCGCGCTTTCTCCGCAAAGTTGCTATTGGGTTGCAGAAACACAATGACAATGGCAGATCGTCTTGGCTTGCTGTGGCTGTGCGTGGGAGTGGCTTCTGCCCAAACACCACCCGTTGGGCACATCGCAGGTAACCCAAACCTTTCTGCAGGCAATTTGTGCGATTTGAGCGATCCAAGTACACTTGTGGGTGAGCTATCAGTCAGCCACGTTGCCACTTTGTTTGAAGGGTTTGGTTCCAGTGCAGCCTCCAAGGATTATTTTATTGCTGGATTGACATCCACTGGGGTCCGCCGCTCCCTTCTCAAGTTTGATTTGGCAGGTGTGAGTTTCCCGGCCGACGTTCAAGTGTTGTGTGCAGAAGTTCGATTGTCCTTGGATGTGAACTTGTCCTCCTCCGATGCGGCTCCACCAGAAATTACGCTTCACGAAGTCACGCAAGACTGGTCCGGCAATGCAGATTCACAATTTGAAGGTCTGAATGGGAGTCCAGCCGTGAATGGAGATGTTACATGGGAATTCACGACCTATCCAACGACACGATGGGCAAATATGGGTGGTGATTTTGCAGGAGATCCATTGTCACGACAGCAAAAGACAACGGCAGCGGATGGCGCCGAGCACGAATGGTTTGGAAATACGAAACGAATGCACGCCTTGGTGAATCAATGGATTGGCGATAGCAGCAGCAATCATGGACTTTTGGTCAAAAGTGACGAACAGCTGGATGATCCCATTGCATACAATGTTTATCATGGGGCTGAAGTTACTACAGGTCTAGCCCCCAGGTTGATTGTGATTTACACGGCTCCTAGCCTGGGATATCCACACAAGGTAGCTCAAGGTCCTGGAAGTCCAACGGGTAGCCCCACTATATTTGATGATATGCTGGTCGGCATCCCCACGGACAGTCCAACTGCAGGTCTTGGTGGTGCTGGTGGTTCTACAAACGGCGATAGCCCAACCATTGGTCCTGACAATGGGGGCAGTATCAGTAGTGATAGTGACAGCGATTCCGAAGATAATGCCTTTGGATTTACGCGGGAAAGTAAATCCAACACCGAGTATACCGCAGTCGCCCTCAGTGTTACGGGCATTGCGCTTGCTGCAGTCGTGGCTTCCTTATTTGGCATGATTCCGCATCGTGCAGAAACCACGGAGGAGCTGGGAGAGCAGGGAGGCAATGTTATAGCACCGCAATCAGGCGCTCCAACAGAATTGGTGTAGACTGAATGTACGTGCAACATTTGATAATGTGAATAGCTACGGAATTGAGGAGCAATTGTTTTGGTAACCGAACCAAAGGCAGTGGATGGCTTTGCGTTGGACCAATGAAGGGACTCCCTCAGATTCGATTACGAAAAAAATAGAAACAATCTGGACTGGCTGGCAGATAGATCAGTTGTTCCAAAGACAGTATACGACAGAAATAATTATGAATACCGACTGTGATGTATTCAAATCACACTGCTTACCCCACATAGCGAAGGCGGGTTTACAACAACTACTATGGGTACCTGTCTGGCTGGTATTGTATTGATAGGTGTACAGTACACGTACGTTAGATAACACAGATTGAATTGGCTTGGCTTGGATATGATAGACATATTACGGTACCGGTAATAGGTACTGTACGGTAGGGACCGGCACCATGCATCGGCAGATTTAGATCAATAAGACGTTGATATGGTTCAAATATTTGACTCTTTGGAGTCCCACACGCTCGCAAAACCGTTGTCACAAAATAGTTCTCAAATACCATCGCGCGTCATCACAATCGCCAAACTCATAAAATCAAAGAAAATGACAAGACACCTCCTTCTTCCGCTATTACTATCTCCAGCCTTCACAAATGCCCAAACTGTACCCGATGGGCACACTCCAGGCAACACAGAGCACCAGCATGGTTTCCGTCTATGCAATATGAAGGACGACAAAATGTTGGTCGGGGAGATTTCCCTGAGCCAAGATGCCACTCTGTTTGCAGGCTTCAGTTCCAGCACAGCATCCATGGAAAAGTTCGTCGCTGGTAGAACTCCAGATGGTGTACGACGTGCTCTTCTGAGTTTCGACTTATCTTCGGTTAACTGGCCTAGTGATGTGCAAGTTGCGTGTGCAGAAGTTCGTTTGGCTGTGGATCCCCATGCATCGGTGTCGCCTCCCTCGACAAACGGGATGACACTTCACGAAGTCACAAAGGATTGGACCACAAATGGGATCACCGCTCTAGATGGTACAAATGGGGGTGATGCCCAACATGGAGATGCAACTTGGAATTATGCTTCTTTCCCTTCTGAAGAGTGGGATACACCGGGTGGCGACTTTGCTGGAGATACCCTGTCACGGGAAACCATCGTCTCCAGCGCTGACGGTATTAAGTATGCATACTTTGGATCCACAAAACGAATGCATGCGGTTGTTAACGAATGGATCCGAAACCCCAGTAATAATCACGGAATGATGATCAAGGCTGATGAACTGGCAGATGATCCCGTCGGCTACAATGTGTATCATGGTATTGAAAACAACCCCAGCTTGATCCCTAAGCTGGTTGTCGTCTATACGGCTCCCAGTTTGGGATATGAGCACCAAGAGCACCTAGAACACCACACACAAAATCCCATTAGCAACAATTTGGGTGGAATTTTAAATGACGACCCTTCCAACTCCAACCCAATCTCCACTGATGGAAATATCAACCAACCCACAGAAACTCCCACAGAAATTGGAGATGGTCAATTCCTTGGTAATGTCAAGCCAACTTTTCCTCCTATCAACAATGATGCCCAAAAGCAAACTTATGTCAACCCTGGTAAGCGACAAAGCAACTCCAACCACGAGTACATTGCCATTGCAGCAATTTGTACTGTCGTCTCTGTTGTGCTTGTTGGGCTGTCCGTCCTCAGCATGAGAGCAGGTGTCCCGCAACCTCCGCAAATGTCAGCCGACGAAGTAATTGGCAGCGACTTGAGCCTAGACACTGAAAGAGAAATAGTATAATCATTCCAAAATGTTCGTGATTGGTGAACGATTGAATGATGATTCGCAGCACACACCTCGGAGCAAGAATAGTATCACTAAAAGAAACAATGTAAAGTACGATTTTAACGGTAATTTGCTAGCTGTTCACAGTCTATATATTACATTGTCTATTTGTTGAAACGCATCTAGAATGCACCAACCATGTCCAAATCTTGAGTGGCCAAGATGTCATAGACGCAGTCCTTGCGATCCAACTCATCCTTCAACTTAGCACAGGCAGCTTCAGCCGCTTCCACGGCAATGGTGGACTCCCCAAGCCGTCTGTGACGTTGGCCTTGGGGATCCTCAGGCTCTATGCAACGCTTGGGGAACTGGGGGTCAGACTCATCACGGAATAGCATGTAGTCCGCTGGAAGAACCTGCCATTCGTTTCCAAGTTGCACAAAGTCATCCATGCGCGTGACACCATCACGGGCAAATAGATCACCAGTCTTGAAGTCGCCTAGCATTCCAACCGTATCGCCAAAGGCATCGGCGGTGGCTCCATGAAAGTCGACGCGCACGAATTCGCGGTAGGTAGACAGAACGATCTTTTGATCAGGGTACTTTGAGCTCAAATCGATTTCGAAGTAGCTCTTGCTTGCTTTATCGTTGTGGATGGACAATGGAAAGCCGCCAATGGATGTAGCTTCCCCCTTGTATTCCAAGTTGAACCAATGGTGAGCGTCGTTTTTTTGTGGATCGGCATTTCCTTCAATCTCAAGGATGTCATTGCCAATGCGAATGGCAGCTTTCTTGATGTAACTCCAGTAGCGCACAAGCTTGGTACGGATTTGGACATCCAATCCAAGACCGTCAGCAAAGTCGTGATCCTGGGTCAAAACCAGATCACACTGACCATGAAATTCAAAGTGCTCGCCCTTCCAGGCTTGGACTGCATTTGAAAGAGAAGAGAAAAAGAACGAACACTTTGGTGAGTGTGAATTTATAACACAATGATCTTTCACTTGCATATGGATTAACGAATAACTTACAGTGAGGATCTCCAAGAGACCCAGCTCTGTCCGTAACAGTTTCAGGTGGGATAGGACTGGGGATTGGTGGATCTATCGAATTAGGCACGCAATCAAGCTCCACTGACAGGGCCAAGTAGTCGTCCTTATCATCAGGAACGGCACAGTAGTCACAGTGAGTATCATCACTCTCACAGAAATGGAGGTAAATCTTCACTTCCGCCTTCCCATTAACGCAAACTGCTGTGTATGACTCGATCCATTTCTCACTAACACCCGAGTTCACTTCGCAGACTATATCCGTCGAGCCTCGATTGTAGTTCAAGGCAACCTTCTCGACGGTACCACTGTAAAGGGTTTGGCTAATCTCAAAGGTAACTGCGTCTCCGTCTTGACTGGTGACCTGAATGGGCAAATCGTTCTCGTCTAGATCATTCAAATTCTGCTGGTTGGCGCACTTCTTGGGTCCATTTCCAACCTCCCCAACAAGGGTTTCCTTGGAGCTGGCGTGTACGGTGACAACAGACAAGGCCAACATTAATGCAAATTGTATTGATAGCTTCATGCTGTATCTGTTACTACCGTGACGCAAGTAATTTTATGGGCTGTCCTTGTACTTCAACCCGAAAGGCTCCCACATTTTTTCTTTCAATTGGGTCTCTTGATTTTGTGGCCGGAAAATATCACTATGCGACCCATTGACTCATCACACTGCAATGACCTGCAATCCAGTCTGTGAATGGATAACATTATGACATGCTATCAATTTGGGTCACGGGAAAGGGGTACATATCCAAAAGAGGTTAATCAAAGATGACTGCTCACATCGCTTGGTCATCAAGACATGGAGTGCAAAGACATGAGTCAAGGAAGCAAAGAATGAAGCTATATCGTTCTACTTCATCTTGAATTTATTGTTTTGTATGAGATACTTATGATTCATTCGACTTCAATGTTCTCGTTCTCACCAAATTTGAAAATACTGTGTGGCGGTATTTTAAAAAAGACTGATGTAGAGTAATTCCAAAGCACCAAGTGTTCTTGTTGAGGGATTGTTCCCTTTCGTGTAGGTACTGTATGACTTCAGTGGAGTTCCCGATAACGGAGAGTCACAACGTTCCTGGAATGCTTAGATCATCCGTGGCTGGATATACACAGTTCTGGTTTCAAATGTTCAAGACATCCCACATGCAATAACGGCTAAGAGAAAATGGCGAAAACGGTCACGAGACACAAATTGTGACCCACACTTGGTTTCGCAGGGTCGAGAATTGACGTGTGCCTGTCACCTACTGAATGTTCCTGCTGTGCTATCAATCGTGGTCGAACTTTGGTACGAGCCAGTCATCCTTGTTTCGTACCTAACTGTAGTAGGTACCAGTACGCTGTTTCGTCCGGGTTTGAAATGTCTGCATTCGGATCGCAAATTTTGACAGGTAGAATCATGTAAAGATCAGTACTAGACATATTTGTGGCACATAAAACCAAGAAGAAACCGAAGGCGTGAAAAAAAGTTTTACGATTGCAAGCGATTTCTGTGCAGTTCCAAAGCAAAGTATGTTCTTTTCCGTGACTCATGTTACTTAACGCCTCACGATAAGACGTGGCGAAAGAATGGCAGTTCACAAAATTGACGCGTTCATTCTCTGATCGGGCACATGAATGAGGTTTCCAAAACGGATTGACACACAATCACAATCACAAATTGCAAACCAACACAAATCAAAAACACAATCAAATTCAAAAAGAAAAAGCGATAGCATCACAAATTCAAAACATGAAGCATATGAGTAAGACAATGACAACCTTGACCAGGCTGCGTCAACACTATGAAGAGGAACAAGACCAACAAGAGGAAGAAATGGAGCGAGAACAAGAGCAAAAACAGCAACGAGAAGAAAGCGAAAGTCGTGATGATTTGGGAAATCGTGGCTTTACACCACTCCCATTCAACAGCAAGAGATCGATCGACGTTGTTGAATTCAATCCAGAAGAATTGAATAACATTTCACCGTTGAAACCAGAAGAAGCTGACGAATCGCAACTCGCAGATTTTCTGCAAGGCGATGATTTATCCTTTCTACAAGAAGTCAAGGGCGATCCGGATGCAAACGTTCCGAATGTTCCGCAACCCAAGTCGACCACCATGCACAGAATACCAAGTGACTTTCTGGTGACCTTCTATGGCGAGACTCCTGGAAATAAGCGAAGACGACTATCATCTATGGATGATGGTTTGTGAACAAGTTAACAAATCACCAAGCTAAATAAACAGCAGGCCACAGGCATTTTGTACGAGCTCAGTGACATCTGAGTCTTGATTGCCTTGTAAATACACAAACTAATTTTGTAAAATGCTACAGTTTTACTATAAAATCTGTTTCATTGTTTTGATGATCGGTTCTCACATTTCCTTTTGGAACTGTGTAGTTCATACCACGTTCTACGCAAAATTTTGTGAAGGCTACCAACTAGTTTTACTAATGATACATTTCATTGTTTGAAGAATCGTTCTCATGTTTCTTTGCAGAAAAGCCGTACCGGTAAACTTCGTATCAAGCTCTGTCGTGACAGTGAGAAATCGCCAATTGACGCATCAACATATATATGGCACGATCCAAAGTATCCAAGTCGTGTGAGATGTTGATATCCTTCGAATCATCGTCATCAACAAAGCTTCGCCATGCAAACCGTAGGGTGGTGATTGGTGATTGGCGAAAGCTTCCAGCTGTCATGATCTAAAAGTCGGTCCGAAGCAACCCACTACCGTCGTTTTTTCTAACTGTCAACCAAATCGAATCATCTATCCAGCCTTCAGAAATCCCATGGTAGTTTGAATCGTACAAGCAATCGCTGCAATGCTTGATGTCACCAGCAAGAACCATGAAAATGCAACGAGTGCCTTTGTTGCATTGTCTGGCATCTGCTCACTCTCGTGTTGTAGCTTGAGATAAAAGGCGCACGGAAGAGTAAAGGCAATCAAGAAAGCCAAGAAAGATCCGCAAACGCTCCATACCACAGCAACTCCAGGAACGTGAATGGCAATCACGTAGCAAAATATAACAATCCCAAATGTACAAGTATAGTGAATCCACCAGTAGTACTTGTCCATCGTTTTGCTTTGTTCATGGAAGTATTGTGTAGTGCCCAGCACTGTTACTTGTTTGTCGTCGCCAGCTTCAGATGCGAGTAGGGGAGTCTCTTCCCCGGTCACATGCGATGATACTTGTGTTCCAGCATCATGTTTTGCAGTATCACTGCTGTCCTGCAGGAGCATGTTCAAGACTTCCATAAGGCTAGAACGACATGGCAACAAGATCATAGCCATGGCCAACATGATTGTGACTCCGCACCCCAACCGTCCCAACAAGAAAAACAGACCCCCCGAAGCGGAAATATTGTTCAGAATATTGCCATCAGTGTCATCTCGAGCATACAAATAACCGCCCAACCCAAAAAGGAGCATTAGCACAAGAGAACTACCAATCGCACCATTGAGGACCAATCGAATACGGCTTCGGGTCGGCTGCTGCAATGAATTCTGGATTGGTAGTGCGTTGAAAATTCCAAGAAACGAGAGGGTAATGATAGGAAAGGCAAAGAGAACATCATCTGCCGAGCTGCTCCACAATTTCAGCGTCGTTTCTTCTACTTCCACTGCGACACTTGTCGAATGCTCGGGTGCAACAATCGTGATGAATGCGGAATGACAAAGTGCCAAACAAAGAATCGACACGGATGCAAAGCTCACGTAGCAGTTGTATCGTAGCGCGTGTAATGTGTCTTGTACAAAGAATGGACTCATGATCAGAAGAATGACCAGTAGAACCATGGTCTTGTCAATGTCTTGTGCCTCTGGAAACCAAAGGTAAAGGACAGACGTCCAAATGTCTTGAAGCAAGACCATGTAGGCCACCAGCGCAAATTGAAGTATCACAAACAAGAGGATCGATACAAAATATTCCATGGATTTTCCAAAGGCAACCTTTCCAACTTCACCATAGCTTGTTGATCCAGTCATTCGAGCGCACAAACATAGCAAGTACATGGAGCGCTCTGTCACAATTGCAGCAATCACCATCAAGATGGACCCCAGAATGATTCCACACCGTTCAAACGCCAATGGAAGGGACAAGACACCACCGCCCACGATAGTTGCTGAAAGATTGAATGTTGATGAGAACACATTGGCCTTGCGATTGGGTGATTCGAAATCTGGATCCAGAATATCCCCACTACTTGTTGCTGGAGAGGCGGTTGCCATCTTCGTGGCTTCACGGTGACGCGGCAACTGCCGTATTTTGTGGATGCGATCAGTATGCGGTGCGACGATGATTATGACACCAAAATCATTCAGTCTCGCGGGACTGAGGAGACAGTCATGTGGGCTTGAAGGGGGGGCAATGTGCAATGTTTCTTATTGATATAATGGGGACACTGATATTGCACCCCCGGTTAATCTGTGAGAAACATGGTTAGAAAAGGTAATAAGCTTGTATTGTACAACAAGTAGCTATGAAAGGTTAAGATCTATTGCGAAAAAGCATATGCGCCTCTTGATTTTCATTTCTTCATGCTTTTTCTAAAGCAGGCGAATGATGCTCTGGGAAGTACAAGCTACCACAGCTATGACCGCCACCACAAATAGCCCTTGTGCAAACCATAGCCAAGCCTTGCTTTCATCGTTGGGAAAGTGACTGTCTTGTTGAATCTTCACATAACATGCTGCTGGTAGAATGAATGCAATCAAAAAGGCCATGGAAGATCCAACCAAGCTCCAGACGATTGCAACTTCTGGAACACGAATGGCGACCATATAGCAGATGCCTAGAATCAAGAATGTGAGGAGGTATCGTACCCATGAGTTCTCATTCAACCGTTTTTCGTTCCTCTTGGTCACAATGATTGGGTCTCTGATGGACTGATTGATAGCGGAAGAGGACCTGGATATCAAGGGTATTTTCTCACCACGTGGTTCCACAATATGAGCCCCAAAAAAGGCGACGTCCAAGAGTTCCAACAGAGTATCCCGGCATGGTAACAACATCAAGGGCATGGCCAATGTCAGTGTCACACCACAGCCAAAGCGCCCCAAAAAGAACAACTGGGTGCCGATTCCTGCCTTCATCCAATTTGATGGTGTTGGGATATTGTTCAAAATGTTACCATCCGTGTTCATTCCTGAATACATATAGCCCAACATTCCAAAGGGTATCATGATGATAATGGCAAAACCAATTGCACCATCAATAACCAATTGCATTCGTTTGCGACTTGGTTCAATAAGAGCAGCTTGGACTGGCAACACATTAAATACGCAAAGGAAGGAAAGATTGATAATTGGAAAGGCGTAGAGGACATCGTTGAAGGAATCTGTCCATTGCAGAGGTTCAAATTCAATAGGTTCTGTGGCGACATCGCGCCAAATAGCCAAAAGAAGAATTGGAATGGAAGCGAACCCAATGTAGCAATTGAATCGCAATGCGTGGAGCGATCTCTGAATAAAGAATGGGGACATGAGGGCCAGAACCACCAACAGGACCAACTTTTGATCGACAGCTTGACGCATGATAACGGAGACGATGGAAGTCCAAATGTCTTGTACCAAAATCATAAAGGCGACCGTGACGAACATGAGATAGACAAAGAGCACCATCGATATTCCGTACTCTCCTTTGGTTCCAAAAGCAGCCTTTCCCACTTCTCCGTAGGTTGTAGCTCCGCTGATTCTTGCACAGAGGCAGAAAAGAAAGAGAGACCGTTCGGTAATCACCATCGATACAAGCATCAATAACGAGCCAAGCAGTAGACCACATTTTTCAAATGCGAGCGGCAGTGACAAAACTCCGCCGCCCAAGATTGTCGCTGTGAGATTGAAAGTGGCAGCTATCATGCTGGATTTGCGTCGACTCGATGAAAAGTGGGGAGATAGTGTATCGTTTGTCATTGTTGCAGTGTTTATTGACTCGTCACTTCTACTGTTTGTGAATGGGATTCTTTCAAAAAAGCCGGATTGCAGATGTTACTGTATTGTGAAGTTTGTGGTCAACGAATAAAATGCAAATGCACCATAATTCGTCTCCGACCGATCGTTAAGTACAATCGCGACCAGAATAAGTCGGACAAATCAAGCCGTGTCCGTTAGCGGAATTATGGTCGATTTCTTGTGAGTGTCCGAGGGAGTGACAAACGTAAGTGCTCCTGTATGTAAAGATCTCAGTTTTGCAAGTTGCCATCATCGTCACCATGAGCAACGATGCAAATCAGTATCACAGGACGTCAGGATCACTCAATGTAAAGTCATCGTATGGATCAATAAATCACTATAATGGAGTACGCACTCCCCCGAGATCTCCCATGCCGCTTCGGCCTGTCAAGGAAAATGAATCTTTGAATTTTAGTCTTGCGAGCATGGGAAACCTGCTGGGAACAAAATCTAGTGACGACAACAACGATGACGGCGACGACAACAACAATGTCAACACCCCCAGAAAGAGGTGTACGATGGCCCACTGGGTTTTGGGATTAGTCATCGTCATTTACTCCCTATTAATCTGTGTTTTTATTATAGGGAAGAAGAGCCGAGCTCCATCATCACTCGATTCACCAAGTGATGGTTTAGCTTCGGGTGGACTATCAAAGATCCCTTTCCCTTCCATTAACCGCTCTGAGTTTGGAAAGAATCCTCAATCAGCGTCTTCGATTGTGAATCCTGATTTATTTGCTTCCGGCTTGTTGGGAGAAGGAAAGAGCCTGCTGAAGGTTCCCTTTCCTACTGGTGCCTTTTGGACCAATCTTGTCATTCAACCAACCGCCGACCGAGAATTATCCTTTCCGATCATGGCTTACCCATATGCCTATAAATGGAACCCTACGATGCTACAAGTATCAGTGCCATCGCTGTACAGCTTGATGGATGCCATCTCGCTTCGACACATTTTCATGGCAGATTTGACGCTTTCCGTCGCTGATCAAGAGTCAATATCCAAACGTTTCGTCCACTACTTTGATCCCTTGAGTGTTACGCTGCGCTATGAATCCTCCAATACCACAAAGTATTGGGAAACCTTTGTGGTTCAAGGAAGTCCGTACATTACAGCAAAGTACGAGAATATGATTCCCAAAATTCGAGCTCTGTCCATTTTTCACAGCATTTCCTGCCTCGGGACGGATGGTGACACTTGCGTTGAGCTGGAAAGTGATGAATCCACAAAGGTATGTGTGTAAAAGTGTTGGGCACAATCGGGTCCACTAGTTTCTCAGCTCTCGTGTTTGCATTTCAACATTCAGACCATTCGATTGAATGGCACCCAATTTGCACTCGAGACCAACGAAAACCTGACTTGGCTCGTATTTTCATCAGAACCGATTACTCTAGTCTTTGACAACATACGCAAGACGACAGTCAAAACTGAAAACTCCTTTACTGGTATTTTGCGACTGGCCTTGGTTCCGCCACATCTCGAGGAAACGATTGAGTATACGAGCCAGATGCCGCAAAGTTACGAGAGTGTAGACCTTGATGGATCCACTGGCGTGAGTCAATTGATAGAACATGCCAATTCTTATCCAACTGGTGTTGCTCTTTCGTGGAGCTTTCCCTCAAAGGATATGGGCGCTTTGGCATTTGACTTCAAGGTCAAGGAAATGACGTCCCGAGACAGTTCCACGAGCACTCTTCTCATGCTAGCCTTGCCCCACCACGTGGATATCTTGTCGCAACAGAGCTCCAAAAAGTATACACTTCTTTCCAACAAAAATCAATTTGATCTCATCTACGAAACCATCAAGGGCCCCATGAAAGCAGTGGTTGGCAACTCCTGGATTCTCCCGGAGGAACTGACGACGGTTGGTTTTGATCATGATTACACGCTAAAAAAAGCGTATGGATTGAATAATGCTACTAAATCAATCATCATGGATCAAGTCGTTTTGGACGTCAAGCGAGTTTTGCCAACAATGGACGAGAATGTCTACGGTTACGGAAAACAAGTGGCTCGGTTGGCACAATTGATCAACATTGCCAAAACCTTGACTGCAGACCAGTCTGGCTTTGGCAACAAGTATACGTCGGCCATTCACGATGCCCAACTAGTCTTGCACCATTTTCTGAGCGCCTTTTTGAGTGGCGAGACTGACGACTCGTTAGTGTTTGACTCCGATTTTGGTGGGCTTGTCACGAAGGATGGTTTAGACGACTACATGAATGACTTTGGTAACGGCTGGTACAATGATCATCATTTTCATTATGGGTACTATTTGTACGCTAGCGCTTTGATGGGACAGTGGAATGAGACTTTTGTTGACGAGTACGGAGAATATGTCGATGCCATGATGTATGATGTTACCGATCAAGGGACTGGAAGTTCCAAGGATTTTGGCAATGGAGCCTTCTTTCCGTTGGCAAGGCACAAGGCATGGTTCGATGGACACTCGTTTGCTTCTGGTCTATTTCCTTTTGCATCTGGCAAGTCCATGGAAAGTTCCAGTGAGTCCATCAATTGCTACTACGGTGCCTACTTGTGGAACATGGTGAGAGGAACCAGCAACCTTCAGTCGGATAATTTCAACTTTGCTCGATTGCTTTTGGCAACTGAACTTCGTGGTGTGCAAACCTATTGGCACATGCACTCGGTGTCCAATACTAGCATCGCCAAGTGGCAGACTCTATACAATCCCGTCCTTACCAAGAATTTAATGATTGGCAATCTCGGAATGATGGACGTCACAGTGTCGACATGGTTTGGGAATAATCCACTCTATGTCCACATGATCAATTTTTTGCCCGTCACTCCGATTACTAGGGAATTGTTCACTACGGAATACGTGGAAGAAGAGTTTAACAATGTGATTGAGCCAATGTACAACAATGTTGAAATGGCATGGTAAGATACTATTGGGTTGTCCAGTACGATTTGTAGTCGATTGCGGATGATATTCTGACCAATTCATGTTGCTTCTTCGTCCTACAGGAAGGGATATGTGGTGTGTGACTTGGCACTTTTGGACCCAAACAAAGCATTTCAGGATGCCCTAAAGCTACGAAGCTTTGAACTGGACCAAGCCATTAGCCAGAGTCAAGTCTTATATTTTGCTAGCACCATGGCGAGTTTTGACGATTCCAATATTACAGCAAGTAACGATGATTCGTCAACAGGGTCAGATATGAATTCTCCTTATTGTGCCGACCACCCAGGTTGCAACTCTTTGGCACTGACTGGATTGTGTTGCCCAGCACCTTCTGGCGCAAATTTGGGATGCTGCGGCAGTAAATCATCAGCAGAAGGAGGTAACACCACCAATGCTACCGAAACCACTAGTAACGAATCGGATAGCGACTCGTCCTGTTCCCTTTACGAAGCGTGCGAAGCAGCCGGATTGAGTGGATCCTGTTGTCCAACAGAAGGTGGCGTTCAACTGTTGTGTTGCGATTCATGAGTGAGTGAGATGGCATTGTATAAGGAAAGGTTTGCAACCATTCATAAGCTTTCACCACAAGCTGAACTATTATAACATTATCAGCAAAAGGTACACGTCATTTTGAATCTCTGGAACGCTTATCTGCAACTTCTTTTCCCCGGGCAGTTTTGCTTACTACTTTGTGGGTGTGCACGTGAAAACAGATACCACAAAAATTTCGTCGTTTTTCGACCGACTCAATCGACCCAATGTTAGCCTCAGTGCTCTGTACCTACATTTTTATATATTCATTTTCCTCTTTTGGGGTAGTTCCGTTGCCAAACTCGGAAGAATTGAATCTTCGTGCGAAATGTCACGGCGGGGGTTCGGGTTTTGTTTTTTATCACGTGTAGTTTTGGTGGTTGATAGACCACCGCCTGAATTTTCTTCGCCCTAACGCATCACTCTTCCGTACGGTACGTAGTGCACCGTGGTGAAGTAACGAAGAAATTCCACTAATGTCATGCCATTTCCAAACCTGATCCGAACCTTCTTTCGAACTCAAGCTTGTTCACTTCAGCACACGATTTACTGTACCCATCACAAAAACTCAACTCCGATGAGAAAGAACAATTACACAAACTTCCAAACGTTTACTTACTGCAACACACCACACTACAAATGCTAGACTACGCACCTACGATGACGCGTATCATGCGATTGAAACCCAACAACCTGCAAATTTCTATTCCAACCAGGGCTGCTTTGACAAAGCAGCAACTTTCGGCGGAAGCTGGCGACCATAGTCAAGAAAATGTCGAACACAGCATTGAGTTGGACTTTTTCCAGACTTGCCCTCTTGGCTCTGGGTTTGAATTGGATTGCTGGAAAAAGGAAACGCCCCATTTTGCCGCTGAACGAACAGAGACAAAGTCAATGCCGGAAAATTCTTCACTTGATGATGATGATGATTCAGATGATTTTGATTGGGGAGACGACTCTTCGTCCTCCTACAATAGAGCAGAGGAGCAAGACAATAGCTCTATTTCTGCAGATGGCGATCCGTCTGACCCCCACGTACCGAAGCAAGGAATTCGAGGGGAACAACAAGAACCGAATCCCTCCGCAGATGCTGCAAACAGACGAAGTCAAAATATTTCCACATCCATTCAAAATCTCAAGCCTCAATTTCAGGCTGCAGCGGATCATATTTCTGGGAGACACGTTCATTTTGGAGCCGCAGTGGTCACCGCAGAATTTACATATGAAAAACCATCCAACGATGATTTCTTTCAGCTTTATTACAGTGCCCATGAACTTCAACGCCTTCAAGACCAATACAGAATTGATGTTGCTTGCTATGGCAAGATCCATAGGAAGTCCAATGTCCAGAACAATAAGGTTTCGTCAGGGAGAGTGGACGACGATGGTGAGAATGATGTCAAGCTTGTCGATTATTGTCCAGACTATCCTGTCTGGTAAAAAATTGGAAAGATGCTTCCGTCACCACTTCTGTTATAGTAACTTAGAGATAAAAATAGACAATGTCAAAAGTAGAGTCAGACTATTTATATTTGTTTTTCTGTTAAGGTGCTTCCGTCACCACTTTTGTTATAACTTAGAGATAAAAATAGACCATGTCAACAGTAGAGTCAGACTATTTATATTTATTTTTCTGTTTTGGTTGTCTCTTATGGCGCCTGTCCCTCTGAATTCAAACATGGAGATCTGCCTGTGGTGTCTTACATAATCAGTTGAACAACCATGGAAATAGCATCCAGGCATGCAATGAACGAGTCGTTGCGTGGTATTCGGAACGCCATTCATGCTAATCCAAACAACCCATGGGCACACGAATCGCATACTAGTCATCGACAATATAGACATCGCACTCTCATCCATTCAGTAGTTTTTCACGGACAGGTATCCTTTTGCTTTTTTGACTAGCCGCCTTCATCTTGGCATTGAAGATGCTCTGATTTCGTTGCGAGGGGCTTGCTGAAGCAGCTGCTGCCCTACCCAACGAATTATACCCCCTTGGCTTTGTAGATGCGACGCGTTTTCGTCCTGCCTGTTTCCTTTTGCTGTCAGCAGCAGCAATGGCCAGCAACCCTGGATCTTCACCCTCTGGACTTTCCTTGGTGAGAGAGGATCGATTCGGGCCTCGAGCACCCACACGCCCCAAGGCCACGATATGATTGGATCCATCCTCTTCGCCTAATTTCAATCCATTCTTCAGGGCCAGTCGATGTCTCTCCCGACGAGAGCTGGCCCTTTCGTAAATGGTACGACCAGCCGAGACATTCACACTTCCTCGTCCCAGAACCAAGGGGTTCTGGTCTTTCTTGTCTTCAGTCTTGCGACGAGTGCTGCTGGTTGGTTCCAAAACTGCGGATGCTGATTTTCGTCGTCTCAGAAGAGAAGCACCAGGTTGATGTGTGACTTTGCTGCACGAAGAGCGACGCTTGATTATATTATCCTTGGGCATGACTATCAACGAGTTATCATTGAATTGCTGTTGTTGTCAATATTATTATGCATTATTGGAAATCAGGGGATGCAAAGAGGCCTAGTCAAGTACGTCATAATTCAGAGCTACAACAGTACCAGATACTCTCCGTCCTACTGCATTGGAGATATTGTTCTTCTCCTACAGTACCAGGTATGCGGCACGAGATGAGTACATGGTTCCCAAAAGATTTGTTTGGCTTTTCTGTCTAAGTGAGAGTCCACCTAAGCAATACATTCAGCAATTACTGATAGTAGCATGGTCGATATCCATGGCAGCTCCTCAGCCACGACACTAGTAGCTACAGTAGCTAGTAGTATCTGCCGGTACGACGGTACTAGCCACCTCCTGCTGCTAAAGACCACTCATATAGTACCTTGTGCTGCTCCTCTGCAAATGCGTGCGCGACTTACCCACCTCCGTCTTGCAGCAGGTATTCGTATACCACAATCAATCACCATCAACAGCCACCTGGCGTGCGAAGCCTCGCAACTATCTTGATTGTCGTTCAGTGTACACGAGCGTTTTGTGCAATTCCCGGTTCTTTTCAGCCTATTCTAAAGCTTCACGACCGTGCCACATAAAAATACCTATGGCTTTCACTCGTCCAGCTGCAGCACAGGATTATTCTGTACCAGGTACAATTGCAGTACAGTACCCTACTTTTTACAATACGAGGTACATCACCGTACCTTGTACCGCAATAAGACTCATCGATGACTCATCATCATCATCATCATCACCAAACCTTCGCATTCTATCGTCACTGAACAAGAGCGTTTTATGCCACCCTCAGTTCCTACGCTTATTCTGCAGCTTCATTGGGACCAATGGGAGGCCTCAGTACTGTAGTGACCGAACTTGGGTACCGGTACGTCTACCACAAAGGCGGCGCTATGTGAACAACTTTTGAAAACGTTTTGACACTACAGTATCAGGTACACGTACCGTACACCAGGTACTGAAGTCAAAAATTGAATGGTAAGGGTTTATTGGGGAAAAGGCAGATACTCAATTGGTCGAGGAGGTGGCATTTGAAGTATTTAATTAGGGAACTCACAGAGATGACACAGTACTCAACCGTAGATTCTCTACGTATCTCTACCAATTTATGCTCAAAACAGTAGAAACCTACATCACAGCAAGGATTTCAGCAAAGTATCGGTAAACCAAGATGGGTTGGAAACATAACGCGACTATTCAAATTACGGATTTTGCGCAAGTTTTTTTTCGACAGTGACAACGAACACAACACAATGAGAGGAATAACAACATCGCATCATAGATAAACCAATAGATACACAGTTCGAATTCCTTCCTTATACATACTACCGAAAATATGGGGACGTTCTGTAGCCCTGGATGCCAACTTCATCTGACGAATGGCTTGTAAATGAAAAAATCCTTGATGGAAAGTTTTGCAATACATCCATGCTTCTGCTTCACTGTTTTCTATCAATTGCACCCGATATTCGTAGCACAACTTAATTGTAGAGGCTTTTTACTCATGCGATAGTTTTTCCCAGTTAGTTCGACCAGCTGGGACGAGAAGGAGTGGCTTCTTGTCTCATGGTGTGTTTGTTGATGCTAGCTATTCAATATCGATATTGTTGACTAGTCGGACCCATGCGTGAGAAGAGCAACAGTGGAAAGACTACTGCTATTTCTGTCGAATTCGCTGTCTTTCCCTATCTATTTCTGTCGAGATCTCTACATGCAGGCTTGTAGAATGATGGTGTTGTGATTGGTGGGTACGGTTTTTACCCATAAAGGCTCCCCCCAGATCACAACTAGATTTGAAAACTGTAACTAGTTTCATTGGTTGGATATTTTGTTTTGCGATACCGCGATCACCGCAAAAGAACTCTTGAAAACCTCCTTCTTTTTTTCTTCTTCCTCTTCCTTTCCCCCCTCCTTTTCTGCCCCTTCCCCCCCCTAAGCCGAATGGGGCCTAATTCGGCAGTGTGGCCAATGTGCCGCAGTCAAAAGTTCCGCCTCGTTGGATGAAGTTTGGAGCAACCACAGAATATCATCCACCTGGATGACGCGTCTACATATATAATGGCTTTCCATAATTTGACCTGATCGTGAAAATGTTTTATTATTATATATGTGCCTTTGTTATGTTAGAAGTTCCCATATCGATTAGGAAACGGAAGAAGGCAGTAGAAATTAGCGGCCGTCATCAGACATTGGATTCTCATTTCGTTATATTTTTTATTAATTGTTTGTAGTGTCCACCTTTACTTATAGGATTCTGCGGTTCGTTTTGCCGAGGGAGAATATCTTGGCCAAACTTCCGACTTTGATGGCGAACATGTAGCCGCTCAGTTTTTTTCTGGTGCAATTTCCGATTACACTGTATCGGTATATCGGTATATTGGTATACACACCACAAAGCAGCAGTACAAGTCATCCCCAAGCAAAAAAGAGAGGATGACAGAAGACAACGACAACGTGTTCATCCATATCCGAGCCGCCAATAGCCTTGCAGAGATGCAGGAGGATATCGCCATGACATCGTCGTCATCACTTTCCGACGACCAACAGAAAGTCTTGGGCCTATGGATGATTGTCGCTGGATGTCTCTCCGTAATTGGATCCTTCTTCACAATGTACCGTGTATTCAAGAGTTCAAGCAAGACCAATAGCTACGACCGTATCATATTTGGTCTCTCTGGCTTCAACATGCTCTCTGCCATTACCTACATCATGACTCCCTTTTTGCTTCCCTCCGACGGACCCAGTTCGCGCATATGGAGCAATGGCAACCAAGTCTCCTGTTCCTTCTTGGGTTGGCTCACACAGCTTTCCTTTGCGAGTGTGTCCTACACATTCGCTCTTTCCTTCTACTTTGTGGCCATGATCAAGTTTCGAATCCACATGGACGAGTTTGCGATTCGCTTTGAAGCCTACATTCATGGCTTGACCATTTTCTTTTTTCTCTTTACGGCCACGGCGGGAGTCCCTTTGCAAATGTACGACCAATCCGAAATTGGCATGTCCTGTTGGATTCGAGACGACTTTCCCAACAAGTGCATTGTTGGGGAAGACTGCATTGGCAACCAAATCGGCTGGTTCTTTGGTGGATGGATCGTCTGCGCCACCTTGCTCCTGCTCGTGGTCAATCACGTGTTGGTCTGGTGGCAGATTCGCCGGAAATTGGCGGGAGTGAGAAAGGGTGTGGAAACTCCCACCTGGGCCATTCGCATTCGACGATCACGGAATCAAGCCTTGCTGTATGTTTTGGCCTTTTACTTGACGAACTCCACTCCCATTGTTCTAAGGATACTGGAACAATCGTATGGTTACACGGCGTCCCGGGAACACGAACTCTACCAATTTCTAGTGATCCACTCGTTCTTGGTGCCATTGCAGGGCTTTTTGAATACCTTTATCCATGCCCGCCCCAACTACTTGAAACTGCGGGCCAACGATTATCCCATTAGCATGTGCTTTTGGCTTGCCGCTTGGTACAACCGCATTGACGAATATGTGGAGGGACCTGCGGGAGAGTCCAATCTTGCTTCCAGCGGAGATGGTTCTCGTTCGAAGGAAGATCAAATGTTGAGCCGTCTGGAGAATTCCATTCGAATGATGTCCGAAGTCATTACCGAAGAACTGTCCAACGAAGAAAGTACGGAATGGAGTCTACAAGCACTTCGCAAACTTTCCATGACCCTACCCAATAGCCATAATACCACAGGAAAGCAGCAGCAGCAGCGACAGCAGCACCACCAGTTGACATGAGGAGTCAATCTCAAGAAGAAAATGAAGAAGAAGATGGACGAGAAAGAAAAAACTCAAGAAATAGGTATTGGAAGACTACTTCTTCTCCTACTACTACTTCTACTGCGAGACTACAAAGCTTGCATCATTTGGTCCGACCCATGATAGATTCATTCTGCCCTTCCTTCCTTGATTCATTCACTGAGAAATGAACAAAAAGCTGAAAATCGAATGTGGCACCTGCCAAAAAGTCGACACAAACTGGAGGCAGAACAATAACATATCACAGCTGCTGCCACGTCGTGGCTTATGCTGTTCCGCCTGCTGCTGGAGAATGTTACCCAATTATATGTAATGTCTTGTGCAACATCATGTGTGTTGCCATGAATGATACAAAATATACATATAAAACCCCACTAATAACACTAACGATACCAATCAATAGTCTAATGTCCTATGCAATTTATTTCTATATTCCAATTGGGCTATGACATATGAGTATACTGTAGTATGTAGTATTTTAAGAGTCCATGTGAGTTTCTATCGTCGCAATATTGGGAGGTTTCTCCCAATGAGACAATATTGCACCTACTCTAACTAGCAGTACTAGAGCTCTTCGTAATCATTATTGCATTGTTAGCAGCCAATTAGTACTAGTAGTGGTAGTAGTACTAGCAATCATGATAGCAGCCAGGAGTGAGTCATCATTACAGTAGTGGGTCGTGTATCTTTCGTTCCAAGTTCCCAATATGACTCAAGCACTTCCCAAAAAGTTCTGAGCCCCGCCAATAATATCTTGTTATTAACCCTTATGTATCCAGGAATGTCTGGGGGTCAGTACATTTCCACGGCGCCTACGGCGCAGCTTGTGCGCATTCTGTCTACATCTATCCGTCATGTTGAGCCATCAATAACGGCACATCCTGGTAGGGACCAGTACTTACGCATGTAAAGAGCAGATAGACAAGGAGGGGCATTCCAAATAAATAAAAAGGGGATTGCAAAAATGCACTCGTCCTTTTGAAACAAAGACTTTCACGGAAACAAACGACAATGGCACAAGAGTGCAGATTCGGCTACCATATCGATAATGAAATTGGCTGAAAATGTAGATTTTAAAATAGATAAAAATATGTGCTAATAGGGCATGTAACCATTTTTGCCGTTCAATTGGATCTCCTTCCGCGATTTGCATTATTGGGATGAAACCCTTGACTTGAAGACGATGCTTTCCATAGTCGTTGATGTTTCCACAATCGTTGATATAGGCCTTGTCCCACTCACGACAGACATTGCCCAGAACATTCCTTCCATCGATCTCCTTCTGCACCGTGCTGTATACGCTGCTCTGGCTTGAAAACATTACGTCGAGTTCTTGCTCCTCCACTTTGATCCAAACTTCTTCTCACCCATTCTTCAGCTGTCCCTCCAGGGATTGGAAAACGATCACAATCCTAATGACCAAATCAGTCATAATCGATACATCGTACATTCCCTTGTGTGCTTGTGACTAGATGGTTGATTGCCGATTCGTCCTGGCCGTTGATAGACTTGGAAGGCAAAGGATGCTGGTTGTCTTGTGCAATTTGTATGAAATCACGAAACCCCAGACAAAAATGTTTCACCGCGAGATCAAGAAATAGTTTCACCGTGAAAAAGTCTAGGGCCTATAAATAAAAGAGATCTTTGTGCGACGTGTACAAACAATTCGCGTCATATATATATTTACCTAATTGTTGGAAATGCCAATAATCTTGAGCATGTTGCACTCCAATTTTTCTTCACCTTATCCTCGACGATGACCTTGTCTTTGTCGTGTGCTTTGAAAAAGGTGAAGTGAGTATCCATTTTTCCTTCACACTTATGTTTGGCTATTACGTTCTTCCAAGCGTTGACGAGATTCATCAAGTTCTCACCGTTTCTTTGCCAAATTTGAGACCAAGACAGGCTTGTCGCTTGTTGATCGGGCACGATCTTGTTTTCTGAAAATGTTGATTATTGCTTCGTAAGTATTCATCGCATGAGAACAGATACTGCCTATGGCTATCTCAAGAATAGATGCTTTGTCCAAGACGTTAGAGGGGCCAACATGTCTTTCTGTTATGCCGTTCTAGTATTCCTCATGGTTGAAGCGTCACTTTCGCAAAACCATTTTCTTTGGACGGAAAACCACATGGCACATGAAGTCTATCATAGACTTCATCATTTGGAGCTAAATAAATTTCACGAGAGCAACGAAGATACCTATGAACAGTATTACAACACTATTGCTCAACACTCTTCGATTTTTTATCGTAGGACTATGCTTTTTTGTGTTCTCCTTTTTGTATCTACCTTAGAACACTGACGGCCTGATTTTGCCAAGCGATAACCTCATTAGACTCATGATTGTTACGATCAAGAGTTAGTGTTCCTTTGTGAGGCGGAGGTCTGCTGCAACGACTACAATTTTTACATGCATAGATACGACATTGAACATGTTGGAAAACAATAAGATGCGAAATTTGAAAAATGCTTGTGGGGTTTTCCCCAAATTTGAATCTTGAGATAGCAACCATGATGATCCATCCGTTTTAGCCATTAAGTAAATGACGTGTTGAGCAATCAATAATGGCCATTATTGATTGACTCAACCTATCTTGAGTCAATCAATAATGCGCATTATCGCACGCTCAATTATTGTCCTCAGCTATCGTGGACAGTCACGATCTATCCCGCCTAAAAATAATACTGTGGCTGCTCTACCGGTAGAGAAGAATCCGTCGTTTTGTTGTTTCCATTGAATTCGTCATTCGGAACGGTAAAAGAAACGAAAGAAACGCCCTCGACCATCGCGCCGACTCATATGACCGAACTCAGCTTCGCGCCAAATGGAAGCACAATATAATGTGCAAGCGAGCCTGCACGATGCCATTTATTCCATCATTCTCCATATTCATTCAAGCAGCATCGACTGTTTGCCAAGGACCACTCACTGCTCTTTCGACTTGAGACTCCCATATCGTTCGTTGCATGCACATTGCGTCACAAACTGCAATTGTTCTTGTTGTGATTCTTGTTACTGTTTTTATTCCGAGCGCTGCATCATCCTACCTTATTCTTCTTCCAAAGCAAACAACAAGCAAGAAGAACTGTCCAGCAATCAAACGATCCCCGTCCTTATTATTTCCAATGCTGTTCGCCACACCACCAAAACCACCAAGACCATCCACCGACAGTGTTCCGTCCTCTTCTCCTACCAGTGTTTCGGATCATCCTGCTGGTCAAGACATGATGAAAGAAAGAAGTATGCCACATCCTCGATCCTGCATTTTGACGGTTGGAGCCACGGCTGGCAAACTCTGCATGCTGGCCAATACGCACATGCCATCCGACCCGACCATGACCCCAGTAATGGACAAACAGGAGGAATTGGCAGCCTGCATGAGCGAGTTGCTGCAAGCGTTACTGGAGACGGCCAAGAGTCTTAATTTGGATTTGATTCGAAGCATTCACAACAAAATGGCCTTGAATGCCAAGAAATATCCCGTCGAACTTTGCAAGGTGAGTCAATGGTAGCTATTCTTGCTTATTGGAGTTTGGTGCTTTTCTATTGTTTCTAATGGACTAGTGGAATAACGATGTCGAATATATTTATATTTAAAATATTCACCGAATCATCAGGGCAAAGCTGGCAAGTACACTCAGTACAGCAACCAAACGGGGATCACCAAGGACAATCAATCCACGGAAGATCATGTCGACGATGCCACACCCCATTCTCCCCTTTCTTTCCGTGAAATGGCCGAGGCCTTGCCGTTGCTAACAGAAGAAATTGCAGACTTTGCCAGCGCCCGTCATTGGGATCAATACCACACTCCTCGCAATCTCGTCTTGGCCATGCTCGGGGAAGTGGGAGAATTGGCGGAATTGGTGCAATGGATGGGCGATGATGATTCTGCGTTCGTCGAGGTAGACTCGAAGAAATTGGACAAGTTGTCGCAAGAATTGGCCGACGTTTCGATTTACTTGTTGCGGATTGTCACCGAATGCCAATTGGTGTCAGAGGTCAGCCAAGGGTTATTGTCAGTACCAGCCTAGCAGCAAAATGAAAGTCGCAGGCTTTCAGCTTGATTGACGAGCCTGCCGTGCAGTCGATTTACAATAAAAAGAATAATTTGCATTTAGTTACAATGAGACTGACTGGTAGGATCAATATGCATGACGGATATACACTACTACTAATATCCTTGAGTCACACAAACGTACTTGTTTAGTCCCACTACTCCAGAACAACAATATAACACGACCGCACATATATATCCTCATCGTTCAAACCACAAACAGTCAATATCCCATTGTTACATACTATTATTGTTAGAAAATGGCAATATCCGAAGACGCACCACTCAGTCCGGAAGAAGCTGCCACCTGCAGAGAAAAAGCAAGAGAAGTCTTGTCGAGATTAGACCAAACGACGGATCCCAAGTCGTCTTGTTGGGTTCGACATAATACTAATACTGCGAATAATACTAATACTAATATTAGGAATCATGATGATGATGATGGTGACGACGACGACGAATGCAAGGAAAAAAGCAAAGATGCCAAATACTTTGATACGCATGGGTTCTTGGTGGTTCCTCAATTTGCGAGTGAGGAAATTGTTAGGGATCTCAAAGAACAAATGAAGTCTTTGGTCAAGGAACACTGGCATCCCTTTGATAAAAATACGAATACTAATGGCGACGACGACGACGACGACGATGGGCCAACGAAAAAGAATAAAAAAATCGAAACCTTTGGTACCGACGCCAAGGCGAATGAAGCTCGAGGTGATTACTTTTTGGATTCCAGTAACCGAGTGCACTACTTTGCCGAACAAAAAGCTAATCTACTACTGGACAATCAGGTGGTGGTGGTGGTGGATGATGCTACTAACATCAATGGTGATGACGATGACGATGACGGTGAGACTCTTATTACCGAACGCAAGATATCCATATTGAACAAGGCCGGACACGGAATGCACAATATTCCAGGGGCATTTCAAGATTATACATTGTCCGACAAGATGAGGAATCTTGTGCTCGATTTGGGATGGAAGGATCCTGTAGTGCCGGTAAGCGCCGTGCGGGTTGGTGCAGGGATAGGAATTTTTGCTCCTATTGACGTTCACAATTGGTTCATTCATTCATTCATTCGTTCATTCATTCCATACCGCGTCTCTCTCAGCAAAGTATGTACATCTTCAAGCAAGCCAAGATCGGGGGTAAGTCTACTACTGCACCAGTTTTTGTAAATTGCGAATGCACATGATCTTTTGGACGACGATGGTTCCCTTTTATATATATCCTAACCATTCCATTTCGATATTATTATACCTATTCCCTCCCCATCCAAATACAAAAAACAAAATTAGGCACGGTACATTCCCATCAGGATAGTACCTTTTTGTATACGACTCCACGACAAACCTGTCTGGGACTTTGGTTGGCCCTGGATGATGCCACCTTGGAGAATGGATGTTTGTGGGCCCGGCCTGGATCTCACAAGGAACCCCTGCGACGACAATTCATTCGGAATCCAGAGTATTTTGAACAATTGGTGGAGGCGAATAACAAACAGGTACCAAAAGGGAAGGATGATGTTCCACAACTCAAGTTCTTGCAGCATGATGAGAATCCCAAGGTACATTGGGATGGTGGTCTTCCGACAACATCACTCTTGGAAGAGGGTTTCATTCCGATTGAAGTAAAGGCTGGAGATTTGGTAACCTTTTGTGGGACCTTGGATCATTTGAGTCTACCAAATTTTTCCGACCTTCCAAGGCATACCTTTCAGCTGCATCTTGTGGAAGGCCCCAAAGAGGGCATTACCTGGTCCCCTCAGAATTGGCTTCAGTATCCAGAAGGAGCCAAGTTCATTCAACTCGTACAGGACAATGATGATGGTGGAGACGACGAAAATAAGCCACAACAATAGAATACTACTAGTTCAGTTCAAATGAGGGATACATATCTATAAGGATTCGAATAATACCATTGCGCCGCAATCATCTCCAAAATCAGACAGGCAGCATCTCCTTTGACTATATATAGCAAGGGAAGGCACATTATAAACGAGAGCGTTGGATCGGTTCTCTTGATCTGCCGAAATGAGGCCCAATGATGAGAGATAGGCATTGCTCTTTAGAATGTTCAAAGCATGCGCCTTTTCTTCTTCAATGCTCACTACTACTAGAAGTGGTGGTGGTGGTGGTTGGTGAATAGTAGTATAGCGTTGGTTCCGCCAGCATCAGGCAACTCGACAAGAGGATCGGAATTGGGAACGGACATGATGATGAAGCAAATGAATGTTCGATTGAAGCTTTGGAAGACCTATTGCAATTTGCTGTTCAAAACTGCTGTTGGTCGTTGACAACTACTACCGGTATGAGAACAACGAACATCATGAATTGGATTGAAAAAAGTGGCGCGAGGAAAATGAATTTTGATTCAATCGACTAACGTTATTTCGACTGACGGACCCGTTCGACTGCATCATTCCAATGCTCTCTATCATCCATGATCATGATGCGACACAGTGGTTCATTCATTCTCTTCAGCACAACAACATATATAGACAGACACAATGGCCAGGCTAGGTCGTAAACGAAAGCGACATGAGACTCCTTCACAGTCATCTTCGAAAGCCCTGAAGGTCTTTGTATGCGTTGGGACTCCAATAGTTCTTCTTCAGCTTGTCTTTGTCTTTCAATTAATGCACAAATCAAAGCGGGAGGATGACAACAACATCGCCGCCACCACCGCCACCACCACGGCAGCAGGAGCGTCCCCTATTATTATTGGCGATGCTAATAACGTTGCTGGCAATATAGCCAACCCAAGCACTGACAATGCTCCAAGTAGTCCCGTGGGTTCGTTCAATGGCTATCCAATAACCTATCAAGAATCACAAGACGGACTGGCGTCATCGGTCCACTGCATTGGAGAATCCTACGCACCCAACCATGTAATCAAACGAAAAGGGCTCACCTTTGACATGTCATGGCAACATCGGTCTTGCCAATTTGATTTCTTTTGTTACGATTTGACTTCCCACGAATATGTCATTTTTGAAGGACCGACGGAACAGGAGGCAACCACTCCTGCCTTATTTCCGGAACATGCGGACATTTCGCAATCCTACATGATGGTCAATCAAACGCATCACATTCCAGGACTCCCCTATGACATTGCGATTGGGGGTCTCAATGGCAAATGGACTCACGAAGGTATGGTACGGCTGAAATGGTACCCTACCATTCGAAATGAACTACCCAAGAACTTTTACGCGTTGCCGTCTGATGTTGTCATGATTCCATTTCACTCCTTGGCATCCTTCAATCCTGGTCATTTGGTTTGGGACGACTTTCTTCCAATATACAGTAAGTACACAGTACAGTATGTACATGCTACTGTTTGACATATTTGACATTTGACATTTGTATCTGTCATCGGTGTATTATCTAACTTGTTTTCTAACTTGTGTGTATATGTGTATATGTGTATAGCCCTGATGCACATTTTTGGCATGGAGAAACACCACTTGCTTGCCATGAGATACATCCTTCCGGGCGATGGGTTGTGGGCTTCGTGTGATTGGAGAGAAGATCGGAAAGAAGACTGTGCCTTTATGCTCAAAAAGTTTGGGAATCTCATGGTCTCGAACCCCAAAGACGTCCTTCCATTTTCCACCAGCAAGGAGCCACGATTTCAATTGCTGCCTGCTGCTGCTGCTGCTGGCGATAATCCGCCCCAATCAAATCTGGTGTGTGCTAGGCAAGGACTGGCCGGTATGGGCTCTTTGACGGACCATGGGACGAAAAAAGGTCATGGATGGGAACCAACGGATTATGAGATTGTTCACAATCATGGAAGAGGAGGCCAACTATGGCGCTTTCGAAACTTTATGCTGGGCAATTTGGGGATTCCTGTGTCGGATGCACCTCCTCCAACACCACTCAAGATCATTTTCTCCGAGGGATCGAGCAAGGCATCCTATCGCAACTTTGATTGGAAACATCACATTGATGCACTGTTGGCGGCGGATTTGGGAGATAATGTCATGGTCGAAAGCTACAAGTTTTCCAAGTTTTCACTCAAGGAACAAGTGGACATTATCAGTCAAGCTGCTATTTTTGTCACTGCGGGTGGTGGGGGTGCCGTGACTGCGACCTTTTTGTCGCGAGGTGCCTCGGCAATTATCTTTTATGGATCCAATACTGGTCTCAGGAATGGCCGAATGTCCGGGACACCAGCTCGATTGGACTATGACTACTTTAACAACATGGGGTACGTCCGAATTCATTGGGTTGGAATGAAAAAGGCAGATGCGCACGCAATTCGGTTGGCACGGGAAAAGTCGCCAGAGCAAATTGAGGATATCGATGGTTTTATTTCACTCATCAAACATGACTTGGACATTATTCGGAAAGAACGAAGGCAGTACGATGCAGCAAATCCATCTTCACCATAACGATATGATGGAAACGAAGGCTATAGCCCCCTTGCATACAGGTACAAATGAAATGCACCATTCGTCCCGGCATTAGTAGGCAGACAATGGAAGACTTCCTTTCTGCTTGGATGTCCACAATTCAGAATTGACGTTTTATTTCAAAGTTTCACCATGCGACTAAACTTGGCCCATAGAGTCAAAAACTCATGCCCAAGTCGCAAAGCGATTTGCGAAGGAACTGGATGAGAGCAAAGGACTGCTTGGACATACTGAGGTGGTTCGATTAGCAGCTGTGGCATGGCTCATTCCCTTCTCGTTCCCACAACGTCATTATTGTTTCCATTGACTGAATTGAAGTCAATCTTTCGTGGGTGCATATTCTCCATTTCTGACCGGACCTTCAAACCAGGCTTCGAACTGTCCATATCTATTACTACTGTACGACGTCATGAATGGCAAAATTGGACGGGCTCGATTTGGAGCTGTCGTGTCATTGCGTTACTACTTCTACAATACTGTACAGTAGCTAATGAGAAGAAGAAACTGGCGCGGACCCTCCCTCCCAAATGCAGTACTTCCGAGAAAGCCAAATCCTTTTAAACCAGCATACTCGCTGGAACGAGCAAATCAGGTGTAAGAATCAACGGCTTATTATAATTTTACAATAAGTTAACTTTAGAACACCAATTCCCAGGTAATTCGCTTTCGATAGCGGCTTCATTCCTCCCAGTCGCTGTCATCGTCACAGTCAACGATTTCGTTACATTGCTCACTTGGAACACTTCAAGAGCATCAACAACTCTGATAACTGTTCGCTATTGTCAAGCAGTAGTTCACTGGATCGTTTGGGGGTAAGCAAAGATCCTTGTCGCACCAGCATTGATCTTTGCCCTTTTACTGATTTGGTAATCACCTTATTCTTGGGAAGTTGCCAATGGCGAATGGAACATTTGAATAGCCTCGTTGATGATGGAGCTGGTGGAACTGTTGCAAGAAGATTCGTTCGAAATGTTCATGTTGGTCTCGTTACCACCATTTCTGTTCTTATTGACGATACCGTTGTTCATCTTAGATGCGCACTTATTTGTGAGGTTTTGTGTAGTTTAGTATTCGGTCTTGAAGGAAAAGAGGAAGCTGAATAGAACCCGTTCTAGTTTTGAAACTACTACTGTATTTTGATTTTGTGAGCAGCTGAATGGATGAATGAATTCTGAAACAGCCACCACGGCGCTTCTCCACTTGAAGATGCTTTATAGTGAGAACCCATGGGATCTCATTGACGTGGCACCGACAAGATAAGCAACAAACAAGACCAGCCGACCATCTCTGTGGTGGGACTCCATTGCCCCTATCGGTGAATTGATCACATTATGTCGAGATGAAGGCGCATTTAGCATTTCCCTTTTGCGACAAGCAATCATTGTGTACTATGTACACACTTTCGCCCTCTTCCTCTTGATGAAGAAGGGTTCGGTCAAGTCTGCAGCTGTTCTTGAGAATACTCGTTGGCAATACTCGTAGTCACCGTCAGAGACTGCGATACACGCTAGGTGGGAGCAGAAATTGAATGAATAATGGGACGGGCGTATTTTGCCGGGATCATCGATACCATGCCATTTCTTTCTCGATTGACGTAGCAATTGTCAGAAGACGCCAAGGTGCCAGCATCCTGATTCACGGCGTTGTGCTTCAAGCAGTGCTGTGGGATGCAACATCATCATCCATGCGTATTGTCCCATTCATCCAAATACTTCAAATTGTCCATGTGCTCGAATCCACGATTCGCGGAAGGCATCATGGTCCTAACCAGCAATTACAATGGTCTTTTGCTGGAAACTGTGAGGTGCGTTGAACCACACGATAGATACATACGATGCGGAAGCTGCAAATAATGCTGTCGGTTTGAAGTTTCGAATGTGCGAAGTATACTGTAGGTGGGACTGCATATGACTGGCTCCGCGGCCGGTCTGCCCGACGGATGGCACGCCTGGCATGACTGGAAGTCAAACTACTATTACGTAGAAGTTCTACGTGAAAAACTACGCAGGTGCCACGTTTCGACTTAGATACAGTACTTCCGTGGATCTTCTTGCTTTTGTTTCCTTTCATAAAAAATCCAAGTGGCATCAAATTTCAACATCAACAACAAACATATAAAATGGACAGTGACGACGGCGATGCATTCGGATCCAATGGATTCCAAATGATGGGAATGATGAACGCTCTCAAGACTGGTGATATGCACACTGATATGATCATTGCCATGTGCGTTCCTTTCGTTCTCAGAATCCTTTTCAGTTGGATTGGAAAATTGGAAGAGATTCCCAATTGGGAAATCTGGGTCAAATGGTGGCAAGCGGATGGAATCAAGCACGAACGTTTCATTTCGCACAGCACTACTCGAAATAGCTGGGGCGGTACCTATGACACGGACGAAGACACCAAGAATTCCGTCCTACTCAAGGCTATCAAAATGTATCTGGATCAGGTTGTCAAGCTGAAGCTATCTGCTGCTCACTTGGACTTGACTCAGCTGAAGGAAACTTCCGGGTACTATTATGATGATTCCGATGGTGACGACGAAGATGGGGAATACCAGGGCTCTCGCAAGACACTTGTTGGTATGCTGAGCCGATACAAGATTATCAATCGAATTCCTGATAATGAGTGGCACAGCCTTGGATTCTTTGGTGATCCTGCAAGTAAAGTCCTGCTACGCATCGAGAAGCAAACAAGGAACGAAGGCGACTCTGAAGAAAAGAATAAGACCAAGTTTGAAATTAATGAGACTGTCTTCCACTTTACTGCCGATGAGGAAGGTTCCATCGATGCCTTCATCAACGGGGCCTACAAGTGGTACATTGGCGAGCTTCGCAAGATGGAAGACAACTCTCGTTATCTTTATGAAATGAAGGTACAGGATCGAAAGACCGGCATGTCTGATGATGATGGTGGCGGCGACTCCACAAACGGTACAAACTACAAACGGTACAAGCTTTCTGATGAAAAGTCGTTTGACAGCCTCTTCTTTAAGGAAAAGAAGAATCTTCTTGGCTTGATTGATCACTTCACCAACAAGACTGGCAAGTATGCAATCAAGGGATACCCTCACAAGCTTGGTGTTCTCCTTCACGGTCCTCCAGGCACTGGCAAGACAAGCTTGATCAAGGCATTGGCCCAATACACTGGTCGATCAATTGTCAATGTCCCCCTTACCAAGGTTTCCACCAACAGTGAGCTCATGTCCATCTTCTTCGATCGAAATTACCATGTCGAAGGAGCTTCTGTTCCAGTCAAGATGACCTTTAAGGATGTCATTTTCGTCATGGAAGATGTCGACGCTGCGTCGAAGATTGTCAAGCGACGCGATGGGCGCAAGACCAGCAATATGCTAGATGACGGCCAACAAATCCCATTGCCGACTCCCAAGTCTCTCTGGCGCATGTTCTTGGAAAGCACTTCCGACGACTGCAAGGCTCTCGTGAAGGAACTCACTTCCAAGTCGGACCGTCTCAAGGAAGACGAAGAATCACAACGGTCCGATGTCCTTCGCTCCATGAATCAACGCCTTGCTGGCCTTCCAGCTCTTGGGTTGGTCGGAGAAGGAGTAGCAGTACAAGACGAATCCTCGCCGGCTACACAACTCTGCGACAATGCCTTGGAATCCGCTAGCAAATTGCAAAGCCGATACTCAAAGCTCAACGACATCCTTTCGGCCCATGCCAAATCCATCAAGAGCCTTTTGGAGTCGGGCACCAATGTCGACGATGATTTCATCAATGATCTTCTGGGAGAAGTTGGGTCTTTAACGGTGCCAACTTCGGATAGTTCCACATGCTCTTCTTCTGCTGCTTCTGACGAGTCACCAATTCCAGCCCAAGCTGCTGAGGAAGCCTTTCCCTCCATTTTGGACTTGGATGGTCTATCCGACAAAAAAGGATCCAAGTCTTCTGGCTTTGGTCCATCCTTGTTCAAACCTAATCCAGATGCTTTGTCTTTGTCCGGATTGCTGAATGTTTTGGATGGAGTCGTCGATACTCCTGGTCGCATTGTCATTATGACTACCAATCACCCAGAGATGTTGGATCCTGCTCTGATCCGTCCAGGGCGTGTGGACAAGAAACTATTATTGGGTCGCATGCGAGCGGCAGATGTCATCTGCATGTTGGAACATTACTTCCAGACCCAACTGGACAATAGCCAAGTGATGCTTGTGGAAGCGGCAATCAATGGTGAATCATCATCTGGTGTACCTATGCTGAAGCTGACACCCGCGCAGGTGGAACAAATGGCAGCCGAGCACGACGAGTTGGACAGCATGATTGCGGCAATTGAAAAGATGAATCCAGCGTTGGTAAAGAAATCGCGAGAACCCTTCTCTGCGGTTTCCAAGACCTCTTTTGATAAAACTCGGTCTCGTTGAGTATCACCTCCTAGAGCCGAACCGAGTCCGTAGATCGATTTCCATAAATCTATTTGCCAGGATATCGTGATTAAAAGACTCTCTTTAATTTGCCTTCTCTTGCAACTCCTTCCCGACTCGCGACTTTCCTTCTTTATTTCTAAAAGAATACTTTGGCACATTTCGTTAAGGCTCTACATTTTGGCCCCCATACGTCGAAGGTGTATATTACGAGGATTTTTGCTTCAAAAGATCATTTTCTGATCCTGCGCAGGTATCACAGAAGCGATGATAGTCATACATCTCCAACAGAAGTTTTTCAACTCGATTCTTCAAATCTTTATTTTCTGGTTCGAAAATACATTCCTTAGTCTTGGGCCGTGCCTGGTTTGTGGTACGATGTACTATATTTGTAACGGGCATTCTTTTGGGTTGCAGAATGTTTCCCATGTATTCTTCGTATGGCTCCATCGGAATTGGGTTGAAACATTTCAATGGGAGTTTTGAATATTCCTGTAGTTTGTCTGAAAACCTCGTGTCTGTGAACATCTTACAACGCTCAATTTCGACCTTGATATCTTTCGCTTCGCAGTCAAACAAATGTCTCCTTTCATTGCACATTGACATTAGGTGTTGAACATGTTCTCGACAGGGAACATGAAACTCGAGCGGTAAATGTTGTAATTTACCCCACCATGCGACTTCTGTTTCGTGTGAAATATAGTCACAATCTTCATACCCAATTTCGTCCATAACCTTCGGGTCTACTCTACCCCGATTGTGTTTGTATGCACCCACATGAATACTATTTCTGCCGGTTACATTCATTCTCTTGATTCCCCTTTCGTTGTATTGATAATAATCATAAGAGTATCCTTTGTGCCCACAGACACGTTCAAACAATGCAGCAAACCGCCCATTGAGCGTTGTCCCAGCTGTTTTTGCCATGTGAATATGCGCAAAGACAACATCAGGTCTAGTCCATGGCTTGTACAAACCGCTGCTGGATGATACATTCACAGCTATTGTATTCTCTATCAGTGAAACTGAGGATGGCAGCCTTTTGGACATTTCCATTGCACTGTTGGTCGAAAGCAAAAAGATTCCAGTCACAAATAGTAAGATGGCGGACCGGTTTTTCATCCCAGAAGCACTCATCTTGCTGCGTTGGATACGAGCTGCAATATGGAAGGTATAATGCACCTACAAGGAAACCGCGTTTAAAATATGTTTGTCGATGACGATTCTCAGTTTTTATTGTGACCTTGGAAAAACCTGACGACGGTTGGGCGGGTCATATCTTTTTTCAATGACTGACTCTCGCATTGCGTTCATTCCAACCGCTACGAGTATCCATTTTTATATCTTTCTTCTGTTGAGTTTATTTTAAAATATCGCTTCTGCCAAGACAGCTGACTTTTAACGTGCATGCTGCAAATGGTGGTTGAACCGTTTGTTGAATGATCTCAATTTGGAGGTATGTATGTTTTTGAATATTTGGGCCTGACTCTGTACTATTTGCTTGAAGCTGATGTTGCCTACATGTACTTTGTTTCTACAGAACGCCAAAGTAAGATGCAAAAAAAGTGGAGTTCGTACTTATTACTTTAGGATTAACAAAGCGTAGGACTATGTGTGTGTGTGTGTGTGTGTGTGTGTGTATGTATATGTGTGTGGTGGTGTGGAAGTACTAAATGATACGACATTGTAGAATATTAGTACTACTAGGAGCGTTCTTGCTCATCACCGTCAGTAGCCAGCAGTAGTGTTGGATGCCAAGAATGCTCTCCTTTGTTGTGATATTGATGTTGTTTGCGTTCTTCGTTCTTCGTGTAGCATGCGCAGTATTTTTGTTGCATTGGGATCGCTTGGTTCTATTGCACGTGCTGCGCTGTGCCGTCGTGCAAGTTTGAAATGTGTAAAAAGCTAGCTATTCGTTTATTTCTTTATACCTACTATACTAGTCCTATACGGTAGGTTCCTGCAACATCAATGGCATAAACACGTGTGTGTATAGTACACCTGAATGAATCATCAAATAGTCCTATATATGCATGAATTGCATCGTTCATGATGCATGTTGCATTATTTTAGCTACTAGTCCTTGTTCTTATCCTTTTTGCACCACTTGCGGAGGCAGCATAGACCACAAATAAACATGGTCAATCCGACGCCGAGACCAACTTTGGCCGCTGACGAAAAGGTATCTTGTTCCGGAACTTCTTCTTGAACAAAGTTTCCGTCCGCGTATTGTGACAAATCCAGTACGTCAAAGAGGGGACTCACTTCGACGTAATCAAGCAGCAAAATGTTACCCAACTGTTGGTTGGTTTCACTGGTGGGCCGTTTGAATTCGACCAGTCGTTCGTTGGCCGTTTGGGCCAGTACGTAGAGGTTCCCCACCAATGGGTTTGCTTGAATGTAAGCCACAGTGGGCGTCAAAATCCATTGGAGCTTGTACAATTTGGTATTGTTGGTGTCGAGGTTGTAAAACTCTGCCAGACGATCTTCATTGTACGATTTCAAAACGTCAGTATCGTCTGTAGGAGCATAAGTATTCTCAATGGTATTTTGGTCGTCCCACAAGACATCGGACAAGGTGGCAATTTCATTGTCACGGATGACCGCCATGATAGAAGTACCAGCCTCTTGGAGTTCTCCAATCGTGACATTTTGCAGGTCAATAGAAGTAGGAATCAACTGACCGGCAAAAATGTTAGTAATCTTGCTGGCATAATCTTGTTTTTGTTCGGCCGTCACGCCTGGATTGTAAATGGTCCCAAATTGCAAGACCATGACTTCTTGGGGGTGCGCCTTGGCAAAAGTCGCAATTTGTTCCAACAAGACAGACATTTCCAGTCCCCACAGAAAGTGATATCCTCTCCATTGGTTCGTGACAGAATCAAAATCAAATCGCAAATCCAAGTATCGGATTCCCGCTTGCAATTGTTCCGACAAACTCAAAGATTGCGTCAAGGCGTACCCACAGATCCATTGGGAAACGACCGAGTCTGGAATCCTAAAGGTACCCTCTTCGACGGTACTGTAATCCGGATCATTGGTGTTGAGTTCCGTCGTTAGATCAAAGGCTGCCGAGTTGTGAGTTCCAGGCAAGGTAAGATCCAGCAGTCGGGTGGAAGTCAAATTGCGCTTGGACATCCAATTGGACAAATCCTTGCTATTGGCCGTGTTCTTTTCCGTTCGCAGACAGCGGTCGTCGGTGAAGAAATCGGAGAGCTTGTCCATCCAGCTAGCTTCCTCTTGTTGGAGGGCTCGTAAATGATTGTGCGACAGCTGCTGACCTTGGACCAAACTGGAAAAGAGCAAGAACAAGGAGAATTGCAGCAAATGCTGTCTGTGGGTATTTTTCTGCTGTTTCTGTGTCGTCGTCGTCATCATTGTTTTCGTTGTTGTTGTTGTTGTTGCAGATGATGTGTAGTAGGTTGACTTGATAAGATTGCCTTGACTTGACTTGCAGTACGCCGCTGAAGGTTCGATGCTTTTGTATGAAAGTTATAAGGTTATGTATTTGAAATGTGACAAGAGACGGATCGTGTGAAAATAGTACTCAACACGCTGATCTGGTTTTGAGAAACCGATGAACATGAATGAATGTGAAATTGTCGCCATCATTCACGAGGTAGAATCCCTACCAGGGGGAATCAAATGGATCGGCTAGACCAATGCGCACCGCACCAAAACCCGAACGTGGTAGTAAGTAAATAACGGTTGGACTTCCGACAGTTCCTCAACGGATGGGTCAGATAGTGTCAAACTCATCGTGCACATGTACAGCAGCCAAATTTACTTAAATAGGATTCAAAACAAAAATTAGGTTCACCGATATTTTAGTCGCCGTTGACGGAGGCAAATTCCGTTCAGGCGCGGGCTGAACCGGAACGAGCGGTTCACCAATCGGACGTTGCTAACTGAAGACTTCTCGCAAAATTCAACGACCCATGCGCGGACTGAGCTGAGACATACATCAAGATTGGACTGCGAAATTATACTGTCGTGAATATTATACGCTCCACACGGCACGCCACGGCACGGCACTGGAACAACGATACCGGTACACTTCCAACAGCCTGAATATTCAATCCTTGTAGCCTAGTTGCTCTATACATTCAACATTCAACATTCAACTTTTCACTCTCCTGTCAGCCAATCGGAAGCACCTCACATATCAAAAACTTCAATACACACACACACACACAAACAACAAAGTTCCTAAAGTGCAATACACATCTATACAAAGAACAAAGATGCAAGGTTTTCACTCCATCTTCTCTGTGCTGATGGCCTGTTGTGTCCTCTTGAGCAGCAATTCTCCTCTGGTGTATGCTCAAGATGCGGAAACACAAAATCAACAAGCGCATCAACCAGAGCAAAATCAGCAGAAGAATCACCTGAGAAAACGAGAGTTGCAATCCGTCCAACAAGCCTTGAACGACGCCAAGGCCAAATGGGCTTCCTTCGCCATTAATGAATACATTTATCACATCAGAACCGAAGATTTCTTTTACGCCGTCACCTTTGCCTGTCGGGTCACGAGCGATCAAGTCCGCGATTTGGATTCCAGCTTGGAAGTGACTTCCAACTCGACGCTCAACTTGCCCAATCTCAGTCCACCCACGGTCAATGGCTTCTTTGATGACATTCAAAAGGCCATTCGATCCAACAAGAACCCTTCCATTCAAGTGACGTACGATGCCACCTATGGATATCCCAAGATTGTCAATTTGGATTATGGACAAGCGGCGCCTGGTTTCTTCTTTTTGACCGATACCATTCGGGCCACGGTGGAGACCATGATTCCAGTCACCTTGGAAATGCGACGAATCACGGCGGCTAGATTGCGATTCAATGCCTATCTCTACGATTCGTGGGATGCTACGTATCAACAGGGTCAGAATTATCGAGTCCAAGTGCGCTCCAAAGTCATTACCAGTGTCCGGGATGAAAGCAATCGTGATGTGACTTCCTCTTTCAATGGGAACGCCAATCTTCGCAATCGAGTGACCATTGCCAACTCGTTTACCGAAGTGAGATCCATTCTGGATACCAAAAAGCCAAAGACCTTTAGCGTGGCCTATCACCCCACCGATGGATACATTACATCCCTATCGGCTACTTTTGCATCGTATACCAACGATGGAGGCAATGTTATCTATTCCATTATCAATTTACAACAGCAGGGAACGGCAAGGCCAATCCCACCCACTGGATTGCCATCGGCTTCGCCCTCCACGGAGCCACCTTCGGATCCCCCGACACCGACTCCCAGTGACATTCCCACACGAACACCAACCCCCTATCCTTCGTCCGAGCCTTCACTCGCCGACTCGGACCGTCCTACCAAGGGTCCCACCGGAGCTCCTTCGTCTGAGCCTTCAATCGCCAACTCGGACCGTCCTACCAAGAGTCCCACCGCAGCTCCGTCCGTCGCACCATCGCGATTGCCCACCAAGAGCCCCACGACTTCTCCTTCCTCGACGCCCTCCTTCAATCCCACCAAAACAGCCTGCGTTCCACGCTTTGACATTTGCACTCCCGGTGTGAGTGAATGTTGCAACCCCTCGGATCGGTGTGGTGCCTCCAGCGTGTGTCGTCCCGCCATCTCCAACCCAAAGGATGGCCGCGACAAGCTGGCACGGGATCGAGCCTTTACGGGCATTCCATCCCGGAATGGGGGACGCCGGGGATTGCAACTGCGAGGAATGTAATTTTCTGCAGGTACGATAGTACAATAATTGCAGGACAAACAACACTGACACTGACACTAACACTGCAATGAACTGCAACAAAAGAAGAACCATGCATGCATGCATCCATGTGTGTATGTGTGTGTGTGTGTGTGTGTGTGTGTATGTGGTACAAGAACAACAAAAACAACAACCTCATCATCATAACAAAGGAGAGCATTCTTGTTGGCACCCAGCACTACAGTATATTGCCGGCTGCTGAAGACGCTCCCATTCATGTCTTTCACTATGTATCATTTATATCCGCACCACAAACAACCCAAAACATCATACATATCATTGTTAATGCTCCTAAAGTAAATACCCTTGTTTATTTGTGGTCCCTATGTTGTCTCCGCGCAAGTGGTGCAAAACGTATGCATCTGTAGAAGGAACAACGACTAAAGAACAGTGCAATGGAAGAATCACTGGTAAGCGCGTGTTGGCAAATAGCCAAGCAAGGAAATGGAAAGAACAAAGCGAATGCATTCATATTCAAATGCTGATTTAGAAATATGCACCTTCACTTTTTGATGCTACATTGTCATTCTGATACAAGCAAGCAAAAGGCACCGCTACCTGGCTTTAAAAATCTCACACTTATAATAGTCTGTGTATCCGTCACGCTACCTTCTTTGGCCTCGCTTCTTTGGCCTCAATTTTTTCTATTGCAACCCGATGGACCACTCTGCAGCCATCATCATCGTCTATGGTACTTTAGGTCGTAAGTACCGTGTAGCAAATCCGGTCTTGTTCATGCAATGCCATTTTGGTTCCGGGGTTGTGGTGTGGTTTGTAGTATCTGTATTATCTAATGTAGCTCAATAGATGCCTTGCAGTCTTGCACATAGTAGTAGTAGCTCACATACTGGTTCTTGTACGATAGAAGTTTATATTTCGGTAGCCTTTCGAATGTAACAAAATTCTTTTTGTTATCTTCATACACATAAACTCTCAAGATTTCTACTGAAACACTTCCCAAACATATCGTTCAATTAAGAAGTATATCACCACTCGCCCGCTCTGGTCTCTTCCATTCTGAATGTGATACAACCCCGACAAGAGTATCTGCTTGCCCCCAGCCTTTAGGTCTTGCAGCGTGATATCTCGAGCAACCTTTTCCTCCCCAGACATGTAGCTTTGTTCTCTCGTAGAAGCCTTATCATCTGGTCAACTGATTGATGCACATCGAACATGTTGCACCTTCAGAAATCGGAGTTGAACATATGCACAGAGTCGCCAGCTGCCTCCATGTCTAACTCCATCAAGGCCAACTGCTCCAAGTTCAATGCTTCTCTAATCGCAGTAGATACAACAAAGCATACTGGTGCCGACCAAAGAACAACAATTGAATATGGCCTACTCATAAAACGCTTTTATGATCCCTGTATTGTTGTTCTTTCGAAAAGTTCTAAACAGCTGACCAACTTTCTTCTCAGCCTCTTCGTGACGCACTTCTCTCCAATCACCATTTTCAGCTTGCTTGAGAAATCGGGTCCCTTTCTCAACGAACGTTTGGGTCAAAATTCTAGATATTTGTTGCCGTAAAGACCGCGGGGCTCTATCATATTCATCCCTGTGCGACAAGAGAAAGTTCCGAAACAAGGTATTGCCTGGATGATTTTGAACTCGATATCCTTTCCCAAGCAGGACATCTTGCGGCTTGGGTTGATTTTCTATCCACTGGTTGAGCCGAATCTCTGCTTCATGTTTCTGAAACCAAGCATTCAAGATGTTCTTACGGATTTTCCCATCAACTTCGACAGGGAAAGTGTTTTCAGTGGGAATACCGTGCCTTCGAAGAGTGTACTGGAGTTCCATATCAGTGCCATAATGAATGCGTGTCCTGGTCCTGGTGTGCGTTGAAGTAAGATTCAGAGTGTAATGAAGAAAGCTATTGCTCAGGGCCAAACTGCTGCTATCTTTAGGTTTCAAGCAAACATGCAATGCCGAGTACCGCATAGGGAAAGATGCGATAGCACCCATCAGCGCTAGAAGGAAAGTGATTCCAGGCATCTCAGCTTTCTCTCCGGGCTTTGTCACATCGTAGTATACACCGACGACCTATTGTTTGCAAGTTGAAACATGAGAAAAGGCACTTAAGCTGCTCGGCGTCGAGAAATGTGCAATAGTACTTACCCCTTTGGTTTGAACTTCAGGAAGGGGGAGTAATATATTATTGTACATGTAATACGCAACCTGAATCTATCGAGGAATGCAAAAGATTGAAGAATTGTGAGTTTTCGAGAACATCCTCAAACGTCGTCGACCCGCAGTACTTCGAAAGTATCTTACCATGGTGTCAGCGCTACATCGCCCAAGTTTGTCACTCATCATATATAGTATGACTCGTCCGCTTTGGTCTCTGTCTTTTTGAATATGGTACAGCCCCGACACCAGCAGCTCCTTGGCGGTATCATTCAAGTCCTGAAGTGTGATCTCTCGAGAAACCTTGTCCTTCCCAAAAATTTTCGCCTTGTGCTCCAAGAACTTCATCATCTGACAAACTGATTGATGGACATTGTACTTGTTGTACCTCAGAAACCGCAGTTGAAACGAAGCATCTTCGACATAGGCTCTGTTCTTCTTGACTGCCATATCGTAAAATGCATTTCGTTCTTGCTCGACGAATGCTTCAAATTCTACGAGTAATCTCCCAATCGAATCTGAATTCTCCTGGAGTTCTTCACCGACGCAATGGATATCATCTAGAGCCTCCGATCGTTCTTCGACGGACAGTTTATTGAATTCTGATGCCAGTAACTGCTCAGTTTGTCTCATCTCGTGCCAAATGAGGTTGTTATCTTGTCGACGTTGAGTGGATATCATATTTAGTTGATCTTTCGGTTTATCGATGCAGTCGGAAGAAGACCAGCACTTGGTGTTGCAACTTTCCATGGATGAATTCATCACTGAAAAATAATAATGAAGGAAAAGTGATGAGAAGCAGGTGCAGAAATGTGATGGGAAGTGAGAATGTTTGACTGTGGAAGAATGACGCTTTCCCATTGGGTGCTTTCTTCGTACTTAGCTACAATCAGACCTCGCAACGTACAACACTAAGTGATGATGCTGTAGTAAATTTCGCACCTGTTAATCGCACCCGATTTCATCATCTTTCACGGGAGTTACAGGAGGCAGAACTGTCACATGTAAACTTCTTGAGCAGAAGCAGGTAATTGTCTGCAGATGTTTCAACGATCCTTGTGCAATAGATATTACTTCGACTTGTAGCACGAATTGAGTCATCAGCTGTTTCGGCTCAAATACACTACTTGAGCGCAACCGATACGCCAACCCCGTATCCTTCACACTCTCCGAATCATGTCCTACCACTACCACCAAGAGTCCCCATTGTATCTCCGTCTGTCTCACCATCGCGATTGCCCACCAAGAGCCCCACGGGTTACGCTCCTTCTTCGACGCCCTCCTTCAATCCCACCAAGAAAACAGCCTGCGTGCACATTTGCACCCGGTGTGAGTGAATGTTGCAACCCCTCGGATCGGTATGGAGCGTCCAAAAAGAACAGCATCATCATCATAACAAAGGAGAGCATTCTTGGCACCCAGCACTACAGTATATTGCCGGCTGCTGAAGACGCTCCCATTCATGTCTTTCACTATGTATCATTTATATCCGCACCACAAACAACCCAAAACATCATACATATCATTGTCAATGCTCCTAAAGTAAATCCCCTTGTTTATTTGTGGTCTCTATGCTGTATCTGCGCAAGTTGTGCAAAACGTGAATATATATATTTTATTAAACAACGACTAAGCAGTGCAATGAAAGAATCATTGGGAAGCGAAGCGCAATCATGTATATTGGCAAAACAGCCAAGAAATGAAAGGAAATGAAAATGTAACCAACGAATGCATTCAGATATATACATTCTCACCTGTTTTTATGCTACCGGTATACTTGCATTCTTGCCATCTGATATAGTGATATATTTTTAAAAAAACAAAGTTAAAACTCACAGCTATAGTAGCTTTACACAAATCTAAAACCTGGTCTGCGTATTACCCGGTAAAGCATTGCAACCTGACTTACCTACTGTAACATGACGCACACAGACGAACTCGCAACAGCATCTTATTTTGGCACACGGGGTACTGGTTCACGTACCAGTACAGTATGGTACCTCACCTTCTGGCTCACTCATTCCTTCTTGGTGACGCCAGGAGGTTCTACACGGCGTGATCGGCAACGTTTTTTGGTCTTGCTTGTGCTGCAGCTGCCGTAAGGTTGCCTACTATTGTGCAGTTTCAGGCTCAATATTCGTAGTATCGGTACCGCCAGAGTCGATCAAAAAGTGGCACTTGATTGTTTGGGTTCAAATGACAGTGCTAGAACAGCTTCGCTGGTTCGCCCTCTTCTTCTCTAGTAGAATTAAAAGGGGTACACTACAACAATAAATTCTTCTTGAGCAGAAAAGTAGAATGAATGACTTACTTCACAAGATGACTTTTTCAAAAGCAGTCACAAGAAGGACCAGTCCGCAAGAAGGTAGAGGAAAGCAGTGTCGGCAAGCATGCAAAGCGAAGTCATTGTAAATTGAATGACGTCTGTGTCTACACCTTCGTATCTTTAGCCTTCAGCTGCCGTATTTATTGTAATACGGTTATTGAATATAAGAACCACATTATTATTAAAAAATGTCAGATATTGCGCGCTTTCTTCTGTGTGTGTGGGTACCAGGTAGGTGACTGGTACTCAATGAATAAACAGAAAAGTTTCTTGAGCAGAAGGGTAGGAATTTCAATTGAAAAAGTGGGGCGATACTACACGTGACGATGTTATTAACACCTCTCTTCGCTTCCCGGCTATTGTCACGTGTATGTATCTTGATCAGAAGGATGCAATTGTCTTCCGATGTTTGGACGCGATTCATTCGTGCTAGCTCGATATCAAATGGACTGGTAGTACTCCTACACAAAAATTGAACGATCAGCTGTTTCGTTTCAAATACACGAGGCCGGTTGCACTGACGCAGTTCGAACGTTCCTCGAGCGGTACTACCACTACCGAGAGCGTAAAAAAAGAGTTCTTGATCGGAAGAAATGTTTCCTCTCACTCTGTAGTTCCTTGTTCATGTTCAAACATGCTTTTAACTGACGTGAGATCCAATGTAAAACTACAGAGTGCGTTGGATCTTGATCGGATGTCCCTTTAAGAAAGCTGTTCACATAGAATCGAGATTGATGTTTTTGGATTTAACCACCTCGCAATCCGCCAAGTCACAGTACAATAATAAGCGTCACCTTGGAGAAAATGTCCACACACGGGACCCCTTTTCTGTAACGATTTATGCTATTGATCATTATAAATTTTTGATGTCGTCCACCACGACCGTTCAAAGCCTAAGCTGCAACGACGGCTGTTGGTCCTCTTCCAGTCCCAACTACAACGGTATATCGAAGCAGCAACAAAACATGATATCTGTTCACAGTCGACAAGACGCCAAGCTCGCTTTGTACGAGATGAGACAAACGGAGGAGTTTCTAGCATCAGAATTCAGTAAACTCACCGTAGAAGAACGATCTGAGGCTCTGGATGACATTCATTGTGTCGGCGACGAGCTCGAGGAATCACCGGAGATTATTGAGAGATTGCTCGTAGATTTCGAAGAAGCTGTTCAGCACGAAGGAAACGCAATTTATGATATCGCAGTCAACCAAAACAAAGCATTTGTCGAAGATCCTTCTTTTCGCTTGCGTTTTCTACGGTACAATATGCACGATGTGAAGCGATCAGTTCGTCAGATGATGAAGTTCCTGGAGAACAAGGCGACATACTTTGGGGAGGACAAGGTTGCTCGAGAGATTACGCTGAAGGATTTGAATGACGACGACACGCAGTTGCTTTTAGCTGGATTGTACCATATTCAGAAAGAACGAGACCAGAGCGGACGAATCGTCTTATATTTAATGACTGAAATGTTCGGGAGATCCAAAGTTGAGACCATGGTAAGATCTTTTCGATTGACTTTTTGCCGAAGTGCTATGATGTTCTCGTAAACTCACAGCTATCTTTTGGTGTGTGTTCCTTGATAGATCCGCGTTGCGTATTACATATTCAATAATATCTTGATTCCTATTACGGAAGTCCAAACGAAAGGGATCGTTGGTGTCTACTACGATGTGACAAAACAAGGGGAGAATTTTCAGATGCCTGGATTCACTTTCCTTCTAACACTGATGGATGCTGTCACATCTTTTCCTATGCGGTACTCGGCATTGCACATTTGCTTAAAGCCCAAACGAAGCAGTTTGGTATTGAGCAATACCCTTCTTCGCTACACTCTGAGTCTAACTTCATCTCGCACGAGGACAAGGACTCGCATTCACTATGGCACGGGCATGGAATTGCAATACGCACTGCGTGGGCATGGTGTTCCCACTGAGAACTGTCCGGTCAAAATAGACGGGGGTTTGCGGAAAGACATTTTGAATGCTTGGTTCCACGAGCACGAAGCAGATATTCGGCTCACTCACTGGGCAACAAATCAGCCAAGACCACACGATGTCCTTTTTGGAAAAGGATATCGTATCCAAAATCATTCCGGCAATTACCGCTTTCGGAGTTTTCTTTTGTCGCACAGGGATGAATATGATAGAGCTCCGCGATCCTTGAGGCCAGAGATTACAGCAAGACTGGCCCGAGCTCTTCTCGAGAACGGGACACGATTTCTCAAGCGAGGAGAAGGTGATGAGTGGATTGAAGTTGACCTGGAAGAGGCAGCCAAGAAGGCTGGTCAGCTGTTTAGAACGTTTCGGAAGAAAACTTGAGGGTTGAACGAAACGTGTATACGAAGAAGAAAGCATACAGAATATAATACAAGCTACAGTATATATATTATAAAGAATTTTGTTACATTATAAAAAGGCTACCGAAATAGAATGGAATATCGGAATGTGAGCTATTACTGCACAAGACTTCAAGGCATCTATTGAAATACACTACCTGTAGATAAAACAGATCACAACCCCACAACACAAATATCAACGCCACCAATAGCACGACATGACCAAGACTGGAGTTGCTACTCACGACCTAGCAAAAACATGAAACTACAGTACGGTTTTCAAACCATTTGATTTGATGTCCTCCCAGGGAGAACTGGAGCTTCTGATGTTGCCTGCCTTCTGGTCAAGAGTAACAAGCTGTTGGATGGTCATGAAAATACCGTTGTGAGAGGGGAGGAATGCAATCTGCCAAATAGTGTCGCACATTGCGAGGTCTCATTGCGAGGTCTTTGTCGATCTTACGAGGATAACAACGCGGAAAGCCTACTGGCCACATTCTGGGAACCATTCCACGGTCGAATGAGTCAATCATTCGTGGATGGCGACTTCTTCCCATCACATTTCTGCACCTTCTCATCACTTTTCCTTCATTATTATTTTTCAGTGATGAATTCATCCATGGAAAGTTGCAACACCAAGTGCTGGTCTTCTTCCGACTGCATCGATAAACCGAAAGATCAACTAAATATGATATCCACTCAACGTCGACAAGATAACAACCTCATTTGGCACGAGATGAGACAAACTGAGCAGTTACTGGCATCAGAATTCAATAAACTGTCCGTCGAAGAACGATCGGAGGCTCTAGATGATATCCATTGCGTCGGTGAAGAACTCCAGGAGAATTCAGATTCGATTGGGAGATTACTCGTAGAATTTGAAGCATTCGTCGAGCAAGAACGAAATGCATTTTACGATATGGCAGTCAAGAAGAACAGAGCCTATGTCGAAGATGCTTCGTTTCAACTGCGGTTTCTGAGGTACAACAAGTACAATGTCCATCAATCAGTTTGTCAGATGATGAAGTTCTTGGAGCACAAGGCGAAAATTTTTGGGAAGGACAAGGTTTCTCGAGAGATCACACTTCAGGACTTGAATGATACCGCCAAGGAGCTGCTGGTGTCGGGGCTGTACCATATTCAAAAAGACAGAGACCAAAGCGGACGAGTCATACTATATATGATGAGTGACAAACTTGGGCGATGTAGCGCTGACACCATGGTAAGATACTTTCGAAGTACTGCGGGTCGACGACGTTTGAGGATGTTCTCGAAAACTCACAATTCTTCAATCTTTTGCATTCCTCGATAGATTCAGGTTGCGTATTACATGTACAATAATATATTACTCCCCCTTCCTGAAGTTCAAACCAAAGGGGTAAGTACTATTGCACATTTCTCGACGCCGAGCAGCTTAAGTGCCTTTTCTCATGTTTCAACTTGCAAACAATAGGTCGTCGGTGTATACTACGATGTGACAAAGCCCGGAGAGAAAGCTGAGATGCCTGGAATCACTTTCCTTCTAGCGCTGATGGGTGCTATCGCATCTTTCCCTATGCGGTACTCGGCATTGCATGTTTGCTTGAAACCCAAAGGTAGCAGTTTGGCCCTGAGCAATAGCTTTCTTCATTACACTCTGAATCTTACTTCAACGCACACCAGGACCAGGACTCGCATTCATTATGGCACTGATATGGAACTCCAATACACTCTTCGAAGGCACGGTATTCCCACTGAAAACACTTTCCCTGTCGAAATTGATGGGAAAATCCGCAAGAACATCTTGAATGCTTGGTTTCAGAAACATGAAGCAGAGATTCGGCTCAATCAGTGGATAGAAAATCAACCCAAGCCGCAAGATGTCCTGCTTGGGAAAGGATATCGAGTTCAAAATCATCCAGGCAATGCCTTGTTTCGGAACTTTCTCTTGTCGCACAGGGATGAATATGATAGAGCTCCGCGGTCTTTACGGCAAAAGATATCTATAAGATTGACCCAAACGTTCGTTGAGAAAGGGACCCGATTTCTCAAGCAAGACGAAAATGGGGATTGGAGAGAAGTGGGTCACGAAGAGGCCGAAAAGAAAGTGGGTCAGCTCTTTAGAACTTTTCGAAAGAACAATGCAGCCCAAGAAGTAACATCATAAAAAATTAACTCTCTGTTATCTCGAAATATTTGAACGAGAAAAGTGACCACGTAGGTAGGACTATTACTGTACCGATACGACTCTATAGCTTACCTTTCTCTTTCAAGTTAATTAATATAAAGTAGAATGACTAAACTACACACTTTGAGGAGGAGGAAAAGTTTGTCTGAGAGGTCATGTTACAAGACTTGAAGGCTGGAGAAAAAGAGCTCCTAGTGTCGGGGTTGTACCATATTTTTAGAACGAAAGTGACCAAAGCGGACGAGTAGTGGTATACCTCATGAACGGCATGTTTGGGAAGTGTGGCGGCATTGCGATCATGGTATGCCTTTTTGATGTTTTATCCAATGAAGAGTTCTATCATTATTCTCGCAAACTTCTTGCAAACTTTTATAAATTCTTACATATTTTGTATTCCCCGACAGATTTACATTTTGAATTACATATTCAATAATATATTGGTTCCTATTCCTGAAGTCCAAACCGTAGGGGTGAGTTTAATCCATCTTCGTGAGCTGTACTGCGTATAGATCAAGTGCTATTTCTCACCTGGATCAAGTCTATTTCTCACCTTTCAAACTGCCAAACCCAGGTCGTCGTAAAACCAAATGGGTAAGTTTTATCTATCTTCGCGAGCTGTACTCTGCCGATCAATTGCTATTTCTTACCTTTCAAACTGCAAAACCCAGGTTGTCGGGGTCTACTATTATTTCACAAAGCCAGGGGATTATGGGTATTTGCCTGGGATTAATTTTCTTTTAGCGCTGAAGGATGCCGCTACATCGCTTCCCACCATGCTGTGTATCCTTCATTGCATATTTGCTTGAAGCCAGCAAATTGTATTTTGGCCTTGATCTACATTATACTCTATATCATACTTCAGTCCACACCCGAACCAGGACTCGCATTCACTATGGCACCGATATGGAACTCCAGTACACTCTTCGGCGCCATGTTGCAAGTTGTCTTGTCCATATATAGATGGGAACATGTGTTGGGGCATCTTGAACGATTGGTTTCAGAAGCATGAAGCACAGATTCGGCTCATTCACCAGTGGATGTCAAATCAACCAGGAGCTCGAGATATCTTTGTTGGGAAAGGACATTGAGTCCAAAATCATTCCGGTAATTCCTGGTTTCGTAAGTCTCTTATGGAGCATAGAAATGAATACAAGATGGAGCTCCTCGATCCATGCTACGGCAAGGGATATCTATAAGGTTGACTCGAACCCTCATTGAGAATGGGAGCCGATTTCTCGGCCAATTCGACGGTGGTGAGTAGATAGGAGCTGGGGTGGAAGAGTCTGAGAAGAAAGTTGGTCACTGATGGCCAAGAATAAGTGTAACATCATTAAACGAGGTCGATTTTCGATGAAGAGCGACCGCGTGACATGTTCCTCTTTTTTTTAAATTTTAAAATATATATTACCAAGAGAACAGTCTATGAAATCCCAAAAATTTCAGAAATTGCCCGATTGATACTTCTTTTTACATAAAAATACACAGTACAAAGTCTACGAAGTCAGGTATAAAAACCGGTAAATTTCAGAAAGAAGCCCGAGTCAGACTTTCGTTATATAAAAATACTCAGTACAAAAATGCGTAGATGATTTTGTTTTGTCATGTCATTATGTAATACACGGCACCATTTTGAAGCAGGTTGATCTCAGAGACTACGTCTACGTCAATGTGCGGTAGTTTTTGGTAGTAGCTTTCTTCCCACGATTTACATTTGACCCGCCGTGTGTTTTCCCACTTTTCCGTCATTATTTTTTTCTCCATGAACTCATCTGTCGAAAACTGCGATGACAAGTGTTGGCCATCTTCCAGCTGCACCGACACATCTAAAGAGCAACAAAATATGATATCCCTCCACAGTCGACAAGACAACAACCTAGTTTGGCACGAGATGAGACAAACTGAGGACTTCCTGGCATCGGAGTTCAGTAAACTGTCTGTAGAAGAACGATCGGAGGCTCTGAACGATATTCATTGTGTTGGCGAAGAGCTAAAAGAGACCCCTGAGATGTTGGAGATGTTGCTGAAACAGTTCGATCAAACGGCGCGTCAAGTGCGAAACCATATCTATACAGTAGCTGTCAACCAGCGTAGAGCCTTTTTTGAGGATTCTTCCTTTCAACTGCGGTTTCTTAGGTGTAATATGTACGATGTGCACCAATCAGTTCGTCAGATGGTGAAGTTTTTAGAGAACAAAGCGGCATACTTTGGGAAAGACAAGATTTCTCGAGAGATCACGATTCAGGACTTGAAGGATGAAGCCAAAGAGCTACTACTGTCAGGGTTGTACCATATTCAGGAAGGGAGAGACCAGAGCGGACGAGTGGTATTATACTTACTGAACGACAAGTTTGGGAGTTCTGATATTGTGACCATGGTAAAGTCTCTTCGATTTTGTGTTTGATGAAGAATTCTATCATGCTCGCAAGCTCACAAAGTCTTATAATATCTTATGATTTCGTCGATAGATTCAGGTTGCGTATTATGTCTACAATAATATATTGATTCCCCTCTCTGAGGTCCAAACCAAAGGGGTGAGCTCAATGCATCTTTATGAGCTGTATCATGCATCACAAGCGCTATTTCTCACATTTCAAACTGCAAAATGCAGGTTGTCGGCATCTACTATGATATGACAAAGCCAGGAGAGACTTTTGTTTCGCCTGGAATCACTTTCCTTCTAGCACTGATGGATGCTGTCGCATCTTTCCCTATGCGGTACTCGGCACTGCATATCTGCTTGAAGCCCAAAAATGGCAGTTTGGCCCTGAGCAATACCCTTCTACACTACACTCTGAATCTTACTTCAGTTCACACCCGAACCAGGACTCGCATTCATTATGGCACCGATATGGAACTCCAATACACTCTTCGACGCCATGGTGTGCCCACTGAAAGTTGCCCTGTGGATATAGATGGGAATGTCCGTGGGAACATCTTGAACGATTGGTTTCAGAAACATGAAGCAGAGATTCGGCGTCTTAATCAGCGGATGGCAAACCAAATGCAACCAATAAGGCCTCAAGATGTTAGACCACAAGATGTCCTGCTTGGGAGAGGATATCGAGTCCAAAATCATCCAGGCAATTTCTGGTTTCGGAACTTTCTCCTGGCGCATAGGGGAGAATACGATATAACTCCGCGGTCAAGGCGGCAAGAAATATCTATAAGGTTAACTCGAACCCTCATTGACAATGGGACCCGATTTCTCAAGCAAGACGAAGGTGGTGAGTGGATAGAAGCTGACGTGGAAGAGGCCGAGAAGAAAGTCGCTCAGCTATTTAGGACATTTCGAAAGATCCTCTGAGTTGGATGAAACACGAATGCATTCAACTCGTAGTATATAAATATCTTATTGAAACTATCAAGTTATCTGCTGGCCGCATATCAATTCGGCTTGATCAGTGGATGTCAAATCAAACAGGACCTCGCGATACCCTGCCTGGGAAAGGATATCCAGTCCAAAATCATTCAAGCAGTTTCTGATTTCGTAAGTTTCTACGGTCTTTGCGGCAAAAGAGATCTATGGTTGATTCAAAGCCACGTTGAGAAAGTAGGGACCCGATTTCTCAAGCAAGACGAGTGGACAGAAGTGGGTCACGAAGAGGATGAGAAGAAAGCTGGTAAAGACAATCGGACAAGAAGTAAATAGCATTTTTTTAATAAAAATCGATCTCGTTTAGGTTTTCTCGACATAACAGAAGTGACCACGTAGGTGCGACAACTGGTGAAGCGAAGAAAAAAATATTCTTCAGAATATTTAAAATAACGCGGGATATGAGTTCTTTTTAAAAAAATACGCCGTATTTGTCAGTGCGACGATTTTGTTTTCTCACGTACTCAAATCTTAAATACGCAGTTTATATATCAATTACTTGCATGCACGATTTGACCAACCTTTTCATCCATTATCTTTTTCCAATGAACACCCCAGCCGTCGAAAGCTGAGAAGACAAGGGTTGGTCATCTTCCAGCTGCACCGATACATCTAAAGTGCAACACAATATGGTATCTCTCGGCAGTCGACAAGACGACAACCTTGTTTGGCACGAGATGAGACAAACTGAAAACTTCCTGGCGTCGGAATTCAGTAAACTGTCTGTAGAAGAACGATCGGAGGCGCTGAACGATATTCACTGTGTAGGTAAAGAGCTAGAAGAGACACCTGAGATAGTGGAGCGGCTGCTGAAAGAATTTAATGAAACGGCGCGTCAAGTGCAAAACCCAATCCACACAATGGCTGTCAACCAGCATAGAGCATATGTCGAAGATTCTTTCTTTCAACTGCGATTTCCTAGGTGCAATATGTACTATGTCCATCAATCAGTTGACCAGATGATTAGGCTTCTAGAGAACAAAATACATACTTTGGGGAGGAAAAGGTTGCTCGAGAGATCACGCTGCAAGACTTGAAGGCTGGAGCCAAGGAGATACTCGTGTCGGGGTTGTATCACATTCAGAATGGAAGAGACCAGAGTGGACGAGTGGTGGTATACTTCTTAAACGACATATTTGGGAAGTGTGATACTATGACCATGGTATGGCTCTTTTTGATATATTATCAATGAAAAAACTCTTATCACTGTTCTCGCAAACTCATAAATTCTTCCTCCGACAGATTCACGTTTATAAAATTACACATATTCAATATTATATTGGGTCCTATTCCTGAAGTTCAAACCAAAGGGGTAAGTTTGATCCATCATCCTGTACTATACCTTGTAGATGAAGTGCTATTTCTCACCTGTCACCCTGCAAAACGCAGGTCGTCGGCGTCTACTACGATGTGACAATGCCAGCGGAGAATGCAGTTATGCCTGGTATTAATTTCCTTCTAGCGCTGAAGGATGCTGTTACATCGTTCCCCGTGCTGTTTTCTGCATTACATATTTGCTTGAAGCCAACAAATTGTAGTTTGGCCTTGAACGACACCCTTCTAAACTACACTCTGAATCTTACTTTCAGTTCACACCCAAACCAGGACTCGCATTCACTATGGCACCGATATGGAACTACAATATACCCTTCGACGCCACGGTGTGCCCACTGAATGTTGCCCTGTCGATATTAATGGGAGCATCCGTAGGGACATCTTGAACGATTGGTTTCAGAAACATGAAGTCAATCACCAGTGGATGTCAACCCGACCAGGACCTCGAGATATCCTTCTTGGGAAAGGACATCGAGTCCAAAACCATTCGGGCAATGTCTGGTTTCGTAAATTCCTCATGCCGCATAGGGATGAATACGATAGAGTCCCTCGATCTTTGAGACAAAAGATATCTATAAGGTTGACTCAAACCCTCATTCAAAATGGGAGCCGATTTCTCAAAGAAGAAAACGGTGGTGAGTGGATAGATGCTGAGGTGGAAGAGGCCGAGAAGAAAGTTTGTCAGCTCTTTAGGACGTTTCGAAAGAATGCCTTAGTAGAGTTTCAGTAAATAAAGATCATATTTTGAGACTACCGGCATAGTGTATAACCACTCATCCAAAATGTCAGAAGCATGTATTGCCTCGAGAGGCTAAATCATCAATACCGATTTGCCTCAAGAGGCTAAATCAGTACCTATTGTTCCGAAAATTTCGATGCGAACTGCAGAAGAGCCAGACGAAACTCAAAAAGAGCCTATTTGAAGTTCCGGCTTCGCATTCAGAGTCAAAGAATGCCCCTTTCCATGCAGACAATCGGCGCCGCAACAACACTCATAAAATCTTAACAGAGAAATCCAAAACAAACACAAACACCAAGACTTTGCTTGTCAAACCGAACGACAAAGCAAAACACAACAAATCTCAAACACCTACTACAGAACAAAACACAATGAAGATTGTAATTATTGGAGGAGTTGCTGGAGGAGCCAGTGCCGCAGCAAGAGCCCGTCGTCTTGACGAGAAAGCTGAAATTGTCTTGCTCCAATCTGGACCCGATGTTTCCTATGCCTCATGCGGTATGCCGTATTTCATCGGAGGTGAGATTGCCGATCGTAAGAAGATGGCTGTCCAAACACCTCAGTCCTTGCACGATCGCCTCGAATTGGACGTTCGAGTCAATGTCAAGGTCCAGAGCATTGATACTGCAGCCAAGAAAGTTTCTGCTCGAAATGAATCAACTGGGGAGGTATACGAAGAGACATATGACCATTTGGTTCTCGCTGTGGGTGCGGCGCCCTTCAAGCCTCCCATTCCAGGAATTGATCGCCCTGGCCTTTTCAGTCTTCGCAGTTTGCAAGATATGGATCACATTGTCTCGTGGCTCGACAAAAAGGCCAAAGATACTAAAGACTTGCACTGTGTGGTGGCCGGTGCTGGCTTTGTCGGTCTCGAAATGGTCGAACAATTGGTGCATCGTGGTGCCAAAGTGACCTTGGTCGAAATGATGCCACAAATCCTGGGCCCCCTTGACGAAGAAATGGCAATATTGTTGCAAAACGACCTGGTTGCAAAGGGGGTCACTGTCATCACGGGAGACGGTATCAGTGAATTCAAGGAAGCACCAGAAGATCCTGAAGCATCCATCTTGACTTTAGGTTCAGGTAAGGTCCTTCCAGCAGCCCACATGACCATCTTGGGCTTGGGCGTCAGACCCGATACCAAGGTTGTCAAGGACGCTGGAATCGAAGTCACTCCACGCGGACACATCAAGGTTGACGAGTATCTTCAAACCAGTGCTCCCAATGTTTGGGCAGTAGGAGATGCCGTGGAAGTCAAGAACCCATTGCTCGAAGGAGAAATGTGGGCGGTCCCACTCGCGGGTCCAGCCAATCGTCAAGGACGCATGGTGGCCGACAACATCATCCGAGGACTTGTTCGCAAATACAAGGGAACCTATGGAACTTCCGTTGTTCGTAGCTTTGACTTGTATGCTGCCGCTGTGGGCATGAACGAAAAGATGATGATTGCCAAGAACCTTCCATACTCTTGCATTCATATTCACCCAGGAAGTCACGCTGGATACTACCCCGGTGCCAAGTCGGTCCATCTCAAGCTTATTTTCAATCCAAAGACTGGCGATATCTATGGGGCCCAAGCCGTCGGTGAAGATGGTGTGGAGAAGCGCATTGACGTCATTGCCACGGCGATGCAAGGCCACCTAAAGGTCGACGACCTTGCCGATTTGGAGCTCTGTTATGCTCCTCCAGTGGGATCCGCCAAGGACGTGGTCAATATGGCTGGCATGTCCGCCCAGAACATTGTCGAGGGTCTTGTCTCGCAAGTAGAATGGAAGGACCTTGAAAAGTTGGCTCATGACGATAAGACTCTTATCCTCGATGTGAGAAATCAAGGAGAAATCGCCTCCTCCGGAAAGCTCGCACATGATGCCATGAATATCCCCTTGAATGATCTGCGTACACGCTTGGACGAAATCCCCAAGGACAAGCATATTGTTGTGTCCTGCCAGAGTGGACAACGGGCATATTATGCTTACAGAATCTTGAAGCAACATGGTTTTGAACATGTTGACAATCTTGGGGGAGCCTATGCCACATTCCACTCCATCCATCCAGATGAGATCGACGCCTAGGTATATATTGGGCACATACTGAGCAATTCGATCCAAATGTAACACTAATAGACAACTATTGAATGCTCTCTTTCTTTTCTATCTCCTTTTGTATCGTGCGCTTGCCGCCAGTCTTGGCCACCAACTTGGTATCGGTGATTTCCACCTCGTGGCTAACAGCCTTGACCATGTCGTAGACTGTCAGTGCTGCTACGGTAGCACCCGTCAAAGCTTCCATTTCCACACCAGTCTTGTGCGTAACTCTACATGTACAATTGATGAGGATTTCATTGTTGACAAGTCGAATATCCAGCTTCACTTGATCGAGCGGAAGCGGGTGACACAGCGGTATCAAGTCACTGGTTTTTCTGTTTTAGTGAGGAAAAAAAAAGCGATTTGTATCAGAGCATCAATTAGAATGGTCTTAAAATACAGGCTCACACTATTTCCAGTAGAGTACTTACTTTGCAGCCATGATACCTGCCAGTTTGGCGGTTGCTAGTATAGGGCCCTTGGGTCCGATCAGTTCATTTTTATGTGAAGAAGTGGCATCTAGACCAAAGGCCTCCATAACACTTGCTGGCAGGATCACCTTGGTTTGGGCTTCGGCCATTCTCGTCGTCACTTGTTTGTGTCCGACATCCACCATGTGCACCGAATCTCCATCTTGACTGACATGAGAAAACCAAGGATGGTGAAGATCTTCTGCTGGCGGTACCGCTGTCTTATCTTGGGGGCTCTCCTCAAAGACCTCTCCCCGTTCGAGTGCTGCCCGTGCCTCGGCAATTTCCATCATGAGTTGTGGTGATAGCTTATCGCCAATATCTTGTTGACCCCAAGCTTGCTTTTCGTGCTCGCTGAATTCAAAGATTGCCTCTCGTTCTTGGTGCATAAAGTCCAAATCCTCAGGAGTCATGCCGCTCGCATTCGTCGATGGTGTTGGAGGATCAAAGGTAGCGTTGGGCGTGTTTTCGCCGAAGAAATCCTTGCGTTCGTTTTCGAGCTGTTCCATTTCTTGTGCAAAGAAGGCATTTTGTTCTTGTGTATCCATCCCCTTGACATTATCCTGCTGTTGATCAGCATCGTCCCCAAAGAAACTCTTTCGTTCATTTTCTAGTTCCAAGAGCTGTTCTTGAAAGAAAGCATGGTGATCCGCTCCTGTGGATGCATCACCATCCTTTCCAGCAGATGAGGCAAAGGAACGACATTGATGGAATGAAATGGATGCAGGTAGGCGACTAACAGCTTCATGTTCCACACCAGTAAGCCAGATGCTACACCGCATAGCTGAAGAAAGAGTGGATCTGACAATGCGACGGGGAATGACGCTCATCGTTGCCATATGTGCCTGTTATTCTGAATGTCAATTATACCGGTATCATCAACAACGCAGATGGTTGTAATTTATCTGCAGCGTCTGTCAGTTGTTCCAATCAAACGTGAATGAACTGAACAGTCAGTCGGGGATGATACCTGTATTTTGACAGAACATTTACGCAGCACAGGCAGTACAGTACCATGAGACGCCACCAGCAGCCACTAAAACCTTTGACTTTCGAAAGGAAGTACTCGATGATGATGATGATGATGATGGTGATAATCATCATCATCATCATCAGAATGACATTCACAAGCTTTCAATTTTGGACAAAGAAGACTCCCTCCCCCCCCCCGCCAAAACGAGAGGAATCAATCGAAGATGCCTCGGTTTGTGCTGGTTCGCAACTTGTTGACACCTCGAGAATGCCGAACCCTCTTGGATTCCACCGAAGGCCATGGGATGGAGGCCCCCAACAACGCCAATGGCACACCACGCGAAATTGATGTTTTTCGTTCACAACAACAACAACAACAACAAGAAGGATGCGGGGCACTGGCCATTCCGCAAATGGGATTGGTGCATGCTGGTCAACTGATTGCAACGAAGGAGGTGGACGGGGAATCTGTTCCAAGTATATTGCACCAGCTGCGGGTACCATATCATACTGTACCGGTATTGAAATTGAATATTTGAATATGCATGGATCAGAGTACCAGGTACTGTTTAGTTGACTCGTTCGACTGTCGTGAGCAGTACACGTACCGGTACACGTGTACACGTACCAGGTACAGCCTGATCACACGTAGCCTGCTGTAGAAACCGTTAGAAAAAGGCTGCCTGCTTGGACGCCCAACTACGCACCAAGGCCAGTCAGAAGTACATTTCCAAGGCCGTAGTGACTTTCAACTTTGTGACAAAAGAATACAATAGAAGGAAAACGGAGGTATTCAAATAAAACATCATCGGGACGTTGAAGTTCTTGTTGGTGGAGGGGAGAGTCTGGCTACTGGACGAATATGAGTCATCAGGAGGATGAAAATGGAGGCAAGAACATGGGGAAAGCTTCGTTACGTGTTGCTAATTATTGCAACAAGAATAGTCCAGTCGGTGACGAGTCCAATCCACACAAAATGAAAGTATTGCTACACCGTTTGGGGAAGAAACGGCGCATGCCAGGATTTTCGGGACTGGATGGTGATGGTGATGATGATGAGGGAACAACAGACGCCGAGGTGATTGCTTCAAAAAAGACCCGAATAATTGCTGATGCATCATCGATTGAAAGTCCACCAAAGTCGTCATCGGAACCAAAAAGCCCAGTACCCGCCAACAAGCCTAAGGATTCTGTGAGCCTTGCTCCTGCATCATCCAACAATGAGGATAAGGCAGACCCGAGCACTTCCGTTAGCCTAAGATCTGCCTCTCCTCCCCAGCAGCGAGGAGATGATCATGAAACGACGATAACTCGTGTTTATATTGATTGTGCAACACTCCCTGATCCCCCAAGGCTAGAGCTGACCGAAAGCTTTGTAGAAAAGGTTTACAACATGCTGGAACAAATAGAGTTTAACGCCCAGTCGCACGTGGTGTCGTTTCTTCACCATGGTCGCGCCTTTGCGATTCATCATGACAAGATGTTTGTGGAAAACTTACCCAAGTTTGGCTTGCCTCAAACGAGCGTGGAAGATTTTGAACTCGCACTCATGGACCATGGATTCCGACAAATAGAAAGTGAATGCGATAAAGGGGCTTTTTATCACGAGTTGTTCTTGAGGAGTCGACCTGGCCTCTGTGTCAACCTGCGAAGTAATGCTACATCTGCGCAGAATGCGAAACGGCAGCATCCTCCAGAGCCAAATTTTGCAGAGTATCCGCCAGTGCCCCCAATGCCATTTAGAGGTACCGAAATACATGTAATGCCAAGAGGGAGAAACCCAATGGCGCATGTAATGACCCCTCACCTGCCCATGCCAACGGTGTTTCCAGTTCGGCATGCCGCAACACTCTACTGCGACTGGGCTGCATGGCCTGATCCTCCACTACCGATGAATCCTAGAGGATTAGAGGGCCACCTTTCGCTCCAATTACATGGGTTAGTTTCCATATTTCTCATTTTCACTGACTCTGTGGGTGCCATCTTCTAACCTTTGTTATGTTCCTCTCTGAAACAAAATCGCAGCGTTTTGCAACAGATGCATCTTGAAGGCAACTCCCACATTGCGTCCTTCCTTCATCATGGTAGGGCCTTTGCTATCTACGACCAAGTCGGGTTTCAGCAAGCTGTGATGCCCCGGTTTTTTCCGAGTTTGACATTCCAGGAATTTTTAAGGAACGTTGTTGATTTTGGGTTCGCACAACTTCGAGATGGTCCTGATGCCGGGGCCTTTTATCATGAGTTGTTCTTGAGGGGTAGACCAGGTCTCTGTGTGAACATGCAGAGACGCGCTTTTCCGCAACCTTTTGATAAACAGCACCAGCTAAACTTTCAAGACTATCCACCCATGCCGGTATATGGAGGATATCCTCCTTTTCCCAACATGCAGCCACCGAATGATCTCGTTGTGGCACCATCCGTTAGCACACCAAAAAATACAACAGCGGCACAGCCGATTGCCGACCCCAAACAAACTGCACCACATTCTGAAATGACGACGGCAGGAAAGAATGCAAAGAGGAAAGACACACCCACAATGAGTCAAGAAGAGATTGGGTCGCCACAAGGGAAAGTCACAGAAAAATCACATGCAATGGAGAAAGAAGCAAGCTTGGTACTGTCGGCATGATGATGATGATGATGACGTAGCCCTAGGGAAGTTGAATGCAGCCGTTGCTCTTGACGATGACAACATGGAGGATCTCTGCAACTTCATTGGCGAACACTCGCCACTGGCAGCTGTGACCACGAGTATACCGTGCGAATTCAATTTTGAAAAAATATAGAGAAGGATTCTTACAAATGGTATTATTTACATCTTTAGGTGTGAATTTGTTTTCATGAACGCTCTTCATAGATTTTCTTGTCAACATAATCTTCCACTAGCTCGGTCGAATTTTTCCAGCCGCCGAGCTCTTGTGGCAAAAACTCTTCGTATCCCTCCATCAAAAACATGTCAAGTTTGTCAGGCTTGATAAAGTGCACTTTTCGTGCGAGCCAAGGTGCCAGCATAGGTCTCAATAGCTTCCAGCCATTCATGAATACCTTTGGAGCGTCAACGAATAGCACATCAGTGAAGCGAGTTGGTATCATACTACCCTCGGCGGCCTTTGCTGCTTGTATCACAGTGTCCAGATCATAGTTTTTCATTCCATAGCCCTTCATGTTGACAACGACGCATACCCCATTTCTGCAGTCATCCTGAGTCCTACTCATGTCATTCAACAAGTAGTACAAGCTGTCAATGAAGAGTTTACTGTTCTCTTTGGTGTGTAGGTGCCTTTTCGCATGCATATAAATGACTTGGGATCTCTGTTTGGATCGAAGGCCATGAAGGGGCAGCATGGCTCTCGTCTGAAACTGGTCCACCATTCTCCCGCTCATGCGAAGAGAGAGATATGGACTGTCGTAGCTTTTCTCGATGGCCTTGCGAGCTGGGTCATAGTCGAACTCATGGAAGCACGCATACCGATAGATCTGCATCTCCGTGAGGTTAATGTGAAATAGATTGCAGAATTCCCTCAGCTGTAGAAGAGTGACTTGTTCGGACTGCTTGGAATCCATACTGTTTGTTGTGGAGGAAACATCCTCTGGAAAGGTCAGACTCGAAATATTCCTCTTGTGGAGGTTGCTGAATTTAGTCTTTCGCTGTCTTATGGAGATGAACTTCATGTTGAGTGTTTTATGGTGAAGACGAAAAAAATGGTAGATTGAGAAAAGTGGGATCGTATTTTCGTATTGTCTTGATTGGGTGAGTCAGAATGTCCCACTGTTTTAATTAACGACACGTACCACAATTGTTTGGCGAAACAGATGGTTGTCCGAATTTGTCTTGGAACGAAACAAATGGAATTCCAATGTTGAATCTAGAATGTCTTTCTACTTAACGTTCAGAAGTGCGAACAACATTTATAGACCAGTTTGGAACAGAAGACCGTCAAGTTTTGTCGACCCGATTTGTCTTCAAGGACCCCAAGCCAAGAAGACTTTGAATTTGAAAGCTAGGAAGGGGAACTCAATGCATGCACCTACTTCATTACTGTAGGTGTATTATAGGATGGTCAACAAAGATGAGGCAAGGCGAGAAGGAGCAAACAGAAGAGGTACCGCTCTGCTATGAACAGGACATTCCCGTCGGAAAGGATTTCAGGACATTTTCGTCACGATTAAAGCGGTAGTGTGCAATAAGTACTGCGCTTCTACAAATCCGAATCTTCAGATTTGCACCATATATGTTCGAAGAAAGAAATTTATTGGAATCATCATTTGTCGCTATTCGAATGTCCGATCCGCTGGGCAGAACACAGGTTGGAAAAAGCGCTACCAACTTCAAACTAGGCCCTTTTGCCGTCTACTGGTACCAGTATTAAATTAGGTAGAGTTCACAAACTGGAGAAGCGTTTTCCTATCGCGAGCTCTGTAAATATTTACCATCGCGCTAAATTTTCCAATTACAGTAGATCCCATTACACATCTTCCCAGGTGGTGCGATACTGTAGTGTTGACCGATCATCTGTTGGCAAGGTCAAACAAATATACAGTATGGTAGCGGTACACTGTCGGCGTTTTCAGTAGGAATCTTTAACAAAAGTAGTGCAACAAGCAACGCCCATGATCATCATGATCTGGCGAGAGAGCACGACGAGGTTCCAAAAGAATCATCATGTGATGAGCGAGGGCGTCAGTAGGATCGTTATGATAGCCAGCAGGTTTTTCGACAAACTTTCACCAAGCCTACCTCCCCAACTCAAGGCTGGGTCAGCTATAGCACAGTACCTTTCCTCCTGCTCCCGCACTACTACTCCTGGTTTTCCAGAGTTGATGCCATTCCAGAAGATATTGGTACAGTCGTTCGTGTAACTGCTGGTACTACCGGTAGGTACCAGGAAGTTACAGGAAGTGACTGACTGACTGAACAAATGAATGAATCAATCAATCATGAATTCGTGTCGAATGAGTCGAGCCTTTTCAGAACTTCAGAAATTTCGAAATATGAAACGTGAATGCAAAAAACATCTTATCGACCAAGTCTCTGCGTTTGAGACTGTAACAGCAACAAAAAGAAGATCAAACAACAACTGAAACATCAAAATCATGGAGTACATTAGATTGATATCCAATGAGACAATGAAACAAAGCGTTTGGACAACCGCCAGCATGTTGGCATCTGGGGCTGCAATTGGTGCTCTCATCACCTTTGTGGTAATGAATGAACCAAAGAAGAAAGCAAAGAAATCCGAAATTTCTGATTCTCCTGAAGTCAGAGACAAGCAACAATCGCCGCCAAGCAGAACTGACAACTGGAGGTCGAATTCCTTCATCAGCATTCCTTCTGATGGTGGTGATGGTAACATTCCGCCGACAGGAGTCGACCAGCATCCAGATCATCACGATCGACCAAGCCATACCATGAATTGTGATCACGATGAAAATTGGCATCTTCCTCAGCATACATCTCCCAATCATCAGCACCAGCATTCTCATCGTCTTCAAGAAGCCATGGAGAAACGAGATAGATTACCTTCCTTAATCATATTGGTGAGACATGGCGAGAGTGAAGGCAATGCGGATCATACATTGTATCGGACCAAACCAGATAATCTGGTAGAACTCACGCAAAAGGGAATAAAACAAGCGAGAGAAGCAGGGAAACGTGTGGAAAACATCTTTGTCAGTTACGATCAGGAGCAGCTCAAAGGACATCATCCTCATCCAAATCGATTGACATGGAAATCGGAAAACTGTTCTTCGTCCATTTCATCTTTGGGAGATGATGAAATTGCCAACGAAAATGATGATGAAAAAGATCCTGCAAACACATCGGTTACTCCCCCATCCATGACTTCAAGCACCTCGTCCGTTCAACCTTCCATCAAGCGGGCCCATTTGATCATTTCTCCCTTTGAACGGACGCTGCAAACGGCTGCCGCCATGCGAAAAGGCTTTGAACATCGAATTGTTCGAACCGATGTCCAGCCAAGGATTCGAGAACAAGAGTTTGGCAATCTACAAGGAGATGACTTTCAACTCTTTCGAGAAGAACAAAAAAGGGTGGGCCGGTTTTGGTATAGATTTCCGACCGGCGAGAGTGGGTCCGATGTTTCGGATCGTGTCCAAAGTTGGTGGTTTGATTCCGTCTTGAATGTCAATGAACGATTTGGATATGCTCCTATTGATGCATTGGTAGTAGTGACACATGGACTGACCATGCGATTTGTGCTCATGCAATTGTATGGTTGGTCTCCTACCACATTTCATTCGGTTTGGAATGCCGACAATTGTGATGTTTATGTTTTGAAAAAGGATTTGACAAAGCCGGGGCTGTCACCCTATGTCTTGGATGATACATATGGAGGAAACATGCCCAAGTCATCGATTGATTTGCTAGTGGAATTTCACAATGACACTACTCAAGTGGATGCTGAAATGACAAATGAGGATACTCAGTCAAGACAACGAACGAACCAAAAACAGTTCAAGTTGACCGATTACTTGAGCATTCCACCTCCCCGCACTACACAACTGGAACTAGTCAAGAAGAAACTGGTCGAACAGTACCCAGAAGAGATTGATAATGTTGACAGTATCAAGAGTATTGTTTTCATGCCATTCTTTGATGGTGCCCTCACACAGGGAAGATCCACCTCGGGCAAGCCACCACACCAAAAGGATTACGTTGGCGAGAAGGGCTTGGCGGACGAAGCAGCTATCAAGCCAACAGATGGAGTCAAGATCGTCGACAAGTCCCACAGCCCAAAACGTGGGAAGATTCGATCCAGCAACCGATTCCCGTACTACCCCGAAGTACAAGACGACAGCTGGCGTCCCAAACAAAAGAGAGATCGTGTGATTGCCGAACGAGACTACCGATGATGATTGAAAAAACCCTGCTGGTTCTCTTCCCCGTATGTATCTGTAAATCTACTGTTGTACCTAATGTTGTATTATTGTCGGAAAATAAACCCGTAAAGTTTGATGTCATAACTCGTCAATGTTGTATTATTGTCGAAAAAAAACCGTGAAGTGCAATGGTTATGGAGTGTCACTCAGTGCCTTTGTCGACTGTGTCATTTATTGTTGACCTTGACTTTGCAAGATGGACGAGTTTTCTTGAACCAACGCATGTATGGCACCAATCATCAGTTGAGTATTGGCACCAATGGGTTTGGTACAAACCATGCGAATGTTGTCTATCTTGAGTTCGTTCTTGGCTTGTTCCAAGAGTTCCGGGATATCCTCAGTCACATGTCGGCCAGGACTCAAAAAGTATGGATGGCAAATGATTTCGTCTGCGTAGTAATGCGGAACGGTGCATCGTCAGCCAAAGCAGAATCGAATGGTGGGACATGGGTTGATGACAGAAAAGGAGAGCCAATGAACAGGTCAGAACGTCATGAAACTACTGGAGACATTGATCTCCGTATTCTTCACTTACCGACACCTTGGTCCAATAGTTTCTTCAATCCTTCCGCAATGGATGGCGAAGCAATTTCCATATGTGCTGCTTCGACCACAATGGTATCATCGTCGTCGGTTCGATCGTAATTGGAAGTCAGTTGGTACAGTTCCGCCATCTTTTCCAAACGAGCATTGCTGGCACTATTTCGAGACCCATGGTCCATTAGCAAAACACCGACTTTCCTCTTCTTCCCGCTTCGCAATTCGGGTGGAACGGTTTCAAGAGGTGGCGGAGGCGATGAAACTGGTGGTGATTTTTTAGAAGTTGTTATGGGACCAGCTTCTATTCCATTGGGATAGGCGTGGGGACTGAGCAAAGGATCAAAGTAATCAAAGAGATCTTGATCCTGTCTATCGACTTCTGCTTGAGGTGGAACAGCTTCCAAAGGTGGCGGAGGCGATGATGTCGTTGAAACTTGTGGTGGTACTACATTTCTGGATGATGATTCTTCAGAATTAGTAGTGGGACCAGCTTCTATTCCATTGGGGTAGGCGTGGGGACTGAGCAAAGGATCAAAGTAATCAAAGAGATCTTGTTCCTTTTTATTGCCTTCTGCTTGCAAAAGAGTAAAAGCTCTGGCACTAGTACTGATGTGATGATGGCAAATTCGAAGAATTCTTGTTTGGAAGCCTTCGATTTGTGGCACCAACAAGAAAAGACAAAGAAGAGATTGATTCAAAAGACTCATTTTGTATGGTTTCAAGTTTTCTGGATATGATAGTTCAGATGTTTGTTTCAAGTGATGATGTTGTTGCTTTTGTCTCAATCTGCACCTTTGACAAGAATCATTCATTCCGGTATTTCTGGATCTTGGCATTATTCGTTGATGATGAGTGTTTTGCCTTGTGGGTTAGCGGCCAGACGCTACTTCTCGAAGTTGAGAAAAAGTCCAGAAGCAAAAGATGATTGAGATTGAAACCTGTTGAACCTGGTACCACCCTAGCACCATCAGGCTCGAATTGGGGTGCGAAAGGGTGTGCAGGAGAGCCTGGATGTGCGCCTCAGCTCATCCATACAGAAGGGTCACGTCCACATACCCTTTATTGTATCGTAGTCTTCTTGTTGCTCTTTTCCTTGCTTCCGCCCTTCTTGAAGGCCCAGAGTTCGATTCCATTGACTTGTGACAAATACTGTTTAGTAAAAGTATGACCTGCAGAAGCAGAAGGAAATGTTTTAAGAGGGGAAGCAAAAGCATTGCGGTCTCGCATCCATTCACCGCGTGGGGTAGGGATGTCCAGTGGCCTGACTGACCCGATCACTCCATCATTATCACCCTCGATATGATCAATTGCTCGAAAACATCGAGGGATGACGGCGAACCATGCGCAGACAATGCGTCGTTAAAACTCGAATTTTGAGTACATAAAATTGCAATACTGTACCGTAAAGACAAAGAACGACAGTCATTGAAATCGTCATTTACGACATATTGCAAATGTCCTACCCCAATTCGATTCGGCATTTTTGGTCGCTCTCAAGCTCTGGTGTTCGGATTGAAATTCCCTAAATAGACTCGAAAGATCGTCTTTCTCTGGCAGAAGAAAAACCTTCCGCCCACCCACCACCATCGATCATCTCAAACCATAGTGTGTTGCATTGCTTGACATTGGATTCATTCTCGCAGTACCCACACTTCACCCATCCAAGCGTCACACAAACACAAGACGGGAGTAACGTAGGAAAAAAGGACATATTGTATCCAGTAGAAGGGTCTCCATATATTTTTCTAAAATGGTGGATGTTGGAATTGGAGCACTTCTTATAGTCTTGGGAGTGATCATAGGTATATTGGTGACCCTCCTAATTCAAACGAGGCGCAGACAGTCATCGCGTAACGATGGGTCTAATAATAAGCAAAGGGGAAATCAAGGGGACGAAGAAACGGGGAATCAGGGAACAAACGAGAGAGCTGCTGAAAAAGCCAGACAAGCCAGAATTGCTGCAAACAACAGTCATGCGAAGGATACAAATTCAGAAGCATTCGATGAATCCATCCGATATGCCAAGCCCAACTATGATGGCGACGGCCAGTATGAGGAAGCCCACAATGGTACCACCAAGGTCAGTTACGAGGATGACGGCAATCTGAGATGTCCACAGAATTTACACGAAGCCCAATTGAGAAGACAACGAATGCCTTCCATGATCATCTTGGTCCGACATGGCGAAAGTGAAGGTAATGCGGATCACACACTGTATCGTACCAAACCAGATAATCTTGTGGAATTGACTCAAAAGGGAATGAAACAAGCTCACAAGGCGGGGAAACGAGTGGAAAAGGTATTCAACTCTATAGATGTACAAGCTCATGAGAAACGAAAGTCCCTCGGGGAAGATACATCCGGAACACATACGGCCGCCATTCGACGAATACATTTGGTGATTTCGCCCTTTGAACGGACACGCCAAACGGCTGCTGCCATGCGCCCATGGTTTGCCCATCGGATCGTTCGTACCAATCTCGAACCTCGCATTCGAGAACAAGAATTTGCCAATTTGCAAGGTCATGATTTCGGTGACTTTCGAAAGGAGCAAAAACGGGTGGGCCGCTTCTGGTATCGCTTTCCGACAGGAGAGAGTGGGTCTGATGTGTATGACCGCGTCAAGTCTTGGTGGCAAGATGACGTGATGAACGTGAATGAGCGATATGGATTCGAGAAAGTCGATGCCATGGTAGTCGTCACACACGGTTTGACCATGCGGTTTGTGCTGATGCAGCTCTTTGGTTGGTCCCCGACGACTTTTCATTCTGTTTGGAATGCCGACAATTGTAGCATGTATGTCTTGCGCAAGGACTTGTCGAAACCGGGACCCTCGCCATATGTATTCGACGAAGTGTCAGGAGATGCACCACAATCTTCCATTGATTTGAAAGTGGAATTTGATGGCTTTCACAACAAGATATACAAGCTGCACGACTACTTGAAGATACCCCCACCTAGAACTCGGCATCTGAATGAAGTCAAGGCAAAGTTAGCGGAGCAGTATCCCGAAGTCGACAAGGACCGCATTAGCAGTGTTGTCTTCTTGCCATTCATGGAGGGTGCAGTGGCCGAACAGCGAACTAGAACTGGGCGGCGAGCTAGCTTGAGCGCGGTCGAGACTCGTGGAGCAGCAGGAGGAGGTTCTACTCAGCTAGGCGGAGGACGACAGGAGCGACAAAAACGATTTCACCATTCGAAAAGTGACGATTTGGGTGGTTTCTGTCCCCACCCCGAGCTCTACGCTGAACAGGAAGAGGGTTGGTCCTAATTTAACTATGACTGTATTTTTTAATAGAAAATGCTGTATGGTGTTGAGTTGCATTGAGATTGGATTGAATATATTATGTGGAATTCATGCAGATAGATCATCCAAGGATCAGGTGTTTCCAATCATGTTCCAAGGTATCCTCTAAAAAGACTATCCCAGCACGTCCTCCTAGTATCACCGTAATCCAAATGTGTTCCTTCGCCGATAAGTGGTCGTAGTAGATACTCACAGTCACCGTGCTTGTCGACAATACAAGGGAACCTCTTGTCAACAAGAGCGTCCCACACCTCACTAGTGTTATCTACACTGGAGGAGGCCATATAAATACCTCCTTCAAATTACTCAGGACCAAACATCATTCCCGATATCAAGTACTGAAGAACGTCCAGTATTGCCGGTATGACATCCGCAAATGAAATGGAATTAGATTCGAACTAGTCGTGTACACCACATACGTCATATTTGACGAAACTTTGACGGACCTTGAACACAACATTATCCATGATTCTTTTCACCGTGGTGACTTACGCCACCAATTTTCCACCAACCACAACAAAAGTTCAAAAACCTTCTGGACGAACATATTACGTCCCCGGTTCCAATCAAGCATTCCACTACAGTACTTACTTCCCTGACACTTTTATCTTTCCTCGGTGCTCATAACTTACATCAACATCCGTTCAGACCTCAGTAACTTATATCACCAAGTGAACTAGCAAGTTTGAGGGAATCAATACAAAACAAAACAACACAAGACACACGTCATTGTCAAGAATGATTCAGAAGATAGGAACAGGATCATTGCTCCTGGCTTCAGGGGCTATCATTGGGGTGTTGACAACACTTCTAGTGCAGGCTCGATATGAACTGTCTCAAAAAGGAAACTCGAAAGATGACGATCGCAGGTCAAAGGGAGACAAGGGGGCCGAAGGAGCTGGCGACGAGTGCACCAATAGCAGCGTCAAGTATGAAGATGACGGCCATCTGAGATGTCCACAAAATTTGCGCGATGCCAAGCTGAAACGAGATCGACTGCCTTCCCTGATCATCTTGGTCAGACATGGTGAAAGCCAAGGCAATGCGGATCATACATTGTATCGGACCAAACCCGATAATCTTGTCGAATTGACGAAAAAGGGAATGAAACAAGCTCACAAGGCGGGGAAACGAGTGGAAAAGATTTTCCATAAAATGGATTTGCAAGCTCATGAACAAAAACAGCAATCACGTGGAGAAGGAACATGCCAAGCGACACATTCGGCAGCCATCCGACGAACACATTTGGTGATTTCACCCTTTGAGCGGACCCGTCAAACGGCTGCTGCCATGCGGCCCTGGTTTGCCCATCGGGTTGTTCGAACAGACATTGAACCAAGAATCCGGGAACAAGAGTTTGGAAATTTGCAATGTCACGATTTTGACGACTTTCGACGAGAACAAAAACGTGTGGGTCGCTTCTGGTATCGCTTTCCAACAGGAGAGAGTGGGTCTGATGTTTATGACCGCGTCAAATCCTGGTGGACAGATTCTGTCATGAATGTTAATGAGCGATATGGATATGAACCAGTTGATGCAATAGTGGTAGTGACACACGGTTTGACCATGCGATTTGTGCTGATGCAACTCTTTGGCTGGTCTCCGCAAACCTTTCATTCCGTGTGGAATGCTGACAATTGCGACGCCTATGTCTTGCGTAAGGATCTCAGCAAGCCTGGACCCTCACCATATGTGTTGGATGAACAGGCTGGGGATATGCCCAAATCGTCTATTGATGTAAAGGTGGAATTTGATGGAAGCAATTGCCAGGTTTACAAGTTGAACGAATACTTGAAAATACCGCCGCCGAGGACTCAGCAACTGGATCTTGTCAAGGCAAAATTAGAAGAGCAATACCCTGAAATTGACAAGAAATGCATCAGCAGTGTCATGTTTCTGCCATTTATTCAGGGTGCAGTTGCCGAACAACGAACCAAAACTGGGCGACGAGCTAGTATCAGCACACTGCCGCCTCATCAAAGTCAAAATCATCTTCCTTCTCAAATTGGAGACGAGCTACAGCAATTGAACCATCAAGTTCGGCGGCTTTCGGAATTAGGCGGCTTTTGTCCAAATCCCGAGCTATATGCGAAACCAGAAGAAAGTTGGCAATTTTAACTCATATCACTATAACTATATCTGCTACAGTACAGTAAGACTATTATTGAATTGCGAATGAAATGCTGAGATTGAGACGAAAAGGTGTGGATATGTCAAGTGCTACAAGCATCTGATTTTGGAATCTACGGTGGCATCTGGCCATGCAAAAACTAAATTGACATTTAACTTCATGTATAGTGGAGGATAGGACTACACCTGCAGGTTGCTGCTGAATTGTATAGATTATTTTTAAAATTGAGCTGTTCATAGCACGATCTATTCATTTCCGGCAGATGATGTCATAGGATTCCATAGGATTTCTATTTACCAAACTTGGCGATTGCTCTTGTTTCTGCCAATTCAAAGGCGTGATGCGTCACCCAGTACCCAACAGTACCGCCATAGCACCAATCATTCAACGTTGGTCCTCTTTCCGCGCCAGATCCTAGCGCGCATTCGTATACCGTGCGTGGCCTCCAAAATAGCTACCGAAGTCACTCTCGTCTTCGAATGTTGAGCACGATTTTTTCCCATCTGCTCCTCAACAAGTCTTTCTCGATCTTTAAAAAATAACAAGCAAACGTCATGGAAAAAACTAAGTTTGCATCATGTCACGTTTTTTGTTCTTGGTTTGGTATGCGCCACCTTCATGCCCTTTCCAAAACTTGACCAATCGACGCCAAGATTGTATAGCCGATCAACTTCCTTGAGGGCATAGAACCAATAGCGTGTGCCATCACGAGCTTTGGATCTATCAAAGAGTTTTTCCAATGGTGGAGGTTCAATCAACCATGGTTTTGTTTTCTCCATGAAATGTATGATATCCGAATGGAACGGATACCAGTACAGCGATGTTTTGAACCATGGACGCTGGACGAACCGCAAATTCTTTTTCTCCCAATGCCGGGGTAGGCACGAGTATTGGCTGAAATTAAAGGATTTTGTCGATTCAAGTTTTCCTCCTGACCAATTTTGGATCACAGCGTGGGACCGATTGAATCCATTCTTAAAATCCTTGCCATCAGGATACGGATAGGGAGCAGTAAAGTTACCTATCTCATATCGCATCCAATGCCAAAGCAACCCTTGATCAACATGCGCAGCGTAAAAGTCCCAATTGTTTCCTTTCGTAGTTCCATCAAAATTGAACCATGTCTCGTTGGGTTCAATTGCTCTGCCCCAGCCCCGAATCTTATCCCAGGACTGGTTGAATCGTTGGTCGATGAGGAATTGCAGTCGTTCATAGTCTTTTGTGGAGGGTTCCAGCAGGAAGGCCCCACCATTTGCTGGAACTCTGATTCCAGGGAAGATCATGTTTGGCTTGATGAAGGCATTTGGGCCCTTGCTACTATGAAAAATGTAATCCAAATTGCATAGTGGCATCACGTCGGCATCAAGATACATAATTCTCTCATACTCCGTCATGTTCCATAGATTGAACTTTTCCATCATCAGTCTTTCAAAGAAGTGATCATTCGTTTTGGACAACGAACGAATCTTAAGCGTAATATTCATCTCTTTCAGAACACGGTTTTCGGATTCACGCAGGGTGTTGTTCTTGTCTGGGTCCTTCCATTGCAAATAGACTACAACATCTGCTTTTGATCCATCGTCTCGTAGAATGAATGTTGATGCAAATACATTGTACAAAAATCCGAGGTAAGTCTTTGGTTTATCTGGATCGACACCTCCAAGCAAGTATACGTATGCAAAAGAACCTTCGGAAGATTGACTCATCTTTTCACCAGCAACCTCCATGTCAGAATCCAGTTCTGTTGCATTTACTTCAGACTGACTTGTTTCAGATGCAACCTCTTCGTCGGAACCTTCATCGGAATCTTCATCAGAATCTTCATCGGAATCCTCATCGGAATCCAATTCTGTTACATTTGCTTCAGAGTGATTTGCTGGAGATGCAACCTCATCTTCATCAGAATGTTCATCGGAATCTGGTATTGCTGCAGATTGACTCGTTTCTCGAGCATCCTCCATATCAGAATCCAGGTAAGTTCCATCTGCTTCCGATTGACTCGATTGAGGTACAACCTCCCCATCCGAATCCAGTTTGGTTGGAATTGCTTCATATTGATTTGTTGTTTCAGGGACAACCTCCGTGTATCCGTAAATGTTTGCTATTCCATCGCTCAGCCTCGACGACTTTTGCAAGCTCCCAAGCGCTAACAGCAAAACAGCAACAATGACAGTATAATGATGGGTTTTTGGCATTGTTGTCAGCGACTTTTAAGGCTGAAGACAGATAGTGTACCGAAGAGTGATGTCATGCACCTTTGTTCATGCGGTTTTATTGGAGGCATAAGTTGTTCACAAGAAAACCCACCAATATTTGTTGTGACGCCGGACAGATGGACGAGCGTGATATCGTGACTCGAATCTGAATCGTTGAATCACGAATAATGACTCAGCGTTCAGATCAGTTGAAGTGAAAAGACACGTCATGATATAACATACCGGTATCTCGGTTCGTTTGGGTGACATCAGCGGAAGTTTCATCCTCCTCCACCAACATTATAAATTATTCGAATGTTTACAGTGGAGGTCTCGAGGGGAACGACACATACAAGGCAAAACACACGTTTGGGGAGACATTAGCTCGCACAGTTCCATTCTAGCAATCACGAGGACTTAAAAGTCAGCAAACAGATTGTAAAACTGGAGCACGACTCGAACAGAAACTCAGAATTCACAGAATTCACACAAATCACCACGGGACAAAAAATGAAACTATATCGCTACAAGTCAGTACATCTGATTGCATCCATTGTGGCTGCCTTTTCTCTCATTGGACTTTCTGATTCCCTTGTGATTTCACCGCCTTTTGGCAACCAAGGAATATCAATTGCATCCAACAACCACCAAAATGATGATTCAGAAGAAAGCCAGCTGATAAGAAACAACCAACTGTCCCAGAGCCGCCGTAGAAGCGTTCGGATACGATCTACATCAGAGGATGACATCTCTGATGTTGCTCAAATACTAGCATCCTCTTTGCTGGAACAAGAATCCGATGGAATCATGGGTGGCTTCAAGGCACAAATTGAACTGCTGAAAACCAAAGCAGGCGTCGAATCATTGTTGCGATCGAGAATACATGCCATTGACACTGCCAAAAGGCTTCAATTTCCACATTGGGAGTACAGCTCGGAAGAAGTCAGTGAAGCTGTTGGCTTACGGTATGTTTGGTCCAACAACGATTCCTTTCGAAAGAAGATTGAGCAGGCTGCCAAACTATCCAACGAGCCACACATTTGGAAGGACCACAACTTTGCCTATGCCCCAGGCTGTGTCCGGTGGCTTCAGCACAAGATGTTTACCGCAGTTGACGCTCACAGCGGCGAGATTGTTGGATTTTGCGAAGTTGCCATGCTTTCCAAGCCTTCTGCTTTCGAGGAAGAATGTGAAATCGATGGCGATGACTATGCTCCCACCATTATGAACCTTGCCACAGCTCCAGAACATCGACGAAAAGGTATTGCTACAAGACTAATGCGCAGTGCGTCACGATTCGTCCAAAAAGAGTGGAAGGAATCGACTGAACTTAGCTTGTATGTCGAACAAGACAACGAACCAGCGATTGCTTTGTACCAAAACCTTGGATTTGGATCACAACAAGCGGTCGAACGCAATGACAACCAACAATTCTACATGGCCAAGCCATTGGCGATTCCCAGCTATGCTTGAACTTCCAAACATGTTTGGCAAGCTAGCCGCCCATAGATAGACGACGACAATTTAGAAATCTAACGACCAATTATTGTTACAAATACTATAATACTACTCATGCGATTTTTTTCTTTTCTTTTTCCATCGCGTGCATTATAGCTCCTTCATGGACCAGCTTCCTTGCATTCCATGACTTGTAACGACCCCTTCCAAGTCCAACATGATCTTTTCTCCCCAAGCTACAACAACATCCTCACCCTCTACATAACTCACAAGGATGATATCGTTGTCTTTGCCAGGATGGAATCCCGAAGCACACTCTTGAAGGTACAATCCGGTTGGGTTAAAGAAATCCAAGAATCCCAAGGTGGCAACATTGGAACTGTCACAGTCAACGAGCCCACTGATTCTGCCCGCAATGGCTTCTCCCATGCCGCTGCTGGCAAAGCAGTCAAAGGGGCTGCCTGGTGCATCCGGATTCTGCGGTAGGCAAAGTTGCGCAATCTTGTTCCGCAGCTTGAACGATGATCCACTCGATTCCATTGTAATTACTTCCCAGTGATCATTGCCATTGGTCGTATCATCCCCTGAGGAACAGGTTTCCACTTTGATAATGTCACTGCCAGGAGTATAGGACATGCACTTGTCCTCCTGTGCAGTCATTTTCAGTTGGACTACTGGGTACGAGACGGTGGCAGTGACAGCCGACAGGGATACCTCCATGAGAGGAGCTTCCCGTGCAGTCATCGATGGGTTGTTGTTGTTGTTGTTGTTGCTACTGTTGACTCTGGTACTGCTCGTCCCTTTACCACTACTCTTTTTCGATCCCTTGCCAGAGTTTGGCAAGGCTTCCACTTCGTCCAACCGAACAGCATTGACAATGCTTCCAAAGTTCCCAGAAGCGATACGAGATGAATACATGTCCAGCACTTCTTCTTCCGTTGGCACACCCTCTTTCAAATCATTGCTGATATTCTTGTCAAAGAGCTGTCGTCGCCGGCCAATCACTTGATTGGTAAAGAACGAATTGCTGCTGCATCCACGACAGCTTCCACTGACGCGCAAAAAAAGTAAGATATTGAGATTCTGAAGTTTGCGAGTCCGCCGCCGACGCCCCCCACCATTGACTACTACGGCACTGGTCATTTGGCGTTCCAATGGATCCACAAAGCTATCTTCAATTAGACTGTTGTAGGTTTCCACCAAGGTATCCACAGCATTTTGAATGTCATTGTCCGTTGGACTGCCATTCGAGGTTTGCAACTCTAGCTCGAAAAAAGAAGTGAGGGTATTTCGAGTCGTAATGGTATCAATGGAGCCCTTTCCCTTTCCACTCTTTTTGGTACTCTTTTTGGTTCCTCCCTTTCCTCCTGCTGGCATGGTAGTAGTAGTAGTAGTAGCAGTAGTAGTAGGGGGGTGCGCTCCTCCTTTGCCGCTAGACTTGCCACTAGACTTGCCACTCGACATGCTGCCACCCTTGCCACCGCCAGACTTGCCAGACGACTTTTTGGAACCTTTCCCAGTCGATCGTCTGGCTTCGACTTCGTCCAAAAAGACAACATCGACAATGCTTCTTGTGGATGCTGATTGGAGACTCCTTGAATACGCACTCAGAGTTTCGGCTTCGGTTGGGACTCCAGATCTCATGCTATTGATTGGATTGGCAAATAGTTGTCTGCCGCGTTGTCGTCGTCCAACGACTTGATTGGTAAAGAATGGGTTCGACTGACATCCCCTGCAGGTTCCACTCACTCTTAGAAACAATAACACATTTAGATTTTGCAGTTGCCTCTCATCTTGTGTTGTTGTTGTTGTTGTTGTTGTCGTCGTCCTTCGTCGTCGTCGTGCATCACCAACATTATCTACGAATTCAAGTTGGGTCGATACCATGGTTCTCTCCAAAGGATCATTAAAGGTTGATTTCAATTCGTTGTAGGAACTCACGAAGAGATCCAAAGCCTGTGCAAGGTCTGCTTCTTTGGGTTTTTGCCCATTCGTGACGAGTTCGAGTTCAAAAAAGGAAGTCAAGGTATTGGGATCCGTGTTGGGAGGAATCATGGAGACGGGAGGTACCATGATGGGAGGAGCCGCAACCGTTCCAGCACCATTCAACTGTCTACTTTTTCGGGATGCCGCATTACTATTACTACTCTCCAAACTCCTCAAATGATTATGAAAATGATGATTGTTTGGATCCATGATTTCTCGCGCATTTCCAATTTGGACTTGCCACTGCGTTGTGATGGATGACACAGTACAAACGATTACAGTTTTGTGAGAATGAATGAATGAAATTCGCGTTGGTTGTCAAACATCACCATTGATGAAAACTAACTTACTGTTGGTTCTACTTCTTCCGATGCTGATGTCGAGATGCTAGATGCCACAACGGCGAATAATGATATGGCAATCTTCCTATACGAGTTCACCATGATGTTTTTGTGTTATGTTGTGTTCTGTTCTGTTGTGTTGCGTAGTGTTATTCTAGTCTATTTCTGTTTAGTCTTTTTGGGTCTCAATTTGACGATGATACTATGTTTATTAGCGTACTACTTCTCATGTGCGGTTAATTTTGTTGGATGCATTGTGACAGTTGCACGTGCCGACTCGGAAAATTAGTTACGTCTCGACAAATTTCAGATCCGTTGTAGATCGCGAGGAGAAAAATTTAGCAGCGCGGAAGACGGACGATGCATGGACGTAAAAGTACTGGTTCAGTTGTAACTTAAAGTAGTGTTCGCGAGGTTGGCAAAACGTTGACACCAAATTCTATTTGTTTGTTATGGACTCCTTCCAATACTGCTGTACTTGTATGTGCGTTTGACACCACATCAATGATGCGTTTCACTAATTCACGACCCACATGAGAATTATGTGTTCCCAAGTTTTGATGGCTTATTTCTGACACACGTGACGTGAATCACTTTCAAATTGTTCCGTCATTATTTTCCTTCCACGGTATCCAACAATAAGATCATCATGCTTTCCACGAGACTTCGACCAACCGCCAAGAAGCTTCTCAAACCAATATCTCGAACTCGTGCAAGGGTACTACTATCTGATACGCAATCATCATGGAGCAGCGCGTCCTCAACAAGCAATCGGAGTACCGCCACTACCACTACCAGAAGTATATCCACAGAACGAGAGAATCATTTCAAAGACATTGGATTTCTTGGCGAGGATTCCTTGACCATCTTCAGCACCCTTCATGATATGCAAGTTCGATCCTGTCAAGTCTATGCTCCAAACGAGCTGTTTGGGTCGTACAATGAATCCGCACAAAGCTTTGACTATATCACCTATGAAGAGTTTGGCCATCAAGTCGACAAGTGTCGGGGAGTTCTCAAAGACTTGGGTGAGTAATACTCGCATGCATTGCTGTACAATTTCATTCATATGAATGACACGGCGTCCATTGTTGCTAACTTCTTATTGTTGCACACTATACATACTATTCTATTCACAGGCGTCAAGGAGTTTGGAAAAGTGGCAATTATTAGCAACAATCGAGTCGAGTGGGCGGTTATTGCCTGTGCCGCATACTCGTTGAATGCATCCCTGGTACCCATGTATGAGGCACAACTGGCCAAGGACTGGAGTTATATCCTGAATGATTCCAGCTCCAGTGTGGTGTTTTGTGCCACCCAAGACATTTACAATCGTGTGCAGAAGGAAGTCTTGCCCGAGACTCCCACCGTGACAGCGTCGGTCTGTCTGGACGCCATGGAGGGCGAACCTCATGCCTTTCGCACCCTCATGGCTGCTGCTGCTGCTGCTCAAGAAGACCATACTAACGACACCAATAGCATCGTTGAACCTACACCCGAAGATCTGGCCAACTTGATCTACACATCGGGTACGACTGGCCAACCCAAAGGTGTCGAATTGACCCACGGAAATTTTGCCACCAATACGCAATCTGGATGTCGCAGTCTGGCCGAGAAACCAAGGGAATTCATTCTCGAAAAAGATCGCTCCTTGGCCTTTTTGCCCTGGGCTCATTCCTACGGACAAACCTCGGAACTATGGGCCAGCATGTCCATGGGCAGCAGCATGGGAATTTGTCGTGGTATTCCCCATATTTTGGAAGATTTGCAAATAGTCCAACCAACACTGTTATTCTCGGTCCCGACCCTTTACAAGAAAGTATACGACGGGGTGCATGAAATTATTCATACCGCAAACCCCATTCGAAGAAGACTACTCTTGTCAGCCTTGAAACTAGGAGATGCCCATGCTCGTGCGTCGCATGGGGTTGGAAGACCCCTGGGACCAATCAATACCATGAAGCATTCGGTCCTCGATAAAATTGTTCTATCCAAGATTCGTGATCGGTTTGGTGGAAATTTACGGCTTGGTTTCTCAGCTGGGGCTGCTTGTCCGCCAGAGGTTCTCTCTTTTATGGATGCTCTCGGAATTCCAGTCTGCGAAGGATATGGCCTGACAGAAACTTCACCAATCATTACGGTCAACGTACCCGGCAAGAGAATGATTGGAAGCGTCGGAAGTCCAATCGGTGGCGTCAAGGTGTACATTGTCGATGCAGAGGGACGGCCCGTAGCGGATGGCGAAGAGGGCGAAGTTTGCTGCACTGGACCAAACGTAATGCGCGGGTATCACAATAACAAGGAGGCAACTGATGAGGTCATTTCAGTTGCACCGGACGGTGTATCGAGAATGTAAGTGACTGTAGCTACTGGATCTGTAAATGCGATGACAACAATGCGAAACTAACAACCACGTTTTAGGTTCCATACTGGTGATCTAGGTCGAATCAATCCAGATGGATTCTTGATGATCACTGGACGAATCAAGGAGCAGTACAAACTTGAAAACGGCAAGTATGTAGTTCCTACGCCCATTGAATCAGCAATTGGCATGAGTCGATTTGTGAGCCAGGTTGTTCTCTGTGGAGCAAATCGCCCATACAACGTTGCTCTTTTGGTTCCAGAATGGTCCGCGATTCAGACAGAGCTCGGAATTAGTGATGCTTCCATGTCCGAAGAAGAGTTGCTGGCAAATGACGAGAATGTTCGCAACCTGATGGATAAGGAAATCCGCAAAACTTGTGCAAAGTTCAAAAAGTTTGAAGTTCCACAGAAGTGGGCCTTTGTTGCACCCTTCACGGCTGCGAATAACATGGTGACTCCCAAGATGTCGATCCGACGACACAAGGTTATCGAGGCATATGAGGATACCATCGCGAACCTATACGATGATGGAGCAAGCAGCTCTACTCTGTATGATCAAGAACACAACGAGGCTGTCTAATATGCGGCTATATGATGTATAATACTAGCTATATGTATGAAAAAGATACACTGCACAATATACTGAACGCAGTTTCATTGACTGATGAAGTTTCTTTTTTCAATCGAAGCAGTCGACAGGCAGCAAATTTGCCTTTTTATTTCAAAACGATCGCATAGAGCATATCACTTCCACTTCTTCCATCTTCAAACAACGTCATGAGTAATCCAGGGGGCGCAGTCATCTCAGCAGAACAATTGAAAGCTCGGTATATCGGAACAGGTGAGAGAATCATTTGTTTTCACTTTATTTTTTCCTTGTTGGATCATCAGACTCACACCATACCAATCCAATCATAATATCCGCATTCAACACTCATCATCTGGTGTTCCCAACTCTGGCCGTGTTGCACCCTTTCTTTGAATAACGTTCTCTCTTCGTTGGACCATTATTTTTCAGGTCATGCGGATATGAGCAAATAGTAAGCTTTTCGTCTTCATATTTCCGAGAGGCCGCATATATATATACATGTATACTTCAGCAGTTTCCTGACCTTTGGCATCGTTTCTTCTTCCCACTTTTTTTTTGGCATCCACCATATAATGTTTCCCTATTATTATTATATATATAGTGATTGGGTGACGAATCAACATCGGGATACCTATGCCAGCCATGTGGCCCACTACGATCAGCTTTCCTATTATGCTGTAGCCCAAAATGAATCGATTGGCCGGGTCCGCCTACAGTTTTTGGACAAGATGATTCAACCGTGTGGACCGTAAGTTCTGAGTTGCTGCTATATGTTGGCTTAATTCTGGGTTTATGTGTGTGTGTGTGTGTGGTTGTGGTTGTAAATCAGAGAAGCCAGGGAGGAAGCAATCCTTGGAATTTGGTGTGGTTCCGAAAGCCAAAGTTGCCACCATTTCTTTGTCGTTTGCCATTTTGCAATTTGGGAACAACAACAACAAGAAGAAGCATTCATTCTCATACATTTTCTGTTCTATCATAATTATTATGTTCCTAGACCACCTCCCACAAAAGATGTTGACAAGATGTTGGAGAATGAGGATTAACAAAATGTAACATTTCTAAACAAGCCACAAAAAAACCCCATGCGCCTCGTGTGACTTATTCAATTGTCCATTTTTTCGTTCCCATTTATCAAATTATCCCTTCCCGTTCCCATATGTACCCGTGCCTATAAAAAATAGTCTAATCACATTACTGTAGTAGTATGATCAAACTTGTTCCACACGGGTCTTTCCATCCGTGTGGCGTGAGAAATGCAACAACAACGAGACTGGATCTTCTTCGAGTGCCGGTTGTTTGCAATCGTCCGACGCAGTGGTAGACTCATCAGTGGACTCGTCCGTGACCTTGCGAGTTTTGCTTTCTCGATTGGAAAGATGGAAATCTTCCAAGCAATCATTAGAGATGGTAGCTACACTTGTAGATGGCGCTGCCAACGAGGCGACATCAAGAGATGCAGAATTGCTCCAAAACGACGTGCTTGTGGTGGCTCGACGCCTGGTTAGAGTCTTTCTAAAGCATCTTTGCTTGGGCCTGTTGGACTTGATAGTAGAAGCAATAGCAACGGGTGCCATTCTTCTTCGTGGTGACACGGCCATACCGTTTGGCACACTCATGCCAACACCGATTCCATCCAACTTGGTGCGAATTGCATCAATGAGAGCGTAATTGGGGTGTGATTTGGTAGCTGTTCCAATCGCCAGAGCCAAAAGAGATTGACCATCGTTGGTCTTGGCCACCAATGACTCTGGGTGGACTGCCAGAAGCATGCGAAGCTTTTCCGGACTGCAATGGCGAGAGCACGCGACATGGGCGGGCAAGTATCCCTTCTTGTCCCGCATAAAGCAAGCTTGAGGACCATATTGGATCATGAGTTCCGTCACGCGTGGAGAAATGTAATCTAAATTTGGTACGAGCAATAGTTTGAGTTTTCACTTAGTTTCAAAAAGCCGACGAGCTGAATGAATGAATCAATAATCCAATCGTTCGTTTATTATCGTCAATCACTTACCAGTAAAGATAATGTGCAATGGTGTTCGCTTCCCCACACCTCCCGGTTGCAACAAGGCCCCCTTGTAGGCTAGAACTAGTTCCGTAATCAACAGCTCCTTGGTTGGAGCGTCCATCTTGGTATTTCGTTGGGCAATGACATGAAGTGGCAAGGAACCGTATCCGTTCTTGATCGATGCTGCTTGGGGTGCCATGTCGAGAATGGTTCGAATCACCTTGGCCCGATGTTCCGTGTTACCCTTACTGGTAATGGCTTGGTGTAGAATGGTGGTGGAAATGTGATTGTCCATAATCATGCTAGTGACAGGAATCTGTGGATTCGTCTGTACACAGCTCAGAACAGAGTTCCATTGATTCTTGCGGCACATGGAAAAGATCGCATGCATGTCGCTGCGGCCCAGCGTTCTGAGAGCTGTAGAGGATGAACTGGCACCAGCTTGGTTGTTGCTGTTGCTGTTGCTGTTGTCTTGATTGACGCCACGGTCGGTTGGAGACTTCAAGAAACAAGTGTTGGATAGTGCGTTCATGATGACTGACTGAACTTGTGTTGAGTGTGTGTGTTTGAAACTTTGATTGGAGTTAATGCAGCTAGCGTGGAATCCAAAAGGTTCTAGAATCAAGCTCGTTGATTTGACAGGATTGTAACTTTTACTGCAAGCAGCTTTGGAATGGACAAGGCTGAGGCGGAAGTGTAGAACTGGTTGAAACAAGATCTTTGTCGCAAGAGAGGTGTCCTTGCTGTGTTTGTGTCTTAGGTTGGTAAGGGATGGGAGCAATCCTTGGAAAGTGAGAGTGTGGTGATAGAGGTGTCCACTAGTCGCGAGCTGTGGGTGCGTGGAAATCGAAACGGTTTTTCGAAAAACCATAGGTTCCTACCATGAGGTGCGATGGGCCCACGGGGGACCGTGTGCAAGTCCTCGTTTTCACAGGGTGGTCCACGATGCACAAAGTGGTTTGGGTGCAACCACGATTCTGATCACGACCAAATCGAAGCGTTGATTGTGCTTCTACCTTGCATGTGCCCCTTCTTAGGCCTAGGCTATCAAGAGGGCAACGGATGTCATGGCAATCCAAGCTAGGAAAGCGACCACAACAACTGGCCTGTGCCATGTGAAATTTCTAATCTTGCAAGAACCATCCTTTCTTTGGAAATTTACACCTTCCTTTCCTCATTAAATGTCAAAGAAAAGATCTTTCTTCACTGCTCCTGGGACCCCCATTGTTTGCTTGAGAGAGAGAGGAGACACACACAAGCAGTCCTACTTCCAACTTTGCAAACCGCATCGCATGTTTTTCGATGACAAAGGTGGGTTCATCCGGGTGCTTTTCGAAACGATGACCGTGTCGAAGGGATCGAATACTCACACTCAATATTTTATGATGCGATGCATATCATAATACAATATACTTTATTTGGTTTCCTGCATTTTAGTTGCATACTTCTGTACCGTTCCAATCGTCGATATGATGATGATGCTAACGACAAAGCGAGCGTTACGGCCAAGGGTCGTGAGGACAGATGTTATGAGTCCACAAAGAATAATAATGACAATCATGCTGATGCTCATGTCAATGGTTAGATCGACTGCTGCTTGGAGCTCGGCATCTCATTTCACGTCACTGGAAAGCAGCACCCCGGATTGGAATCATCAAAATGATGCAGGGCCAACATCAATTCATGCTTGGTGGAATAAGAGTACTGTCTCGTCGTCATCGACTGCTTCCGAACCAGAAGATGATGATGAGTCAGCTCCCTCATCCTTTTTCATTCGACCTGCCTTGCCAGCAGACGTTGGACCGGCTTCCAAAATTCTGGCAGACGGCTTTTTCAAGGACAATACCAACTTTATCACCTATCAATTCGAACGATTGGAAACTTGGCTGAGTCTGGACATCGGATTCCCAAGGCCCAACACCCGCCACGAACTCTTTGTGGCTTGCGAACAATCCACAGGCAAAGTGTTGGGACTTGCGGAAGTGGATGCCCGAATCGAACGACCGACTGTCTGCAATGGACCCTATCTGTGTAATGTCGCCGTTGACTTGGATCACCTACGACAAGGAATTGCCACGGCTCTTGTGGAAAAGTGCGAAGCCCAAGTACAAGAGTGGGTTTACGAATCCGTTCAAAAAGAAGCAGCGACACTGAATGAGAAGGATTCGAAGGATACTAGTACTGCTACTACTTCTCGCTTATCAAGTTCGTTACACTTAAAGGTCCGCCAAAACAATGCGAAAGCAGTTACCATGTACGACAAGCTTGGATACCAATCAATCTTGCAAGAATTGGACAAGAAGAACCAGACGGTTCTGGTAATGCGCAAGCAGCTGGAACGATTGAACAACAACATCAACAACAATAACGAAGAAGCCGAAGCCACGAAAGGTGTCAGCACCACTAGATGAATTCAATCACATGCCAGTGACAAGAGAAGGCGACTATATGATGTAATATTTTGGAGTTGCTACCATACATTCTGCCATTTGAGACTTGACTCATTCCCATTCGAATTGACAACGCAATGTTTTGGCGCGGCAACTGCTTAAAACGCCATATCGATCTAGGGAAAGTTTGCAAAACAATCCAATCTACAATACGATTTGACGCAACTGCATATGGAAGAATTAGATATTCTTTCGATCGTTTTGGTGGGGGTGACAGTAGGTGGGCCTGTCGTCTGAGAGGAGCCAGATGCTTTCCTCGATTATAACCTTGTTATATTATTAGGCTACCTTGGCCTTACTTTGTAGCATACTATGTAGTTAGTTATCCACATTAGTCAAATTCATTTGCATCAACATCTATCCTTTTGAATCTGTTGCCATTGTTTTGGGTCATACCCTTTCGGGCAATCTTTCGGTTCCAATTGTTTTTTCTCGGCGGTCGGAAGGCCTTCTTCAGAATGGAAGAAATCCAACCAGTAAATGCCTTGACTGGGCCCAGGTGTCCACGATTACCATGGAAATAGCGTGCATAGAGATAACAATTGTACTTTTCACCATCAATGGTGTAGTAGTCTAATAAGCACAACACGAATAAAAATAACAAGATGAATATGAGAGAAAAGGAGGGAACAATTCATGTCAATGAAGAGAGATCAAAGAAAAGAAAAGTCAGGACCACGATCATGTATATATCATCAAAGTTTGGATGATTTTGTGTCATCATACATACCTTCAATTTCTTGGACCCTCCAAAAGTGGAGTCGCTCGTAAAACCGAATGGCAGATGCATTGGAAGTGATCACATGAAGGTACAGGGCACCGCACGCTGGATCGTTCTCAACGACTTGCTGCATACATTCTTCAATCATTGTTGTGGCCAAGCCTTGATTTCGAACTTTATCAACTGTCCCTAGTGTCATGATGTAAAAGACTCGTTTGTGTTTACCTTTGTAATAGGGAGTGTCCGGTAATAAATTTTGTCGTGTTTGACTGTTCAATTTATTCCACTCCAATGATATCCCCACTAGACAAGCCAAAATTTCATCTTCATCATCATGCTGGCTTGCAGTGTTGGGCTGACACAAGAGGTTGGTATACAGCGGGGCATTGCTATGACACATTTCTTCCATCACCAAATGATCATAGAATTCTTCTTGGTACGATACTGGGAACCACTCTTCGTGCAAGGCTTGTATGGCTTGCCGATCTCTTGGTAGAATACGCCGATAAAAATATGGGGAAGTTTCTTCGTCATTCTCATCGTCATCGTCATAATCGTAGTCACAGTCTGCAGGGTATTCATCATCCGATTTTTGTGCGAATGGGGTGGATGAATTATTATTCCTGTTGGACGATGATTCTCCATTCTTTCCAGTGCCAGCCTCAATATCCAGATCATCGTCGTCGTATTCTGATAATAAAGTGGATAGAACATCATCCTTTGTTCGAGGCCTCGTAAGCTCGGCCCACGGGTCTGAAGCAGTGCTTTTATTGGTTTCGTCGGTATGGTTGGTCATGGTTCCAAGAGATGACTTATTTGGCAGGAATGCTCAGTCACACGGATTGAAATGCAGGTCTTATAGTGCAGCCACTGAGCCTAACAGGAGTGATGTTTCAAATGCTACAATAATTTATACATGCAACACTACCGTCATTTGAATAATGCAATGAGGGTGGCAGTCACTCTACAATGTTGAAGTTATATTGCTCTGGGAGTTTGAAATATCGTAGGTGGCCGACTATCACTCACTCAGTCGAATCGTATGAGACTATGAAAGTTCCTTGATCCACCAAGACAAGTACTGCGTACTCAAATATCTACAAGAAGCTTCTGCTCTATCAGTAATCTTCATCTTAATTAAAATAGTGCAAGAGTTATAGTATGTTTCTAGCAATCTCAGTTTGAAACAGCCTTGCCTTCCTCTTCATCCTTGTCCTTTGATTCAGTCTCTACTCCTTGTTGTTGCCTTCTGTTGTCGGTCCGCCGTTGTCGAGCCCAACAACACATTGGAACCAAGCATAGTAACAAGCTGATTGGAATGATGGATATTGCAAAATACATGGCAGCGGTGGCCACGGATACACTTAGATCCGGTTTCAATCCTTCCGCCTTCATGGCCTCTGGTGTCCGAAGCGTCAACAGTGCAATGTCCGTGCGAGACAAGAAACGAAGGCGAGGGCCCCATCCAACCACACCTTCCGATACAAAGAGGTACGATGGTCCGTGTTCCGAGCCAACATCAAACTCTGCCAGTCCTGCAATACCGTCATATGAAAGCAAGGTGATGTGCTGGGGCCAGATTTGTCCGCCGTGTGTATGACCACTGAGTTGAAGTCCAACCCCGTCCTTGGCCGCTTGCTTCATGCCAAACGGTTGGTGCTGCAACATGATCATTGGCAAGTCGGAGGAAATGGGTTCATCATTTTCAATAAAGGTACCATTGAGTCCAGCTTGAACTCGAATGGCTGTTTCATAGTCGGGCGCGATTTGATCTTCAAAAAGAGCATCTCGTTTACCACTCCAATCGGCCATACCAATGAGGGCAATGGAGCAGCCATCGGTGTTGGCCTTGTTCAACATGGCATGTTGGTTCTCTAGGAGAACCAAAGTTTCCGCAAAAGGGGCCTCTTCTCGAAGCAGCTTACGGTAATCGGCAACACCCTCAATGTTTTCGTGGTTTCCAAAGCTCATGTACACTCCATCTGGTGCTTTCAGACGCGTCAGAGGTTCCATCTTTTGGCGGGTGATATCCGTCACGGGTTGGTCGCCAATATCTCCCACCAAGGCAATGGCATCCGGATTCAAGGCGTTTAGATTATTGACCATCCATTCGGCATCGCTGAGACCGGCCATGGATCCCACGTGCAAGTCCGCTGCCATGGCGAGTTTGTATCCATCGCACTCAGGGGGCAACTTGGGAACTGGAACATTCAGTTTCAAAACAGTTGGATCATATGCCGCGAAATAGGACCAGACCGTCCACCATGTGTAAAGTACAAGAATCAGCAATAGTCTCCACTTGGCGGCCGAGCGTCTCTGATCCAATTGTCTTGGCTTTTCGGCGTCCGCATCGTCTACTGTTTCAGAATTGCCAGTTGCAGCAGTCGCCACAGATTGCCGGGCGGCTTCTTCTTCTTGTTGTTGAGACAACAACATCATTTTGCTACGGTACCACCAGTCTTGCGCGGCACCCGTGTGTCCCAGCATCTTGTCTGCCACTACAAACAGATAAAGCAAACAGAGGGCATCCACGAGCCAAACGGCACTGCACAAAATCAACAGGCTTCCGAATCCATTAAAGGTAACCACAATGAACATGTCTGGTTCCACATTTTCACTGCTAATATCGAGACCGAAAAAAGCGCCTGCGAAACATAGCATAAAGAAGATCCAGAAAAGAATAGTAGGGACTGTTCGTTGGAGGCTTGGTGGGCACGTGGTGATGGATTCCCAAGTAACAGCACTCAGCGTATCACTGTGAAAAGAAGAAGGACGAGACAAAGTGGTGTAGTCACGTGTCGGTGAGTTGCTTTATGATATGACATCCATGGACATAACGAGTGCATATAATCGTCTTACCTTTGAGATAGAAAGGGATCTCGGCACAGTCGTAGCCAGATGTATCGGATTATCAGATACACCATAGGTAACCCCACAAACCACATGAGGGCAAAGAAAGGAGCACCAGCAGCACCGGAAGTAAAGGCAACGGCAATTCCCAATCCAACAAAGAGGGTGGCGCCAATCATATTTCGACGAGAGCAGTACCACATCTTCTCATTGCGTGACGATGATTGCGCTGAAGTAGCGATATTGTTGTCTGAGTGAGACATGGATGCCAATGATGCTTGCTTTGTGAGTATATTTTTGTGATGATACTTTTGGATCACTATTCAGGAACGCTTCGCAGGAACAGCAAGAACCAGCAAGAACCTCCAAGAGTGTTCCAGCTTGACTTGGCGGAGTAGTCGACTCAGTCCAAAGCAACCGGTTTGATTTGAATGACGCGACGTGATGTCTCAACTGCATTTTTATAAAACCACAAGACGTGACCTCGGCAGTTTCATGATTGATCCATCCTCGCCGACGATAGATTTGTATCATGAATTCAAACGATCAAATGTTCAAGTTTATCGTTATGTTACTACTGTCTCTTAGTTTAATTAGAGCCTCAAGAATCGACGGAAAGCAGGAAGAGGGCAGTCGCCAGCATTCGCAATCATGCCAAAGCAAGGACAATGACCATGGTGATGACGACAAGAACTGCCTACTATCCGACGACCACCAGCCACAAAAGGATGATAAAGCATCTTTGCTGCCTCGGTGGAATCCTAGAGCGTTGCATCCTTGTAACATTCGACAAATAACCTGGCAACAATTTCTGGAAGAATTTGGACCATCGGGACTCCCTCCCATGTATCCAGATCCTCTAGTGATTATTCTTCCTGATGAAAAGAAGACGAAACGGAACCAAAAGTTCCAAGATTTGTCACAAAAAGACCGAATACTGGATTCGTTTCCACTGAACTTTACAGTGACCTTATCATCCTCCAACTCCTTTTCGGAACATCGACGGAAGATTCCTTTTTCTCAATACTTGGACGAATTGGTAGTATTGAAAGAGGACGATGGGTCAGCTGGCGATTTGCAATACTATGATCCATCATTTGAACCAGAACTAGAACACCAACAGCAGCATGGGCAATCAGCAGCCCAAAGTGCTACCATTACTTCAACTCATCGACAAGCCTCATCTACACCACTTTCCAATGAAACTTGGTACCTCTTTGGAGAAACGTACTCGCCCGAATGGAAGCTGTTCCTTAGTCATTACGAGCTTCCATTATGCGAAGCATGTTTGCCCGACAGTGTGGCCTTGTCGTTTGGGATTGGTGATTGTGGATCTGGAGTTCAATGGCATGTGCATGGACCGGGATTTTCCGAAGCAGTGATTGGAAGGAAACGTAAGAATATACGATTGTTTGATTTATGGATTGGAACTGATATTATTGTTCTCATGAGCATAATGCGATTACTGTTTCAGATTGGATCTTGTATCAAGACAAACCAGACTTTCACAAGGATCAAACTTCATTGAATTGGATGGAAGAAAACTACATGAACATTATGAATCCAAATGATCGACCACTTGAATGCACCTTGAATCCTGGTGACATTATCTACTTTCCCAATATGGTAAGTATCAGTCAATCAGTCAGTCAGTCAATATTAATTTGTGGCGTTGCCTCGAATCCAATTCAGTCTCTTATTTGTGTGTGTGTGTCATAGTGTCTCACCGTATTTTTGTCTCTTTCTTTCCATCAATAATAAAGTGGTGGCATGCGACGATCAACTTGGACGACTACACTGCCTTTGTTTCAACATTTACACAAGAACATTTGTTTGTATGAGTTGCTCTCTCTCTCTCTCTCTCTCTCTCCTTTATTTTAAAACTATTGTTACAGTTACAACATGCAGTTCAATCAATGCAATGCGGATGTTTGGAATGGCACTTATTCTTGTCCGTCCATATGATCCTGTTGGCGCTACCGTCGCCTTTTTTACTTTTCTTCTACGTTGCCGTCATTATTGTCATCGGTGGCCAAATCACCCCACGACACGGACGAATCTCGATCACGTCGCTTTTCTTCAAAGGTCCGTTCGACAATATCACCCACCAAACTTCCAACGCCCGCAGTGGCCATGAGGGGCAAAATTACATTGTAATCCCGTGTCAATTCAAACAATAGCAATGTAGCAGTCAAAGGTGCCCGGAACAAGGCCGACAAGACTCCTGCCGCTCCCACCAGGGCATAGGCTTGGACGTCTGCCAAGAAAAAGGGACTGGCCGTGGCGGACAATTTGAACAATCCCTGGACAATATTGTGAAAGGCAGCTCCGGTCATGCCTCCCAAAAAGAGAGATGGTGCAAAGGTTCCCCCTACCAGTCCACTTCCGGCCGATACCGCAGTGGCCAAAATTTTGGCCGCCAACAAGGAGAGAATCAATCCCAAGGACATGCTGGTATTGGCCAAGAGTGCGTTCAATGTCTCGTAACCAAAAAACAGGATTTGCGGAAAGGCCAATCCCATGACTCCGCAAAAGAGTCCTCCCAGGATGGGTTTGAAGAATTGGGGCATCTTCTTCATGCGGTTGCGGAGACGTTTGGGACCACTCAATCCATCAAAGACTCGTTTGGACAGTTGCGCCAAGGCCGAGAAGGAACCAGCGACCACGCCTGATACAACTCCCAACAATAGGTACTGCAGTTGCATGCAAATAATACAATAAGAAATAAAACAATAAGGAGACAAACAAAAGTTAGAATGAGTGCAACGCATTTTGTTCAAGGGAAGAAGAAGCATTGTAGTACGCACCAATGGCAATTCGACCAGGGGTGTATTGAGTTGATACGATGGGACGGATAACGCCAGTTCTTCTCCCAAGTACACTTGTGACACCAATGCCGAAAGAACTGATGCGATTAGAATGGCGGTAATCGACCCAGTTCCAGAAGACAGGTAGTCCTGTTGGACTTGCTGCTGCCATGAAATTTGATCCTTTCGGTTGTTTCCAATACTCTTGGTCAAGGGACCGCTGGATCCCGAAATGGTAAGAGGAGGAAGGTTTTGTTGCAAGATTTCCAAGGCAAAAAAGACACCCGCCAGGGGAGCATTGAAACCGGCGGCGACACCTGCGGCGGCACCCGCTGACAGCAACAATCGATTGCGTCGTAGGCGTGCCGCAGCGTCCACTTCGGCCAGCATATCACTGCGTTGCAAGGAGGGTGGCATGCACAAACGAGACATGGTCATTCCCACTTCCACAGATGGCCCTTCCGGTCCCAAGGAGCATCCACTGCCCAACGTGAGAATGGCCGCCAAGGGTTTTCGCAAAAATCTCAGGGCATTCTTGAAGCGTTGATCCTTTTGGACGTCGAGCGAAAGGGCATCCACTTCGTTGGCAGTTCCCCGCAAACCAGGAGCCATTTCTCCAGTCAGACTGATCAGACTCACACCCAGACCTCCGACCAAGGCAGGAATGAGCCACCAGACGAATCGTTCCGAAAAGGCGGATCCATAGACGGTCTCTCGGACGGCTTCAATGGACAACTTGAAAATGGCAACGGCAAATCCCGACAGGACTCCAATAATGGCCGAGGCAAAGACGACGTAGGCCGAATCGTAATCAAATAGAGAAGCGGCCGTACGCAATTTATTGGAATTGTCCTCTGTGACGGACACTTTCAGATCCTCATTTGTTGTTGTTGTTGGCTCCTCGTCGGCATAGAATGCAATGCTTTCTGTTTGCTTTTTGGAGGAAGGAGCTGCTGCTTCATCATTGTCGTTGACAATCTCATTATCGCTGATGCTTGCTCCTTTTAGTGGTTCTGGAAAAAATGACGATGCTGGAGGTTCATTGTCCGAGTCGTCCTCCATGGACTGAAAGAGAACCAACGATGGAGAATGCGACGGGGCGAGTCCAAGTTGGTACAACTGATGCTGATTTCTGGAAACCGTGGGAATTTCAGTGGTGTGCTGCTTGCGGAAGGAAAAGGCATTGACGGTTCCCAACAGAGCAATGGCTTGGCAACTCAAGAGGACAGCAGAACCTTGAATGATGAGTCCTTTCATGATCGATTGATTCGCTTCTTTTGTGATGAAAGAACAACAAGAATCAATTGAAGTGATATGACAGGAGGTGACAGGGGTGACAGAATTTTGTGAGATTGGTTTGTGCTGACGTAGTCAACATCGGACCACGTCATAAAACGGAGGCGAATAATTCGACTGTATTAATATTTTAGTAAATTCTTGATGTTCTTGGAAAGAAACACACTGACGCAATGGTTGTGTGCACACATCACTCATAATCTTATATTTTATCATAAAAAATATACAAAAAAATTAATGATCAGTTCAGAACAAAACGATCTGTGACATGTCTCATTCAGAAAGCGACATCGCTACTTCAGCGCAATCATCATCGGACAATAATAAGCAGTCGTGTTGGTGCTCTCATCGTCGAAGTCTGTTTTCCGCCACCCTTTTTATTGGATTGGGAATTGCCGTTGCCCTATTGTCAGGTGATGGTGCTCCGTTCTTTACCGTCATGTGGTTTCTGGGACTGCCTCTGGTGTTTCTGATATTGCGATACCTCTGGCTCCGACTGTGTCGAGATCCCTTTCTCTCTCAAAGGTAAGGAAACGACGCAAGATTTTGGAAGGATGACACAATCACCTATCAGGTGAACATTCATTCAGGTATATCATAGCGCTCACTTTTTTCGGAATGCTCTCGTTCGTCCTTTTCACAGTGATACTCTGGGTGCTGTGACTTGGGAATCCATGACTACCTGTCCACCGAGCCTCCAGCGAACCGTCCCTACCAGTCTGTTCTGGATCTTCTTTGTGCTCTGTTTTGCCGGCGCCTTTTTGGGGTTTGATGTGGGAAATGACAATTTGGAACCGGACATGTTCATTGTGGTTACCTTTAATGGATTTGGAAGTCTATTGATTTTATGCAGTGCCGTTTGGCTTGTGGATGCCCTTTGTTTGCTTTATCTGTTTGTAGTGGCAGACAAGATGCTGGGACACACGGGTGCCGCGCAAGACTGGTGGTACCGTAGCAAAATGATGTTGTTGTCTCAACAACAAGAAGAAGAAGCCGCCCGGCAATCTGTGGCGACTGCTGCAACTGGCAATTCTGAAACAGTAGACGATGCGGACGCCGAAAAGCCAAGACAATTGGATCAGAGACGCTCGGCCGCCAAGTGGAGACTACTGCTGATTCTTGTACTTTACACATGGTGGACGGTCTGGTCCTATTTTGCTGCCTATGATCCAACTGTCTTGAAACTGAATGTTCCAGTTCCCAAGTTGCCCCCTCAATGCGATGGATACAAACTCGCCATGGCAGCGGACTTGCACGTGGGATCCATGGCCGGTCTCAGCGATGCCGAATGGATGGTCAATAATCTAAACGCCCTGAATCCGGATGCCATTGCCTTGGTGGGAGATATTGGGGACCAACCCGTGACGGATATCACCCGCCAAAAGATGGAACCTCTGACGCGTCTGAAAGCACCAGATGGAGTGTACATGAGCTTTGGAAACCACGAAAACATTGAGGGTGTTGCCGATTACCGTAAGCTGCTTCGAGAAGAGTCTCCTTTTGCGGAATCTATGGTTCTCCTAGAGAATCAACATGCCATGCTGAACAAGGCCAACACCGATGGCTGCTCCATTGCTTTGATCGGTATGGCCGATTGGAGTGGTTCTGGAGGAAGAGGTTAAGGTCAAATCGCGCCCGACTATGAAACAGCCATTCGAGCTCAAGCTGGACTCAATGGTACCTTTATTGAAAAAGACGAACCCATTTCCTCCGACTTGCCAATGATCATGTTGCAGCATCAACCGTTTGGCATGAAGCAAGCGGCCAAGGACGGGATTGGACTCCAACTCAGTGGTCATACACACGGCGGACAAATCTGGCCCCAGCACATCACCTTGCTTTCATATGACGGTATTGCAGGACTGGCAGAGTTTGATGTTGGTTCGGAACATGGACCATCGTATCTTTTCGTATCGGAAGGTGTGGTTGGATGGGGCCCTCGCCTTCGTTTCTTGTCTCGCACGGACATTGCACTGTTGACGCTTCGGACACCAGAGGCCATGAAGGCGGAAGGATTGAAACCGGACCTAAGTGTATCCGTGGCTACTGCTGCCATGTATTTTGCAATATCCATCATTCCAATCAGTTTGTTACTATGCTTGATTCCCGTGTGCTGTTGGGCTCGACAACGGCGGACCGACAACAGAAGGCAACAGCAAGGAGTAGAGACCGAATCAAAGGACAAGGATGAAGAGGAAGGCAAGATTTTTCCAAACTGACATTCCTAGAGACGCAATATCACGACCCTTTTATTTTGTTTATTTTAGTCTTTTTCAATCGTTTCCTGATCAGTTTTACTACAAGATCGACGTAAAAATCGGCTACAATCCAAAGCAGCACCTACAACCACTAGATACTCCTCGCGTTGAAAGTCATTTTTATAAGTATCAAAGAAGAGGTACGATAAAATAGTCTACTAGTGCGTGGGTCTTTTGTTGTTAGCAGATTTTGACGTTCCATTTTGGGCTGTTTTAGGTTTTTCGTCGTATACTCAGTACCATTTCTACAGCTATCTAAGATAGCCTACTGCCGTCCTCCGTGTGTGTGTTCGTAGTATTTTGTCTTGGTGTGTAGCTGGTGGGTTGTGGTGTGAAGCGGGTCGAACTGATCGAGTAATAGACTCGATTCGTTCGACCAATCTCAGAAATCCCGTGTGCGGTATTACTGAGATCTGCTTTCCTACCAGGCACCGCCGATATGGTAAAATGGAGGCGGTGCCCAACAGGGCGGGTGAGGTTTGGGAGAGAAAAATTGAATTACCGCGACACAAGTGGGTGAATTCAATCTCAGTCGATAAACTGGGCATCATTGCCTGGGCGCATCGACAACAACTTTTGACGGTCGAAGGCCGTTCGGCCTTTGTCCGTCTGTAACACAATGTAGTCAAAGAAATCGAACAGTGTGCCTGCGGTCTACGTTGGAGGATACGAAAAATAAAATAGCATCAATTTTATCATCAAGTGGTCCAACCAATTATTGGGACAGAGGAAAGTGTTTTCAAATCTATTGCATTCAATGATGGGCCTTTGTCCTATTTTATCAATTTTAACTGATGAGGTCACGGTTAAAAATTGAGGTGATCTTGAAAGGAAGCGTTTGTCATACTGTACTGTGTGTTATTCTGACATGCAAAGGCGTAAATCACTCATCCACATCACAAAATCAACGACGATCAGAACAAAGAAATCAGTAACATGTCTCATCATGCAGACAATGATGTCAACAATTCAGCGGAAACATCATCCGGCAATAATCAACAATCATTTTGGTGCTCTCATCGCCGGAAGTTGCTTTCCGCTGCAGGGGCGCTCTTATTTATTGGATTAGGAATTGCCGTTGACCTGCTGTCAGGAGATGGGGCTCCTCTTTATACCGTCATGTGGTTTGTGGGACTACCTGTTGTATTTCTGATATTGCGATACCTCTGGCTCCGACTTTGTCGAGACCCCTTTCTCTCTCAAAGGTATGAACAAAGAAGCAAAATGATCGACGGCTCAGTCCATTTTTTAAAAATCAGGTAAAAGCATTCGGTTATCACAACTCACCACTTACTTTTTCGGAACGCTCTTTCGTCGCTTTGCTACAGCGATACTTTGACAGCTGTTACTTGGGAATCAACCACCACATGTCCGCCGAGCCTCCAACGAACAGTCCCTACTATTCTGTTCTGGACCTTCATTGTGCTATGTTTTGCCGGCGCCGTTTTGGGGTTCGATGTGCGAAATGAAAATTTGGAACCAGACATGTTTATTGTCGTTACGTACAGTGGGTTTGGTTCCTTGTTGATCTTGTTAAGTGCTGTTTGGCTTGTGGATGCCCTCTGCTTATGCTACCTATTTGTCATAAGGGACAAGATTCTGGGACACACGGGTGTCGCTCAAGACTGGTGGTACCGTACCAACATTGTATGGGCGAGTTGTCAACAACAAGAAGCAGCAGCAGCCCCGCAATCTGTGGCGACTACTGCAACTGGAAATTCTGAAACAGCCGAAGCTGCTGACACAGTCAAGTCCAGACAATTGGATCAGATACGCTCGGCCGCCAAGTGGAGACTATTGCTGATTATTTTGCTTTACATATGGTGGACGGTCTGGTCCTATTTTGCTGCCTATGATCCAACTGTCTTGATACTGAATGTTCCAGTCCCCAAGTTACCCCCTCAATGCGATGGATACAAACTAGCGATGGCAGCTGACTTGCACGTGGGATCCATGGCCGGTCTCAGCGATGCCGAACGGATGGTGAATAATCTAAACGCCTTGAATCCGGATGCCATTGCCTTGGTGGGAGACATTGGGGACCAACCGGTCACTGCCATTATCCGCCAAAAGATGGCACCTCTGGCGCGTCTCAAGGCACCGGATGGAGTGTATATGAGCTTTGGAAACCACGAAAACATTAAAGGTGTTGAAGGTTACCGCAAGCTACTCCGAGACGAGGCTCCTTTTGCGGAAACTGTGGTACTCCTAGAGAATCAACATGCTATATTGGACAAGGCGAGCACAGATGGCTGCTCCGTTGCTTTGATCGGTATGGCCGACTGGAGTGGTCAACGAGATGGTGCTCTTTATGAAGATCAAATCGCACCCGATTTTGAAAAAGCAATTCGAGTTCAAGCTGGACTCAATGGTACCTCTATTGAAAAAGACGAACCCATTTCCTCCGACTTGCCAATGATCATGTTGCAGCATCAACCTTGCGGTATCAAGCAAGCGGCCAAGGACGGGGTTGGACTTCAACTCAGTGGTCATACACACGGCGGACAAATCTGGCCCAATCACATCACCTTGCTTTCATATGACGGTATTGCAGGACTGGCAGAGTTTGATGTTGGTTCGGAACATGGACCATCGTATCTTTTTGTATCGGAAGGCGTGGTTGGATGGGGCCCTCGCCTTCGTTTCTTGTCTCGCACGGACATTGCACTGTTGACGCTTCGGACACCAGAGGCCATGAAGGCAGAAGGATTGAAACCGGATCTAAGTGTATCCGTGGCTACTGCTGCCATGTATTTTGCTACTGCCATCATTCCAATCAGCTTGGTATTATGGTCGATTCCCGTGTGCTGCTGGGTTCGACAACGGCGGACCGACAGAAGGCAACAGCAACAAGTAGAGACCGAATCGAAGGACAAGGATGAAGAGGAAGGCAAAACTGTTTCAAACCGAGATTGCTAGAAATATACTTTAACCCTTGTCTTATTAGTATCATGAAGATTATAGAAAAAGAGGTTTTTTGTAGTGCGATCTATGGTGAGTATCATTGTGTGGTAATAGCAGATACGAGATATAATGAGTCGAACCTGACGTGTCTGGAGTAATAAATCAGTCCCGAGCTTGAGCGACGTGTTATTGGTACTGTAGTGTGTGCCTATGCCTTGACGATTCATTCTGCACCAATTGCGTAATCCTGATAGAGCTTCATTCTTTCACTTTCTTCGCCAAGAGTTTCATCTTGGACTGTCCAATGAAAACTGGTATGATGAATGCTAAGATTATTACCAGATGGGTGGTAACTAGTACTATAATGCGCCCCCACTCCTCCCGGTGGTGGTTCTATTGTAAAATATCTCTTCTACAGCATGGATTGCTTTTTACCATGTGTTTTTCAGTGAATCATGATTATGTTGTGAAGACTACGTTTGATATGGATGATATATGTATATCTGTATCTACCAGGAACGATCATTACCCGGTATGACCCAGCGCCTGAATGCGAATGAATGAATCTAATCGTTACCTGGTATCCAAACGGACTAGTTTGACCACAACCAAATGTCCCGCACCACGAACGAAAAAAAATGTGACCGTTCGAGAGAAAACGCAATACAATTCCATTCCAATACCGTAAATAGGCATTCATTGGACAGAGTGAGACGCAAGAAAACCCTTTCCTTGTCACGGTGTCTCCTACTTGAATCAATCATCGTTGCTTTGGGCCCTGTTGTAATCCAACCACTCTAATAAATTATGGATTCATCGTCTGATGACGATAGTGATGACGATCGGCAGAAGTTTGTCATCGGCGGCAGTGACGACGATTCTTCTTCCGAAGAAGGTGGTAATTTCAAGGATGAAAATGATGACCGTGAGAATCCCAGTGAATGGCAAAGCATCAATGTGAATGACGAAGAACGGGGTGTGAGCAGTGAAACTAATCCCAATGGATTAGCGAATTATTCTGGATCCGAAGAGGAGAATAAAAAGAGACGCATGATTATCATTGGATTGGCCATTTGCTGTTGCATTTGGCTCGTTGCCGCTATCGCCTTTGGTGTAATGGCATTCACCAAAGAAGATGATCCTCCGCAAACAACGACAGCCGTGGTGGCATCAACTCCGGCTCCTGTTGCCACTACTCCAGCACCAAGCAACAACGGCACCGCGGTTGCACCAGACCAAGTTCCCATTACCGAAGCGCCTTCCATCAGTCCATCAACATCTCCCAGTGGATTCTTCCAAACCGAATTTGTCTATCCTGCCATTGCTTCTACCTTCATTCAAAAGGGTGTGACGAATCCTCAAATCAACTCTCCCACGTTGCTAGTGGAAAATGGTAAGCTACTTTCATTGTATTGATTCATTCATTCATTCATTCATTCATTCATTCATTCGATGGATGATTTGATGATTTTTGGATTGCATCTCACTGCAAACTTATGTACATCTATTCCATAATATGTTCATTACGATTATAGGAAACGGGAATTCGGACGCCTCTGCCTTGATAAGATTGGATGTATCGAGCAAGATTGACAACATCTTTCGACAACGACGACAACTGGCGGGTCAATTCACGGGCAAATCCACCAAAAGTTTCTTGAGGCTATTTTTGGCGGCCGATGCTGGATCACCGCCGCCCAAATTGACTTTGTTTTTGCTGCCAGAAGTCGATTTGCAATTCTTGACGGCCCAAGAATTCAACCCAGTCTTGGCCGAAGAGTTGCAATCCTTTCGGTTTACCGACTTGCCACATCCTGCCGTGACAGGAATTGCCAATATGGATCAAAATGTGTTCTTACCTCCTCCCAAAGCGGGAGATCCCATATGGATTGATATCACAGACGTTGTGGACAGTGCGGCTGCCTTTGGAGAGGAATCCGTATTTTTAATGTTGGAAAATCGGGACGCCGTGCAAGCACCTGGGAGTGGGACCCAGTTTTATGGAGTCAATTCGGAGGATCCTCCGGCATTGGTGGTATTTCTGGATGATACAGTGCCTACTATTTCTCCTGCGCCATCCATGAGCATGGCACCTTCCATGAATCCAACGGGAAGCATCTACCCTACAGGAAGTGATCCGCCCTCATTGAAAGATTCGACGGAACCATCGTCAGGCCCAAGTACCAGTTATAGACCCACCAACATGCCCAGCAAACTATCGTCGACCAATCCCACCATTGCTCCTTCCAGCAGTGCTAGACCCAGTGCTTCGGAACGGCCTTCGGGAGTCCCTTCTGGATCTGGCGCACCTTCTGTTTCCGCCCAACCCTCCAAGGTTGCTTCGGGGGCACCTTCCAAAGCTCCAGTGGCCTCAGAATTTCCCACCAACACCCAATGTCTTCCTTGTCCGCAAGGACAGGCCCTCAAGTTTTCGACTGTCTCAGTTGCTTCGATGTCCGAATCCTGTGCCGATTTAAGACTCCGGTTGTTGTACAGCGAATATGCTGTTTTCGATGCGACACCAGTCCAGTGCACTGATATTGTCGATACTTGTGGATGCGAAGTTCCCGTAGCCTGTACTCCCTGCACTGGATTTGAAAAACTCAAGTTTTCTGCTGTAAAACTCATCAATGATGTCAAATGCCAAGATGCCCAAATCACACTCGCAACCCAACCATTAGCCTATGGCACAGCTCAGTGTGCAGGCTTGAAGGACTCTTGCGGTTGTGGGGCTCCCACCACGAATTGTCGGGTTTGCCCCGAAGGTCAAGTTGTGGGCGATCGAGATTATGTCCTTTCTACCACGGCACTAGGGCTGGTTAGTTGTGGTGATTTGGAACTTGGTGGTTCCTACGGGTACATTGACGATGCTACGTGCAGCAAACTGGAGACTGCGGGGGTGGCGGATCTTTGCGGGTGCGAACTAGCAAGTGACCGACCTTCCATTAGTCCATCTTCCACCACGATCGGTAGTGTATCGATCCAGCCATCCTTTGAACCCTCCAAACAACCTTCCCTAAGCTCAGCACCCAGTGACAGTTTGGTGCCATCCAAACAGCCTTCTGCGAGCAACGCCCCCAGCACAAGTTTATCACCGTCCAAACAGCCGTCAACAAGTGCCGCACCATCCCAAACCCCATAATAGTATTTTTAATTCTAAAAATTCAATTCTTAATTTTAAAGTCAAATTATCAATCTGATTTCAATCGGTGTCGTCAGGTCATGCATACATGATTCCAAGTGAAAGTTATGAATCGATATGGATGTCCTATTGGAGGTTTCAACTTTGACATGTGCTCCCCATAATTCGTGGAATCAAATGACCTGACTGTGACTTGAAAAAACATGAGTCGGGGCATTTTGTTTACTGGACAAGACTGCGTGGAGAAAAAAGCTCCAACCATTTGGATTCTTGCGTTATAGAATGCTTCAGGATCTGTCACAGGATTCTAAAAGATACTTCAACCCTGGCATCACAACGCGCAATAAGTAGGGAGAGTTGTCAACGCAAAATCCTGTGGTGGTAGAACAGGATCGCCGTGAAAAATGCATCTTGCTTCGAATGGACGGAAGTAGCCTGTGAGAAAGAGACAGGGAAGATGATGAGACAATATCCACAGTGATGTGGGAAAACGTGCAGAACAACAAATCTTTGCGCTCTGGAAAAATAGGAAAAAAAGGTTGTCTACATCGTGACGTTTTGCCGCTCGTAGTGAGCTGGGTAATGTTTCATCATCGCAATTGTTTACCTCCGCTACAAATAACATCTAGGTTTTTCTTACCTCAATCAGTCACCAGGCTACGTAACGTACTGTACTGGGAAAAGGGAAAATGACGTGAGGAATCAGTTTCAGATTCAGACTTCCTAAGTGTTTGAATCATTCGATCATGTTGAATAATTTACTTGAATGTTTCTCTTTCACAATTAAGTCAGCCTGGGGCGGCATCCACTCAAGATGGTGAATCATCTCGGTTCATAAATAGGATCAAATACAAGCACAAACCTAACTCACATCATACCAGCGCATCATTTGTAAACTGTAGAGAGAGAAGAATTTTATGAGACACACTGCCAAAACCAGATTTTCAGACAACTTCAAGCAACGCTGGAGAGTCAGCGTAACTATGACTATATAAGACTCTCATAGCCAAAACAGCTCAAGTCATTAGGCTTGCGCCATTCATCATCCTCCAAAAAAGCAGCTGAAATCCATACATCAACAATAAACCGATCCGAAAATAATGGAGATTTGGATCATCAACTACACAGAGTGTATCAAGAAGGGGAATCCGATCCTTCTCATTCTCGTCATATCGATTATCGATGCATGGACTCACGATCGATTCACTTACGTTCATGGTGAAAAACAATAAAATGAACGCCACTCATTTTTATGTTTCTATGTGTCCTGATATTGGTGGTTATGAGCCTAGTCGTTTTAGTCGGATGGATGTAAAAAATTATGTACGCATTCTACCGGTTCGTACCGGTATACCAAGAGTATTACCTTATTTTATGTTTTCGAATATCGTAGAAAAAATAGTAAGAGAGCAACAAGACGATTACCGTGACTTATCTATGACACTAAGAGCTTCAGTCTACAGGAATGCAATTATTGACTCCATGTGAGTACGCAGCTGTAGGCTCAGAAGTAGGAAATAGTTCTAATTGGAATGAGCACTGTGTTTCTTTATAATCAACAGCTGGGGCCTGGTCGTCGTCTTAGTAAACTTTCGTAGCTGCCTTGATATATTTAAGAGCACCACGTACAAGCATACGGTGCATCAAGCATTTAGCAGCTTAACCCTTTAGTCAGGGCGAGCTTGGCCATTTTACAAACGCTCAAAGGTAATATCGAATCATTGTTTGTGATCGCACACCAGCGGCATCATTTGCTTGTGCCAGTCGAGGAGCGGGGAGAGTGCAATGGCCACTCTTTCTACTGATATCCATCAAAAATATCATCTGGCGGGACTTCTCTCAAGACCCCGTGATGTTTTGGCAACCAACAGAACCGAATCTCTCTCAAGGCCTCCAAGCGTCGTGCATTCAATCCCGAAACATGTACATCCTTCGTAGTTCCATCAACAGTGACAGCCATTACGTATTCCCGGCAGGTTCGGCGCAACGAGTTCTTCCAGGGACGAAGTTTGGAATCCGATATTACCAAATTTCCGTGTTGCTCTTGATGACGCTTCAAAGCATGAAAGTTGTTCCACCATTCTTCTTCTTTGGGATTCCAACAAAAGTTGATATTTTCCAAGCGCGCGATTTGTTCATCCGTCAATGGTTTGTAGTTCTTGTCGGAATATTTGTATCTTTGTCGTTGATAATACATCCAACTGTATAAATCAGGATGTTCCAACTTTTTCACCTTGAAATGGCCGTGCTTTTTCCAAAAAGCATACATTTCGTCATATTTGGAATCCCACACAGATTGTCGAATATCAAAGTCGAATCCAAGGGATTGAAGTCGTTCCTTGCGACTTTGGAATATCGGTGGCAATGGCGTGGTTGCGAAACTGTCGCCGTTATGATGCTTATTGTAGAGACTCCTCTGATTTTTGCAAAAGCTTGCCAATTTGGGATACTTTTGTTGAATCTCTTCTGATGGGTGTTGTGGAACATTTACATGGCCGTGCTCTTGGTGGAAGCGCTTTAGATTCTGAAACTGAATCTCCCATGCTGGATTGTTGCTCGTGCTGGATGATCCTATCGCATATTCATCATCATAAGAATCATCGTTGCCATAACCATAATCACTGTCAAGGATTGTGAAGCCGGCTGCTGAAAGATTCAGGGAGTGGCAATGCCCCCGCTTGGAGAGCTTCATTGGGCCAGCAGCTTCACCGACATGAAACGCTTTGCATGTTGTTTGGAACGAAAGATGAAACAAGCAGAATACCTTGATTGTTTGAGTGATGTTGAGCGGTGGCTTGAGTATCATTTCATTGTTCTATCCTGCTTTGGAAATTCTGTTGACGATGATGATGATGGTCTGACGATTTCAGATTGAGTGTCGGTCTGTCGACAGAGACCAGAGACACTCTTCACTCTTCTGCTTAACCCTTCGCATTCCACTTGGAGTGCTATTTCCTCATCGGCACTTTCCCGTCATCAAAAGATGCTGAAAAGTCCCCTTCACTGACAATTCGAACGTTCTAGTAATTCTAAAGGGTCAGATTGAAGTTTTTCGACCGCAATGACCCATTTTCTTAACGAATTTGAATCACAAATGACTTGAGACGATAATGAATTAAGAAGATAAAAGTTGTGGTCATCCTTCACTACTGCCATCCATAGTCACTGGATTTCAACCGAAACCAGGCATTCCCTCTCGATATCACTTTGATTCCAACTGCAATCGGACTATAGACTGCTTGGTTGTTGATTCAGCGTTGGTGGATACACACAATCACGATCTGGAGTCATTGGAACATTGAAGGTTGTCTAGAGTTTTCATCATGCCATCCAGACCGATCCGCTTACGACGAAAGGACACTGGCGAGGAGCCAATAAGGAATGGAAGCAATCGCGGTGAAGAGCCCAGAAGGAACGGCAGTGTCCGTGGTGAGAATCCAGTCAGAAACAACAGTAATCGCAGCAGTGATGGCCCAGTGAGGGGTATTGGAAGAAATAAGAGTCTTCCCATGGGCGCGAAGAAACCTTCCGCGGGGACGGAAGAATTACCTCAACGTCGACAAGGAAGAAGGGAACCTGCGGCTAGAGGGGTAAATCGAGTACAGAGTGGGGGGATAGAGCTTCCTGGTCGCAAGGGAAGAAGAGCACCATCCGAGCGGTCTAATTCGGGAAGGACAGGAGCACGAACTACCCCAGACAGCCCAACAACTCCATCGCAACGAAAAGCAAGTCGAAAGGTTGCTACTCCAATTGCTGGAACAGTTAGACCTCCTGGTCGCAAGGCACGACGAACTCCAACTGGAAATGCGGCGCCTGCTCCATCAGTCCCACCACCACCCTCGGCAAGTCCTGGTCGTGCGACATCAGCGGGAATGGCAAATCGTGGGGTGTCAGGTGGGATGCCAAGCCCAGGTATGGCTGGACGCAAGATCAGGAGAGCAGCTCCCGAAAAGCGCGGAATTGCGGCATCCAAGAGTTTGCCATCGGAGCAAATTCGCCGGGTAGAGCGAATTCGCCGGGGACAACAGCAGCAAACGAGCGATCATCGGCCACCTTCGCGAATCGTCGCAGACGATTCGTCTTCCGAAGAAGAATCATCTTCTGAAGAAGGCTCTTCCTCTTCCGAGTCTTCTTTGGAGCCAACAGAATCTCATCGAGGAGGCGATTTTGACGATTCTGATTACGATGACGATGGCGATGATTCTTCTGGTTCTGTCGAAATCATTGCACCACCTAAACATGATGAGCATGGAGAAGATCATGACGACAATCACTACAGCGGAAACTTTGAATATGACGACGATGATGACGTCTCCTTTGGCCCACCACCACAAGTTGGTGGTCGGGTCGTCTATCCAGGGGGTATTGTGGTGGAAGATGGTTCGGATAGTGAAATGGAATGGGACAATGATAAACCCTATCGAAATCGTCGACCAGATATCAGACACGGAGACGATTGGCTGGAACCAATTGACGCCAGTGGTAAATCGAAACGATCCTCTGATCAAGGAAGTTCGAGTGCGGCACCACCAACGGCAAAGAAAACGTCGAAGTCGAAGTCGCGCTCCACCTCAGGATCTGATCACAACAAGAAGACGGGTATCAGACAGGTCAAGAAGCCCAGTGGAACCGCCGGCAAAAAGATTCGAAGACCCGACGACAGAGGCCGAGAACAGCAATCGCCAAGGAAGCAATCATCTTCATCTCCCAAGCCCAAAGGCGGACAACGGGACCGAAGACCCGGTACCAGAAGATCTCGCTCCAGCTCCGCGGAGCGTCCCTTGGTGGATGAGATTCCTCGTGGATCCAGAGGAGATCCAGCGAGGCAAAATCGTGGTCCCCGAAAAAGTCCTGCTCGTACCCGTTCCGCTGATGGCGGCGGCTTCTTTGACGATGACGATAAAGATCGGGCGAGGAGGAAATCGGGTGATCGCTCGAAACCAGCAGCCCGTCCGGTAAGGCGTGGTCCTGGTCGGGGTCCCACCCGAAGTGGTCCATGAGGAAAAGCTGCGAGTACTATAGTTTGTGAGAGCAGCCAACTAATAATAGCGCTTCTAAGATAAAACAAAAGGATGGGTCAAAATGCTTCTTGTAAGCTTTCTTATATTTTAAAATAATACCTACAGTACCGTTCAGTACGTTTGATAGTTGACACCTTCCGACTAACTTAGTGGCATGTGCAGCTGTCTCCAAAGTCTCTCTATTGTAATGATGATTTTGATGATACGCCTTCACGCATACTGAATACCTGTCGATAACGTACAGCCCCACGCGCGTACAGTGGTACCGGTAGGTATCTTCACTCTTCACTTCGGCGAATTCGAACGAGGAGGCACCGCCGTCACCATCTGTCGATTTTCTGGGGGATCTTTGCGGTCTGCAGTTGAAGTTGTACTTTCTCATCATTGTCTTTGATATCTTTCTTGAACAGGGAGCAGAAGAGAGCTATCAAACAGCCTTCAGTTGCATCTATCTCTACTCCTATTTCGATTAGATCTTTTTTCGGAAGCAAATGCATTGAAATCAGACACCTGAAAAGAATGATGAAGATTTCCACAATTCGCTTGTCAGTTCAACAACGGCGGATACCTTTGCCAGCATTCTTGCAATTCAGCGTTGCTCTTTTTCTACTATGCGTATCCAATCAAATCAATTCCTCAAGCTCCTTCACCTTTGATCCTTCTGGAAACATGGTGACGAATACAAAGAAAGTCTTGGTGACAGGTGCTTCAGGTCAAACCGGCCGATTGGTGCTGAAAAAGTTGGAAGAAGATTCTCGCTACGAACCAAAAGCCTTGGTCCGAACAGAAGGCAGTGCCAGACGCCTAGTGCAAAGTGAGATCAATGTCCCATTGGAGCATATGATTATTTCCGACATTGCCAGCCCTAACTTTGAAAAAGACTTGCCATCTGGTTTGGAGGGTTTGGAGGCCATGATCGTTTGCACATCTGCCGTACCACGCATCAGTCAACGATCTTTACTAAAGGCCATGATGCTAGCGCCCTTGAACTTGGTCAGACGGAAAAAGCCAATCGATTTTAAAAGTCTGCAATTCAAGTGGAAACATAATGGATACCCTGAAATCGTCGACTACTACGGTCAGATTAAGCAATTCAACTTGGCCAAGAAATTGGGCGTCAAACATGTTGTCTTGGTCAGTTCCATGGGCGTCACCGACCGAAGTCACTTTCTAAACAATGTAGGCAAGAAGAGCGACGGCAGTGGTGATGGTGACATTTTAGTTTGGAAGAGGAAAGCGGAACGGTACCTTGTGGAGGTAAGTGAAGCTGAAAAGCTAATGCATGATACTATATAGTATCTCTTGTTCAACACATTTACTGACATGACTTTAACCCATTCCGCTTTTACCTTATCATAATACTTTATAGAGTGGCTTGGATTACACAATCTTACACCCCGGAGGTTTAGTTGACGGCCCTGGTGGAGTGCAACAGCTTGAGCTGGATGTTGACGACAACATGTTTGCCAAGTATCCCCGAACGTGCATATGTCGCGAAGATTTGGCGGATCTATGTGTGAGTTCCCTGGAATTTGGAAAAGCCAAAAAGTTATCCTTTGATTGTATCGCACGCAATGTCGAGGAGGGTCAAACTCGAAGGGACGCCAACATGGTCCTCCAGAATTTCTTGGAAGAAGCTAAAACAGCAAACTACCGCTGAAGTAGTATTTTTTAATATTTTGTATGGTATCTATACGATAAAAACCATGTGCATGAATACTTGTGGGATATTCAAGACACATATCTGCATCGAAGAGCTGTGCATCGAGTCAGTTGCCTGTCGAATGTACCGGTAGATCCTGCCGATGTATATATATGTTGACTACTTACCTCAGAATTATGTAAGATTGATATCATTCCGTCCTACCACAGCAGCACTTTTTTGTCAGAATCTATTCATATCACTTTGAAATTTGTTGATTCGCAATTAGCAAATTTCCTGATTGTATTATTATTCATTTGAAGTCAAATTGAAAATGGTGAACTACAAGAGGTGCGAGTATTAATATTTATATATTATAATAGTACCGGTAGTAGGCAGGTAAAAAATATTTCTACATATATAAATAGTACGGTACGAGGATGCCATTGGGCGCTGGAATGAATCATTTCACAACAAGTCCAGTCGCGTTACATACCTGTATATATCTCTACGCTGTTTCTGTTGGCGCGTGATCGCTGCCACAATCTCAACTCAAGCAGCAGCATGAAACAATCCTTGGCAAAACTCTTACTCCTCTTTGTTTTGTGTACTAGAGAAACAGTATTTGCTCTTGAAGGTGTTGTTAGACTACGAGGAACTTCTACTCCGAACACACCACCAGCACGGCTTCTTGTTGATGATTCGAACATTTTCAACGTGACTGCGACACCGTCCTCCATAGAAGATAATTCGAACAATACCGATGGGACTACAGCACCTTCCTCCTTACAAGATGATTCGAATAGTACCGATTCAAACAACACTGGTACCGAAGAAGAAGAAGCGACTACAGCACCTTCTTCCTCTATCGAACCATGTCTGAACTGGGATGATGATTCTCCTTGTTCGCCGTCCCAGCCAACGACAACACCTTCAACTAGATCATTTTCTGATATTCCAGGTTTAGGATTCATTGTCATGGCTAGCATGATTGTTGGGACCATTATATTCATTAAATGGCTATGCAATCCAGAGAACCGCGTTTGTGGCGTTTGGCTTGTTGTAATGATTGTTTTCTTCATTGTCACTTTTCCTTGGGGTTTGGTGCTGTGTTTGTTATGTGGTTCTGCCGCTGGGGGTGGTGGTGGTGGTAGTGGTAGTGGTAATATTTTTGAAAGCAACGATTCCAATGGCATCCCCTGGGGGTACCGAGAACCAAGTCGTTTTGCATCTGCACCTGCTCCAAGCCCAGAAAGATGGGTGGTTGACAGCGGTATTACGAATCACTATGGCGAACCTGCCCGCTGGACCAGAGAATAAACAATTGAATAACTGTATGTTCCCAGAATCTATTCATTGTGGAACCCCTACAGCTACAAATCATTTTTCAGCCTTGGTGATTCTTGTTCAGCATTCGTTCGAGCTAGAACAAGATGCCGCATGGGCGATAGTATGCACAACATCTATGCGATCTCTAGTGTATGCTCAGTTGACAATCATTCATTCATCGTCAGGTTGTCGTGTTGATTGATGCATGCCAACCCCAAAAGATAGCGTGAAGTGCGTTCAAATTCTGTTCGGATCTTGGCCCAGTTTTAAACTCTGAAGCCAGAGTACTCGCTTGGTGTTTAGGATACCGAACCTAAGGATCGCTGTAGAATCCAACATTCCCCTTTTCATGGCTACAGGGTTTCTTGCCTGGTTTCTCACAAAAATGTGCGAAACTACCAAGATCGGGTGCACGTCTGGAATCATATTGGTCGAATATCTGCCAGACAAGAGATCTCATAAAATTCGAATGAGACCGCCGAAGACGCTCACACATCAACCACAATAACAAAAATGATCCAAAAGATGCCGCCATTCTACGATACGCCAATGCTTATTATGACTGATACCATCATGGATACTTCTAGCCCACTAACAGAAATAGATGAAATTCAAATTGAGCAAGGCACAACAACAGGATTGCCGCCAACCATTTCCTTTATTGAGGACCATTACCGTGACAACGACGATGATTTGGAATTGGATCCAATTCCAATCGACTCCATGATAGATGGAGAAGGAGAAGAGGCTTTAGTTTCCTTTGCAGCTTCTCTCGACTGCTGCTTCCTCGGAGGCAACGAACAGAATCTTCCTACGGATCCCAACAGTGGTGATGAACAAACCATCATTACAAGGAACAAAAAGTCTGATTACAAAGGACGAAGGGTTAGAACCAAGAGACGAACCTTCTCCAAAATCAAGGACCCCAATGGCTACGCTGTGGAATGCCACAAAAACGATGTCCTACTCGGCCGCGGGGGTCATGCCAGTAACAATCCGGGAAACTTGTATCTTTTGCAAGCAGTTCGAATGTACAGTGCCGAATACAAGAGTCTGGCCAAGACGGAACACGACAAGGTCCAGAAGCGAGCTATTGTACGCCACATTGTCTCTCAAATGGAGACCAGGGGCAGCCGATTCTTGTATCGGGAAAAGAAGGGAGAACAATGGCGAGAAGCCAGTGGTCGGGCAATTTACGAGAAGATTAGCCATATGCTACGGGACAAATAGAGATAAACACAAAACAATCTTGTAAAACTATACATTCTATTTGAAATGAAAGCATTGCATGATATTCAGATTTGCTTGACAGCCTGAACCTGCAGGACTTGGTACCAGTACTGGACCAGGAATTTGTAAAGGAGTGATCATACAATAGTTTGGAATAAACTAGAGTCATAGCTCGTGTAAGTGTGGATATATACAGAAATATTTGTGCGATAGATAAATGTCTGATGTCGGTTCGATTCTTGTATTGCTCAAACGTCTGCCATGATAGGGGGAGCATCGAATCCCAATCCAGTGGTGGTGCAACCGTGGCCTGGATATTCTTTATCGTCGTGTGTATGCCTCGCCATTTGAATCGTGGCGCAGCATCCACAAAAGGTCATGCAACAGCAGTCTTCGTGACGTTTCAAGCACCTCGTTGGCAAGGTGGTTGGAATCTTGTATTTTTGGCGCATGTGCGCTCGGACTTGAGTGCCAATATAGACCACGACAAACACCCAATAGCTGGTCATGATCAGGTCTCCTAATCCGGGGACCTTCCAGAAGCCCAAGGCGACGAGGAATCCAATAACAATTCGATTGTAACTCAGCTGGGTGTCGGCAACATCCCCTACCAAACCAGTCCAAGTCAAATGAAATCGATGAATGAGCTGTGCAATAAGGACAGGAGTGCAGCAACAAGCCATCCAAAAGGTTGACTGTGTGATCACATCCCAACAGCTACAGAGTTTGGTTCTCCATCGTCCAATGGGAGCTCCTGTCTCCTCGTCAAACCAAGTCTTGATGGTCTTGTCGTCTTCACCAGCCACTTCCTCCTCGTCACTCAAAGTGAGCGTACGAGCCGGTAAAGTATCACCATCTTTGGTAAGATACGTATCATCTTCATCTTTCCCAGCAATCAACGTATTTCCATCTTTGCTGAGATGTGTTTCATCTTCGTCCTCTTCTTCTGCTTCGTTGTTGCCGTATCCTGCTTCCTCCTCCTGCTCGTCATGATGATAATTTGCCCGGCCATGGCTCTCTCGCAAGTACCTTGGGGCACGGTCGTAAAGAACATCAAATTCATCTCCTTCCTTTACTCCCCCAGGAGGAACATGAACGGTAAATGGTTCTCCTGATACCAAAACGTCAAACGAATATCCTTCTTCCAAGGTGGCTGGAGCTGTCACTCGAATGAACAATTCTTCTTCCTCTTCATCTTGATGATCCATGCTTCTTCGACCGCTCATTCTTGGTTTTAAATGTTCTAGGTATTGAAGGTGAGGCTGTTGGTACTGTTGAATACTGAGTAGGAGGGTACGGTAACGGTAGGTAGTCCCTTTCGATCGTTTGGTTTTTGAAATACCGTTGCTTTATTATTGTGAGGCAATTTCCCAATCCGTTTGAAAATTCAACACGCGCCAGCCGATTCCAGCAAAACGACTAGACCGACTGCACTGGAGAATAGAGAAAGGGGTGTAGACGATCGCGATGCGATATATGTTGACGATGAGACCCCGCATTTCATCTTGACACCTTGAGAGAAGAGATGAACGACGAGTATGGTCCCATCATCCAAACAGGGAGAGACTTCAAGGAAATCGAACTGTAAAAATACTGCTTTCATTGCAATATCCATTGCCATTAGTTTCTGGGCATGTCTTCAATACAGAATCGTTGCAGTCACATGGACCCAAGTCCAAACCGACATGACTAATAGTCTCAACTCTTTTTATCATCAGTCTACCGAGCAATCGCAGCAGAAGGAAATACAATTCCCTAAAGACAATTATCAAGATCCGCACACAAAAGGAGCTCAATCGGAACCTGCAGGACCCGATTCACCTGTGAAGCTTCCATCCAACTCCAAACCCAATCTGGATAGCAATACGTTCTCCTTGTGCCTACTGCTCAAGGATGATAATGATATACTGAACGAGTGGATCGCATATCACTATCACACACTCAATCTACGATATATGATTGTAGCGTTGGATCCATTCTCCCAAACCTCACCGGAACCAATCTTTGAAAAATGGAGAAACTTGTTTGGTATGACCATTGAAGTTTGGACGGACAAGGATTACATGCCAGACTTTTTTCTGCAAGGCAAGTACGATCAAGTGGATTCCTTCATTCCGCAGTTCGTCAATCAAGATCAATCCAAATCGATCTGGCACACCGACACGAGCAATGCATCCCAAGTGGAACAAGACTTGATTCACATCAACAATCACCGGTTCCGACAAGTTACCTTTGTCAGCCACTGCTTTGAAGTCATCAAGAAGAATCTACCCAACCATAGTGTAACAGACAAGAAGGGAAAGCAGCAGCCAGACTTTCAACATTGGGTGGGGCACATTGATACTGACGAATATATTGTAATCAATCCATTGCTTCGAGACAATCCAAATCGAACCAAGTTGATTGACATTCCAAATACTCCTACGTCTGGATCAATACTTCAGTTTCTTATGGACTTGTTTGAAAAGTATCCCAAACGTCTAAGTCGATCGTGCTTTATGATTCCGACCGTCCTGTTTGGAGCACAAATTCATGACGACTGGACGCACCGTGGCGGTGTCATCAATTTCACAACCACGATTGATACCGACCATTGGAATGCGGCTCGTTTTGAAACCTTGCGGTGGCGGATCCATGCCGACTATTCCAACATTATCAATGGACTGCAAAAAGCCATCTTGGACTTGTCGCACCTGCCAGCGGATCATGAAATCTTTCAAAACCATCGCATCAAGAGTGTGCACATGCCTTTGGATAAGGGTGGGACACATGGATGTCGCCAAATGTCCCTGAAACCTGAAATTCATGCCGTTCGATTGTTTCCATTGAGTATCAATCATTACGTCGGTTCGAGAGAACGATACCTGTCAAGACCTGACAAGCGACGGAACATTGAAATATACGAAGGCAAGGCACGAGTGACTGGTGGTGTAGATGATGGCTGGATACGCGGATGGTTACCTAGTTTTGTACAAGAGCATGGACTGGAGAAGGCATCACAAGTGCTGGAAGAATATCGAGTGTCGTGAATGTAAATCGGGAGAGAATGAGGAGCTTCTGGAGCAACTTTTGTCATGGCGCATTTGGCAGAATCTTGGTTCCCGTCAAATGTTCCAATCATATGCCCAAGATATTATCCCAAACCCTAACCCCACCGATCCATTCTAGTGGATCTTCCAGGACATGTGGCGTTGGGGGACACAACATTAATCCTTGAGAGCTCTGCTGATACTGTCAAATCCATTCTGGAAGAGAATCATGCAACTCTCAAGCTGACCAAGGCCAACACTTTCTATGTCGGTGCGCGTATGGGTGCTTACAGCGGATTTTACAAGTTGAACAAACTGAAATATCGATTGATTCTTTCATTCGGCCGTGCCATAATGATGAATTGTGGACAAAATGTCGGGCCAGACTGTCCCTTTGGACTAATATATAGTGGAGGGGATGGGAACAAATTTTGTACAGTAGTATATAAAGATTATGGCTCTTATTATCTTATTTTGGCATAATCATACTGTAGCAGCTACCACCAGATTTCAAAACTTGGGGAAAATCAATGGAACATTTTCAATGTAGTCTTTGTAGGCTGGATCATTCCCGTATTTGGATTTGGCCAACTCCACAGTATTCATCATAGTACCTGACGCTTGCGAGTTGAAGAGCTGCCACATGAACAAGGGAGAGACCAATGCGACGATCAATCGCCGACATCTCCACAGCCAATTCACACTCGATTTCAAGCCTCCCACCAGTAGACCAATAATGCCAGCCCCGTCGGTTGTAGGCGCACCTGTAAAGAGCGGAGTTGCAGACATCGATGATTCGATCAGCCACGGCGCATTCATGACCAAAATTCCAAACCACAGAATCAGATTGCCCAGATAATTTGGATGTTGGCTTATGCCCCAGAGGCCCGCATTGCAAAACTTTCCTGGATTGGCACGCTTGAAGAAGTACTTTTGTAGATCGGCAATGGTTTCGATACCCAAGCCTAGGGCATAAACAGCACCTCCTGCCTTGAGGACCATTCCATCGGCACCACCGACTCCACCACCAGTATTACAGAGTCCCAGTAGATAGGGCAAGGAGCAAAATGCATTCCATACAAATGTAACCAGCCAAAACTGAAATGTCCCTGTAGTTGTCAACAGCACCTCTTCCAGACGTTTGTCGTGTCCAGTTTGAGTCGCTCGGAAAAAGAGAAAACCTGCCAACTTGGTCCCCCAGACAGCCACTGCCCAAGACGACCACTGGGAATGGAGAGCCACATTGTCTTGCAGAAACGTTGGGATTGTAGCTAGCGCAAAGGCACCAGTTCCAATCAGATCCAAGTGAAGATGGGATCCAGTGGCGACACTGATCAGGAAGCCAACCACATTGGTGCAAACGTAAAATTCCATTGGCCGTCCATAATGGATTGGAAAGATCTAGGATTGGGACCATCATGGGGCCATTGACAACGGATAATTTGGTCGTTGAAGAGGAATACGTCGTGGCACCACCACCTCTAGTTCTAACACGACTGCTTGTTGTTGGGATTGGCTCTCGTAGTCGAAGGGACATTTTTCGATATGATGATGCTCCCTGAGGGCTGGCAAATGCGCTAGTATTGCAAGCCAGAATCAGCAATAAAAATAGAGTCCTAAAGACGCTTCGCTGACCGCGAATGAATCCATGCATCTCCTACTTTTCTGACATCAGTTTGATGTTTTTTTGATGAGTACTGCAGTTTCGCAAAGATCCACGGCAAAAAGAGAAAGGGAGATTGTGGGGAAACTTCATGCGCGCCCGCCGGCAATCGCGCCTGTCCATCGCCAGGGTATCGACAACTTTGATCAAATCCATCCAACATCAAATATCTCATCTGCTCTACCGGTATATATACACCATCGTATCTTCATCACAATGGCACCCTTTCTCAAGCTTTTGCTCGGTGGCGGAGCTGCCTTTATCTCCCCCAAAGCATCTTCTTGGAATTCAGCAACTACAGAGACAATAATAGGTGGCACTATCTCCACATCATCTTATTCAACCTCCCAATTACTCGCGTCGTCCTCACAGACATCAACCACACACAATCAGGACCAACAAGCAAATCTGGCGGAAGTTATTTCGTTGTTGGGTGGTTCACCGACAAATTTGCTCCGCCTAGATTCTACTACAGAAGGTGTGAGAGGAGTTTATCTAAACGAGAATGTTTCCAAAGGGGATGTCCTATTGGAAATACCGCTAGCTTCCTGTCTCCGAGATGACGGAGATCCGCCTTCTTGGCTGATCGACCAACAGGATACCGACAACAAAAATAATAATGCCTACAGTCCCATACAAATTCAAGGCTGGGTGACTCGATTGGCGGCACAGTTGCTGCAACTCCAGAGTCGTTGTGAGGAAGGTGACAAGAACAAAAACATGGTAGATGATGAAAATGAATCATCACTGCCATCCGAGGGATTACGCGCCTGGCTAAAACTCTTACCCGAGTCCCTTCGAGATAGTCTTCCGATCTATTGGCCCGAAGAAGTGATAAAATCAACGGATTGTCGCCCGTTGGAATTGGCAGTGGACGCTGCTTTCTTTGCTCGGGCAGCACCCCTGTCAGACTTGGCCGCCAGTGGAAAATCACAAGCACAAGTGGAACGGGCATTGGATTTGGTACAAACCAGAGCTTGTCGCTGTGCCACATGGGAAGAAACAAACTCCGATGAGAGCCTACTAGTAACGGGCACACCAGCTGTCGTACCGAGTAGTCGCCAGCATAGCCAGGAACGAACCAAGGCCGATTTGCGAGTCATGGTACCCATTTTCGACATGATCAATCATTCCTATGAACACAATGCTGAATTCTTTCGAAAAGGGGATTATATGATAGTACGGGCCAAACAAGATCTAACAGTCGACGAAGAGGTGCTCATCAGCTATGGGGCAAGTTCGACCACGCCCATTTGGAGATGCCTCTTCTCTTATGGATTTGTACCATCGGTAGATGACATCTACGAATATAATGTGGTCGAGATAGCATTGGATGACTACTATCGATTTGAAGTATCTCCTACAGAAATTCCCTTTGAGTTGGTACAATATCAAGCCAAGAAACAAGGAATTGCAGTGGACAATCCAGAAGACATCGAGTTTACGCCAGAAATCGGAAAAGCTATTGTGGAGCAACTGAGAGACTGCGCAAAGCGCTTGGAAGTGAGTCAGGGTAGTCGGGGCAGTATGGAGAGTAGAATTCGGTCGACTGATTCTATGCCACAGGAAACGATGGAGCTAATCAACTTATTGAAAGAGTCTCATCGACGAACATTGCTAGCTTGTGCGGGTGGGTTGCAAGAATACTTGGAGAACGAATGAATCAACGACGGCGGGTCAGCAGTAATAGACAGCTGTAAACGTGGTAACGGGTCAGTGCCAGAGGTCGCAGGGGCCTATCGATTCGACGAAATCACCTCCGATCTCGCGTGTGACCTTCGTTCTTTTCGTGGAAGCACTTCTTGGTGGAACTACTTTTTCCAGTGGAACCACTTTTTCGCCAATATCCATTTGCCAGACGTCAGCTCCAGTGTCTTCAGTTCTTGGTCATATCTCGAAGCATCTTTTTTTCATGAAATAATAATAAAACCTACGGTGATTTGTCCCTCCTTACGCAGTGCGCAAATATCAGTTTAGGTACAGTAGTCGAAGTTTCACGTCACTTTGTTCCAGTCGGAGAATGTCTTCTATGCGGTTCCCACACTGACAATTCGGATTCTCCGTAAAAGAAAACCAGACAACCCTCACAAAAAAGGTTCATCCCTCTAAAATAATATTTTCCCATCGTTTTTTTCAGACGACTCGACCACGTTACTTTCTCCAACATCATGACTTGCACACGCACCCCACATACGAGCTTTTCCAGCGTTCCAATGCGACCATCTCCAATAGCAACGGTAAGAACTGTTGATGATCCTCTTACTTTGATAAGCATGGCACTCGACATTATCAATGGCAAGAGCGACCACGCGGACGAGTCAGGGATTGGCAACACTGGTCTAGTGACTTCGGACAAGGGTGACATGCCGCCTCCAGAGGGACATTTTGAAGATTGAAGAGGAGATTTGGTCAAGGCGAAGTTTTAATGTCATTGCAAGTCAAGAGCCCAAACTCCTGGTGTTGCGAGCGAAGGTACGGCTACCCACGCACGGCCAAGTTACAAGTGCTACTATTGGCATACAAACTACCAAAGAGCAAAGAAGATCGACTATCACCGCCGTGACACAACTCCTATGCATATTTATCTATTCATGTTGGTTTTAGATTATAGGACCCTAAGAAACAAATGTAGGACTAATTATACAGAAAACACCTGATTTGTAATCTAAATGCTGAAATGATAATTCGAATCTACTTTTACAGATCCTATAGCAATCCGAATCACGTTTTGCCGTTCATTCCATCGTCCAGTACCAAATACCGGCACTCTAGCGGGAAATCTTCGAGATGTCAAAGTACTACAAAATAGTATCGCCTTCATTGTTCTTTTTGTGAAACCAATTTTTCGTGGGATCATTTTTTCGCCTGTCTTCTCGCATTGCTGTGTCTCGTAGAAATGTCCGTCTCGGGAACCGAATGCTTTTGATATGTCTTCAATCTGTTTTCGAAGTAGTTCACGTCACCTTGTTCGATGTCGGAGAATGTCTCGGCCCACATGGCGGTTCCTTAAAACTGACGGTTCCGATTCCGAGTTTGTTTTTCTCTCAAGCAACTCTCACAAAATACACTCTGAACTCCTTGTAATTTTTCCGTCGTTGTTTACACACCCCGACCACGTTACCTTCTCCAACATCATGACTTGCACTCGTATCCCACAGAGGGCAAACTTGTCCAGTATTCCAATTCGACCGTCTCCAATAGCAACGGAACCTGTCCATGATCCTCTTACTTTGATACGCATGGCACTTGATATCATCAATGGCAAGGACGAAGACGCGGAGACAGGGATTGGCAGCACTCGTCTGAACTCGGACAAGGGCGATGTACCACCTTCAGTGGGAGATGTTAGACAATAAATAGGATGGTTGGCCAAGGCGTAGGTTGCAAGTCAAAAGAGCCAATCTCATGATACCACACCAGCAGACTGGCCACAAGTCACCAATAAGTATGTTTCCACACAAACTACAGAGGAGTCAGAAGACCATCGACTACCATCGCCGTGGCACCAATCCTATGGATTCATGTATCCATGTTGGTTGTAGATAATAGGATAACCCAAGATATAAAAATGTAATTATACAAAAAACACCTGGAATGGAATGATGAAAGATCGCTCGAATCGATCATTTCTTTAGATGCATTGTCATAATCCTAAAGCAGTACAATACTGTTTTCTCGCTCGTTTGATCGCGGAGCACTGTAGCTGAAACAATTTGATGCTCCCGAGCCACCAGGTAGAACTCACATTGCATACCATGCAACACGAAGCATTGCTCAGCGTCACAGACAAGTCATCGCCATATTGCCAATGATTGTGACGAGTGCTTGGAGCTATTCGCTACAACAGTGGGTAAATGGACCTTCGCTAAGCCTGTTAGGATCGTAGTCGATCTCTTGATCACTTGGAGCAAGACTGTTGCAGCTTCGAGGCGGAACAAAAACAGCACCAGCGTGCTGGGGTGATGGTTCAGTGAGACACGCACAACCTTGTCGTAGCAAGCGGGCAATTGTACAAAGTGTCAGAACATGAGTACAAAGATAGCAAGAATTCCACAAGATACACTCACAACCATCACAATTGCAGGATTTTTGTGAGATCAAAGTTGAAAGGCGTGCTGGACAAGCTTTTTTGCCATTGCAAGAACCGTTTCGCACTTCTCCCAAGAGGCGCGTGCACCCACTTCGGTTTCAAAGTAGCAATCGGAGATCGTGAGCCACAAGAGTTCACAACACTTCTCGCCACCAGCATATACGTACCCTTGATTACAAGAGCCATCCCCAATCTTCGCCTTTGCTTTCCAACAAGTTCGGTGTCCTCCAGTACACGATTCCGTTCCAATAGGTCCAGATGCAAACTGACAAGTCTCGTCAGCCCCCGAACAAGAAGAAGTTGGTACATCAAGAGGTTCACCAGTCGCGGTGCAGCAATCGCCAGCGTTTTGACAGCCGTTCATAGGTACTCCTTCTCCAACTTCTAGACATGCACAGCTATACGGATCGATGCAGCTGTTGTCATTGATATTGACTTCGATCAGATATGGACAAGAGTAGTCGCCGAGGCAAGAACCATCACCGACCAGGCCTTCATTCATATCTGTACATGAATATTCCCCCTTGCACGCATCGCATGCAATCTCAACAATATTTCTGAAACCGTCGCAGCTCTGAAAACCGGTACAGTTTGGGCCAGCGCAGTCTTCATCAACAATATCCCCTAGAGAGGTTGGCTGTAGAGTTGGTTTCCTTGAAGGATTTGTAGGATTCGTGGTGGGAGGTATGGTCTGGGTTATCATTGGGGCACTGCTCACTGGTACAAATGTCGGCGAATCGACCGGTGGCGGGATGGGTCTCCTACTCGGTTTCGAAGCTGGCCGGGTTGGAGCAATCCTGGTCACTTTAATTGAGCGGAAAGAACCACCCAAACCAATCCAGTCAACCAAATTCAAATCATCATCATTGAACACTTCCGACAAAAGCGAAATAATACCAAAGTCTGGGATTTCGCTTGACTTGATGGAGAGAGCCATTTCCAAAACAACAGCATAACAAAAACCAGGATTATCTTCACAGCCTTCCGAGCCTACAGTACGGGCCGTCACTTTTGCATTACCAATCGCATATCGATTTTCGCTTAATTTTCTTCTCCGTAGTCGCCTCCCTTCATCCGCCAAACATCCCACTAGTTCTGGAATCAGAATCCCCTTGGTCGATTCCACGAAGGCGGTGGAAATAATATCCAAAGAATTATCCACTGTCAGTGATACCTCCAATTCCACATCAAAGGCTCTGCTATCCATGGTTTCCTCTCCAATGACATCATTCTCTGATATGACTGCCTGGCAGTCGGCATCGGCAGGTGGATCAAAATTAAGCTCTACAGTGGGCGAGAGCGTTGGCAAAGTCACTGGTTCTGCCGTATTGGATGCAGTCGGACCAGTAGGGGAAGAGGTTGTCATTGGTACACCTTCTTCAGAAGAAACAGACGAAGAAGAAGAGCCCTTAGTGGCAAAAAAGGCACCAACTCCAGCTCCAATCAGAAACAGGACAAAGACAGCAATGATGGCCGTTTTCTTGGAACAAATTCCTCCATTACTGTCGTTGGAACCCGAGTGCATACTAGACTCAGCGTGAGCTGCCTGTGTTTCAAGCTGCTGTCGCAGGCGTTCATTTTCTTGTTGCAAGGCAATATTCAAATTCTTTTCGGAAGATTCGCGGACGACCTTGGCCTGAATCTCGACCGTTCCAGAGGCAGATGATAATGCATTTGTAGTAGTTTGACCCCTGTTTGGAGATTGATGGTGATGGTCATCACTATTGGATCGATCTTGTGATGAGTGACTGTCCTTATGATTCCGATGTTGCTTAGTCTTTCGGCTGTTTCTCAGCTCTTTGCTTTCTTGTCTCTTGTCCGCAGACGGCAACCCTACTTGAGCGCCAGGTATACTAGAGCTTCCCGTCTGCTTCGCACCATTTCTTTGTTTGGCATCTCCAGCGTGCCCACCATGACTCGAGGAACTGCTGTGAGCTCCTGGAGTGGACTTATTCCCACCGTGGTTTCTGGCATCTCGTTCACGTTGTTTATCTAATTTGCCAGATTTTGCTTCTTCCACAATCCGGTATGCCCGGTCATCCACGTCAGAGTTATCATCAGAGTCGTCGTCCATCATGTTGGAAGCGGAAGGGGTGTGTCTGTAGTAATACTCTGGGATACCGTACTACTCTGTATGTGTAACAATATACATATTCAATCTTGCGTTTCAAATAAAATTCCATTGAAATATACACAGGTTTCTGCACGCGTGCTTCATCACCTACTCTTCTACCAATCATTATTCTCGATGTGTTATTTTTTAATACCAGCAGACCTGCGAGTGCGCACATGCCGCACATATATATATATGGAATATACCGGTATTTTATTAAATATATACATCATGTGGTATGATAAAAGCATTTTGTTGGTGGCACATACACGTACATACGTGTACCGGTATGTAATATGTATTCTAGCATAAAAATAAGATTCTTCCGAAGTGATGTACCAGTGAAATTGGTATTCTTTAGATAACTACATCCATCAGTATTTTAAAGACACTCATTTACATTTCCAGTACAACTCCAAAGTGATGGTTAGCAAGAATGATTGAATGAATCAATCGGCCAGCTTCCCCTTTATTGACAAAGTCCACCAAAGTCGGGCTCGCAGAACGAGGGAGTACCAAAAGACCTTCTGCTTTTCCTTTTAGGCACGAGCAACCGAAAGATAGAGATCGAATAATCAGTAAATGGCATTGACGGCAGTTGCAGAAGAAGAATGCACCAAGATACTCACATCTTTCACAGTTGCTCGAATCATTGGAAGTGATCATGTTGGTCAACTGGCCACTATGGAAACAATTATAATCAATGACAATAAGATGTTAGTAAATGTTTGACTCTTAACAACTTTTCTAAGGAGTACCACAAGATTCTACAAGCACACCATGCTTTCGTCCCGTACCATTGCACGAGTCATCATCAATCTCTCCCAAAGTTTTAGTGTAGGATGCACCACAATTGTAAGAGTCCACCCCAATGTCTGAAGCACGCGCTAAGCCCCTCATTGCAATTGTTGGCCCCAATGGGACCAGATGTGTATCGGCAGCTCTCGACCCCTCTTGGCGCACAAGAGCTGGGAGAAATACTCTTTGGGAGCCCACCGTTCCGACTGTTAGGCAAGGGCAAGAATCTTTTCCCAAACAACTGTTGTCACCGATTGTCACTATTGCACGAATCTTTATTATAGGTACAGGAACCTTCTCCGATTTCGACGACAAGAAAAATCACCGCTATCCGCCAAGCATGCGGTCATTGTAACAACAAAATGAGAGAATTGAATTTGCGGAATACACAATGAATTCTTTGTAATGAAAGTTTGCACTTGCCAATGCAAGATACACATCCAACAGGACTCTTGCAAGCATCCTCTCCTTGACAATTATTAGCCTCACAGTTTACATTGTTGCGGGCGCCGCAACTGGCTGCTAGGTTGGAGTGAGCGCCGGTCCGGGTGTTTGCGGCAGAGTCGAGACGGCCGGTGGAAGGGTGGGAGCAGAAATGGGTGAAACGGTGGGACTGGATACAGGTGCCCGAGTGGGACTGTTGGTGGGCTCTTGTTGTGCCAAAAGAATATCTTCAAAGGAAATAGAATCAATGAGTGCACCGATTCCAAGATCAACAGACAAAGCCTCCACATCGTAGACGCCGACAATCAGATTGTTCAGCACTTGCTCCGACTCGGTAGCATTTTTTATGAAAACATTAAGCGTTGTCACTACCCGGTAGCATGGACCTGATCCAGTAGGGACACACGTCTGGCTTGGATCATGAACAACTGTCGCTTCTGCATTGGCAATTGCATAACGCCGTCTTTGTGTTGTGGATTGGCGCAACACTATGGCTCTTAATCCGCGCCTTTCATTGCACCCTACCAAACTTGGAATCAAAATGTCTTGTGTTTGGATTTGTAGAGCATCCACCATGGTATCAATGTCCGTTTCAGCCGCCAAGGAAACATCGAGCTCCACGTTAAAGCTTCTAGTTGCCAAACTGCGTTGGCCTAGAACTGGTTGACCAGCAGCCACCTGAGCACACGCTTGTGGAGACGGTTTGGGATAAATTACTTCCAACGTCGAGGCTACCGTGGGTGTCAGTGATGGAAGAGGAGTTGGCGCTTCTGTTGGAATGACTGACACTGGAGCATCGGTAGTCACTGCTGCTGCTGCTGCTGCAGAAGAAGAAGGCGACCCTATGGTTCCAAAGATAGCAACGGCTCCTCCGACAAAGGCAATCATCAGAACTGCAAGTATTGCAATCTTGCACTTCCTAGGAATGGTTTTGCTCTCTTCAACATTGTCGTTTTGCACTTGGTCGTCACCGTTTTGCATTTGACCGCGCAAAGCGGTAACCCTATCCCTAGCACGATGCTTCTCAGCCTGCTCTCGTTCGGCCCGACGAGCCATACCAGAGGCTCTGTCATTGTTTTCTTCAATGTTTATCTCTCTAATGTTGGAAGCAGCCATTTAGAAAAGATGCGCGTCATCAGTATAATAGCACCGTATATATGAATGCTATTTTATAATTTTCTTCTCTGGAAAATGACAGGACGCATGCGGTGAGACAGAAATGACCACTGTCACCGCAGAACGTTTAGTCGTTCTATTCGATCACCGTTTCCATCCTATATATTCAATATTAAATATATACGGTACCAGGTATTAATACTGTACTGTGTATGCTATACTCTTGGTGTATGTATTCATTGTACTGTAGAACGGTAGGTACAACACTAAGGGAAATGAAGTATAGCGTGCAATATTATCCTGGACGAATAAATTAGAAAATAAATTCTAATAACGCCATACCGGAAGACCCCAAACTCGTCCTCTACAGTCATTACCACTTCACTATGGTTCGCTTTGTGAAACACATCGTCACCAAAGTATGCAGCAGGTCAAAGACCAGGAGCAATACAACATGTATATCTTCTCAGATGGCATACATAACTCCAAGAAGCAAGGTGGCAGCAACCACAAGACTCTTCATGCACAGGCTGATTCCACTCGAGGCCTCAACGCAGCATGCAGCCTTGGATTCATCAGTTTCAATTCCGTCGCAAACTGTCTGGTTGGTAACATGCCTTGCAAATTCGAACCCCTCAATGCATGTCAGACCATCCCCATCGGGAACAACTGCTGTCGTGTTTGTGGTGACAACTTGATTGTCATCGCAGACCTTGCAAAGTTCTGGTGCAGGAACATCCGAACATTCGCAAAACGAGGCAAGGTTGAAAGATGTGTCAAATTCTGCCTTCCCTGCGGTACAGTTTGCCTCACTTTCGGCATAAGATAGCATAGCATCGATGATACCGCAGGATGGCACCTCACTATCAGGAATTGCCTTGTCTGCATTGAAGGTAGCTTCTGCGGAATTACAGAGAAAACAAATTGCCGGATCTTGTTTTGTTGGACAGCAATTGACTCCTGCCAAAATGGTAAGACCAGCGCATTCCTCGGCAGTAAGGCCAGTGGCAGTAATGAAGCTCCAAGAGGCGCTATCATAAAGTAGTAGGACGAAATTGGTAAGCAAGACTTTGCCAATGAAACAATCAAAACGATTTGGTGTTTCTTAACATACCTCAATTCCGAACAAGTGAATATGGTACCGTCAAGATCACCTCTCCGCCTTCTAATGTGATCCCACCGGGGCAAAATTCGTTGGTGCACTGTGCCTGAGAAGCGTCCAGAGCTACGAAAGCAAGAGCAAGAGAGAGGAGCACCTTCATGATTCTTTGATGATGATGATAGATTTGAATGATCACACTACAGTACAGTAAAATTATGAAAGATTTGTTTTTGGCAAGACTATCGGTCTACCGTGGCAGAAGTACTAGGTGTACAGGGTCATTGAAAAGCAGATATAATTTCCTGTACAGGTGTATAAGCCGTGTTCCCTGCGCGAACGGGTACTCCCCAAATCAAAATTTACTAGTAATTTCCCCCTTTTTCGACATTATTACACCTTATCGAACAATATATTAAAAATATTACAAGAGAAAAAGTAAGTCGACTGACTGATGATGATGATAGATCACACTACCTGGCACTGTGCAGTAAAATATGAAAGATTTGTTTTTGGCAAGACTATCGGTCTACCGTGGCAGAAGTACTAGGTGTACAGGGTCATTGAAAAGCAGACATATAATTTCCCGTACAGTGTACTTGTATACCGGTACTATATAATAATATATTACAAGGTAAGAGAAAAAGTAAGTCGACTGAGTGAGTCGAACGTCCTATAGTACACACTGTACCTCTGAGCTCTGACATACCTCTGAAAAACCTTGTATGTACAGTATTGCTCATTGTATGGTCGTATGGCAGGCATCATATGACATTTTTTACACTCCTAGCATCTCCTCCGATGAGTTCGATAAATAATTCAATTTCAGATTTGAGGCATCACGTGTATACATTTCGTTGCTCGTTCCAAGATTTCTATACCCCCATTTTGCTGTAAGCGCTTAAAATTGTTCCCAAATTGTTAATATGCGACACGGTCAACAACCTCAGTGATCATTTCATCAGTTGATGTGTGGGGCTCAGCCCCGCTTAGCAGTCTTGGAAACAGCGAATCTTCAATCTCCGCCATAGCGATGGCTAGTATATACATAGTCTTGCGTAACCTAACCTCTTCTTGCAAATGCAACCTGCGCATTGTTCGGAAGTTGAGAATGAAGCAATACCAACTGTAACCAACTTTTTTTCTTTTCCGAAAGACTTACCAATCAGGACCACCATCCCAATGGGTTTCGATTATGAAACGTGTATCGATGTATTCGAGCTTTGGGTTATTCAGTTCTGACGCAATTAATTGGAGGACAAACGAATAGGCACCTAAAACCGTAGGTGTTCGCCAGTCTCTGCAGAGATTGATTGCTCCCATGAGCGGGCCTAGATCAACAGAAGGCAAATAGACCTTCGCATGTGGAATGTCTTTGACTGCATCCAAAACAGCTTGAACGTGTAACTTCATCTCATTGTAATATCTTGCAAACGAAAATGGGTATCCACCTGAAGATATACTTGCAGGCCATTGTCCTATCTGGATAATGACCACCCCACAATTTTTCTGCAACATTTTGGGCCCGATAGCGGACGCATTTGGCCATTGGTGGCGAATGAAGGTCATTAAACCTCGTACTTCTAATTGCTTCACAGACCGCATGACAACAAAACGACTGTGCGAGTCACCTATTGCACAAAAGAAAGGAAGGCGACTCGACTCGTTGCGAAATACATGTTGGATCCTTGTGGTCAGCTCGCTATCGGTTGTATTCATACCCCACTGAAAATCGTACTGCGGCAAACCTCCCACACGTTCAGTTGTGGCATGAATCTCGTCTCGATTTACAAACATGTTGCACCATTTGGGCAAGGGATTTTGTGGTTTATATCCCGTGCCAGAAGCTTCAACGCAACCAACAGGTTGGTAGCGAGTAAACAATGGCTGCGACCGTGATCCCGGCCGTTTCACCCAACGGCCAATGCGCGAATTTCCCGCCCCCGTAGTCGATGCTACTACAGTTATGTAACTTTGATGAATAGATGTGATTCGGTTGTACTGGGCATTTTCCACACATTTAGGACGAAGATCTTCATGGAACCAATCGGTGATGTTCTTTTTCTTGTTCATCGTCTTGACCCCAAAATCGTCACAGTAGAGTACCACAATTTCGACATAATAATCTCCAGCATCTAACCAACTATCGTTGTAGCTTCCGCATAACACATTAGCAGTAGAATTTTGGTTTTTCTCAGTCGTCCAGTCCAGAATTGCAAGTGCTGGTCCAGATAACCTTCCCCAGAGTGCTGGATGGGGACATGTGGCGTTTTCCATCATCTCTACACAAACACGATTTTCAATGGGCTCATGCCAAATTCTTGAGATATCATTGGCGAGAGTCGAGTAGGTCTCGATTGGGAGAGGCGAGTAGCTTCGATTGGTGGACAGCTCAACCGTAGAGGGCTTCTTCCTATTCTCGGCACTGCAGAAACATTTACTCGCTGTAGAATTGTAGAGCACTACGGCTGTCAGAGCTCCAAACAAGAGGGACTTTCGATAAAGGGGATTCATTTTCGGCAGATGGAAGATTGATTCAAGGAACGTTCACACTCATGATTTTTTTGAAAAGGATAGAAGTGTTGCTATCTTTTTTTTTTAAGTTTGCAACTGTTATTGTCTTTCGTCATTTGTTTCCAATTTTTCTCTTTCGGGATTGTCGTTTGTGTACTGTAGGTAGCTGACGAAGGACAGATGACGGATGACGTCAACCGACCGGCCTGCAGATTTTTTCAAATCATTTGAAAATGACTGAATACGCACGGACGCCATACAGACATCAGCAGATCTTCACCTGTGAGATCTCATGGTGAGATTTGCGATTCATTCATTCAATCATAGCGACAAAGAACCACCAACCACCAACCACCCACCTCACCATGAAATTACACTGTTCTCCAGTTGCATCCTTTGCCCTCTGTCTTCTCTTAATACAAGCAGCAACCAACAATGTCAATGCATTCCCATCACCAGGATTGTTAGTATCCAATGCCACCAAAAGTCGTCTGATGATTCCATTGTCGGTGGATCAAAAACTCGGTCTCGTGGCGCCCAATGGTGAAAATCAGGCAGCAGCAGCAGCTCCAGCGCCACGAGGAATTGTATTGAATACTTGTGTGGGAGGATTGACTTTTGCGGGTGGTTTGATGGGATATATTACCAAGGGCAGCAAGGCAAGTTTGATTGCTGGGAGCACCTTTGGAGGCTTGCTGAGTCTTTCGGCCTTTTTGATTTCCCAAAAGCAAAAGGTTGGAAGTATCATGGGAACTGCTGTGGGAGGAATGTTGTCGTATGTCATGGGAAAGAAGTTCTTGGCGTCCAAGAAATTCATGCCGGCAGGATTGATTGCCAGTTTGGGATTGGCAACTGTGGTTTATAATGCGATTGAAGCATTTGGGGGACAAGCAGTAAAGGCTGAGAGCTTGGTTCCACTGCAAGAAGCACCCAAGGATGATCCTATCGACGAACCAACAAGCACTGAAGAAAACTAAAAAAATTCGGCTAGAAATCTTGAGTGATGATACGGCGTGTCGTGGATGATTGATTCTGTAGTCTTTGATATTTTGAATTTTCACAACTGCTGTCGATAAGAGAGTCTGGAAACAATGCAGGTGGTTATGATAGATCCATATCTAAACATTCGACTACAATGGGAAAAATGATATTGTCTAAACACTACAGTATGTATTATTAATGTAGACGGTACCGCCGGCAGCGAGCATTGCGAATTATTTCCCGAGTCTCCCCTATCGCGAATTTGATGCTAGCATTTTCTTTTAGTTTGCCACAATGCTCTTTCGTGAAAAGACCCACTTGGCAACGTCTCCATCCTTAAGTCCAAATCCAATGCAACGTTTGTTACCTGTTCTCGGCTTGTTTGCATCACCATAACCATCATCATCCACAGCCATACAGATCCAATCGTCGCAACAAACAATAAACTCTACATGACCAGGAGCAGTAAGTGTCTGTTGACAGGCAAAACAAGTTGTGGTAATCGTGTCATCTTTGGCAAGAGCACGCAAGGTGGCATCCTTGGACAATAAAGGAAGTGTCAGTCCGGGTGCCACTTCAATCATGTCCGTGTGCTCCCCTTCGACTGATTGCATTTCCCGTTGTTGCTCCTTTTCAACCCTTACCCGCCGTTCTCGCTCCCGTTGCTCCCTTTCAGCCCTTACGATAGCTTCCGCCTGGGCCCTGGCTTCCCTTTCAGCTTTGGCCTTAATTGCTTCTGCCCTTTCCTTGGCTTCTCGTTCTGCTTCTTCACGAGCCTCAAGCTCTGCCTTTTCTCGGGCTTCACGTTCTTTTCGCTCCTTTCTTTCCTTTTCTTCTCTCTTTCTTTTTTCCCTACGTTCTCGTCGCTCACGTTCATGCCGTTCCTGTCGTTCTTTTGCTTCCTTTTCCTTTTTCAGTTTGGCTTCGCGTTCCTCTCGCTCTTTTCGATCTTGTTCTTGTCTCTTGATTCGTTCGGCTTCTTGTTGTTCTGCCTTTATGCGTGCTTCCTTGTCTCGATTCTGCTTGGCCTTTTGAAAGTATTCTAGTAACTTTCGTTGTTCGTCTGGGTTTTCCAACGACATGCTGAAGCGATCAATCGCAGGGATTCCATCAATCTGAACCCCAGCCAAAGATTTGCGCACAATCTCAATCATGGCTGCTGACGACTTGATTGGCTCGTTTGAGGAAGAACCACGATCCTTGTCGGCATAATCATCGTAGTCGTCAAAGTGTTGACTGTCATAGTCGGTTCCACCAAACATGGCGGCGACTTCTTTGCACATTTCGGTGAGAATGAATTCATCGATTTCGGTTTCCTCTCCTTCTGAAAGCATGGAATCCCTGCCCAGCATTTCCGGCAATTCGGAAAAGAAGGAATCATATTGTTCCGAATCATTGGTCATGGTTATGATGTGGTGTTGTATGTAGAAGTGCTGTGGTGAAGAAGAGAGTAGGTATTTTGGTTCTGTGCAGTTTTGATGTTCAATAAAATACTTGCGGAATTAAACGACGGCACGCACGATGGAGAAAGCAACTGGTCAGAGAGTTAGTCCAGCGGGCCGGCGACAAAGTGATTAAAGACAATTAGCCTGTGCACCATAAGTCTCTGTTCCTTGTCCTTAACCATGAAAAACGTCACAGGGACAACTGTGAATGACACAAAGTGGTCTCACCGGGCGGAGGATAGGCCCAAATGGCGGATCGATCCATGTGACTCAAGATTTGCCTCAACAACTCTCCGATCCAAAAATTACTATCAGCAGCGTAGGTGAGCGATCGTCGGCATCAACGCAAATTGCTTGATCATCCCATTTACAAGGTGTCTCAAGATGCCGGAAATAATACGGCAATGGCGTACCTACATATCGACCTTCTCAATGATGATATCACTAGTATTAGTTCCAACTTTGGTGTCCTCATTTTCAACCACAGGAGCCCTGCTGAATCATTATCATCATCCCACCATCATCTACAGGGATCATAATAATGACATCCCAGACAACTCTCACTTATCGACAAACAGGCAACACAATACCCGTCTGAACAATGAAAAACCAGAATGGCTAGCAGATGCCATGGGAGGTAGCGATGATAGTCGTGATGCCGGCGATGCTCCCTCAATAGAAATACCCAAACTGACAAATGGCTTGTCTGGATTTTGTTTGGATCCGGCACTGGGGTTTGTTGCCATTTTGTCGTGCCCTGAGATTTCCAAATTTGTCGCAGTTACCGTCGTCCCCAACACGCTTGGTACGAAACAAGTTGTGGAGGATGACATCATGAAAATGCCCAGTCGATTAACCTCACCACGGGCCTTGACATTGGTGCAGTTGGCAGGAGGAATGGATTTGGGAACACCCATTTTGCCACCCGATGCTCTATGGCAAATAATCGTCAGAGAAGGGATCGATGCAGAAGATGATGACGAGGATGACGATATAGGCGATGACAATGCACCACCACCCTTGGTTACCTTGCTTGGAATTGACGTCGTGCCCAATGAAGATTACGATTCCGAACAAAGCGACAAGTCTGCCTCGCTGCTGTTGCCAACCAAAGCTACAGGGTGGGATGAAAGTTGGATGCAGGATGATGATAGAAAGGAGAAAATTCTACAACAATCGGTTCAAGTTCTGGGTGCAGTCAAGGGGTTACCTGGATTGCAAGCTGTCACCTTGGAACAGGTTTCTGATGCCATGATATACTGTTCCAACGAAGAGGGGGCATTGGACCGACAAGGCTTTTCTCATTTATTGGATTACATGCGACGTGTAGTTGGAGTTTCCTCGTCCGCCGCCACGGATGGTATGAATAGTAGTTGGAAAACCGACAGCAAGGTCAAGTTTGTCTTGAATGTCAACTTGGTCCAACAAGACTCCATCAAGACGATATCTGTCACTACACTGGATGCCTTCTCAGCAATTGGTCTATCCATGCGACACAAGATTCAATTGCAAGTGGCACCTGAATGTTTCGAGGAAGATTCCAATAGTATTTTGCAAATATTTCCCGCCTTTCGATCCGTCCAAGAACTCTGGGAGGATGCCAAAATCATGGATGGATTCATTCCTAGCATGTTTGAGCAAGCAAAGAAGCAGCAACCGCCATCCCAAATGGGGTAATTGCACCTACTATAAGCAAGTATACGAGACCAGAACACAGACGAAACATGATTGTCACAGCATCACTACACAAACATTCTCAAAAGTTGAATATCGCGCGGCAAGAATCTAATGCGATGCAACAGAGAGCAACCATATTGTAGACGAGTGCTTTTGGTCACATCATTCAATTTGATCTTATAATTTTGTAAAATGCAGTCGTAGAAATCTGAAAATTAAGAACATGGAATTCTATGAGGATATTATGTTATCAACGAGCTCGGAAGCGAAGGCAGAACCGGCTATGTGATTTGAATTGCATCTGACTGTTGGTAGAGTGTGCATTATAATTACATTTCTTATTGATTCTACAAAACTGTTTCTGGTCATGCGGACATGCCTGTAGCTTTAGATTCCAAATTCAGTGTATTCACTGTCGTGAACAAATTCCGAAGGTGACCTTTTTTCCACCCTGTGGTTGCTCTCTGCCGCTGGATGATGTTTAAGGTGGTCAATTCCTTGCTTTAGTGCCGGCGGGCTAGAGAAGAATCCATATGTGGAGTCGATTGATGTAACGGAAGGATGCAGTACATGTGCATGCTCCTCAGAGTCGTGATGGGCATCGCGGGGTCGTCTCGGCGGTGTTTCTGTACTTGTTCCGTCTGGACTCGAAAAGAAGGAGTATGTGGTATCAGTGATCATATTTTGTTGTTGCTGTTTGTGTTGGTTACTGTTTTGTTTTTTGTGAGCTTACATACACATGGAGGTCTTGGATTCGGGTTGGGAAAGAGGGTTCGGGAAAGAGTTTTCTTGTTCATGATCGAATTTTGGTGATGTGACTGTTCCATGGAAATATCACGTGAATGAACAATCACATCACGTGCATGTGAGGTTCGGGTTCATTTTTTTTTAAAAAAGAGGCCTATGACTTTCGGTAGATATATTTCCGATTCATTCGGTGGAGGTGACATTCAACTTTCACACAAAATTAAAAATTAGTATTTTATTATACTTCCTAAATTTCACGATGAGTGTAGAGACACAAAATGTGGCGCTTTACAAGTCGTGAAATCATTTCGTTCGCGGTGGTTGGGGCCAGTTGGTATTGTTGTTCTTGTCAGAGATGGCCAGCTCTATAATAGTTTTTGGTTGTTCTTCAAACTGGATCGGGGGTCGCGTTGTTGTTTCTTGTCTATTGTTCTATTTGCTCGCCCCCCCCCCCCTGATGTTGTACCATGGAATTCTAAAAGTGACCTCCGACAATGGATTGGCTACACGCCATTCTTCCCTTAATTCCATTCCCCCAATGGATTGCATTCGGAGATAAATGCATCGTACTTTCCACCCTGTGTCCTTGATTATGTAGTGGTGGTAAAATACAATGAAGAATCCGCAGCACTAATTGACGAGTTTGTAGCGGGGGTAGATCCATTCACTTGCAGATGCATCGCATCTTCTACTTCTCGCAAGGCTTCTTGCAATCGTTGGTCCTCCATTTTGGTTTGTTGCAGCTGATGTTGTTCCGAAAGTTTTTCTCCCAAAAAGGAGACTACCTTTAGACTCGTATCAAAGATCATCTTTCCATTCTTACTCAATGCTTCCAGCGCCTTGTTGTGTTGTCGGGTAAGTTCGATTCGTTCATGTTGTTGTCGGGACCCTTCTGTCAATTGGTCCTTTTTGATAACCAAATTTTGACGCATCCGATGAATTCGACGACGCTTGGCCTTGAGTTTGGTGGCCCAGTATTCTCGTTCTAAAGTTTGCTTAAATTCCAAACGTTCAATTTGGCAATTGGTCGCATGCAAATCTTCTTTCAACTCGGTGACTTGTCCATTGAGTCGGGACACCTCAATCGTCAAGGGGACCTGCGGATAAAAGCGGAGGTGAGTAATGCGATGACATGTTCCACCCTTTTACATGTATTGGTACGAACCATTTGAGTTTTCAAGGTTGCTTGTTGTCGTTGATAATCTAAAATGATTGCCTTGAGGCTATCTTCGGCCTGTGACCTTGCCATCTCCCTACTTCCAATGGCCCAAATTAAGGCAAAAAAGGTTGTAATCAAGCTCAAGGATGGTGCAATCGTCGCACCCGACTTGACATAGGATTCTGGCGGCTCCAGTCCCATGACAAGATAGGTATTGGAAATCATCATACTCAACTTGATCTTGGCATTGGACAAGATGTTGGAAGAATCCGACGACGCATTTTCCAAGAATTTGCTTGCCTCCTTCCAGGCTTGGTTCTCCGTCGACACAATGGATGACGACAATTGTGACTGAAAATCATTACCACCACCCAAAAGGCCAGTCTTGGCCACGAGGTAATCAACGAGAGTGGGAACATGATTGGTCGCTGCTGCTGTTGCGGATACTGTGGGCGCCGCCACGTCTGAGGACGCCAACAGCACGCTAGTACTTTCGGGGTAAATGGTTTGGTGCACCTCTTGGATGGACTGTTGCATGGAATTTACAGAGTCTCTCATAGAATCTACACTACTCGAAGGAAAGTAGCGATCGTCGGCGTTGAATGCTGAATTCGTGTTCTGCCGAAGTTGTTCCATGACATTATTCCATAGTTGCGTCGCATCTTCCGGAGAGACTGAATTCGAAGTGGTAGTGATGGTGGTGGTACTAGAGACTAGTGCTTCTTGCAACGGGGACGCGTCCGAAATCATTAAGGAAGTTAATGACTGTGATGATGATTCCCCTAGAGTTTGTTTCGTAGCATCGATGGACTCCTGTATCGATTCCATTGACTCTTTCACGGCCTTGAGACTATCCTGAAGAGGTGATGTATCCAATCCATAAGCATGATCTTCTGAGGAAGCTTGCAGTGCTGTTGAAGTTGCTGTTGTTATTGCGTTCTCCAGTCCTTGTTGCTGCTGTTGTGGCGACGGAACGTGCAAGGAATTTGTTCCTTTCAAAGATACCTGAAGAATCAGAATGGAGAGCAATAGTTGTGGTGAATAACTGTATCCATTTCTGGTGTTAGTCTCCTTACTTCTAATTCTCATGCTTGATGGCTTTTTAAATATTATTGGATCTATCTATATGGCAGACAGCAGTGAGATAGATTTGAAGGATCAAGCTCAGAAGCCAGAGTTATTCCTTTGCTTTTTATCATCGTTCTTCTGATTTCAGCGAACGAACTCTACGCGAGCCAGCATGACTTGAACCCAAGATACCATATCAATATTTCCGTCGACGACAGACGCTATCGTGACTGAACGCAGTCGTGGGATGTGGATGGAAGAAACCAATAACTCACGAAATTAGACAACTTCATTTCATTTTCGTAATAAATCTACTAGTTCAATAGTGAAGGAAACTTCATGGAAATCCGATATACCTTTCATCAGAGGTTGTGTTCAGCATACATGTAGTACATTCCAGCAAATCTGAGCCGGTAATATGGTTTTGAATGGTGGGTTTCTCATGCTGGTGTCGAGGAAGCCGACCGCTTTGACCTAGCGTAGGCAGCTCCTGCCCCTAAAAGGACCAGAGATCCAATTACGGCAGCAATCACAATTGGCACAGTCGAATCGTCTTCTGGTGTCAAATCCGCAGGGCCCCTTTGTATGGCCGGATCCCCTTGATAGGGCCGATAAGTTGCCGGGTCGGTTATTCGAATATCGATGATCTGGTCGTTGGCACTGTTGAGTGCTCCAGAATCCACAGCATCGGCAACCTCGGTTCGAAACATGTCTTCAAATCCATTATCATCATCATCGCCACCATTGTCAACTTCTCCCATGTAGAAAACTGAGAATCCAGAGTCCACCACCATGCATCGATCCCCATCGGTTGGAGGCTCTTGGCAGTCCACTGAAATTTGTGTAGAATATGATTACACGAACATGTTGGCGAGACGGGTGGGGGAGTCAATCCGGGAGATCAAACGAAGACATCATATCTAAACGCGAGCAACTATTCTTCTTACGTTCCAACACTTGATCGTCAGGATTTGCCGATAGCCCCACAGGTTTTCTTCTCAGTTGTGGTTGCAATTTTCGATTGTTATTCTCGTCAGTAGCTGTTGCGATTACAGCAGGTGGTGATGGGCGAACACAACTAATTCGTCTCGAAGCCAGCAAGTAGTCCACCGTGGCCAAATCCAAATCTCGGACGATTTGTGCGGGACTGTCATCACCATCAATACTATAGGTAATCTCTTGGTAATATTGAATCGTCAGAGTATTATCAGCGGCACTTCCACCGAAACCATTGGTATCCCCGATGCAAGCTTGGTACACCTCGACATTTTCTTCCATGGGTGGCTCAAAGTGATCATCAAAGTCGATATAGAGGAGGTTATCCGCTGTGCTTTCTTGAGACAGCAGGAGCGGGAACAATACCGATGAAAGAAGGCTCGACATGGGCATGCTTTGTCGAGTCATTTTTTGAAGTATTGTTGAAATCGAATTCGACGTTCGTGCTTGCAAGAAAGAGGTTTTTAATTTTGAGGTACGGATGAAAGTCTGCTGCTCCTTATGCTAAAGACCTTTTGTGTTACCGTCCAAGCTGGTAAGTATCCCATATTGATGGAGGAATTGAGGTGATGTGACTTTGAAAGCTTTTTTCCACGTATACGCATAAAATAATGACCGTTGCAGGTCTGAGACACGTGGTGTTTTTCTAAACATTCCTAGTTGATTGAAATGAAGCCCTACCGGAAGCGTTTTGTCATGAATACATACGACATATTTCTCAAATAAATCTGGAGCAACAGTTATGAATTCCGTTCAAAGGTCAGGCAGACTTTCCAAATCTTCCGAAATCCCGCGTTTTCCAAATCCTCTAAAACCTGAATCTGTTTCATGCAACACAAAAGATGCCTTTTACGGCTCTTGCTTTTTACATGGCATAAAAGAGCTCAGCCTGTCCCAAAGTCCATGTTACAATATGGCAGTAAAACTCAGCCATTGCTACAGGGTTGAAGGAAATCCTCCAGAATGAAGCTGAACCATGTCTTCAATAAGTTTAGAGTTCTTTACAGTATTGTTTTCAGGTAGTCGTTTGCGGTCGACGACAGACGTATTCATTGATCGCCCAACTTATTTTCATTTATTTTTGACAGTGTCAGGAGCTCCATATTGTAAAATGCTTATGGAGAGTTGAATGAACATTCCTCGTGGAAGTTGTCTTCATCATTCTTATCATTTGCAAACGTAGACACTTGAAATCAAGAAAGAGTGAACTTATGAGATCATGGAAGGAAGCAAGCAAGCAAGTTATTTGTGGCTTGGAAAAGACGCACCAGGCTCCCGATTGGCTAGAATCAGAAAGCGAATGGAAGGAATCCTTCGGATCACTGTTTGATGCTGATTTATTCTTATTCAATATTTACTAGTATTGTGGAAAGAAGACTTGACAATCAATTTCTTATTCACTGTTCCTTACAATCGTCAGAGCCTATGTTATTCTTCTGATCTCTTGGCTGTCGACTATCAATCAACATGGATAAAAACAGATAGTACTTTTATTGCACGCGCTGCACATGCCCTCCAGGACTTTTGATCAATCGATCATTCACTGATTGGTGATTCAGCTTGAAAATGAATGTTGGTCGTTCCATTCCTGGAGCAGATAGAAGACGACGGTTGCAACAAAAAAGATTGTCGACAATTTCTCGTCTCGACTCATATGGCGATGATGATGATGATTGCTGAAGAAATCTGTGACAAAATTTATGAGGATTTAATTGATCCCTGTGAGGTGCTGAGCTTCAAAGTGTGAGAATATTTGACTCTTTCTCCCGTTGTGCAAAACCTTCGCAAAACGAGCAATTTTCCGACCACGTCAGGCCTGTGTTGTGTGTGCGAAGGTTTTGCACCCATTTTGCACAAGAGTACTAGTAGCATTGATTGCTGTCGCAACAAACGCTTTTGGGATATCAGAAGACATATATCACATCACAGCTTCTGCTATCTACATCACAGATATTATATTGACTTGCGCAATGGATGATTTTGGTAAAAGGGAAGCAGCAGCCTTGGCTTTTCTGACTCTCGGAGCAGTCGGATCTATCGCCTGGCATCAAAAGTGGAAGTGTGTACCGATCGAAAAGCCTGATGCTGTGTTCGGCTTGGGCTTTGGTATCGGTTTCTCTGCTGGGATGGCAGTTGGCTTGGTTGTCCCGGGAAAAGATGTCAAGGAGTAGTAGGCAGGAACGACATATCATTGCCACTTGTATCAATGTGGATCGTTTCTAGAATCAAGCAATTGAATACACTGTAACGGATCTCTAATATAGTGTTAGTAGCATACAGCATTAGGACATCAAGAACATACACAATGAGTAGCAATGAGACACTTGCACTTGCACTCGTTCTCTTTCTTCTTTTTTCATCAGACAACAGAAGATTTACCAAACGGAAACTTCATAAAATTCATCGTCTTCCAACAACCAGAAAATGACGGTACTGGTAGTGCCGATATCGAAACCATTCATTCCTGCGGGTACAATAGGATTCACGGGAGGAACCAAAGACCAGGCTACTTCGATCATCTCAGAGGTGACCGTCTGGTAAAGCCGACGATCGGCAACCTTTTCTTTGGGCAAGACAGCAGGTTGCACGATCCAGGATGGAGTAATAATACCATTATCACCATCCACTTGAGCCTCTTCTTCTACTGCTGACCTCAAATTTCGTCGATTGCATCGACAGCTCTGCTCGATATCAAATATTATATAGTCATAGTTTATGGCATTTCGATCGGTAGTGTATCCAATATCATCGAGACTGGCAATCGTCATTTCGGAAATGAGGATTCCACCAAAATTCCTCGAAGGAGTCATGAGTTCGGCATCAAAGCAGGCTTCGGACCAATGGCCATTGGTGCATTCGGCCAGAGGAAAGCCGGTGGTGCACTGAGAAAGGGTCCGGTACACGGCTGTAGCTGCCGCTCCAGTGTACTCGCAAGCACCATTCACAAGAGGAGCATTGGCAAGCCGCCAATTGTTTCCGATTCCAAGAACATGACCTGAAAGGGGTAGAAGAAAGAAGTATGAGATTGATGATGAGACGGCATTTGGCTATGATGATACGTGTAAGAATAACAAATACAACCAGTTTCCTCACGAGACTTACCAATTTCATGAAGGACGACATCGTAGTACAAGTTCTCATCATTCTGCAGCCGGGCTTGATCGGCAGTGTCTAGTTTGAGGATACCCCAAAGTATCGGCTTCGGAACACCACTTCCATCATTGACGCTGGTTCCTGTACCCAATACCCCGCCAGCTCCGTCAATAGCATCGTAACTCCCACAAATGAAAAGGTCGTCCGTTGGAGTTGGTGGATTGAATCCTGGTCCGCAGAATGCATTGTCATTCAAGAATTGAGATGGAACCACATGATCCGAAAGGTCACTGGTAATGACGCTTTCCCAAAACGCAATGGCTCGATCAAAGATTGGGACATCCTGACACGGCATGTTTAGGAATTCCAAACAAATCTGATATCCAGCTTGACTTCCATTGTCACAATTGGCTGATCGATAGGTAACTGGACTGTTCTGTGCATTACAAGCAGAATCAACCGATGGTGCTTGAGAAGGCTGTGCTGAAGGTACCGGAGTGGTCACCAAAGGAGTTATCGTCGGTTGCTCGGAAGGGAACCGGGAGGGAGTTGAGGATGGCTCGGGTTGAATTAGAGTAGAAGGTGACTGAGACGGAGTGACGGGTGGTATTTTGGAGGGGCTCAAAGACGGATCGGGTTCATCTGAGGGTGTAGTAGAAGGTGACTGAGACGATGTGGCGGTATCTTCCGATGGAAGTTCCGATGGAATCATGGACGGCGTGGCTGTTTCCAATGTGCCAGCAGCCACGGTTGGGGTTTGCGATGGAATTGGAGTTGGTATTGCTCCAGGTGCCGACACGGATGGATTGGGTGTTGGTCTCTTTGTCGGAAACTTGGTAGAGAGCCCACCTCCGGATGGCCTGCGGGTAGGGTTCTTGGTGGATGGACCCATACGGGATGGCCTTCTGGTAGGGTACTTTGTGGATATGCCGTAAGTCGGGCGGGGTGTTGGGGGTGTCGGGCTAGTTTTTCTGGACAGCGCTGGTGTCGGTCGCGGAGTCGGTGGCTCTGTAGACAGTGGTCCAACTTGGGAATCTGTTGGAACCGATGTAGGAGCTGGCGTCGGCGGCTCTATAGGCAGCAATCCAAATCGGGGCTCTGTTGGAATGGGAGTAGGAAGTGGATCTGTTGGAACGGGAGTAGGAACCGGATCTGTTGGAACAGGAGTAGGAACTGGATCGGCGTTTCGAAAGACTTGGGAATGACCATTGTCAACAATCTGAATCCAGTCAACTAGCATATTGGCTGGCAGAGGTGCTGAAACATCGATCCTTGGCTGCAAACATCCCCCAGAAGAACTGTTGCCTGATGATGATAAGGAAGTATCACACCCACTCGAAGACGTTGATCCGGTGGAACTAGAAGAACCAGACCCTTCAGTCGAAGTAAAGATTCCTCCAATTGCAAGATTGAGAAGCAAAAAATGCGGTCGGTGGAATTCTTCACAGCCAAAACAACTGGCTGCCTCAATATCCATTTCCCAAACCTTGACATTATCCACATATGTCGATAGTGAGGTTGGAGTCCATTCCAGCTTGTATATGTGAAAGCTTTCATTCAAATCGATGTTGAAAGTTTTCCATGTCGTATCGGCTGCCAGTTTGCCATCGTTCTCCCAATGCGCTCCAGAGATCACCCTCCGATTGACCAAATTATTAGAGATTGCAAGACCTTGACCAACTTCCATAATGTCAATTTCGCCTGCTCGTGGCCAACCAACGTTGTTGAAATTGTCACCAAGCGTCCAAAAGGCTGGCCACAAGCCTTCATCTACATCAGGTATCTTGATTCTCGCCTCCACTGTCCCATATCGAAACCTTATTTTCCCATCAGTCTTGATTCTCCCTGACGTGAAACCAGTGGTTCTTTCGTCTGCTCGAATGATTAGCAATCCCCCAGTGACTGAAATGGCTTCAGTTGTGTATGTCTGAAGCTCATTGTTTCCCCATCCACCTGCCCCAAGATCCCAGGACCAGTATTCCGTGTTTAATGAAGTTCCACTGAAATCGTCTCGCCATAATACATCCCCGTTAACAGCAGCAGCAAGGCATGGTAGAAGTATCAGAATGATTGGTGAGTGGGATATTATTGAAAGGCAGTGTTGCATGATATTGATTATGATTTTGTTGTGTGAGCAAGATTTTGGGAGTTGGAAATATGTACGGTGAAGTATCATCCAAACAATAATTATTATCAATGGCAAACCCATATGTGTATCGCACCGGACACGACAACATGCTCGAACTGTTGCTTGCTCTGGCTATATTTGCAGCTTGGATTGATGAAGGTCTTGATTTGCTTGTATGTGCATGATGGCTGACTCGAAACAGATCGTGGATATGTTGGCAATTGGAGAATGGAGAAATAGAACAGGCTATTGACATACTACTCATTATGGTGCATTCGAGTAGCTAGAAAAGTATAGCTAGTATAACTACATAGTAATATATATACAATACTCTACATAAGCATCATATCCCCATTGCTATCCCCAGCATTAGTATATTGAGACTTCGTAGAAAGTCTCAGCCTCCTCATTCCAGAAAAGTACAGTTGATGTCGTACCAATGGTAGTGCTGTTGTCGTTCTCATCCCCATTGGATGTCACGGTTGGCACTAGCGGTGGCGCTGCCCTTTTGGCTTCTTCCCGAAGCTCTGGTGTTATTTCCGGATCTTTGTGTTTTATTGGCTTGTTCCATTGCCAAACCAATCCACTCTCTATCTTGATAGGATTTGCGTTACACCGGCAAGTCTGTGCCATATCGAAACTAATAAAGTCATATTGCACAGCATTTCGATCCGTCGTGTACCCCATATCGTCCAAGCTCGCAATGGTCATTTCCGAGATAAGGACGCCACCGGCATTTCTAGAGGGTGTCATCAGTTCGGCATCAAAACAGTCTTCTGACCAGTGACCATTAGTGCACTCAGCAAGTGGGAAACCATTTGCGCATCCAGAGAGGTCCCGATAGACCGCTACAGCTGCTGCACCGGTATATTCGCAATTACCATTGACAAGTGGAGCCGTTGCTAGTCTCCAATTGTTGCCGATTCCAAGAATGTGGCCAATTTCGTGCAGCACTACGTCATAGTATAGGCTTGGGTCTCCTTGGAAACGTGCAATATCAGCAGCATCCAGCTTTAGAATTCCCCAAAGAATTGGTTTTGCTACGCCTGATCCATCATTGACACTCGTACCAGTTCCAAGAACGCGATTCACACCATCAATATCGTCAAACTGAGCACAAATGAAGAGATCGTCCATTGGGTTTGGAACAGTGTATCCTGGACCACAGAAATCAGGATCGTCCAAAAATCTCAATGGGATAGTGTGATCCGGCAAGTCATTGGTGATAACGGACTCCCAAAAGGCAACGGCTTCGTCAAATATTGGCGCATCTTCACAGGGTAAGTTCAGAAACTCCAAACAAATTTGATAGCCACCTTGGGTTGCGACATCGCAATTCGGCGATCTGTAGTTGATTGGATTATTCTGAGCATCACAGACATCATTTTGCGTGACGGATGGTGCCAAAGATGGATTTGCTGATGGTTCCGGGTTATCGTTGACGGACGGTGCCAAAGATGGATTCGCAGATGGCTCTGGTCCACCCGCAACTGACGGTGCCAAAGATGGAGTAGCAGAAGGTTCCTGTTGTTGTTGTGTGGGAATGATGGAGGGTGAAGCCGATGGAATTGATGACGGTTGGTTCACAGTAGAAGGGACCAAAGAGGGGGAAACCGAGGGAATCGACGAAGGTTGGGGATCATTGGAGGAAGGTGCGTTAGATGGGGCAGGCGTCGTCCTACGAGTAGGAGGTGCTGTGGGTGGTGGACTTACAGGAGGTTCTGTAGGCCCCTGCCCCATCGTTGGCGGTGGGGTTGAAGTGGGCATCATCGGTGTTGGCTGAGGGGTTGGTTGCATCATCGGGGTTGGTTGCATAGGTGTTGGCATCATCGGTGTGGGAACCATAGGAGTGGGTGCATTTGGGTCATCACCCACTCTTGGAGTTCCAGTATATATATTGCGAAGGTCCAAGATATCTCGAATGATTCGGCCAAAGGCATATTCGAGTCCTTCTACAGCTGGTGCGGGGCAGTGGCAACTGGATGTACTTGTCGGGCCAACGACATCCACATAAGGATCCCCATGATAATAATATCTAGAGCTCGAACTCTGTGAGCTCCCATAATTGGTATATTGGTAATAGTATCTTGAAGAGTCTGAACTTTTCTTCGAAGCCTTCTTCGAACTCAGTTGTCGTTGCGATTCCGGAGCTGTAGCTGCTCGTATCCTCCTTTGTCGTCGAAAGTTCGAGAGGAAGTCTATATCGCTTGCGCAGCCTTTACATCTCCCCGTCACCTCGAAATCGATAACAAAGGTCACAACATCCGTCGTTTGAGGTATTGAGTCTCTGTTTATTCTTGCTCCAGTCAAATATCGGTATCCTGTGGAGCATGTTTGCTTGGCTGCTGACTCGTATAGCGAGGCCAGCGCATTTTCCAGCACATGCAAATGGCCTTCTTGCAGATATGCTGGTCGCCCTGTTACTTCCAAATAGATGTTGCCTTCTTGTATAATCTCATCAACACCGGCGCATGCGAACACGGAGTCTTGAAGATTTCTGGGAAGCGACTTGGAAATGTGATCATCAATCGCATCTGCTCCGTTCTGAATGGACAAAATTAGATTGAGAAGAAATACTGTCCATTGATCTAGTCGTCGACGGAATACCATTGTCTATAAATGCTTCCAAGCTGTTCTTCTTCCTCCTTGTTGGATACACAAGCATTTTCATTGCCTGGTATTTTATCGAAGATGTGCAAGCCGTTGAGTTTCAAGTTGGCGACGCCAAATCATCGCCGAATTCGAAACAAGTCGAAGGAGTCGTAATTGAATTCGAATCGATCGATCGATCAATAACTTTTATGAAATAATAAAAATGATCGAACTATACCGGTCGGACCTACTGTATTGATTACGCATTCACAGTTCCAATTGATATGATTCTCAAGGTGCTAGTAGGCTCCAATTGAAAAGCATAATGGCCACGAAACGTACTAACAAATCAAATATTAGGAATCTAAGTTCGCCAGACGAAGCACAGCCGACAACACTGCACAGTAGTCATCCGCAAGAAGCCTCAGTTTTGGATGATGATCATAGCGATCATGCCTATAGAGTGAAGAAGGATCACGGCGAGGATATCACATCGTCCAAGAGTCTGACACAGAATACTTACAGCATAATCTACGTTGCTGATCCCAGGAGTTGGGCCTTCTTTTATGGAATTGTATTCTTTCTGATTCAGATATGTCTCATGTCGTTTGCATTGATTGGAGCATTTGGTATGTCGTATAAAAGCTTGCGACGGATATTTTTCACCAACTTATTCACCGCCTACCTTCACCACCTATACCAAAGATGTCGGATCAAGCAATTTCTTCAAGGTACCAGTGGATGTTTCCATATGGGTCCGAATATCAGGATACATCATTCTGTTGTTGTCTGTCCCACTGTTCGGAGATCTCTTGGATACTATCGAGAAAACCCATGAGGGGTACAATCCTGTGGTGAAGTGTCAAACTCCACATGCCACATTTGCGTACGTAGCCACTGGGAGATACTTGGATTGATGCCTTCTGTAGAAGAAGAAAAAACAACTAACGTGCTGCTCTCCAGAAAATGGGTGTTCGCAAACTCTCTACAATTCGCTTTTGGCATTGTCTTTCAGTTCGTCACTTTTGTTTTCATCGCCAAGTCATCATCAGTCCGTGATATGTTGCTGAACTTTGCAGGTAAGCAGTGAGAGACATGATCGTGCATCTACCTGCTGGAAGCGTGTTTGCCAAATTAGTATATAGCTAACGCTTCTTTTGCATCTGTCAGGATTGGAATTCATCACCAAAATTGACGACCTGGGATTTTCATTAGCTGACAGGGGCTACTTCACAGAGTCTCTGAAGAATGCTTCCAAAGACGTCAAGGACCACAAGAGAACGACCACAAAAGGCCCTTGGTTCCGCATAGTCGCCACGGTGTTCCTTGTCTGTGCATTACTTGCTGGCTATTCTGTAATCTTCTACTACCAGCGAACAGGAGCATTCTTATGCACTCGTATGGAAGTCCAGTTTGGTGATGCTTTCTGGGCCGAGTTGCCCTTCTTTTCGGGTGTATATTTTGTCGATAAGGCTACTCGAATGGATCAACGGCTGGTCTTTGGTGATGAACGAACGGATGGAAAGGAGTCGTTCTTTCGTTACTGTCAAAGCGAGAAATCATTTGTCTTTCTCCCGCAGCAAAATAATGCAGATGACGAATGCAAAAGCGAATCTTGGTATGCCAAATCTCCCAAGTCCGAGTCGTACAACATTCTGAAATCGAATGCCAACGAATGGAAAACCCAGCGTCCAGGTGAGAATGCCATATTTTACTCGATTGATCATTTTACTATGAATTGCCTGGACTGTTCCCCCGATACCTGCAACATTCCGCTGGGAGGATCTTGTACAACCGACGACTTTAGCAACAAAGTCTGCGTTTGCAACGAAGGTGAGTGATCCATAGAAAGGAGTAAAAAGTCAGCTGCGATATTGAATCTCACAGCATCATGATGACAATTAATTACTCTTGGTCATCTTTTAGGATTCTTTGGGAACCAATGTCAATTCGAATACGATCAAATCTGCGACACGATTGAGTTTGACCATCGTTTCGCACCCTTTCCGATTCAGAAATACGATTTTCCGTCTCGATTGGAAGTGGTGACCACTTCTAGCGACTACTACATGCTATATCGCAACAAGGCTGTCTATTCCTATGTATACCCATCAGATAGTGAGTCGTCTGGGTACATGAATATCATTGCATTCTTTGGCCGACGCTACTACTTTCTGATTGTCGATTGGGCTGGTTTGTTTGCCACAAAGACAGAAGCGGGTTCGGAACATGCTGCTTTGTTCGCCGACTTGACCCCTGAAACTGCCCCTGCTGCATTCGTCAAGTATATGAACACATTCTTGGCAGATGGTTTCTTGGGTGACGGAGAGTTAGTCAGTCCATTATTCGTAAGCGAGCCATTGGACTTGGGAACACCTCAAGAGAAGCCAGACCCCACCGAACTTGCTTGGCATCTGGTCACAACTGACTGGTATGGAACAAGACTAGGGATTGGGGCATCTATATCAACTCGACTGCTTTGTACTCGTTGTGATGATGCCACAGGTCCATATTGTGAACTGGCTGGCAGCTGTAACAGCGAAACGTCCACATGCGATTGTTTGGACGGAGGCTTTGTCGGACCACGTTGCGAGTACTATGATCCAGCATTCAATATACTGTAGCAAAGCTCAATTACCTGTATATAATAATATAGTAATAGTTATGGTACAAATATTAACCGTGGATCTATAAGGGAGTTGTTTGAGGACACCTTTGATGCTCGATCATGGCAATCTCGTCACATTTCCTAGCCACAGGGGACAGCAATCCTGAACGTCGCATGGTTCGTCCGGCAATCTTAGCCAGGGTCTCCGCCGAATTGTCAGCGTCACACTGTAGACAGCTATTCAGTGCGCATTCGGGAAAAGGCCCATTGTTTGCTTGATCTTGCGTAATGTCTTTCAGAAAGCACTCGGTAAAGCACTCCTTGAACGTGTGGAATTCTGCTTCTGCCCACACCTTGGCACAAGCTTCCGTCATGCCCAAGTTGAGGTAGCATGCCGCACCTCCTTCAATGCTAATGGTATTCTTGGCCGAGCAGAATTTGCCTTCGGTGGCCAGTGTGGGATTTTGCAAGTAGACTGCCAAATCTTGGAGGGTACTGCAAACTCCACAGTGACCAAGGTGCGTGACGACGCCACCCGCCGCTTCGGCTTCTTCTTGTGATGCATAAGACTTTAGGTTGTAGGAAGACTCTTGACATTCGGCAGCCGGATCCACTGCATGAATTGCGCATACTGCAGTATCTCCCAACCCGAGTAGATTCTCATCTTGTGCTGGTGACGTTCGACAGTTTGTATTCGAAAACGGGTCGCAACTCAAATCGTAAGGATTGGCAATCGTCTGTCGTTTCACATAAATGTCAACCAAATCAGTTGTGACGTTGCTATTCGGTGCCTCTGAAGGGCAGACTTCTCCTTCACCGACAATGCAGAAACAGTCACCACAGCTTGCGGGACCTTGATCTTCGGTCTTGAAGAGCATGAAATACCAAACCAAGATTCCTGTGATTGTCGTAATCAGGAGGCAACAGAATACGCAGCAGCATGTTTTCGGTGTGCACTTTCCTCGTCTTCGTTGTCCCATTGTGTGTGATATTAGTGTCTATAGCTGGGTGAATTGTAAGCAATACAGTAGATATATGATTGGTAGATCTTGGATGTGAGTCGCACTGACGAATTTGTTCCGAACCCGTCTAGCTCTCTCTCTGCGGCATGCATTCTCATTCCAAGTTTGACACACGAATAAAGTTGTGAGTAAGTCTTGGATGGATCTGCGAGCCGGCGTAGCACATACAAAATTTAGAAGTCAGTCGACGATTTCAAGATTTGAAAATTGAAAACCTCAATTTGTGCATGGTGCAACTGCTACTGTACTGTTATACGGTACATATTTCATGGCTGTGCAACAAGAGAAAGTGTCGCTATTCTTCGCCACCATGGAGATTTTTGTCGGCTGCAATATCCAGCGATCTATGGAAAATAAACCGTCATGCTGCATCTGGATATGAAGACACTGGTTTCTCATTCAGCAGATGATGATGAAGACAAGTGAACAGGCCATCATCACGCATTCATGATCTACGAGAAAGAATGGAAAATATATTTGGTGTTCCATCTACGATCCTGCATCGATTATGTTCGGAAGCTTCATATATGGGCATATTGGTGATTGGTGACTGCTAATTTGACTCAGGAGATCATTGGCACATCAGCCAGATACTTCTCCACTTTGTCGCATATGCTGCATAACACCATCTTTTGAGTACAGCACAGAATTATGATTGCAGGAAAGGCTCTGAGAAGCATTCGTTTTCAAATTACTTCTTGCCTTTCTTCTTCTTGGAACACGTCTTTCTATGTATTTTTCCAGTGTGCTTGGGATGCAGATGTTTAGCAAAATACCGACGAAATATGTTGAGAGGAAAACTCTTCATTCTTACCTTGTTGACAGGTTGGGGAGCAGTAAGATATCTTTTGGCAAGGACAACTTAACTTCATCCCAGGGGACCAATCGTTTGCAAACAGGGCCATTGCATTTCTGGGCTGTTTCCGCAAGGGAGTCTCCAAAGTTGGAGGACAATATATCTCTAGCCGCAGCAGTGTCGTCACTACGAGGCCCATTTGTGCCACTGTTATTGTTGGAATCAGAAATGAAGGTAAAAGATTGAATCATTTCATTTTTGCACTCCAAAATTTTGGAGTAAAAGGTGGAAATATCTGGTGACGATGCAGTGGCATCAGCCAGTGCCTTTTTGCATTGACACGATGTGTTGCAGCAATTATTTAGAGCCAGTCCAGAGAATTGTTGACCTACGTTGACTGCAAAAGCCACAGTACCACCTTGTTGCGCTTGGAAACCAGAACGAGAGAACAAACACAAAAACGCAGTGTGGACAATTTTGTTCTCGTTGGTCCCGCGCCCCTGCCCCTCGGTCAGCCACATGCTATAATTGATGAACATGTTTGTAAGGTACTTGTTGTCTTTTGACTTGAGGTCATAGTGGAGGCTGCTCAAAGACACAGTCTCAGAGCTCTCGAATTTCTTGCAACGCCTGTTCGCAACGCCGGCATTCCGAAAGCATTCGAATATCTCTTTTTTGATACCATGAATTTGGCGGACTGTCCATATCCTTTGGCAGCAGCTTCGAACTTTTTTGCCGCTTCCAAGACCTTGCCCACGCGGTTGAGACTATTGCGTATACATTCAATATTGCCACTTTTGTATTCAAAGTCGGTATGGATTACAGAGACACCAATCGCATCTTTCCAATTCGATTCCGATGTGTACTCTTCCATCAAATCGGTGCAAAAGTGCTAAATTTTGATGGATTGATCAATTTTGGCACCAAAAAGTCGAACACACCAATGGACTAGTCGGCGACTCAAGATAGACTTCTGTTCGACTGTGAACATCAACTTGTGCGGTTCCTCGTAGTTGACAAGTGGCAATATCACAACTTTATTTGGGATTGTGCGCAAGGGAGAACTCACAATATGATTTTCCCATCAAAGGTTTTGAGGGGTGATTTTGAGGAATAATCTAACGTAGACAAAAGCTCGAGAACGAATCATTGGATTCCTTTCATCATACTGACGACGGTCGAACGACCGTCACAACAGCATTGCTCAGCAACACCAAGTCCGATCAGTTTATCGAACTTGTGTGCGAGTATACGTCAAGAAATAAGGTTTATTTCTTTCTTTCCCTCCCTCCACATCCCTGTTGGGCCTTACATCGACGCATTCTACGTCTCTGTAAAGCGACAAAATGTTCAATTTACTGAAACCTTTGCGAAATTCACCCCATATCTCCTCCAGTGTTATGCGACCGTCTTCCGAAAGAAAAGAACCAGAAGTTCCTGTCTATAGCCGAAGTTCGTTGGATAAACTGTCCATGTCTTCATAAGCAGACGGGAGTGTTGTTTTATTTACACGTTTGCAAGCATCGCAATTCAATCGAAAGGCCTTGCCAAGGAACCCCATTTTGCGGTAGGTATGAGCGAGACAGTTCATTCTCACTGCCGAAACATCAGAGTTTTCCAAAAGTTGGATCTTCACAAGCCATTTGGTACATGGGCTGTAAGGACCAGTGCACGTGTTCTTGAACCTCAGGATCGCACCCTCAGTCCATGCGTCGGTTCGGCCAAAGATTTGGGAACCCTTTCTCTTGCCCACCATTGGCAGATTGTTGGCTCCGTGGCATCAGGGAAAGATTACTATGACCCGATATTTACTTTCAGAATGCGATCGCATAATGCATCCATCTAGATGCGTCATTGCTTGATGTGTTGATGCTTCGCATAATGAGAATGAGCGAATGGGCTTTCAAAACTACTTCTTGCCTTGCCTCCTGGAACAGGTTTGCTTATGTACTTTCCAGTGTGCTTGAAATCCAGATATTTAGCAAAATAGAAACTGAAGAAACATCTTTGAGACAAAACTCTTCATTCTTACCTCGTTGACAGGCTGGGGAACAGTACGATACCTTTCTGCAAGGGCAATACTTAATTTCATCCGCGGAAACGTATCGTCCACATGAAGGGCCATTGCATTGCTTGAGGTCTTCCACAAAGGAGCCTGACGATACTGTCGCTCTAGCTGCGCCTTTGTCTATGCCAGAGCCATTTGTGCCACTTTTTGTGTTAGAATCAGGAGTAAACGAGACAGACTGAAGCATTGCACTCTTGCATGCCGAAATCTGAGAGTGAAAGGTGGAAACATCTGGTGACGAGGCAATGGCATCAGCCAATGCCTTTTTGCACTGACGTGATGTGTTGCAACAATTATTCAGAGCCACTCCAGACATTTGTTGGCCAGTATTGTGGACTGCAAATTCCACCCTACCACCTTGCCGCGCTTGAAAAGCAGAACGATGCAGCAAGCACGAAAAAATGATGTGCATAGTTTTGGTCATTTCGGTCCCGCGCCCTTGCCCCTTGTTCAGCCAAATGTCATAATTGACGAACATGTTTGTAATGATGTTGTCAAACGAGCCATCGTTAAGGTTCAATCTGTTGCCTTTTGACTTCAGGTCGTAGTGGAGGCTGCTCAAATACATGCGCTCTCAGCGCTTTCGAATTTATTGGAGCGCCTGTGCGCTAGACCTCCATTCTGAAATAAGCTTGCAGCGTTCGAATATCTCTTCTTCGATGCCATGAGTCTGGCGGACTCTCCATAGACTTTGGCAGCAGCTTCGAACTTTTTTGCCGCTTCCATGGCCTCGCCCACGCTGTTCAGGCTACTGGATAGGTATTTAATAATGCATTTTTTGTGCATGAAATCGGCCAGGATTACGGATGCATCGATCGCATCTTTCCAATTCGAAGCCTTTGTGTATTCTTGCATCAAATAGGTACAGAAATGCTCAACTTTGACGAATTGGTCGATTTTGGCACCGAAAAGTCGAACACACACCAATGGACTAGTCGGTGACTCAAGATAGACTTCTGCTCGACTGTAAACATCGACTTGTACGGGTCCTCAGTGTTGAAAGTTTGCAATGTGGCAGCTTGATTTGGGTTCCCCGGCATGGGCATAATCACAATATTAGTCGTCATAACTTCTGAGCGGTTTTGGGCAAATGCAGTCAAGGACGAGAACTTGAAGTTTGCCTCCGGTGGCAGGTGTCTCGAAAATGAAACTACCTCGTCCGGATGTTCATCGCGACTTCCTGCCATCCATTTGACGTCAAAAATTCCATTGTAGATACTCATGAATATGTCTTCAGCTTCTTTGCTATCAAATCTGGCCATTGATTTCGGGAGCGACCGCAAAGCCAATGGTCTGGGTAAATCCACTGGAACAGGATCCCAGTAACTGTCACCATCACTGGTGTATCCTGGAGTTCCGTCAAAGGTATCAATCCAACGCCTATAGGCGTCAACATCGCCAGATTGATAGCGACTCTTGAGAACCGCGTACATCACTTTTAAAGCAGCGGGATTCTTCAGTACCTCACCATGCATTTCATCCTCCAATTCATTGCTGTTCCATAATCCAAGTGGTTCGGTCATGAGCAGTTCTTCAAACGCTCTGAGATCTGTTTTGGCAAGACTGGCGAACCTTGGACCAAATTCCTCTTTCATGTACTTCTGGAAGGCTCTTCGTTTTGGCGTATCAATTGGAGAATTATCTCGGTTGCAGTTAGGAGCACCAAAGATTGAAGGAGTCCGCTCCAAAAATTCTTGATTCAATCGCTCTTGCTTCGACTTGAGTTCACTCGGATCCATTTCAAGGGTCAACGCGTATTGATCCTCTTTCAGCTTTTGTATTTTTGGTTCCCATTGATATGAGTTGTCGATCCATTCAAACGAAATATTGTCAGAGAGGCCTATTGGTTCTCCAAGCAATACGCCTCCGCCAGAGACGTTTATCCTACCAACTTCTAGTTCCAGTGTCTTGACACGTCTAGAATTATCAGGCTTAATCGCCAACATCTTGCCGGTTGGGAGTAGAATCGGATACCGTCCTTCTTTTTGTGTGTTCTCGTTTACGACTCCATATGATTCGTTGTACTGTTTCGCTGCTTTCAGGCCATGCATTTCGACCAATTGTCCTGACATCAATTTGGACTCCTCATCATCAGAGTTTCCCGAAAGTTGAATTGTCACAAACCATTTGGTACGGGGTGTAAGGACCAGCGCATGTGTTCTTGAACCTCAAAACCGTACCCTCGACCCATGACTCGCATTTCGCACTGAATTCAAGCTTGAGACGTCGATTCGGCTAAAGCTTTGGGGCATCTATCTCTTGCGGACCATTGGCAGAATAAGCAGTTGGTTCTTTGATGACTTGTTGAAAGCATTGATCAAATAACCGACCACAGTGAGAGCCAATCACATACTTGCAACTTCCTACATATGTGTCCTGGATTTGTTGCGTCTGCATCAAAGCTGGTATGAGCTGAACAGGAACATTGAAGATTCCATCTGGATGAATGTCGTACACATGAGCTTCCTCAGCAGGTTCTGCTTCAACGACTCGAAGATGATCAGTACCATTTCTGTGTGTACTGAATACGCTTCCATCATTGGGAAGACGAATCAATACAATTTGTTCGTCGTCCAAGGCCATGGTAATATGGGCTGCGACGAATTATGGTATGGTGCGACGAATTATGGTATGGTGCGTGTTTATTTGCTGCAATGATGAACGCAGGCGTGGCACTTGTCACTATTCAAACGATTGTGTAGTGATTTGGAGCCAAATCACAACCTACAATATTGCACACACGTATCATAATATCTTCAAAATCCAAATTCAAGAGGCCTACACAAGTACTAGTTCAATTTTGAAAGTTGTGTCTTTTAATCGCAGTCATCGTCTATTTATTAGTACACTACAGCGTCTTGGCATGGCACAAAATATGGCAACATTGTATTAAAGGGGATAGAATAGAATGCACTTTTGAAATTGAAGACTTAGAACCAGATGTTTCTATGTTTTGCGGCTGGTGTGTGCTCTTGCCATGATCAGAGAACAAAGCAGTTAAATTTTGACTTTTTAGAATGAGAACACAGGTAAATGCATATAAATACGCAGAGCTGCTTGATCTTTTGGTGCTTTGGACAATGATAATGAGCGAATGGACACAAAGCCTCTTTAGGTGAAAGACCGTAGCGGTACTAGACTCGATGGAAGAAATGGGACTTCCATCAATCATGTACTAAAGGATCCATCCATATCCACCCGCATCGAACTTTTCTTCAGAATTGATTTGGTAGGCTGCAGGTGAATAGAAGTTGTTGGTATTTCTGTTTCTTCTACAGCCCCATCAACTCCATCTGCCTCGGATGACCCATCGTCTGTTCCACTGGCACTCCGTGCAGGGCTACCGGTATCGTCATCATCAGGTGAAGATTCATCCTTTGATACCTCAGGGACAGGAGCTAAACTTGGGACCACCTCGGAAATGAATTTGGGAATATCTGGTTCCAAGCAAGCCCCTCGGATGGCCATGGAACGCGAGGCCCCAGCTTGTCTCAAACGCAAGTACATGGGTCTGATGTATATCAGCATGTTGAGAAACCCTTGCAAAGGCAGCAAGGATGATTGTAGGACCAAAATTTCATAGACGTCTGCTTCCGTAGATAGACGATGGCCTCGAGATCCCATCAGTCGAAGTATGAACGCAGGAATGTAGGACATAAAGCAGGCGCCTACGTACAGGAAGCCTTGAGTTGCCACCTTTCGAATTTGAGCCTGACCACGCCGCCCCGTCACTTGCAAAGCTCTCTTGACGTACACGAAAATGATAATGTTGTTCACGACGAGACTCCCGATTGTGAATAATAGAGGCCCTCCTACGAAAAACCAAGCTATGATGCTGTTCACGCAACCGCCAGTCTCATCACATCCTCTTCCATAGCAAGATCCCGAGAGGGAGAGATCAAGGTTAGCCTTTTTGGCACCATAGTATCATGCTGTAACAGATATGTATTTCATCGGGGGTTACTCACTTTGGGTACGCAGCAAGCCAGCAGCCCATCGAAAATCTCATTTCAGTGAACAGATTAAAAGGCATCCCAATTGTAGCAGTTGCCAAAAAGTAAAACACAGTCAAGGCATGCAGGTATGGTTCGAATCTGGCTGCAAAGTCGCCTGGTGTTACAGAGAATCTTACAATCGCCAGCATGTAGAACGAGAGTATAGCATTGTACATTATGGCAGCGAAGCCTACCTGGGTCAACCATCCGAGAACGGAACAAGAAACATCATTGCCCATCGCTGTGACTCGCGTACTGGTCTCTTGGGGCACAAGGAATGGAGTTAAAATGTAGGAAAGAGATGCAATCATGTCGGAACAGCTTAGCCCTAACATTATCCGGTCATAGCTCTTGGAATGTTCCCGGTTCCTTAGGACTCGATGAACGATAACGAAGCTGCCGAACATTGAAAGCATTCCAGAGACAACGTACAGAAACGCCAAGAGTCTCACTTGTTCGTCCAATAGTGACGGTATCAGCCTTTGATCTATCTCATCGACATCCATCATGTTGGGTCAGATTCCTTGTTATGTAAGCAATATTACAAATGGATGATGTAGGGGATGGGCTTTTTTTTAAATTGCGATGTGGTCTGAAAATACGTGTTGAATGCGATGCCCTACCTCCAGGTCATTTCATGTGTTAATTAAAAAATAGCCGGAAAACAAGTGCGAAACAGAAATATATTGAGAAACAGTATAAATGATATTTAGTTGCCCTGACGTGAATGACTATCACCTTAATTAAAAATGGAGAAGATCTTGTGGTATGTCCAGAAAATATATTTATTAGCCTTCGCCGGGGACAAGAAAGGGGGGACCTACGGGAAATCATGAAGAAACAGAAACGCGCAGTGCGGAGAACTCCACTGATGATTTCAAGAATACATGACATCGATGATCATACCGGTATGCATATCATACAAGGCATCCCCACCGACACGGGAATTGAACATGGCAACACTGCATGAACGAACAGAACTCAATTTACGAAAATCGAATAAGCCTTAGAACAAAAATATCTTCTAGGTAGCCTGCTCTGTCCCTCACAATGGCATTGTTTTAGATTAATAATAATACTTCTTAGATTATTGTGTCTCAGGAAGGAGACAGACGATGAAAAAATGTTCAGATGATCGTTTGTCTTTTAAGCCATGAGGACGGCGCTAGTCGAACACATTGGCCAATAGTTCTTGTCCGTTGGATTCACTATGAATGAATTCTTGTCCGATTGTATTCACTATGAATGAACTGAAGCCCATTTTGGAACGCGGGTGTTGCTTGATTTGTTTGCATCATGAGCACGAGAGCATGAACCGGCAATGCATTTTGGGATGCAAGCACGCGATTGTAGTGGGCATCGATTGGGAGCCAGCGCGAAGACATGGGATTCATTCCCAACCATCATGTAATGGATCCATCCATACCCACCCGAGCCGAAGGTGTCTTCAGAATAGATTTTCTGACAGGCTGCAGAGTAACAGTCGTTGGTGTGTGGATTACAACCCCATCCGTCTTGGATGAGCCATCGTCGGTTCCACTATCTTCGATTCGCTCGTCGTTGAAAGAGTCATGTACCGGCCTGTTGTTGTCAGTGGAAGATTCGATCTTTGTTGGTCGTGTCACAACAGGATCAGCAGGAGCTGAGCTTGAGATCTTCTCGGAAATAAGTTTGGGAATATCTGGTTCCAAGCAAGCCCCTCGAATGGCCATCCCACGGGAGACACCAGCGTGTCTCAACTGTAAGTACATGGGTCTGATGTATATCAGCATGTTGAGGAACCCCTGCAAAGGGAGTAAGGATGATTGTAGGACCAAAATTACATATATATCTTCTTCAGTAGACAGATGATAACCTTGAGAACCCATTATTCGCACAATGAACGCTGGTACGTAGCATACAAAGAAGGCAACGACATACAGAAAGCCTTGGGTTGCCACTCGTCGAATTCGAACCTGTTTCGCCTTTGTTTGTCCCCGTCCTTGCAAAGCTCTCTTGGAATGCAAGAAAATGACAATGCTGTTCACCACGAGGCTCGCAAAGGTGACTAGTAGGGGTGCGCCGATATAGAACCAACCAATGATGTTGTTCAAACAACCGCCATTCGTATCGCATCCTCTGTAATAGTGAGAGAAATCAAATTTAGTTTCTTTTGACGTCACAGTACCTAACAGATATTTTCATTCGGCAATACTAACCTTGGGTATTCAGCAATCCAACAACCCAGCCCACTAGAACACATACAGAAAGGTCACGTTAGTGGAAGAAATCACGATTCAATCAAGAAAGAAGTTTGAGTCATCTTACAGTCTCAATTCGCTGAATAGATGAAACGGCACCCCGATTGTAGCAGTTGCTAAAAAGTAAAACACAGTCAAGGCATGCAAGTATGGTTCAAACCTGGCTGCAAATTCGTCCGGTCTCATAGAGAACCTTACGACCGCCAGCATATAGAATGAAAGTACAGCATTGTAGGGGATGGCAGAGTACCCCAATTGGGTCAACCATCCAAGCACAGAACAGGACACATCATTTCCCATGGCCGTGACTCGTGTACTTGTGTCTTGAGGCGCAAGGAATGGAGTCAAAATGTAGGAAAGAGAGGCGATTATGTCGGAACAGCTCAGCCCCAACATAATCCGGTCATAGCTCTTGGACTGTTCCTGATTCCTCAGGACCCGATGAACGATAATGAAGCTGCCAAATGTGGAAAGCGCTCCAGAGACAACGTACAGCAATGACAAGAGTCTCACTTGCTCGTCCGACAGCGAGGGTATCAGCCTTTGGTTTATCTCATCTAGTTCTATCATCTTCCTTTGAATATCACTTTGCGAACGGGTCGTGACCGTGGTGATGTGATAGTAACGCGGTTTTCTGTTGCGAAGGTTTTTGCATATATATCCGGGTTTGGGCATTCAAATGGGAAAATAATAAGTCCGCCCGCATTTTCACTTGAGAAGAAGTACAATAAACCACTGTATCTTCTGCACCATACCGGTACCGGTAGGCATGTCCCGCAACCAGCATCATTGGAATCAGATCCATACTACAGTACAAACAAAATATCAGATGTTGTGATGATAGAAGAATGACTGTTACCGCCTTGCTGTTGCTAATACTGGCGTCATGGCATTCTGTTGAAGCTGAAAGTGCTGATGACCTTTTCCTCAGCCATGATGATTCAACTAAATCTCATCCTGGATACCGCCGTGATGACAATCACATGTATGCCTCATTTCATACTGATTCTTCGATGACGATGATGGAAAGCCTCCTGCCTCATTCACGTCGGTTGAATGTGGTCGTCAACGAATGCTTGGATGCCACAGATTATTTCAGCAGATTCAACAATGGTGAAAACAGGCTGAAGCTGCACTACGAATGTACATGCTCGGGTGACTTGGGTTTCAAGTTTACCCTACAATGTGAGCTGAACGATTACTGCTTCTTGGGAGGAGGAGATGGTACTAAGGAACAGTGTATTAGTCGAAAGAATACCTTTGACTTTGTGGTGAATTCGGATACTCGAGTGATTGCAGATCTAACGAGGAATACTCAATTGACCACCTATCATTCAGGATTTTCCTTTGATGGCAGCTTCCTGACAGTTGGCAACAACGCCTGCGTGGTCGAATTGAATTTCACGTACAATGTCCCAACCGAAGAGGCCATTGATACTTGTGACAACCGATGCCACGAATTTTTCATCCAAAACAGCAACCGGACGCAAGATGAAATCGAATACATTTGTCCCACTGTCACCTACGACAATGTTGCATGCAAGTCCTTTCGCATGGTCAGTTGCCTGTCCGTGAACGATACAGATGAAATTCGATATTTCACCATGCCCGACTGCAGCAATGTCGATCCTTGCCTTGGTACATCTTGTCAACCATATCCTCGCATTGACACTTCACCAGAAGCCTTTCTCTTTCGCTATCCGGAATGTAAAACAAGCAGGATCAACAATCCTACAGCATCACCAACAATGACGTCTCTCTCACCTGTTGGTGATAATTCAAATGTCACATCATCATTGAGTCCAACAGTTTCTCCTCCAAAAAGCACAAGTATTATCCCAATGGATAGTGCCGGGTTCTCGTTTGGCTCGCAGAATCGAGGCATCATTGCTTCGTGCTTTCTTTCGATTATTGTAGCTGGTACCTCGATATACTGATGTGGTGCCACAATTAGCTCTGGCTCTTTTGTTCGAAGATGTTTGATGATGGCGTAATTTTATCAATGCCTTTTTCTCAGCGTATCGCACTTGCGTGCGTGGAATTAGGAATAAGTGCCAAAGAGTCATCAAACTACAGTATTTTCTCGACTTCTATTAATAGGTGATTTCTTGGTAGAGCTGTTACCATCATACTCCTTGTCGATCCCCAACTGGCACTTTCCAACGATTCACGCAATCCATATATCCTCCAACTTATACCTAGTGTTGATGGCTCATCCATTTCTGACTGTAAGGCGAAGTGCCGTTCGTTCCATGCTGACTGGTTGCTTGGCATGGGAATAGAAAACCTGACGCTATGAGACCGCAATATCATCCTTCCCGATGAATCGGACGGCTCTATGTGCAAAAGGGCTGTTGATTGATTCATTCATTCGTCCATTCAATGTTTGCAATCCCCAAATCATGACGAAGTCTCTGATGAGAAATCAGCAGTATCCTCACCCGACAACGCCCTGGTTTCTTCGAATTCCATTGGACTTTCGTCGATGGATGCGAGAGGTGGTGACGAAATTGGCATACTCGCCTTTGAGGGATGGAGATCGTGCTTGGAAGAATTTGGGGCGCGGGAAGATGCCACACGGACGCTTTGCTCAATGTAATTGCCGACGTCGGCTTCCAAACAGGCTGCCCGTAGCGCTTCTCCGATTGGAATTCCTGCTTCCCTCAAACGCAACCATTTGGGCCGACTGAAGACAAACATGTTCAAAAATCCTGATCAAAGAGGATACATGCATGTTGAGAATCGGGAAAGCAGGTGGATATGGT